CTTAAGCAGAAAATTTGATCCAGCCACAAGACAGTCCATTTCATCTTCCTTGTCAAGACAAATCTCAAGCTTTTCCTTAAAGAGATCCGCGGACTTGTATGACCAAAGCAACCAAAGCAAATATGCCTATCACGACTAAAGAACAAATCAATTAGTTTCCTTCCATATTGAAATGATCATAAACCACACACAAAAGTTAACATGTTCAAATCTCTAACCTAAGCCATACAAACTAAGTCGTTGAATTTAAAATGTTCACAAGTCAAACGCAAACAGAAAACACAACAATTCATACAATAAACTAGAAAATATTGAAATGAGCAATCAACATAAGAATAAACGGTGAAAATACGTACATAAGAGTGGGTCACTGATGAGCTCACAGAGAAAGAGCTCCTTGCTGCTGTAAAGGTGTTGATGTTTCGGCGTATCCCGCTCTTCAAAGAAGAGCTTCTTCAATGGCGGTCGTAGTCCCTTTGGCTATGGAAAAATCATCGTCGTCGGCATCTGTGAACAAGAGATCCGGGTTGAAAATTGGGAACACAGGACGGATCTGGCCATTTTGGAATATATCGTCGGTGGAAATTGGCGATCCGTTGGGTTGGTGCATGCGAAAGAGAAATCAAGTAGAAATTCAAGTAAATTAAGCAAAAATCAAAAGGAAAATAACGAATTGAAGCAGATGGAACAACCTGCAAAGGAAATGGAGGCATCAGCGGCGAGAACACGTGTGAGGCCACCTACGTAACGGAGATTGTCGTCGGTCTTGTGTTGGTCCCATGGCTTTGAGACTGTTTGGTTTACTTTGAAGGCATAGAGAGGGAAGAAGGGAGAGAACAGAGGAGAGATGGTGGTTTGAAGCAGGAGAGGGGCTTGAGGCTTCAAACCTGAGGGAGGCTTCAAACGAGATCCAAAACTAATTTAATGCTAAAAAGGGTAATAAAGATATTTCATCTTATTAATTAATTAAAAATATACAATTGTTGATTTTTGGGTTTTATTTGGGTGTGTTTCTATGTTTTAAATAGTGTAGGGTATATTTATAGTTTCATGTGTAGGAATGGGTGTTTCACTAATTTTGTATAAATAATTTTGAGAAATGTCCAAAGAAATTGAAAGGGATGAAACTTCGAAAAGCTCTCTAGGTATGGTGCCTGTTATATTGTTATAAGAAAGGTTGAGTTCGAGTAGACTTTGGCAATTCCCAAGACTTGGAGGTATACTTCCCTCAAACCTATTGTTGAACATGTACAGTTGTGTCAATGAAGTCAAGTTACCCAGAGAGGACGCTATTGGTCCAGAAAATTTGTTATCATTCAAAAACAGTCCCACTAACTTTTGAAGCTTCCCAATTCCATCTGGGACTGTACCAGTTAGATGGTTAAAGTCCAGTGCTAACATGGTTAAGTTTTACATGATTTCCAATGTCGTCAGGAATGCTTCCGTGGATTAAATTGCCCCCCAAATAAAGAGATGTTAGTTGGGTAGAAAGGTTGGCTATGGATCGTGGAAATTCTCCCCCCAATTGATTACTAGAAAGATCCAATGTCTCTAGGCTAGTACAATTAGCCAAGAAGCTGAGGAAATTCAAATCGTCAGTTTTCCTGTTTCCCAAACTATTCTCAGCAAAGTTTAGGCTAACTAAGGTTCGCAAGGTTCCAATATTTTCAGCAGGGAGTGTCCCCGTGAAACCATTAAAAGGAAAATCAAGGATCTGAATTCTAGAAGAATTTAACAACGATGCGGGAACAGTTCCTGTGAATTTTGTTGCTACCACACATACAAAAAATTTCGAGATTAGGAAGATTAATGCCGAGATTTCGTGGTAGCTCTCCATGGAGATGGTTGACAGAAACACCAAAATGCTTTATGGAAGAAATATTATAGATTGAAGAAGAAATAATACCATACAGATTTATTCATTGCAAGTGTGAATTTCTCCAAGCTTGTCAGACGCCCCAGGTCATTGGGTATGCTTCCTTGAAAATTGTTTCTCGGTAAGAAAAAGGTCATGCAAAGAAGAAAAGTTTCCAATCCAGGCCGGGATTGTTCCAGTGAGGCTGTTAATACCAATCCATAGAATATTTAAATTCAACAATGAACTAAGTTGGTTAGGAATGGACCCAATAATATGATTGGAAAAAAGACTCAGCACACGTAGTTGTGTACAGTGAGATATATTAGTTGGAATTTTCCCGCCCAAGGAATTTTCAGACAGGTTTGAGAGCTTGCAGGCTTTGTAGACGACCCCATTTCTTGAGGAATTTCACCATGGAAGCTGTTGTTTCTGAGGTTGATTCCAGTAAGATGAGTAAGATTTCCAATAGAAGGTGGTATAGAGCCTGCCCGTTTATGAGAACTCAAGTTCAAAATCAAGACTCTTTTTGTGGAAGGGTTGCACGTAACGCCAACCCAATTGCAGAAATGAATGGAATCATTCCATGAGCTCAAGACATGGAAAGGATCTCGAGTGATTTCTTTTCTTCAAGTCCAGCAGCGCCAGGCGATCAGTTTCACTTCCAAAAGTATTACCACTGGACAGAGTTGCAGATTCCAGAGGTGTGCTCATGCATAAAAGAATGAACCCATGAAGGAATGGAAACAAAATCAGCCTACCAAGAATGGTGCGTGAATGCCCCATCCCTTTTTCTTTTTTTTAATAAAAAATACAGAGCAAATCAGAAACCGAAGTGTTTATTATTTTTTTCCTTTTGCTGTCAAAGAAGAAACCCAAGTGTTTGTAAATGAAAGAAGAAATCCCACTACAATGAATAATGGTAGTAATGCGAGGAACCAAATTAGAGTCAAGCTTTCACCGTGTCTATCAAAATGTGAGGAACCAAATGTGAGAAATAAATGTGAGGAATTGGAAGACCAAACTAGTCCGCAGGGTCCTTGTCGTCACATTTAAGTTGTGCCCGTGACTAATTTGCTGACTTGTTATAGTCATTCAACATACCCACTAAACATACATGGCTGGCCCTGCAAGTTGTACATGAATTTGAAATGTACAAGTCGTATGCGAAGTATAGGCGATCAATCTGAATATGAATCGGAGAAATTGTTGGTTGTGATTTGATTGAATGCACCAATTTTTCCAAGAGGATTGGTGGAGCTACTTGACCCTTCTCAATTTTCCAAATTTGTCCAGATTCATATTTGTATTTGTATCCTTAGTTTTGACCCTTCTAGTCTATGTACGAAGCCAAATTAGAGTCAAGCTTTCACCGTGTCTATCAAGTTGTGCTCATGAGTCACGACTAAGTTGCTGACTTGTTATAGTCACTAAACATAGATGGCTGGCCCTGCATGCAAGAGATAATATGAATTGGAGAAATTGTTGGTTGTGATTTGATTGAATGCAATAATACTACAAATGAATAATGCATAGGCACATCGGTGCACTTTCAAACAATTATAGTGGCAAAACAACAGTGTAATGACGTGAATGCCCCCCCCTTCTACGTTGCATTTTCCCAGCAGCACAGTAGAAGGTGCAAACTGCCCTCAACTGAACGTTCCTCCCCTTCGGATCCTAAGTCACGTCGTCTCTCTCTTTATAAAAACGCCTGATTGCGATACTTAGAAGTGGACCCATAAAGGAATGGAAACAAAATCCGCCTACCGTGAATAATGCTAGTAATGTGAGGAGCCAAATTAGAGTCAAGCTTTCACCGTGTCTATCAAGTTGTGCTCATGAGTCATAACTAAGTTGCTGACTTGTTATAGTCACTAAACATAGATGGCTGGTCCTGCAAGAGATAACATGAATTGGAGAAATTGATGGTTGTGATTTGATTGAATGCAATAACACTACAATGATAAATGCATAGGCCCATCGATGCACCAATTTTCCAAGAGAAGTGGTTTTTTGACCCTTCTCATTTATTTCTATCTGCAGGGCCTTACTATTTTTGTTCTCATCGCGTTGTGAAATCTTTACCCCAATGCTATGACCGTGTTTTCATTTTGATGTTTCTTAATCGGTGCGATGCTTAGAACTCTTATTAACAATATAAGAGTGGCAAACAACAATAGACTTTAAAGCCTGTAATCGGAGTTCCTAAAATTTCATGCCTTACCTCAAACCCACAAGCCACGTCTAGGTAATTAGTACCTCTTAATCGGAGTTCCTAAGGACTGTTTGGTGTGTGGTTCCAACTTGTGATAGTGAGTGAGTGGGGCTCCTAAGGTTGATGAATTTTGAGCAAAGACATCTAATCAAAACACATATACAGTCCAGTCTAGGAGCATAGTTTTTAGCATTCACAATAAACCCAGCCTAGGAGCATAGTTTCATAGAACATGACAGAGCAATTATGAAGGGCAAGTAGTCGTTGAGATGAATGGGACTTTTTGATGGAGCACGCATGTAGACGTAATTTTGGGAGGCCACTGATGGGTATATTTTATATTATATATTTAACCTCATTCTTAGTATATTTGGAAGAATTTTGATACTTTGGGGAAAAAAAAAAAAAAAAAAAAAAAAAAAAAAAAAAAAAAAAAAAAAAAAAAAAAAAAAAAAAAAAAAAAAAAAAAAAAAAAAAAAAAAAAAAAAAAAAAAAAAAAAAAAAAAAAAAAAAAAAAAAAAAAAAAAAAAAAAAAAAAAAAAAAAAAAAAAAAAAAAAAAAAAAAAAAAAAAAAAAAAAAAAAAAAAAAAAAAAAAAAAAAAAAAAAAAAAAAAAAAAAAAAAAAAAAAAAAAAAAAAAAAAAAAAAAAAAAAAAAAAAAAAAAAAAAAAAAAAAAAAAAAAAAAAAAAAAAAAAAAAAAAAAAAAAAAAAAAAAAAAAAAAAAAAAAAAAAAAAAAAAAAAAAAAAAAAAAAAAAAAAAAAAAAAAAAAAAAAAAAAAAAAAATCGACATTTCCCAGCATTTTTTTTCCCTGTAAATATGCCAATACTGATTTTTTCTTCTTCTTTCTAATCCCTGTTATTAAGTTCGAGCCTTCGTTTTAATTGTAATGTAAAATAGAAAGAACTGCTTATACAATTTTTCCTTTAAAAATTAATATAGCAAACAAACTTATCGATGTCCAGTGGAAAGAAAATAACAATAAGTAGAAAGCAAGGAAAAAATTCACCAAATGGATAAACATACCTTTGCAACTAATGGAATACCTCCACACTTTTTGGCAATGTCCCTTCCAATTCTCTCTTGATCTTCATTTAAAGTAGGATCACTCTCATTTGGAAATGCTCTATCCTTCAAAATAAGCCAACATTGATCATCTGATAATTTTTGCAAATCATAACTAGAAAGTGTCTGTGAAATTGATGCAACCCTCGCACTCCGGGTAGTGACAAGAATGTTGCTTCCTTGGGTATCTTTAACACTTAACAAACAACTCATCAAGTCATTCCATTTTTCAGAATCTTCGTTCCACACATCATCCAGTACGAGCAAATATCTTTTCCTTTCAGGTCTTCTTGAAGATTTTTGATTATTGCATCCTTGTCTTGCATCCTAGCCTTTTCCGGTTTAAGATGTTCCAAGATCTTGCTTAAAATTGACTTGACCTCAAAAGGAATAGATACACATATCCATATTTTTTCAGTGAAGCGTCTCCCTATCTCATCTTCATGATATACACATTTGGCCAAAGTTGTTTTTCCCAAGCCGGCCATTCCCACAATGGCCATCACGGGTAGATTTTCATTCTCTTGAGTATTGCTTGAGTTGATCAAGGTTGTAACTATCTCTGACACAATCTTCTCCCTTCCAACAATGTTCTTTTCATCTCGTTTAAAGATGGAGACAGTTTCCCTGTCAACTGCAATCTCACGAGAGGAGGTTGCATCTGAGAATTTCTTATTGACAAGCCCAATGCTAGCTGCCTTCTTATTCAAATTCTCCAAAGCAGAGTTGATGTTCTCAATCTTATGTGCCATTTTGAGACGAAATAAAATGGGATTGTAGTGGAGTGAAAGGAAGTTGAGCACTTTTTTCTTCATTTGGTTTCCCACTTCCACCTGACGGCGGAGAAGTTCATATCCGCATTCATCCAGCACATCATCGGCCTCATGAGCTATGTCTTCAAGTTTGTTCACCCAAATTTGCACGGCTTCCGGCCGAACTTCTTTTGATTGCCCGGCATCTCTTAACATGGCTTCAGTCAGCAACAATGATTCACGCAGCTTTGTCAACTCTCCTTGAAATCCCCATACAAGACTGATTTCTTCAGAGGCAAGTGAAGCCACTTTCTTCACTATTTCCTGGACACCGAAAGTAACAACTTCTGCCATCTTTCTATCTCTCTTTCTCTCTGCTCAATCTAGACAATTAAAGAAAGAAGAGAGCAATCAATGCTCAATCAGTTTGAAAAACTAGCTAGGATGAGCTACAACAAGACATATAGACAATTGTGAGATCTGAATCTAAACCTACATTACTGTTGCTATTAAATTAGGCCCAAGTCGATATTAGCTTCTTCTTTTTTCTGATCAATAGTCGTAATTAAAGTTGTCAGTTGGCTGAATTATTTACATGCCATCATTGTGTGGATAGATAGTGGATGGATAGATTTCCGGGAAATTGGCAGTTTTACTTTGCCTCAGCTAATTTATTCATTAATATCCTTATTTTAGTGAATAAATTAGGTGAGCCAAAAGTAAAACCCCCAATTTCCCTAAATTTCCTCCCTTGTGGCGTGGCTTAAGTTTCAATCTATCGGGTGATGTATCAGTAAAATGTCATATCAAGGGCCCGTATGGCAGCACACTAAAAACTACACACTCAGAAGAATCTCACTTTTGGTACTGCTATCTCAATTCAAACCAATCACGCATTGGTGACCGCGTGAGATATCGCCATATCCATATAACACTTGTCAGATCAAAATGCAAAAATCTCTCATTTTAAAAAAAATAAAAATAAAAAAATTGATGAGCATGGTGCATAATAAACAACAATGGTAAAGTTGGTCCTGTATATAATAAGTAATTACTGCTAAAAAAATTAAAAGGTAATAAAATGTTACATCTTGTAATTCATTTTCTCGTAATGACCCCTCCATGTAGTTGGAAGCAACTTAAGTGAGAAATCCATCCTGATCAGTCATTGTCAACACAAATATGTTACAAATCTTGACTATTTAAACATAAATATGTGAGAAGTGAGAGGGTACCGCCATAACATGTACCTACTTAGTGATTTACATGATTGAAAAAGCCAAGAGACTCATGAATATGTTGCGTATGATCTCATTTGAGATTTGAATCAACTATTTCCTTTATCTTATTTCAACGGTTATCCTTACAAAAATGAAACAATATGTAAAATGTTTCATCCTCATCCTATCCAACAATTAGAAAATAGAAACGATATAATGTAAGATGTTTATAACAATCCAAGATTGGCCATATTACTTTGTCCAATCTTATGTAAGATATAATCTAGACAATCCAACAACATTCATCCTCACCAAACAAAATCCAACAACATCTAATACATGACCCTGTTTACCTTTTTAATCTAGACAATTAAAGAAAGAACAGATCAATGAATGCTAATTCAGTTTGGAAAACTGGCTATACGGTATTTATAGACAAAGCTTATGCAGGTTTGCATACAGTATTTATGGAGTAGTGTTGTAATTAAATTAGGCCTAAGTCGAAATTAGCTTATTCTTCCTGACCAATAAGTCGTAATTAAATTTGAACGTCATAAGGCTGACTTCAAAGGCTAATAATTTAGGAGCCCACCCAACAACCTAAGTTGTCGGTTGGCTGAATTATTACATGCCAAAATTGTGGATAGATTTCCTCCATCGTGGCATGACTGACCACCAAGTGATGAGACAGAAGAAAATCTATTTAGACTTCTACCCTAAACCCTTTCCCATGCAATTGACCAGGAAGATTCCTTTTTCATGTTTAATTAGAAATTCTTTTCACGATTTTCCTCTTAGTTTCCAACTCAAAACATAGATTTTTTTATGATCGGGGAAGAAAAAGCCTAAATTTTCTTTTATTTCATAAATATTAGTTTTATAAAAACTTTTAAAAGAAATTGCAAAAAAGTCATTTAAATAGACTTAAATGCTCTTAAAGCTAAACTCATATAAATTAATAAAAGAAAGTCAGTCAGACAAACAAATATATATCCCAGATTAATGGTCCTCATTGAAGCAACTATAGCTATGGAAGATCATATTTGCAGAAGCGATGCTGATGATGGTTGATTGATCAAACATTCACGAAATTGCACTTAGTTAAAATGTATATTCTTTGGTACCACGTTTTTCTTAATTGATGATGTAATCTAGGAAGAGGGGGCAAAGAGAGTGAATCTAGAAGCGACTGTAGTTAACATTTCTAGAAGCGACTGTAGTTAGCATTCTCTTGTTATATATTGGTTTGTTTGTAATCATATCATCACAATACGATTATGATATCCATCACGTGGAAGTTCTTCTGGCAAGGCAACTCCTTGACATGGGTGAAATAAATATGCAAAAAAGAATCGGTTAAAGAAACCAATAACAAGATATGGCTTCGCTTGCTCAAGGTTTCTATGAATCTATAGACGAACTTATATTATAAAGAATGTGTATACAGATTGCGTGCAATAATTATATATAAATTTCTCTTTCATGATCATGACTGACCGACTTGTGATATTTGTCTCTACTTGTTTGTATATGGAATCGCATCGGGCACGAGCAATACTTGTTTGTATATTTCCTTTTCAAAGCCCGCCACCAAACCTTGTCGAATCATATTAAACAAAGCATGGAATGGAGGAGGAAGGTGCCCTTTGTGTATCTCCTTTTCAAAGCCCTCCGCCAAACCTTGTCGAATCATATTCAACAAAGCATGGAGTCAGTACCCTCGAAACGACTACATATTTGACATGCCTTTGTGTATGTACAGGAACAGGATGTTACTTTTACCAGGACCCGCACCTAGAAGCAAAAGCAGAAGCTGTATAAAGAAAAAGTACACACTCTAATAGATGCTGCTGCATAAGCTGATAAGGAAAATATACAAGAAGGCTGAGGAATAGTCCAAGTATAATAATGCACTGAGAATTGGGAATTGCTTGTACCTTATAATTACAATGAAATTAATTTTCCAGAAACATAGCTTCTTCAATCTGCACCCATGATCAACACCTGTCTCTCAACCAACTGATCAAAAAACAACTTTGGTCAATGCTGCTTGTGGGAAAGAAAAAATCATAGGCCAGCAAACAGAGTTAATATTCTTTGTAGAGATGATTTAGAAAGAAAAGTGGTACCTTTAGAATAGTGCACGCTACTTTGAACCATTTTTGGATACTTTGGGAGATTAATGAATTTGTGTTTTGGTTCCATCCAGGTTCACAAATCTCCAAATGTTCAATAAACTGCAGAGATTTAAACATAATATGTTACAAACTTACACACATTATTTGGTACCTTGAACTGAAACCTTGAATTTACAAATGGAGATATAAAACACGATAATTTTTTTTAATAAATCATCCATGAGTTCTATATGGTGTGTTTGTATGTGTATATGGATGTATTGAATGTAGAGAACACTTGAAAGCTCAGAGTTTGTATGTGTCTCTCAAAGACCTGATCAAAAACAACCTTGGTCAATGCTGCTTGTGGAAAGAAAAAATGATCCCTGAGTTCAATTTACTTGTGGAGTTATAAATCATCCCTTAGTTTAATTTGTTTTGGTTTTCATATATTATTTGAAGTAATTGACTGATTAAACTAAAATGCGAATAGAAGATAACAACCTAATTAATGATAAGCGAGAACGAATCGCACAAACATTTTTTCTTAGCGGTTCACATGATTAAACAAATCAAAGGGAAAGTAAACCAAAAATTAAAAAATGTACTAAACAATAAACAATCAAGTTAAAATGAACACTAAGTTAGATAGGGCTTAGCCCCATATTCACCAAAAGAAGATTATTTTTTTTAAAGTAAAGAGAAGAAAATAATTGATTTCAGAACAAAAAAAAACAAATTATAAAATTGAAAAACTTACATTTGATGTGTGGAATATGTGAAATCTTGGGCCACTCTGGGCCCCCGTCTTTATTGCATCTTTTTTCCAGAAGAGGACAATCGAGAAACCATATTTCCTGTAATTTGGTGAGACATTTCATAGCTTCAAGCGTAGGTAGATACATTAGATTCTTGCACCACCCTATAATTAGCTTCTCAAGAGATGCAAGATTTCCCAACCACTCTGGAAGAGCCTCCATGTCGTCGAAGTGCCGTATTAACAAAGAAGTTAGAGAAGTGAAGTGTTGAACTTGTTCAGGCAGAGACTTGAACTTCGGCCAACCCCACAAGTCTAATTCTTCAAGTTGTGGAATAACTTGAAAAGCAGGAAATGAATCGAGCTCCTTCCAAAACCCACCGATTTCCAATTTCTTTAAGCGGGTGAGGGATGCTGCGAACGCACTGGGGTGTACATCTTTTAATCCATCACAGTTATAGATCTGCAACTGACGGAGTTGTGTGAGGCTGTCTAAACTTGGAATAGCTTCGAGATTCGGGCAATAGGCAATAAACAAGTGCTCAAGAGAGGTACAATGTTGTAACCCACTCGGTAGGCTTGATAATTCATCACAAAATGAAATATATAATTCGCGGAGGGATGGGAGGCCGTTTGTAACTGGGATGCACTCCAGCCTGGGGCACCTACTCAACACCATCTCCTCAAGGCAGGGAAACACAACTATTCTTTCTGTTGGCCTTGTCGTTGCTTCCGTCCATTCAATTAGGTTCTTTGCATTTTCAACAGTTAATCTTTTCAATGAAGAAAACAAATCTCCACACATCATCCAGGGTGGAAATGTCTCACCACTAAAGTAGTGAATCTCTAAACTTTCCAATGCAGAGTGCGGTTTAAGGCCTTCTAGTACATCCCTGTCATTATTGATGACCCCTGACCTGTATTCGTCTACCGACCATAACAACTTTAGTCTGCGTATGTTTGTCTTCTCCACTAACTTTGCCTCCTTTGCTTCTTCTTCATCTCTCACATGCTTCAGATCATAAATAGATAATTCGCCTTTCAAATGCTTTAAGCCACCCAGCTCCTTTATTCCACGACCTCTCTCCTTACCCACAATGAAAAAGGATAATGATCGCAGATTTTTCAACCGCCCCATGCCAACTGGATATCTTCCATCTCCATGCCAATACTCAAAATGAATATGTCTCAAGTTGATCAAATTTTGCAGTTCCTTGGGAAACTCTTCAAGTTTGAGGTCATGCATTCTTAACGTCTGTAGGTTATAAAGCTTGCCAATAGATTGGGGGAGCTTTTTGATATATGTTGCTGAAATATCTAGATACCTCAAGTGTTTCAACTTTCCAATTGAATTTGTCAACTCATCAATATCATACTCCTGTAATTTTAAGACACGCAAACCTTTAAATCTTGGTAAGATGTTATAAAGAACTTCACATTTCAAAAACATTGAGCGCACTTTATGAACAATTCCTTTTGGAATATTTTGTAGATCTATGGTTGAATTCTGCGGCACATGTCGAATCTCATTGGAGCCCTTGGTCTTTGATTTTGAGACATCTTCTGCAAGATCATGCACAAGATCGTGCATCTTGCAGTGGGTAATCACATTATTGTCATCCTTTCTAACATCTTGAAAAAAAGAATTCTCCAACAGAATATTGAAATATTGATTTCCTACATCCTCCATCTCTCTATCACTATTTTTGGGAGAAGGGTGAAGCAATCCTTGAGCTATCCAAAGTTGAATCAAGTCATCTTGTTCAATTTCAGAATCTTTGATGAACATTGAGCAGCAGGCAAAACATTGTTTCAAAGTTGGTGATTTCAATTCATCAAAACTCAACTTCAAAACCGATGATATTTTTTTTTCTTCTTCAGGTAAATCCCATATTGTACTTTCTTGAATTACCCGCCAACCATCAATTTCTTTGGACCGCATCATACTTCCCAAAACCTGTTGGTATATGAGTTTGAATCACAATTAAATGATATAATCGTCTCTAGGCTCTGTTTAGTTATGAGAAACAGTGTACGTATGCTAGAATGGAATGTAAAATAGAAAGAACTCCTTATACAATATTTTCCTTTAAAAATTAATATAGCAAACAAAATTATTGATGTCCAGTGGAAAGCAAATAACAATAAGTAGAAAGCAAGCGAAAAATTCACAATGGATAAACATACCTTTGCAACTAATGGAATACCTCCACACTTTTTGGCGATGTCCCTTCCAATTTTCTCTTGTTCTTCATTTAAGTTAGGAGCACTCTCATTTGGAAATGCTCTATCCTTCAAAATGTCCCAACATTGATTGTCTGACAGTTTTTCCAAGTCGCACCATTTGGAAGAAAGTGTGTGCACGATTTTTGCAACCCTCACACTCCGGGTAGTAACAATGATTTTGCTTCCTTGGGTATCTTCAATACTTAACAAACAACTCATCAAGTCATTCCATTTGTCAGAATCTTCGTTCCACACATCATCCAGTATGAGCAAATATCTTTTCCCTTTCAGATCTTCTTGAAGAATTTTGATTATTGCATCCTTGTCTTGCATACCGGCCCGTTTAAAATGTTCCAAGATCTTGCTTAAAATTGACTTGACCTCAAAAGGAATAGATACACATATCCATATTTTTTCAGTGAAGCGTCTGCCTATCTCATCTTGATGATATACAGATTTAGCCAAAGTTGTTTTTCCCAAGCCGGCCATTCCCACAATGGCCATCACGGGCAGATTTTCATTCTCTCGAGTATTCCTTGAGTTGATCAAGGTTGCAACTATCTCTGACACAAGCTTCTCCCTTCCAACAATGTTCTTTTCATCTTGTTTAAAGATGGAGACAGTTTCCCTGTCAACTACAATCTCATGAGAGGAGGTTGCATTTGGGATCCTACCTACTAGCCCAATACTAGCTGCCTCATTCTTCAGAGTCACCAAGGATGCATTGATTTTCTCAATTTTCCGCCCCATTTTCCAACGAAACACAATAGTATTGTGGTGTGAAAAGAAATTGAACATTTTTTTCTTCATTTGGTCTTGCACTTCTACCTCACGGCGGAGAAGTTCATATCCGTAGTCATCCAACACATCATCAGCATCATAAGCTATGTCTTCAAGATCCTTCACCCACCTTTCCACAGCCTTACCCCGACCTTGTGATTGTTCGGCATCTTGTAGCATATCTTGAATCCTTGATAATAATTCACGCAGCTTTGTCACCTCTCCTTGGAATCCCCATAGAAGACGGAATTCATGTTCGGCAAGTGAAGCAACTTTCTTCACTATTTCCTGGACACCGAAAGTAACAACTTCTTCCATCTTTCTTTCTCTCCTCCTCACTGCACAATCTAGACAATTAAAGAAAGAAGAGATCAATCAATGCTCAATCAGTCTGAAAAACTAGCTAGGATGAGCTACAACAAGACATATATAGTCGTAATTAAAGTTTCATTGTGTGGATAGATAGTGGAGGGATAGATTTCCTCCATTGTGGCTAAGTTTCAATCTACGAGCTGATGTATCATTAAAATGTCATATCAAGGGCCCGTATAGCAGCACACTAAACACCACACACTCAGAAGAATCTCACTTAAGGTGCTGCTATCTCAATTCAAACCAATCACGCATTGGGGACCACGTGAGATATCGCCATATCCATATAACACGTGTCAGATCAAATGCAAAAATCTCTCATTAAAAAAAAATTTAAAAATAAATTGATGAGTATGGTGCATAATAAACAACAATGGTAAAGTTGGTCCTATATATAATTAGTAATTACTGCTAAAAAAATTAAAAAGGTAATAAAATGTTACATCTTTTAATGCATTTTCTCGTAATGACCTCCATGTAGTTGGAAGCAACTTAAGTGAGAAATCCATCCTGATCAGTCATTGTCAACTTAAATATGTAACAAATTTTGACTATTTAAACATAAATATGTGAGAAGTGAGAAGGAACCGCCAGAACATACACCTGCTTAGTGGTTTACATGATTGAAAAAGCCAAGTCACTCATGAATATGTTGCGTATGATCTCATTTGATATTTGAATCAACTATTTCCCTTATTTTATTATTTCAACGGTTATCCTTACAAAAATGAAACAATATGTAAAAATGTTTCATCCTCATCCTATCCAACAATTAGAAAATAGAAATGATATAATGTAAGATGTTTATAACAATCCAAGATTGCCCATATTACTTTGTCCAATTATTTGAACCGTCAATTTTCTAAATCTTATTTCAACATTCATCCTCACGAAACAAAATCCAACATCTAATACATGACCCTGTTTACCTTTTTAATCTAGACAATTAAAGAAAGAACAGATCAATGAATGCTAATTCAGTTTGGAAAACTGGCTATACGGTATTTATAGACAAAGGTGAGATCTGAATCTAAACCTGCATACAGTATTTATGGTGTAGTGTTGTAATTAAATTAGGCTTAAGTCGAAATTAGCTTATTCTTCCTGACCAATAAGTCGTAATTAAATTTGAACGTCATAAGGCTGACTTCAAAGGCTAATAATTTAGAAGCTGTCACGCCCCGGACCCGGGGGTAGGTGAAAATCCCGCGCCCGGCGCGTGAGAAAATAAAATAAAAATAAAATAAAAAGAAAGTTGAAATAGGGTTTAAAATAAACTTCTCTTATAAAAATAGCTCCAAAATCTTACAACTTTACAAGAAATAAATAAAACCCTACTACTCTCATTTAATTCAGCCTCAATCGATTTAGTCCTCGTCTTGCCCACTAATTCATCTGAAAAGTTAAACAGGGTGAGGGATGAGCAACCACAGCTCAGTAGGGACATGAGACCTTACCACAGTAGATTGATATAAGTAAATTAAGTGACATGCAATCATGCAACCAAATATCACATTATTAATAATAATGCATGAATCTTCTTCATATATTCCCGTTAATTCATATAACTGGACAAGCAGACCAGCACGTCCCATACCATGCTTATACCACTTGGACCCCAATGCCCATTTATATGAACTAACACCCATCTTAATCATCCCGTAATTCCCCTTTTGCTAGTCATCTTGTCTACACCATTGATCTCTAAGCCCAAATCACCCAATCTACAATTATACCGCCGATTTCATAATCTACTGTGCACACGGGCTCGCCTGGACTTGGTCCCTACAATGGTTAGACTCAACTACACAAAAGATCATTCCCATTACCCTCTTTTCCATCATTATTTTCTCAACCCAATAACTCCAACCAATTACTATGACATGATATAATTATGCCAATATTATTCAAATAGTTCACAATACGTAAATATCTCATATCAAGAACATTATACAATTATAGAGCTCATGAAATCTAATTAAATCAATCTTCTGTAAAGACCCTCAAGAAATCCTTACCTCGATTCCAAAGCATTGCTCCAATTTAAGAAAATACAAGCTAAGCCCTATATCTCCTCAAAGAATTTCATCATCATCATCATCATCTCTCTCTCTCTCTCTCTCTCTCTCTCTCATGTTACATGTTTGTTATCTTTGGAAGTAGTAGTAAAACAACTTGTAAGCTTCCTATTTAAAAATTTCGTCCTCGAAATTTACCAACACTTAATTAAGAAAATCTACTCCTAAAGATCTTTGTCATTAACTTCTTTAAATTCAAACCTATATGTTCACACTAATCTTCTACCACAGTTCCCAAGGGTGTCTAATCCCTATGCTCTGATACCATTTTGTCATGCCCCGGACCCGGGGGTAGGTGAAAATCCCGCACCCGGCGCGTGAGAAAATAAAATAAAAAGAAAGCTGAAATAGGGTTTAAAATAAACTTCTCTTATAAAAATAGCTCCAAAATCTTGCAAACTTTACAAGAAATAAATAAAACCCTACTACTCTCATTTAATTCAGCCTCAATCGATTTAGTCCTCATCTTGCCCACTAATTCATCTGAAAAGTTAAACTGGGTGAGGGATGAGCAACCACAGCTCAGTAGGGATATGAGACCTTACCACAGTAGATTGATATAAGTAAATTAAGTGACGTGCAATCATGCAACCAAATATCACACTATTAGTAACAATGCATGAATGCTCTTCATCTAATCCCGTTAATTCATATAATTGGACATGCAGACCTGCACGTCCCATACCATGCTTTTACCACTTGGTCCCGAATGCCCATTTATATGAACTAACACCCATTTGAACTGTCCCATAATTCCCCTTTTGTTAGTCATCTTGTCTAACTCCCTTTCGCCAGTCCCGAATCACCCAATAAAAATCATGTGCACTGTGGGATCCCTGAGACCTGGTACCTGCCAAGAGTTAGACTCAACTACACAAAAGACTATTTCCATTACCCTCTTTTTCCACCATTATTTTTCTCAACCCAAGAACTCCAAATAATTTCCATGACATTATATAGTTCACATATCTCATAAAAACAATGTAATCATTTAAATATCACCAATGTACACATAATCATGCCCACATTGTTCAAACAGTTAAGAGTACGTAAACACCCAATACAAGGAACGTAAATCAAACAATACCATGCATAATATAATGCTCACGAAATTTAATTAAATCAATCTCTGTAAAAGGCCCCCAAGAAACCCCTACCTCGATTCCAAAGCATTGCTCCAATTTAAGAAAATACAAGCTAAGCCCTATATCTCCTCATCATCATCATCATCATCATCATCATCTCTCTCTCTCTCTCTCTCTCTCTCTCTCTCTCTCCTCTCTCTCTCTCTCTCTCTCTCTCTCTCTCTCTCTCTCTCTCACGTTACATGTTTGTTATCTTTGGAAGTAGTAGTAAAACAACTTGTAAGCTTCCTATTTATACTAGAATAAAGTCGGCAACTATCCTTCTATCATTGGTTAATACTCTTGGCGGCAACAATATAGGATAACAACAACTTTGAAGTTATCTTTAATCTTGCAATGTCCCGCCACCTAGCAAGAATGGTAGCACCAACTCTAGCTATCAAACTCTTGATCCAACACCTCATGCTAATGAGTCCACCTCATGCTTCTTACCAAATATCCTTTAAGACTTACCTCCTAAGGTTTCAATAAAATAAAATTCATGATAAGATAGATTTATTCAAATCTATCTATCACTCAACGTGCACACTACCATGCAAATAATATGGGTTCTTATATATATATATATATATATATATATATAAACTAATAGTGAAAATTGCACACACATATATAATGAATATAACAACATATATATAATATAAATTAAATGGCAAAATATTAAATCTTCAACCTATATAATTTTATAAATACGGGGTTTCACAGAAGCCCACCCAACAAACTAAGTTGTCGGTTGGCTGAATTATTACATGCCAAAATTGTGGATAGATTTCCTCCATCGTGGCATGACTGACCACCAAGTGATGAGGCAGAAAAAAAATATACAAATTTATAAATAAACCAAATCCTAGACATGTATTTATAAAAAAAACCCAAGCACTATTTAAACATAAAAACACACCCAAAATCAACCCCAAAATTAACAATTGTATATTTTTTGGGTGTGTTTATAAATGGGTTTTAAGTGTGTGTAATGATGGGTTTTGGGTGTGTTTATAAAGTGTTTTGGGTGTTGGGTTTTTTTTATAATTTCAGCCCCCATTTTGGGTGTTTTAGTGAAACTCTCAAAAAAATATGTTTAGACTTTCATCCTAAACCCTTTCCCACGCCATTTACCAGGAAGATTCCTTTTTCATGTTTAATTAGAAATTCTTTTCACGATTTTCCTCTTAGTTTCCAACTCAAAACATAGATTTTTTTATGAACGGGGGAGAAAAAGCCTCAATGTTCCTTTATTTCATAAATGTTAGTTTTTATAAAAACTTTTAAAAGAAATTGCAAAAAAGTCATTTAAATAGACTTAAATGCTCTTAAAGCTAAAACTCATATAAATTAATAAAAGAAAGTTAGTCAGACAAACAAATATATCCCAGATTCTTGGTCCTCATTGAAGCAACTATAGCTATGGAAGCTCATATTTGTGGAAGCGATGCTGATGATAGTTGATTGATCAAACATTCACGAAATTGCACTTAGTTAAAATGTATATTCTTTGCTACCACGTTTTTCTTAATCGATGATGTAATCTAGGAAGAGGGGGCAAAAATCATGCAAATATGACTTGAGAGGACCAAGTTTTAAGATAATTCGAAGGAAAAGATGAATGATTTAGCTACATACTTTTTATAAAAACTCGACAAACATAAATCTTTTTATTTATGAAAATAAAAAATAAAAAATCAAGTGCAAACAGTGTTACTAAAAAGCCCCGTTTTATTATTTGTCTGGCAAAAGAATCATTTTCTGGAAGATGATATGAGAAAGAAAAATGAGAACGATGCTGAAGAGAAGTGCAAGGGCAGAAGTAAGTGAGACAATTAATGCATTAACAGTATGAGAGGGTAAAAGGGGAAAAGGACTTTTGTTGGTTTTAAATGTTTTTAAAATTGTATAACCACTTGGCCCGAAGCGACTGTAGTTAGCATTTGGCTCCAACTCGGCCGGCAGAAGAAATTAATTTATTTTATTATAGAGTCACAATACCATCGAAACGACGACATATGTGTATGCACTTTTTACTGATCAATATTTCTTACACTTCAGGCTTAAGGCATTGAGGTCCAAATGCCCAACAAAGCCAATCTAATCACAAAGGGACTTGACCTTAGTTCTCAACAGAAGACTCGAATTACACCCAAAACTAGAACCCATTCTAAATTGAGACTATCGCACTCCAAAAAGGCTTACTATGATAATTGTTCAAGAATTCTATAGTGATGGTCTTAGGCCCTTAGATGAGACCTTATATATTAATCATTGGAACACAATGGTTAACCATTTGATCAATAATGGTTCCCCATATAATGACTCCATAATTGTTCCCCATATAATGACCCATATGATATGAGCAGGGCCACAAAACCTAGGGAGAAAGTTTTTGCTTGAGCGGATTCTTGACAAAGAATTGTCCCATGCAACTGAATCTCCCAAAAAATCTGAAGGTACAAATTGGAAAGACAATGAAAAATCAACATTAATGAGCCTGTTTCCAAACAACGAGTGCAACTTTAGTGATATCTTGAAAAAGAAAGCAACACGAAACAAGCTAAGGTCTATGCATACCTTTCCTCGTAGCATCTTCCAAGCTTGCAATGATTTCCAAACCAAAAATAATTGAAAAGGGTTGAGCTGATTAGAAAACTGCCAAAATTGATTGAATATCTCCGTCCCGAAATATGGTTCCCACTGAGAATTTGAGAATTTGCTTTATTCATTTGCTGACCAGAATTCAGACCATGCTCATACCCCTTCAAGTAGTAGATTTTGATGCCTATATTAGTATAAAATATGTATACCTGTAGCAATTGGAGTGCCTTCCCCAACCTTCACAACAACACTAGAGCAACCAACATCCCAGAACGCTGTTAGAGAGAGGATATAGAAATAAATAATAATTTGAATAGAAAACAAAAACAAGTAATTCTCATGAACTGCTGTCACTTGATATCATCTGTGCATTACCTAAGTAAATAACCAGGTGGGAGGAAGGGAACTCAAGTACCTGGCCTCTGTTTTCCCCCAGTTGAGAGTGAAAAGCTCCTTCAAATTATGCCAACATAATAATAATAGATGCCCCTGCATAAGCAACATGCTGAGGAAACAGAGGCTGGCGAAGAGTATAAGTATAATAATGCATTGGGCATTAGGAATTGTTTGTACCTCATAATTAGAATGAAAATAATTTTGCAGAAACATAGCATCAATCTGCCTCACTAACGCCTGTCTCTCAATAAAAACTAATAAAAAACAACTTTGGTCAATGCCGAAGGAAAGAAATAATGACAGGGACAAACAATATTTTATTTTTTCAGAGATGATTTAGAAAGAAAATGGTACCTTTAGAAGAGTGAATGGACTTGAGTTGAACATTTTTATGGATACTTTGGAAGATTATTGAATTTGAGTTTTGGGTTCCATCCAGATTGACAAACCTTGCATATTTCAGGACCATTTTACACGGTCAACTGCAGAAATTTAAATATAAATACGTTACAAGCTTACGCATACATGGTATCATGAAACCTTGAATACAAGATAAAAGAAAAGAAAATAGAATACATTATGCATGCATAGTTGATTTAGGAACCAAAAAGGGAAATAAAAACCTACCACGGATTGTTGAAATGTGTGAAATCTTGTGCCATTCTGGACCGATGTTCTTGATGCATCTTTCTTTTAGAAGAGGACAATGGTAAATGTGTATGTGCTGTAATTTGGTGAGGCACTGCATAGCTTCAATTGTAGGTAGATACATCAGATTCTTGGACATGGATATAAATAGGCACTCAAGAGATGTAAGGTTTCTCAACCACTCTGGAAGAGCCTCCATTCCGTCAAAGGAGTATATTTCCAAATATGTCAGGGAAGTGAAGTGTTGAACTTGTTCAGGAAGAGAGTTCAGCTTTGGCCAACCGTACAAGGTTAATTCTTCAAGTTGTGGGATAACGTGAAAAGCAGGAAATGAATCAAGCTCCTTCCAGAACCCGCCAACTTCCAATTTTATCAAGCGAGTGAGGCTGTAGTGTGAGGATGCTAACGCACTAGGTACACTTTTTAATACATCACACTCGTATATCGCCAACTTACGGAGGTGTGTGAGGCTGTCTAAACTTGGAATAGTTTCGAGATTCGGGCAATAGCTTATCGACAATATCTCAAGAGAGGTACATGATTCAAGCGCAGATAATAGAATTTTCCCAGAAATTCTGTACAAGCTCAATTGACGGAGGGATGTAAAGCCATGTAAAGTTTGAACAAACTCTACACTGGTACAATATTCAATTGTCAACTTCTGAAGAGAGGTACAATATTCTAACCCACTCGGTAGGCTTGATAATTGTGCACACCATGAAATCTTTATTTCGCGAAGGAATGGGAGGCCCTGTGTAATTGGAATGGAGATTATTTTGGAGCATTTTCTAATCGTCAACATTTGAAGAGAGGTGCAGTATTCTAGCCCCTCAGGTAGACTGGGTAGTTGAGGACAGAACCAAACGGAAAATTCACAGAGAGATGTGAGGCCGTATGTAACGGGAATGCACTCCAGACTTTTGCAGTTCTCAATAATCAACTTTCTAAGAGAGAGTAGAGTGTGTAGGCCATCAGGCAAAGTCCTAAGATTAGGACACTTGGAAATACGCAGTTCCTCCAGAGATGCACAACATCCGAATACATCGTCAACAATACAAGTTAACTCTGGACAATCCTTTATCTCCAAATATGAAAGATTCTTGTTGCGTTTTAACATCCCTTCCGGCAGATGAGTAAGTCTCCTTATCTTCTTTATTATGAGACAAGTAAGAGTGGTCAGATGGGTGCTTATATTAGATATTGGCATGCCGCTATCCATGGACTCTATCTCCAACTTTTGGAGACATGGAAAACGAGTGGGAGCACTTGTCAATTGATCGCAATTCCTCAACAACAGCTCCTCAAGCCGAGGAAACAACACTATTGTTCCTTCTGTTGGCCATGCTGCAATTTCCGTCCATTCAATTAGGTACCTTGCTTTATCAATTGTTAATCTTTTCAATGCATCAAACAAATAACCACTCATCATCCATGATGGAAATTTATCCCCGCTAAACTTGCAAATCTCTAACAGTTCCAATTCAGAGGGCGGTTTAAGGTCTTCTAGTACATCCCTGTCAATGTTGATGGCGCTTGACCTGTTTCCCTGCCATTCAAACCTTAGTTTGCGTATGTTTGTCTTCTCCGCTAACTTTGCTTTCTTGCTTCTTCCCCATCTGTCACATGTTGCAAATCATAAATAGATAATTCGCCTTTCAAATGCTTTAAGCCAGCCAACTCCTCTATTCCACGACCTCTCTCCTTACCCACAATGAAAAAAGATAATGATCGGAGATTACTCAACCGCCCCATATCAACTGGAAATTTCATAGGATCCTTATCAAAATAAACATGCCTCAGGTTCATCAAATTTTGCAGTTCTTTTGGAAACTCTTCAAGATTGAGATCATCCATTCTTAGTGTCTGTAGATTGTAAAGCTTGCCAATAGATTGGGGGAGCAGTTTGATCTTTGTTTTTGAAATATCTAGGTACCTCAAGTGTTTCAACTTCCCAATTGAAATTGGTAACTCATCAATATCAGCTTTCTTTAAATTTAAGATACGTAAACCTTTCAAGCTTGGTAAGATGTTACCAAGATCTTCACCGTTCGAAAAGACTGAGCGCAATTTATGAACACTTCTTTTTGGAATTTCTTGTAGTAGTGAGGTAGAAATTTGAGACATATGTCGAATTCCGTTGGATCCCATGCTCTTTGATACATGTTCTGCAAGATCATGCACAAGATCGTGCATTTTGCAATGGGTAATCACATTATAGCCATCCTTTGCAACATCTTGAAAGAACGAGTTCTGCAATAGAATATTAAAATATTCATTTCCTATGTCCTCCATCTCTCGATTACTGCTTGTGGGAGAAAGGTGAAGCAACCCCTGAGCCATCCAAAGTTGGATCAAGTCATCCTTTTCAATTGTAAAATCTTTGATGAACATTGAGCAATATGCAAAACATTGCTTCAAAGATGCTGATTTAAGTTCATCAAAACTCAACTTCAAAACCGACAATATTCTTTGTTCTTCTTCTTGCAAATCCCATATTGTACTTTTCTGAATTGACTTCCATCCATCACTTTTTTGGAGCGCATCATACTTCCCAAAACCTATTGGTACATGAGTTTGAATCACAATTAAATAACAATAGGGTAAAAGAAAAATAAGCACAATATACAATCAGCATATTAATTGAACATGACTATAGTACAATACAATGAAGATTCTGTGAGCAAGAGATTCCTGATGCCTTTTCATGTAAGTGTTCAAGTGTGTGTGTGTGTGAATTCCTTAAATTTGTTTACACAAACTGCTCAAAGGAGGCAAAGACTGCCTTGCACCTATGGATGAGAGATGCTAACGGGGGGAGATTATTGTTGGGACTTGTCAGCAGCATATATGTATATATAGCTATTAGCTAGGACAGCGGCGTCAGTTTATACAGCTAGTCTGCAGAAACCTAGAACTTTGCTAGGTCTGATTGGAACACCTCTACTAAGCAAGCTAATCGTGTAATATATGTTAGTTTGCATACTTATGCTTATTTTCTTATTGTCAGTTTCTATTGTTGCCACTTCTGTAAGTTGTCAAGAAATGAACACGACAAATTGACAGCTTCGCAAAAAAAAATATAATAAATTGAATAAACATACCTTTGCCACTAATGGTACACCTGCACACTTTTTGGCGATGTCCCTTCCAATTCTCTCTTGAGCTTCATCTAAATCTAAAGGAGCACTCCCATCAGGAAATGCTCTGTCCTTCAAAATGAGCCAACATTGCTGGTCTGATAGTTTTTCCAAATCACACCGAGGAAGTGTTTGGGACGGTTGATGCAACAGTCACACTGCGGGTAGTGACAATGATTGTGCTTCCTTGAGTATCTTTAACACTTAACAGACAACTGATCAAATTATCCCATTTCTGAGGATCATCATTCCAAACATCATCAAGCACCAGAAGATACCGTTTCCCTTTCAAATCTTCTTGGAGGTTTTCACATATTGTTGACTTGCTTCGTATCCCAGCTTTTTCTGGTTTAAGTTTTTCCAAGATCCCGCTTAAAATCTTCTTGACTTTAAAAGGGGTGGATACACATATCCATATTTTTTTGTCGAAGTGCCTACTGATCTCCCGATGATGATATATAGATTTAGCCAAAGTTGTTTTCCCCAACCCTCCCATTCCCACAATGGGCATCACCGAGAGATAGTTCTCTTGGTAATTGCTTGAGTTGGTCAAGGTTGTAACTATGTGTGACACAACCTCCTCCCTTCCAACGATGTACTTTTCATCTTGAGCAAAGCTGGAGACGGTTTCCCTGTCAAGTAGTGCTACTCCTCTATGAGAAGTTTCAGGTCCGAATCTCGATGACCTAGCAACAAGCCCAATGCCAGCTGCCTTGTTATTCAAATTTTCCAAAGCAGCGTTCACCTTCTTAATCTTATGTGCCATTTTTAGGCGAAATGCAACTGGATTGTGGAGTGAAAAGAAGTTGCTCAAGTTCTTCTTCATTTGCTTTTGCACTTCTACCTTACGCCGGAGAAGTTCATATCTGTATTCATCCAGCACATCATCAGCCTCATGAGCTATTTCTTCAAGCTTCTCCACCCACATGCCCACCGCCTCGGTCCTTCCTTTAGATTGTTCGGCATCTCGCAACACAGCTTGAGCCATGGACAGCGAATCACGCAGCTTTGTGACCTCTCCTTCGAAGCCCCACAGAAGACTCAAGTCTTGAGCGGCAAGTGAAGCCACTTTCCTCAGTGTTTCCTGGACACCAAAAGTAACAACTTCTGCCATCTTTCTATCTCTTCTCCCCACTGCTCAAACAAGACGAAAGAACAGATCAATTAATGCTCAGTCAGTTTGGAAAACTAGCTACAACAAAGATCTGAATCTCAATTAGCGTATTCTTCCTGACCAATAAGTCGTAATTAAATTTGAACGTCATATGGCTGACTTCGAAGGCTAATAATTTAGGAGCCCACCCAACAAACTAAGTTGTCGGTTGGCTGAATTATTATTACATGCCAAAATTGTGGATAGATTTCCTCCATCGTGGCAAGACTGACTACCAAGCGATGAGGCCGAAAAAAAATCTATTTAGACTTTCACCCACGCCATTTGCCAGGAAGATTCCTTTTCTATGTTTAATTAAAAATTATTTCACTATTTTCCTCTTAGTTTCTAACTCAAAACAAAGATTTTTTTTTATGCACGGGGAGAAAAAGCCTCAATTTTCCTCAATTTTCATAAATATTAGTTTTTATAAAAAACTTAAATAAAAAAATAGCAAAAAAGCCACTTAAATAGACTTAAATGCCCTTTAAACTAAAACTCATATAAATTAATAAAAGAAAGTCAGTCAGCCAAATTCTTGGTCCTCATAGAAGCAACTATAGCTATGGAAGCTCATGTTGGTGGAAGCGATGCTGATAATGGTTGATTGATCAAACATTCACAAAATTGCACTTAGTTAAAATGTATATTCTTTGCTACCACGTTTTTCTTAATCGATGATGTAATCTAGGAAGAGTGGGCAAAAATCATGCAAATAAGACTTGAGAGGACCAAGTTTTAAGATAATTCAAAGGAAAAGATGAATGATTTAGCTACTTTTGATAAAAACTCGACAAACATAAATCTTTTTATTTATGAAAAAAAAATAAAAAAAATCAAGTGCAAACAGTGTTACTAAAAAGCCTCGTTTTATTATTTGTCTGGTAAAAGAATCACTTTCTGGAAGATGATATGAGAAAGAAAAATGAGAACGATACTGAAGAGAAGTGCAAGGGCAGAAGTAAGTGAGACAATTAATGCATTAACAGTATGAGAGGGTAAAAGGGGAAAAGAAGGACTTTTATTGGTTTTAAATGTTTTTAAAATTGTATAACCACTTGGCCAGAAGCAAAGGGAGTGAATCTAGAAGCGACTATAGTTAGCATTTCTCTTGTTATATGTTGATTTGTTTGTAATCGTATCATCACAGTATGATTATGATATACATCGCGTGGAAGTTCTTTTGGCAAGGCACCTTGACCTTGACACGGAAAGAAATGAAATAAAAAAAAAAAAAAAAAAAAAAAAAAAAAAAAAAAAAAAAAAAAAAAAAGGTTAAAACACAAAAACAAAATATTGCTTCGCTTCCTCAAGGTTTCTATGAATCTATAGACGAACTTATATTATAAAGAATGTGTATACATATAGCATGCAATAATTATATATAGATTTCTCTTTCATGATCATCATTGACCGACTTGTGATATTTATCTCTACTTTTTTTTATGGAATCGCGTCGGGCACGAGCAATACTTGTTTGTATATTTCCTTTTCAAAGCCCGCCACCAAACCTTGTCGAATAATATTAAACAATGCATGGAATGGAGGAGGAAGCTGCCCTTTGTATATCTCCTTTTCGAAGCCCTCCGCCAAACCTTGTCGAATCATATTAAACAAAGCGTGGAGGAGGAAGGTGTAAGTTTCAGAGTCAAATTGTGAATCTGATATATAGGAAACATTTGGCTCCTACTCGGCCGGCAGAAGCAATTAATTTATTTTATTATAGAGTCACAATACCCTCGAAACGACGACATATTTGACTTGCCTTTGTGTATGTACAGAAACAGGATGTTACTCTTACTAGGACCCGCTACTAGAATTCCACACCTTGCTGCTTGCCAAACAACGAATGTCACGCATGTAAAGTTTGTGCTAATTACTGGCTGAGAACAAAAGGTGACAACTTGTAAATCTTCTCATGATGATACGTAGATAATAATACTTTGTATTAAGATCATGGATATATGGCAACGGTATCCTGTTCAAAAGAAAGCTTCCAGTCTCGCCGGAAACCCTCCACTCCATGTACAACTCTATTATCTTAAGACCTGCCTAGAATGTGGTGGAAGCAACTTATAGATCAAAAGTCCTACTTTTTCTGTAAGAAAATTGTAGGGGGCGTTTAATATCCTATTCAAATAGGAAACTCAAAAACTTTAAGTTTTCTTAAAAATAAGGAGTTCTTAAATCTATTTTTAAGATTCAAAAACTTGTTTGGTATGCAACTTGAAAACTGTATTCAAATATTAAAAATTTGAGAACTTGTGGGTTGTTAAAAATAACTGAAAAAACAGATTTTTTTTGTTTTAATAATTGGGGTTTTTTTTTGTTGTTCTTGAGTTTGAGTTTTTAAAAATAGGGCTACCAAACAAGTTTTCTTTATTTTGGACTCAAATTCTGTTTTTGAGTTTAAAAGATTGGATTCAAGTTGAATACCAAACATGCCTAGTAACTTTGAAAAACACTCCTTGTAGCCATAAGCAGCCAATGTTATTACAAAGTGCCCAATACGTTATCAGGGCCTGATTTAAGAGAGCTAAATATCACACTATTTGGACTAATTATTTGAACCAACTATTTTTTAAAATCTTATTTCAACGTTCATCCGTACAAAAATTAAACAACATGTAAAATTGTTTCATCCTCATCTAATCCAACAAAAAGAACATAAAAAAAAAATATAATGTAAGATGTTTATAACAATCCAAGATTGCCCAAACCAGATTTTAGCTGTCACAATTTGAATGAAGATGTGGAATAATATGAAAATTTAATCGAACCATACTCGAAAATGTTTGAAAATTAGCCAAGAACGTTCAACAACATAAACTTCAAGTTCACCAAAGTACATGAACCTGCTTGCCCTTTTAACTTTTGTTTTAGCCTTAAAATTTCTGTCCAATCAAATATTATTGCAAAAGAACTCCAAGTAAATTTCAAGACAGTCCTAAGAATTTACTGAAAAATGTAAACCCGTCACTGTGCTGTGCATATATTCACCCTTCCTACTCTGTTACTTGAAAAGAAATGCAAGCAGAAGCTGTATAAAGAAAAAGTACACACTCTAATAGATGCCGCTGCATAAGCTGATAAAGAAAAGATACAACAAGGCTGGGGAAGAGTACAAGTATAATAATGCACTGACAATTGGGAATTGCTTGTACCTTATAATTACAATCTGCAATCTGCACCCCATGATCAACACCTGTCTCTCAACCAACCGATCAAAGACAACTTTGGTCAATGCTGCTTGTGGAAAGAAAAAATGATGGGCATTGGCAAACAGAGTAAATATTCTTTGTAGAGATGATTTAGAAAGAAAAGTGGTACCTTTAGAATAGTGATTTCTTGATACTTTGGGAGATTAATGAATTTGAGTTTTAGTTCCATCCAGGTTCACAAATCTCCAATATGTTAGGACCATCACACAAACAACTACAGAGATTTAAACATAAATATGTTACAAACTTACACATGTCATATCTTTATAAATCATATGGTGTGTATGTATGTGTATTGGATGTACTAAATGTAGAGAACACTTGAAAACTCAGAGTTTAATTTGTTTTGGTTTTCAACTTCCAAGTGATTATAAATCATATCTTTATTTGAATGACTAAACTAAAATGCAAATAGAAGATAACAACCTAATCAATGATAAGTGAGAACGAATCGCACAAACATTTTTTCTTAGCGGTTTACATGATTAAACAAGTCAAAGGGAAAGTAAACAAAACAATTTAAAAATGTACTAAACAAAAAACAATCAAGTTAAGTTAGATAGGGCTTCTCTAGTAGGCCCAGTCCCAGATGTGATTTTGTTTAGTTGTGTTCGGGCTAGATTTTTTTAGACCCTAATTCACTTTTTTTTTTTTTTTAGTAAAGAGAAGAAAATAATTGATTTCAGAACCAAAGAAAACAAATAATAAAATTGAAAAACTTACCATAAGATGTTTGGAATATGCGAAATCTTGGGCCATTCTGGACCACTGTCTTTATTGCATCTCTCTTTCAGAAGAGGACAATTTCGAATATATATGTACTGTAATTTGGTGAGACATTTCATAGCTTCAAGTGTGGGTAGATACATCAGATTCTTGCACTTCCATATACTTAGGATCTTAAGAGATGCAAGATTTCCCAACCACTCTGGAAGAGCCTCCATGCCGTCGAAGGAGTGTATTGTTAAAGAAGTTAGACAAGTGAAGCATTGAACTTGTTTAGGCAGACAGCTGAGCTTCGGCCAACCCCACAAGCTTAATGTTTCAAGTTGTGGAATAACCTGAAAAACAGGGAAGGAATCGAGCTCCTCCCAGAACCAACCAATTTCCAATTCCTTTAACTGGGTGAGAGATGCTGCAAACGCATTGGGGGGTAAACTTTTTAATCCACCACAGCGACATATCTCCAACTCACGGAGTTGTGTGAGGCTGTCTAAACTTGGAATAGCTTCGAGATTCCAGCAATTTATTATTGACAAGTGCTCAAGAGAGGTACAATGTTGTAACCCATTTGGTAGGCTTGATAATTCAGCACAAAATGAAATCTTTAATTGGCGGAGGGATGGGAGGCCGTGTGTGATTGGAATAGCTTCGAGATTCCTGCAATGCCTTATTGACAAGTGCTCAAGAGAGGTACAATGTTGTAACCCACTCGGTAGGCTTGATAATTCATCACAATTTGAAATCTCTAATTTGTGGAAGGATGGGAGGCCGTGTGTGATTGGAATAGCTTCGAGATTCCCGCAAGAGTAAATAGACAAGTGCTCAAGAGAGGTACAATCTTGAATAAATACGCAGTGACTCAAGGGATGCGCAACAACCAAATACATCGGCAGCAATACAAATGAACTCAGGACAATCTCTTATCTCCAAATATGCAAGATTCTTGTTGTTTTTTAACATCCCTTCCGGCAGAGAAACAAGTCCCCTTATCTTCTTTATTGTGAGACGAGTAAGAGTTGTCAGTTGAGTGCTTATAATATTAGCTATCGGCATGCCGCTATTTCATGGAATCTATCTCCAACTTCTGCAAACATGGAAAATGATCTGTGGGAGCACTTCTCAATTGATCACAATTCCTCAACAACAACTCCTCAAGGCGAGAAAACACCACTCTTCTTTCTGTTGTTGAAAATACTGCAGCTTCTTCCGTCCTCCATTCAGTTAGGTTCTTTGCATTTTCAACAGTTAATCTTTTCAATGAAGAAAACAAATCTCCACACATCATCCAGGGTGGAAATGTCTCACCACTAAAGTTGCGAATCTCTAAACTTTCCAATGCAGAGTGCGGTTTAAGGCCTTCTAGTACATCCCTGTCATTATTGATGACCCTTGACCTGTCTTCGTCTGTCGACCATTCCAACTCTAGTCTACGTATGTTTGTCTTCTCCGCCAACTTTGCCTCCTTTGCTTCTTCTCCATCTCTCACATGCTTCAGATCAGAAATAGATAATTCGCCTTTCAAATGCTTTAAGCCACCCAGCTCCTTTATTCCACGACCTCTCTCCTTACCCACAATGAAAAAGGATAATGATCGCAGATTTTTCAACCGCCCCATGCCAACTGGATATCTTCCATCTCCATGCCAATCCTCAAAATGAATATGTCTCAAGTTGATCAAATTTTGCAGTTCCTTGGGAAACTCTTCAAGTTCGAGTTCATGCATTCTTAACGTCTGTAGGTTATAAAGCTTGCCAATAGATTGGGGGAGCTTTTTGACATTTGTTGCTGAAATATCTAGATACCTCAAGTGTTTCAGCTCTCCAATTGAATTTGGCAACTCATCAATATCAGACTCCTCTAATTTTAAGACACGCAAACCTTTAAATCTTGGTAAGATGTTATCAAGAACTTCACATTTCAAAAACATTGAGCGCACTTTATGAACAATTCCTTTTGGAATTTCTTGTAGATCTATGGTTGAATTCTGCGGCACATGTCGAATCTCATTGGAGCCCTTGGTCTTTGATTTTGATACATCTTCTGCAAGATCATGCACAAGATCGTGTATCTTGCATGTGGCAATAATAGTACCATAATAGTAATCCATTCTAACATCTTGAAAAAAAGAGTTCTCCAACAGAATATTGAAATATTGATTTCCCACATCCTCCATCTCTAGATCACTATTGTTGGGAGAAGGGTGAAGCAATCCTTGAGCCATCCAAAGTTGAATCAAGTCATCCTTTTCAATTTCAAAATCTTTGGTGAACATTGAGCAATAGACAAAACATTGTTTCAAAGTTGGTGATGTCAATTCATCAAAACTCAACTTCAAAACTGATGAGATTCTTTTTTCTTCTTCAGGTAAATCCCATATTGTACTTTCTTGAATTACCCGCCAACCATCAATTTCTTTGAACTGCATCATACTTCCCAAAACCTATTGGTATATGAGTTTGAATCACAAGTAAATGATATAATAGCGTAAAATAACTAAAATAACAATATGCTTTAAGCATTTTATTTACTCTGTTACTGTATTCAAAACCCCCTTCTCATATCTCTTATAAGAAAAACAATCCACCCTCAAGAAAATTAACAAATAAATTTGTAGTATGTTGATAACAAGTAGAAAATAAAATGGTATCTGCTATTTTTCAAGCACAAACATGAACCTAACACTACTACATTTTTCACTTTGCGCGACGAAGAAAATTTCGTCGCGCAAAATACATTATAGTCGCACAAATTTTAGCGCGACAGAAACTTCGTCGCGCAGATTCCGTCGCGCAAAGATCGTGGAGAAAGACTTTGCGTGACGAAATTTTTTCATTCGTCGCGCAAAGAGACTTTGCGCGACGAAAAAATATTGGTCGCGCAAAGTGACTTTGCGCGACGAAACATATTGGTCGCGCAAAGTAACTTTGCGCGACGAAAATATTGGTCGCGCAAAGCGACTTTGCGCGACGAAAAAATATTTGTCCCGCAAAGCCACTTTGCGCGACGAAAAATATTGGTCGCGCAAAACTTTGCGCGACGAAAAAATTTTAAAATTTTTTTAAAAAAAAATTCCCTCGTCCCATTTTTAGTACCCGCCCAAATTTTTAGAGTTTTGCGCGACGAATATTAATGTCGCGCAAATATTTGCGCAACGAAATATTTTGGTTTTTGACTTTTTGTTTTATTATTTCTTTAATATTAATTTAATTATATTAATTATTTCGAATTTTTAATTTTTAAATTAAATTTAATTGTATGATTTTTTCGTTACTTTAATTTAAATTGATATTAATTTAATTATATTAATTTATTCAAATGTTTACTTTTTAAATTTAATTTAATTACTTTAATTTAAATTGACATATTCAAAATAAAATTACATATGAAAAATAGTGATCAAATTATCCAATAAATATATATATAATATTCAAAATGTACACATAAATTAACAAAGTACAATAAATAAAAAAAGGGATAATCTCCCCTAAAATTGTTATACCACAAATCCAACCCAAACTCCAATCCCTCCCCTTTACTCAACCCCAAACCCCACACAAACTCAAAACTAACTCCAAAAACACATATTAATGAAAAAAAAATTAAAATTTGGAGAGAATCTACCTTTTGGCAAGATTGAGAGTGAGTGAGAATGAGAGAGAGAAATGAGTGTGAGAGAATTAGAGAAGATAGTGATAGAGAGATGAGAGAGTGAGTGAGAGTGAGAGATAGTGAAAAGAGAGATGAGAGAGTGAGTGAGAGTAAGAGATAGTGAAGAGAGAGATGATGAGAGATTAAGTGAGAGGAGTGAGAGTGAGAGAAATGGTGAGATTTGGGGAGAGGGAAAGAGAGAGGAGAGGAAAGAGTAGAGAAAGACATTGAGAAAATGATGGAGGAGTTATTTTTATTTTAAAAACCGTATCACTTTGCGCGACGAACGACATTGTTGGTCGCGCAAAGCTTTGCGCGACGAAAAATATATTGGTCGCGCAAAGTTTTGCGCGACGAATATTAGTATATTGGTCTCGCAAAGTCAAAAAAAAAAATCCCGCGTCCCATTTTTGGTACCCGCCCAAATTTTGAAATTTTTGCGCGACGAAAAATACATATTGGTCGCGCAAAGTCTAAAAAAATTAAATAAAAAATTCCCCGCGTCCCATTTTTGGTACCCGCCAAATTTTTGCGCGACGAAAATATATATTGGTCGCGCAAAGTCTAAAAAAAAATTTTTTTTTCCATCCCGCGTCCCATTTTTGGTACTCACCCCAAATTTTTAAAGTTTTGCGCGACGAATTGTTGGTCGCGCAAACTTTTGAGAGACGAAAAATTGGTTCATAGCACGATATTTATAAAAATAATTGTTATGAATAATAAATTTTTTTTTACGATTTAAAATATAAATAAGGTTAAAGCTACTTAATAAATGTATATACCAATTTCTTAAGTGTTATACGTACAAAATAAATAAATTTAAAGCTACTTAATAAGTAAATATATATATATATATACACACACCATTCAACGATCCAACCGTCAAACTTGTTTGTATATACTTCAAGATCGTATACCCCAAAAATTGTAAAAAAACAAACATTCGGAGACCTAGTAACGGGACAAAAAATTTCAACGGTTCTTAATGAAAAATCACGATTTAACGATTATTTTAACTCCGATTTTGATGATTTTTTACAGCTACACTCCTTGACCTTATATGAATACAATGAACTAATTCGATCGTCAATTTAAAATATTTACACTAGTGGATACCACAAAATCTTATGTTATACTTAACAAAAGTATAAATAAACTCTTAATTGTTAGTGAATATATTGTTTTGATGGCATACGCATTCAAAAAAACAAGTTTCAACGATCCAACCGTCAAACTTATTTGTTTATACTTCGAGATCATATACGCCAAAAATCGCAAAAAATAAACATTCAGAGATCAAGTAACGGGACAAAACTTTTCGACGGTTATAAATGAAAAATCTTGATTCAACGGTTATTTTAACTCCGATTTTGATGATTTTTTACCGCTACACTCCTTTACCCTATATGAATACAATGACTGAATTTGATCTTCAATTTAAAATATTTACACTAGTGGATACCACAAAATCTTATGTTATATTTAACAAAAGTATAAATAAACTCTTAATTGTTAGTGAATATATTGTTTTGATGGCATACACATTCTATGAAACTAGTTTGAACGATCCAACCGTCAAACTTGTTTGTTTATACTTCGAGATCATATACGCCAAAAATCGCAAAAAATAAACATTCAGAGATCAAGTAACGGGACAAAACTTTTCGACGGTTATAAATGAAAAATCATGATTCAACGGTTATTTTAACTCCGATTTTGATGATTTTTTACCGCTACACTCCTTTACCCTATATGAATACAATGACTGAATTTGATCTTCAATTTAAAATATTTACACTAGTGGATACCACAAAATCTTATGTTATATTTAACAAAAGTATAAATAAACTCTTAATTGTTAGTGAATATATTGTTTTGATGGCATACGCATTCTATGAAACTAGTTTGAACGATCCAACCGTCAAACTTGTTTGTTTATACTTCAAGATCATATACGCTAAAAATCGGAAGAAATAAACATTCAGAGATCAAGTAATTGGACAAAACTTTTCGACGGTTATAAATGAAATGACAGGACCCGCCCCGAATTTCCCGGAACCCGAGACGAACCCTGCGGAGACCCCGGCATCACACCCACGCCGGGTTTACTCCTTAAATCTACGTCCTCGTTCACCATAGAGGATTAAGGGCACGAGACTTTCTGCCGAAATTTCGGCAGAGTCTCCCCTGTAAATTGAACATTCCCCAAAATTTCCACCTGCATAAAACACATTTTATAACCCAACCAGCAGCACGCACAATATACTCTCATGCAATTTACATAAATGGCCTCCGGCCTTCAAATGATTCTAACAGAACTGCCCACACTGTTTTCAAAATAACTTAATGCATCACACATGCATATAACCAATTCAAATCCATCCATACACACCTTCACTCACTCAGTCCACCGGACAAGCCTCAATTCAACCAAGTTTCGGGACCAACCACGAGGTCCGCATCATACTCGATAAAACCACCTAAGTGGTGTCTAGGTCGTGGCTGCACCTAGGCGCTATCCCAGGCTGCCTACGTACCCTACTAAGGGATCAAGCCACACGTAGCTCTTTCCTATCAATCCTGGCTCCTGATATCAATTAAACCATCACATCACACCAAACACAACCACATAGCTCCCCTCATACGTCGGGACGCACCCGGCCACGTACGGGGTCTGTCAACACCCGGCTAATCCAAAGACGCGTGCGACCTCACACATCACTGGGCCTGGCTACATTCTCACCAGCCATCATACCATCATATCTCCCACTCATACGTCGGGACGCACCCGGCCACGTACGGGGTCTGTCAACACGCCGGCTAACCCAAAGACGCGTGCGACCTCACACTAGGGCCTGGCTACATTCTCACCAGCCCTCATACCATCATATCTCCCACTCATACGTCGGTACGCACCCTGCCCGTACGGGGCCTGTCAACACGCCCGGCTAACCCAAAGACGCGTGCGACCTCACACTGGGCCTGGCTAAATTCTCACCAGCCCTTATACCATCATATCTCCCACTCATACGTCGGGACGCACCCGGCCACGTACGGGGTCTGTCAACAACGCCGGCTAACCCAAAGACGCGTGCGACCTCACACTGGGCCTGGCTACATTCTCACCAGCCCTTATACCATCATATCACCCACTCATACGTCGGGACGTACCCGGCCACGTACGGGGCCTGTCAACACGCCGGCTAACCCAAAGACGCGTGCGACCTCACACTGGGCCTGGCTACATTCTCACCAGCCCTTATACCATCATATCACCCACTCATACGTCGGGACGTACCCGGCCACGTACGGGGCCTGTCAACACGCCGGCTAACCCAAAGACGCGTGCGACCTCACACTGGGCCTGGCTACATTCTCACCAGCCCTTATACATCATATCACCCACTCATACGTCGGGACGTACCCGGCCACGTACGGGGCCTGTCAACACGCCGGCTAACCCAAAGACGCGTGCGACCTCACACTGGGCCTGGCTACGCCCTTATCACTACGTCGGGACGTACACGGGGCCTGAGCATAATCACAATATGGGGGTACGTGGGGTAGTGCGTATAGCACTGTAAACTAATATTCAATCTCCTTATATATCATTATACCTCCATACAATCAATTAAATATAACATATAATTTCTAATCATACAAACACCTTAACAAACAACTAGCATCCGATAATCCCCCATAATCCCCATGACATCAGGACCTGTCACCACGGTCATTTTAATCTTCCTAGGAATGTAATACTACCTAGGAAGTCCCACAGACAAACCGGGTCAAACTACCCAACCTTGGTCAAACGGGCCCGCGGGGCCCACGACCTCCAATTTCCGATCCGAAAGTTCCTAGAGGTTCTACAGGCTCTAGGACACGTCCTGCAAGTTTGGTCCAGATCGGACGGTCGGATCGCTCACGATCGCACGATCGGACGGTTACTAAAACCCTAACCCCAGGGTTGGCATTTCCGGAGTATCCGGGACTCCGTTTTACGATCCGTCGAATCCTACACGATCCTGGTAATACTTAGATCAACATCTTATAATATCAGGACCATCCAACGGTCCAAACCCAGCGAACCCGGAAAACACGCGATATGCGATATCCGTTCGGGACTCTAACAATATCCAAATTGAGATCCGAGCGCACCTACGCGCTCATGACAACCTGAGGATCCCATTGGGACAAAAATGCCCCTCAGCTACAGTGCCCACGCGCCGCCACACGCGCCGGCAGCGCGTGGGTGTCCAAAGCGATATCGCATCGCCGGAAAACTTCCAAATCGAAAGCCAAGACTCCTACCCTAGGTAATACACCTAATTTGGAGTCACTTTTGTTCTTGGACGTACCCCAAAAACTGACCGGAAGTGGCCGGAATCTCATCCCGAAATCCGGCCGAACCCTAACTCGAAAATCAGATAATCTAGGCTCAAAATCATGCAATCCTACCCAACCATCAGCTAGATCATGCAGAAGGGATGAATTTCCATACCTTGATCGCCAAAAATGGCGGCCGGACGACGGAGAACGAAGCCGGCGAAGTTTCGGGCGAAAACCGAGCTTTTCTCTTCGATTTTCCGGCGAAATCTCGACGGCTGACGGCGATACCTGGCTGGGGTAGGAAGAGGACGGCGGCCCGGTCATTTTGGTACCGGCCCCGTCACTTTGGTGGCCGGACGAGAGCACGGCCGGCCAAAACGTGGCCGGCCACGTGGCTGTCGCGAAAACCAGAGGAGAGAGAGAGGGACGCGCGGGAGAGAGAGAGTGTGTGAGAGACGGGGGCAATTCCGTCTTTTAACCAAAAATCCCACTTCAAAATATTTACGATTATGCCACTGAGCTTCATTTGATCATATCTCTCTCGTTACAACTCCGATTCGAGCCCACTACGTGTCTACGGACTCATCTCACCGTGCTCTACGCAACGGTACAACCGGAATTCCCAAATTCCTTCCGGATAAGAAAATGACTAAAATACCCCTATCCCACGGGTAAATTCTTAATTTCGCTCAAATTAATTAAAATAGGGGATAAATTTGGAGTCGGGGTGTTACAGACTACCCCCCTTATAAAAATTTCGTCCCCGAAATTTCATACCTGCCACTTCAAAGGGTGTGGGTACTGGGCCCGCATCTACTGCTCGGGTTCCCATGCTTCATCCTCCACAACCAAGTTGGCAGCCAAGTCATTCCATTTGTGATTTGATTCTCTTCTAGCTCTCCCACTAAGAGAAGTCCAAACTCCTTGACTTGTTGATATCTTCCTTCTTTCGTTAGAATCGATAAGCAATATTGTCAACACGATTCTTTGAGAGGGATGTCAGAAAGGGTCATTTTTACTGAATTGTAATCATCATCTTCCTCTCTCTCATATTGGTTCCCTTTCCAGAGGGGCAGACAGAAGTAACCCAAGTCGTCGGTCAAACTCCCAATGGCCGAACTTCCAAGAAAGTTTGGAGTTCAAATTCACTGCGTGAGATAACAAGGAAGAAGAACCATAAAGTTCCACTCCTGTCAATTGCGGCATTCAAGCTCACGCGAGTGAAATGATACTTCACCCAACTCTACTACTTCTCAACTTAATTTGTCACGACCCTCCTTGGTCGGACACTCAACTCCTCCATTCCCTTGTAACTTGTCCATCAACTTCCTCTGACAATTTCATCTCATCTCAGCAGATTCAACACTTTCAGCTCTTCCATTTCCTTCCATAGGATATTGAGATACGACAATTTGGATAGACACGTTTCTAGGAACGTGACACCCTTAAGTGTACTCATCAATACCCTAAATCCATCCATGTCCAACAGTCCTTCGCGTCAAAATGACGACGTCCCGTGACGGAACCCATCATGCTCCCACAACCTAAGGATGCACACAAGGTGCGGGGTCCACAAGAAATTGAACCTAAGCTCTGATACCAAGCTGACAGGACCCGCCCCGAATTTCCCGGAACCCGAGACGAACCCTGCGGAGACCCCGGCATCACACCCACGCCGGGTTTACTCCTTAAATCTACGTCCTCGTTCACCATAGAGGATTAAGGGCACGAGACTTTCTGCCGAAATTTCGGCAGAGTCTCCCCTGTAAATTGAACATTCCCCAAAATTTCTACCTGCATAAAACTCATTTTATAACCCAACCAGCAGCACGCACAATATACTCTCATGCAATTTACATAAATGGCCTCCGGCCTTCAAATGATTCTAACGAACTGCCCACACTGTTTTCAAAATAACTTAATGCATCACACATGCATATAACCAATTCAGAATCCATCCATACACACCGTCACTCACTCAGTCCAACGGACAAGCCTCAATTCAACCAAGTTTCGGGACCAACCACGAGGTCCGCATCATACTCGATAAAACCACCTAAGTGGTGTCTAAGTCGTGGCTGCACCTAGGCGCTATCCCAGGCTGCCTACGTACCCTACTAAGGGATCAAGCCACACGTAGCTCTTTCCTATCAATCCTGGCTCCTGATATCAATTAAACCATCACATCACACCAAACACAACCACATAGCTCCCCTCATACGTCGGGACGCACCCGGCCACGTACGGGGTCTGTCAACACGCCGGCTAATCCAAAGACGCGTGCGACCTCACACTACACTTGGGCCTGGCTACATTCTCACCAGCCATCATACCATCATATCTCCCACTCATACGTCGGGACGCACCCGGCCACGTACGGGGTCTGTCAACACGCCGGCTAACCCAAAGACGCGTGCGACCTCACACTGGGCCTGGCTACATTCTCACCAGCCCTTATACCATCAATCACCCACTCATACGTCGGGACGTACCCGGCCACGTACGGGGCCTGTCAACACGCCGGCTAACCCAAAGACGCGTGCGACCTCACACTGGGCCTGGCTACATTCTCACCAGCCCTTATACCATCATATCTCCCACTCATACGTCGGGACGTACCCGGCCACGTACGGGGTCTGTCAACACGCCGGCTAACCCAAAGACGCGTGCGACCTCACACTGGGCCTGGCTACATTCTCACCAGCCCTTATACCATCATATCACCCACTCATACGTCGGGACGTACCCGGCCACGTACGGGGCCTGTCAACACGCCGGCTAACCCAAAGACGCGTGCGACCTCACACTGGGCCTGGCTACATTCTCACCAGCCCTTATACCATCATATCACCCACTCATACGTCGGGACGTACCCGGCCACGTACGGGGCCTGTCAACACGCCGGCTAACCCAAAGACGCGTGCGACCTCACACTGGGCCTGGCTACATTCTCACCAGCCCTCATATCATCATATCACCCACTCATACGTCGGGACGTACCCGGCCACGTACGGGGCCTGTCAACACGCCGGCTAACCCAAAGACGCGTGCGACCTCACACTACATTCTCACCAGCCCTTATCACCCACTCATACGTCGGGACGACGTACGGGGCCTGAGCATAATCACAATATGTACGTGGGGTAGTGCGTATAGCACTGTAAACTAATATTCAATCTCCTTATATATCATTATACCTCCATACAATCAATTAAATATACATATAATTTCTAATCATACAAACACCTTAACAAACAACTAGCATCCGATAATCCCCCATAATCCCCATGACATCAGGACCTGTCACCACGGTCATTTTAATCTTCCTAGGAATGTAATACTACCTAGGAAGTCCCACAGACAAACCAGGGTCAAACTACCCAACCTTGGTCAAACGGGCCCGCGGGGCCCACGACCTCCAATTTCCGATCCGAAAGTTCCTAGAGTTCTACAGGCTCTAGGACACGTCCTGCAAGTTTGGTCCAGATCGGACGGTCGGATCGCTCACGATCGCACGATCGGACGGTTACTAAAACCCTAACCCCAGGGTTGGCATTTCCGGAGTATCCGGGACTCCGTTTTACGATCCGTCGAATCCTACACGATCCTGGTAATACTTAGATCAACATATTATAATATCAGGACCATCCAACGGTCCAAACCCAGCGAACCCGGAAAACACGCGATATGCGATATCCGTTCGGGACTCTAACAATATCCAAATTGAGATCCGAGCACACCTACGCGCTCATGACAACCTGAGGATCCCATTGGGACAAAAATGCCCCTCAGCTACAGTGCCCACGCGCCGCCACACGCGCCGGCAGCGCGTGGGTGTCCAAAGCGATATCGCATCGCCGGAAAACTTCCAAATCGACAGCCAAGACTCCTACCCTAGGTAATACACCTAATTTGGAGTCACTTTTGTTCTTGGACGTACCCCAAAAACTGACCGGAAGTGGCCGGAATCTCATCCCGAAATCCGGCCGAACCCTAACTCGAAAATCAGATAATCTAGGCTCAAAATCGATGCAATCCTACCCAACCATCAGCTAGATCATGCAGAAGGGATGAATTTCCATACCTTGATCGCCAAAAATGGCGGCCGGACGACGGAGAACGAAGCCGGCGAAGTTTCGGGCGAAAACCGAGCTTTTCTCTTCGATTTTCCGGCGAAATCTCGACGGCTGACGGCGATACCTGGCTGGGGTAGGAAGAGGACGGCGGCCCGGTCATTTTGGTACCGGCCCCGTCAACTTTGGTGGCCGGACGAGAGCACGGCCGGCCAAAACGTGGCCGGCCCCGTGGCTGTCGCGAAAACCAGAGGAGAGAGAGAGGGACGCGCGGGAGAGAGAGAGTGTGTGAGAGACGGGGGCAATTCCGTCTTTTAACCAAAAATCCCACTTCAAAATATTTACGATTATGCCACTGAGCTTCATTTGATCATATCTCTCTCGTTACAACTCCGATTCGAGCCCACTACGTGTCTACGGACTCATCTCACCGTGCTCTACGCAACGGTACAACCGGAATTCCCAAATTCCTTCCGGATAAGAAAATGACTAAAATACCCCTATCCCACGGGTAAATTCTTAATTTCGCTCAAATTAATTAAAATAGGGGATAAATTTGGAGTCGGGGTGTTACATGAAAAATCACGATTTAACGGTTATTTTAACTCCGATTTTGATGATTTTTTTATAGCTACACTCTTTGACCCTATATGAATACAATGAACTAATTCGATCGTCAATTTAAAAAATATATTTTCTAATAAAAACCCAATCCAAAAAACAATAATATATTTTTCTAACAAATATTTTAAAAAATATTTTATTTATTTTTATAAGGACTTTGCGAGACGAAGTTATTTGTTTCATCGCGCAAAGTAGCTTTGCGTGACGAATTGTTTTTCGTCGCGCAAAGTCGCTTTGCGCGACGAACTGTTTTTCGTCGCGCAAAGTTACTTAGAGTGACGAATTTTTTTTCGTCGCGCAAAGTTACTTTGAGCGACGAATTTTTTTTCGTCGCGCAAAATTTGGTCGCGCAAGACTTTGAGCGACGACGTATTGTCGTCGCACAAAAGTTGGTCGCGCAAAGTCGCTTTGAGCGACGAAAAAAAATTCGTCGCGCAAAAGTTGGTCGCGCAAGGTTTTTAGCGACGAAGTTTTGAGTTTTGTCGCGCAAAGTGTCTTTGCGCGACGAAAAATTATTCGTCGCGCAAAATTTGGTCGCGCAAGGGTTGTTTTGTAGTAGTGTAATCGACATTTCCCAGCATTTTTTTCCCTGTAAATATGCCAATACTGATTTTTTCTTCTTCTTTCTAATCCCTGTTATTAAGTTCGAGCCTTCGTTTTAATTGTAATGTAAAATAGAAAGAACTGCTTATACAATTTTTTCCTTTAAAAATTAATATAGCAAACAAACTTATCGATGTCCAGTGGAAAGAAAATAACAATAAGTAGAAAGCAAGGAAAAAATTCACCAAATGGATAAACATACCTTTGCAACTAATGGAATACCTCCACACTTTTTGGCAATGTCCCTTCCAATTCTCTCTTGATCTTCATTTAAAGTAGGATCACTCTCATTTGGAAATGCTCTATCCTTCAAAATAAGCCAACATTGATCATCTGATAATTTTTGCAAATCATAACTAGAAAGTGTCTGTGAAATTGATGCAACCCTCGCACTCCGGGTAGTGACAAGAATGTTGCTTCCTTGGGTATCTTTAACACTTAACAAACAACTCATCAAGTCATTCCATTTTTCAGAATCTTCGTTCCACACATCATCCAGTACGAGCAAATATCTTTTCCTTTTCAGGTCTTCTTGAAGATTTTTGATTATTGCATCCTTGTCTTGCATCCTAGCCTTTTCCGGTTTAAGATGTTCCAAGATCTTGCTTAAAATTGACTTGACCTCAAAAGGAATAGATACACATATCCATATTTTTTCAGTGAAGCGTCTCCCTATCTCATCTTCATGATATACACATTTGGCCAAAGTTGTTTTTCCCAAGCCGGCCATTCCCACAATGGCCATCACGGGTAGAGTTTCATTCTCTTGAGTATTGCTTGAGTTGATCAAGGTTGTAACTATCTCTGACACAATCTTCTCCCTTCCAACAATGTTCTTTTCATCTCGTTTAAAGATGGAGACAGTTTCCCTGTCAACTGCAATCTCACGAGAGGAGGTTGCATCTGAGAATTTCTTATTGACAAGCCCAATGCTAGCTGCCTTCTTATTCAAATTCTCCAAAGCAGAGTTGATGTTCTCAATCTTATGTGCCATTTTGAGACGAAATAAAATGGGATTGTAGTGGAGTGAAAGGAAGTTGAGCACTTTTTTCTTCATTTGGTTTCCCACTTCCACCTGACGGCGGAGAAGTTCATATCCGCATTCATCCAGCACATCATCGGCCTCATGAGCTATGTCTTCAAGTTTGTTCACCCAAATTTGCACGGCTTCCGGCCGAACTTCTTTTGATTGCCCGGCATCTCTTAACATGGCTTCAGTCAGCAACAATGATTCACGCAGCTTTGTCAACTCTCCTTGAAATCCCCATACAAGACTGATTTCTTCAGAGGCAAGTGAAGCCACTTTCTTCACTATTTCCTGGACACCGAAAGTAACAACTTCTGCCATCTTTCTATCTCTCTTTCTCTCTGCTCAATCTAGACAATTAAAGAAAGAAGAGAGCAATCAATGCTCAATCAGTTTGAAAAACTAGCTAGGATGAGCTACAACAAGACATATAGACAATTGTGAGATCTGAATCTAAACCTGCATACAGTATTTTAGGTGTAGTGTTGTAATTAAATTAGGCCTAAGTCGAAATTAGCTTATGCTTCCTGACCAATAAATTGTAATTAAATTTGAATGTCATAAGGCTGATTTCAAAGGCTAATAATAATTTAGGAGCCCACCCAACAAACTAAGTTGTCGGTTGGCTGAATTATTACATGCCAAAATTGTGGGTAGATTTCCTCCATCGTGGCATGACTGACTACCAAGTGATGAGGCAGAAAAAAATCTATTTAGAGCATCTCCACTGCAGGGACTTTAGCCAGGGCAAGAGGCCCATTCCCTCGGTTTTGGACTTCCAGCGCAGCACCTGCAGCCCGGGCAAGCCCTGGGTCCCACCAGCCCGGGCAAGCCCAAGGGCATATCTTGCTTGGGCTTCAGCCGAGGGCGCTGACGTCAGCGAGTAAAAAAAAATCAAAAAAATGGAAAAAAAAATACCATAAAATTATGGATGTTTTCCCTATAAATACATAACAATTTATTCACTTTCCCTATAAATACATAACAAGTTTATATTTTGTTGCATATTCTTTTTTTTTCTTGCCCTTGCCCTAGCCTTTTGGGGTGGAACCAAAAAAGACAAGACTTCCACTATTCACGTGAATAGTAGGGCCTTGCCTTTGCCTTTGCCTTAGCCTTTTGGGGTGGACATGCTCTTAGACTTTCACCCTGAACCCTTTCCCATGCAATTGACCAGGAAGATTCCTTTTTCATGTTTAATTGGAAATTCTTTTCACGATTTTCCTCTTAGTTTCCAACTCAAAACATATATTTTTTTATGAACGGGGGAGAAAAAGCCTCAATTTTCCTTTATTTCATAAATGTTAGTTTTTATAAAAACTTCTAAAAAAAATTGCAAAAAAGTCATTTAAATAGACTTAAATGCTCTTAAAGCTAAAACTCATATAAATTAATAAAAGAAAGTCAGTTAGTCAAACAAATATATATCCCAGATTCATGGTCCTCATTGAAGCAACTATAGCTATGGAAGCTCATATTTGTGGAAGCGATGCTGATGATGGTTGATTGATCAAACATTCACGAAATTGCACTTAGTTAAAATGTATATTCTTTGCTACCACATTTTTCTTAATTGATGATGTAATCTAGGAAGAGTCTAGAAGCGACTGTAGTTAGCATTTCTCTTGTTATATATTGGTTTGTTTGTAATCATATCATCACAGTACGATTATGATATCCATCACGTGGAAGTTCTTCTGGCAAGGCACCTCCTTGACATGGGTGAAATAAATATGCAAAAAAGAATCGGTTAAAGAAACCAATAACAAGATATCGCTTCGCTTGCTCAAGGTTTCTATGAATCTATAGACGAACTTATATTATAAAGAATGTGTATACAGATTGATGCAACCCTCGCACTCCGGGTAGTGACAAGAATGTTGCTTCCTTGGGTATCTTTAACACTGAACAAACAACTCATCAAGTCATTCCATTTTTCAGAATCTTCGTTCCACACATCATCCAATACGAGCAAATATCTTTTCCCTTTCAGATCTTCTTGAAGAATTTTTATTATTGCATCCTTGTCTTGCATCCTAGCCTTTTCCGGTTTAAGATGTTCCAAGATCTTGCTTAAAATTGACTTGACCTCAAAAGGAATAGATACACATATCCATATTTTTTCAGTGAAGCGTCTGCCTATCTCATCTTCATGATATACAGATTTAGCCAAAGTTGTTTTTCCCAAGCCAGCCATTCCCACAATGGCCATCACGGGTAGAGTTTCATTCTCTTGAGTATTGCTTGAGTTGATCAAGGTTGTAACTATCTCTGACACAATCTTCTCCCTTCCAACAATGTTCTTTTCATCTTGTTTAAAGATGGAGAGTTTCCCTGTCAACTGCAATCTCACGAGAGGAGGTTGCATCTGAGAATTTCTTATTGACAAGCCCAATGCTAGCTGCCTTCTTATTCAAATTCTCCAAAGCAGAGTTGATGTTCTCAATCTTATGTGCCATTTTGAGACGAAATAAAATGGGATTGTAGTGGAGTGAAAGGAAGTTGAGCACTTTTTTCTTCATTTGGTTTCGCACTTCCACCTGACGGCGGAGAAGTTCATATCCGCATTCATCCAGCACATCATCGGCCTCATGAGCTATGTCTTCAAGCTTGTTCACCCAAATTTGCACGGCTTCCGGCCGAACTTCTTTTGATTGCCCGGCATCTCTTAACATGGCTTCAGTCAGCAACAATGATTCACGCAGCTTTGTCAACTCTCCTTGAAATACCCATACAAGACTGATTTCTTCAGAGGCAAGTGAAGCCACTTTCTTCACTATTTCCTGGACACTGAAAGTAACAACTTCTGCCATCTTTCTATCTCTCTTCCTCTCTGCTCAATCTAGACAATTAAAGAAAGAACAGATCAATGAATGCTCATTCAGTTGGGAAAACTAGCTACAAGAAGACATATATATATCAGTGTATTTATTATAGACAAAGGTGAGATCTGAATCTAAAGTTTCTAAACCTACATACATTCGTGTAGTGTTGTAATTAAATTAGGCCTAAGTCGATATTAGCTTCGTTTTTCTGATAAATACTCGTAATTAAAGTTGTCGGTTGGCTGAATTATTGTGTGGATAGACAGTGATGTGTCAGTAAAATGTTATATCAGAAGAATGTCACTTCCGGTGCTGCTATCGCCATGTCGCCATGTCCATATGACACGCGTGAGATCAAAATGCAAAAATCTCTCATTTAAAAAAAATGAAAAAATAGATGAAACCAATAACAAGATATCGCTTAGCTTCCTCGAGGTTTCTATGAATCTATAGACGAACTTATGTTGTAAAGAACGTGTATACAGATGGCGTGGAATAGTTATATATAGATTTCTCTTTCATGATCATGACTGACTTACATCAAAGCCGACTTGTGATATTTGTCTCTACTTTTTTGTATGGAATCGCATCGGTCACGAGCAATACTTGTCTGTATATTTCGTTTTCAAAGCCCGCCACCAAACCTTGTCGAATCATATTAAACAAAGCATGGAATGGAGGAGGAAGGTGCCCTTTGTATATCTCCTTTTCAAAGCCCTCCGCCGAACCTTGTCGAATCATATTAAACAAAACATGGAATGGAGGAGGAAGGTGCCCTTTGTATATCTCCTTTTCAAAGCCCACCAAACCATCTCCTTCTCCAATCATATTAAACAAAGCATGGAGGAGGAAGGTGCCTCGAAACGACGACACATTTGACTTGCCTTTGTGTATGTACAGGAACAGGATGTTACTTTTACCAGGACCCGCAACTAGAATTCCACACCTTGCTGCCTGCCAAATTAACAACGAATGTCACACATGTACTTTTACCAGAACCTGCTTGCCCCTTTAACTTTTGTTTTAGCCTTCAAATTTCTGTCCAAATCAATATTATTGCAAAACAACTCCAAGTAAATTTCAAGACAGTCCTAAGAATTTACTCAAAAATGTAAACCCGTCACTATGCTGTGCATATATTCACCCTTCTTACTCTCTGAGCCATAAAATTCGTACACCAAAAGAAGATTAAAAAAAATTAAATTGAGGCAGAGCTGGCGGATCAGCTGGAGAAGACGAGCTGTGATGGTGGCCTTGTGGACGGCGGAGGGAAGTTTTGTCTTTTAACATAATGCGGTCGAGCTCCGGAACATAGAGCTGGTTAGCGGCGGCGCGTGAGGGGACCTCAAACGCGAAGCCGTTGCCGTCGAGGATGGATTTGATAACCTTGAGCATCTGGAGCTCAATCTTCGATGGAATGCACGGCAGGTCGAGGTCGCTGACCTCGCGGCAAGTGGAGCCGACGGCGAGGTCGGCGAGGGTTATGGTTTTGGAAGAAGAGGATGAGGAGGCGTTGGCGGAGCGGAGGTCATCGAGGGTTTGGGGGATGAGCGGGTCAGGTTTGAGGAGGCTCTTGAAGGGGGTGATGGGTTTCGTCGTCGGAGTTCGGGTCGGGTCGACGGCGTTTCTTCTTGTCCGCAACCACTGTCGGCGTTTGGCCTTTTTTCTTGTCCGCCATTTTTTGTTGTGATTTTGGGAAAGCGAAATAGGGTTGGTTGAAGAAGCGGGAACCTGAGTCTCTCGTGAGGCTTAAGTCTGCAAACTGGGGGCTGAAAGCCCAAATAAAAACCCAATCTAAGCTGCAAGAAAGCTGGGCCTAGTGCCCAATACGTTTTAAGTTTAGGTTTGGTTATTGTTTTGATTCTTTACCATTTTCTTATTTTGGGGTTTAATTATTTTAAGAGAAAAGTTTTTTTCTTTCCTCTTTTTTCCAAAATATTTTTTTTTTTTGGATCAATGACTAGTGCTGTAGTCATGCATGCCTCGGTGGAGTAAAATTTTGTATTTCAACGGTCATTTTTATAAAATAAAATGACATCTAAAATTATTTGATGGACATCCAATCCAACAAATAGAAAACATGTAATGCAACATCAACATAACAATCCAAGATTGTCAAAGCAAAATGCAAGAAACAATGATGAGAATAAATTAGCAAAGGCACAACTACAAAACAAAGAAGACAAAAGGTGTTAAATCATAATCTCTTTTCTCTCAACAAACCTAGGATCAGATTCAGGAGAGAAACAAAGCCAAAGAAAAAAAAAACTCAAAATCCTGCAGTGTTGAAGTTTGCTTGATCGGATTCTTGATAAAAAATTGTCCCATAAAACTGAATCTCCCAAAGAACCTGATAATACGGTCAGAAAGATACATTAATGACCCTGTTTCCAAACAAGAAGTGCAAATTTAGTGCTATCTTGACGAACAAAGCAACACGAAAACAAGCCAAGGGCTATGCATACCTTGCAGCTGCAGAGCCGTTAAAAGCTTTCCTCGCATGGCATCACCTTCCAAGGGTTGAGCTGACTGGGAAACTACCACAATTGGTTGAATGTCTCCATCACCTTCCTACTCTGTTATTTTGGTTATAAAAAAAACACAACAAAATAATAAGAAAAAAGGCGTGAAAAGAAATGCAAATTTGGAAGCTAAAATTTGGAGAAAGTTTGACTAAAAACTCATCAGAAAATCCTCAAAATTATAAAAATTAATCTTTGATTGATACGAAGCAAAAGCAGAAGCTGTATAAAGAAAAAGTACACACCCTAATCTAATAGATGCTGCTGCATAAGCTGATAAGGAAAAGATACAACAAGGCTGAGGAAGAGTACAAGTATAATAATGCACTGAGAATTGGGAAATTGCTTGTACCTTATAATTACAATGAAATTAATTTTCCAGAAACATAGCTTCTTCAATCTGCACCCCATGATCAACACCTGTCTCTCAACCAACTGATCAAAAACAACTTTGGTCAATGCTGCTTGTGGAAAGAAAAAATCATAGGCATTGGCAAACAGAGTTAATATTCTTTGTAGAGATGATTTAGAAAGAAAAGTGGTACCTTTAGAATAGTGCACGCTACTTTGAGCCATTTTTGGATACTTTGGGAGATTAATGAATTTGTGTTTTGGTTCCATACAGGTTCACAAATCTCCAAATGTTCAATAAACTGCAGAGATTTAAATATAAATATGTTACAAACTTACACACATTATTTGGTACCCTTGAACTGAAACCTTGAATTTACAATGGAGATATAAAACACGATAATTTTTTTTAATAAATCATCCCATGAGTTCTATATGGTGTGTTTGTATGTGTATATGGATGTATTGAATGTAGAGAACACTTGAAAGCTCAGAGTTTGTATGTGTCTCTCAAAGACCTGATCAAAAACAACCTTGGTCAATGCTGCTTGTGGAAAGAAAAAATGATCCCTGAGTTCATTTACTTGTGGAGTTATAAATCATCCCTGAGTTCTGTATGGTGTGTATGTATGTGTATGTGGATGTATTGAATGTAGAGAACACTTGAGTTTAGTTTAATTTGTTTTGGTTTTCATATCTTTAGTTAATTAGTGCTATCTTGACGAACAAAGCAACACGAAAACAAGCCAAGGGCTATGCATACCTTTCAGTTGCAGAGCCGTTAAAAGCTTTCCTCGCGTGACATCACCTTCTAAGGGTTGAGATGATTGGGAAACTGCCACAATTGGTTGAATGTCTCCATCACCTTCCTACTCTGTTATTTTGGTTATAAACAAAAACAATAAAATAATAAGAAAAAAGGCTAGAAAAGAAATGCAAAATTGGAAGCTAAAATTTGGAGAAAGTTTGACAAAAACTCATCAGAAAATCCTCAAAATTATAAAAATTAATCTTTGATTGATACGAAGCAAAAGCAGAAGCTGTATAAAGAAAAAGTACACACCCTAATCTAATAGATGCCGCTGCATAAACTGACAAGGAAAAGATACAACAAGGCTACAAGTATAATAATGATAGGCATTGGCAAACAGAGTTAATATTCTTTGTGGAGATGGGTTTAGAAAGAAATATGGTACCTTTATAAGAGTGAATGTACTTGAGGTCAATAATTTTCACAACAACAATGCACACTACTTTCAACCTTTTCGCATTTCGGGATACACTTTGAAGATTATTGAATTTGAGTTTTAGACAAAAGGCTCATGGTCAACTGCAGAGATTTAAACATAAATATGTTACAAATTTACAAACATCATTTGATACTCTCAAACCTTGAATTTACATGTGGAGTTATAAATCACCCCTGAGTTCTTTATGGGTGTGTGTGTGTATGTGTATATGGATGTATTGAATGTAGAGAACACTTGAAAACTAAAGAGTTTAATTTGTTTTGGTTTTCAACTTCCAAGTGATTATAAATCATATCTTTATTTGAAGTAATTGAAAGATTAAACTAAAATGCGAATAGAAGATAACAACCTAATTAATGATAAGTGAGAACGAATCGCACAAACATTTTTTCTTAGCGGTTCACATGATTAAACAAATCAAAGGGAAAGTAAACCAAAAATTAAAAAATGTACTAAACAATAAACGATCAAGTTAAAATGAACACTAAGTTAGATAGGGCTTCTCTAGTAGGCCCAGTCCCGTATGTAATTTTGTTTAGTTGTGTTCGGGCTTAGCCCTCAATTCACCAAAAGAAGATTTTTTTTATTTATTTTATTTTATAAATAAAAGTAAAGAGAAGAAAATAATTTATTTCAGAACCAAAGAAAACAAATAATAAAATTGAAAAACTTACAATCGATGTATGCAATATGCGAAATCTTGGGCCATTCTGGGCCGTTGTCTTTATTGCATCTCTCTTCCAAAAGAGGACAATTGTGAATCCATATGGACTGTAATTTGGTGAGACATTTCATAGCTTCAAGTGTAGGTAGATACATCAGATTCTTGCACCACCCTATCATTAGGTTCTCAAGAGATGCAAGATTTCCCAACCACTCTGGAAGAGCCTCCATGCCGTCGAAGGACCATATTGACAAAGAATTAGAGAAGTGAAGTGTTGAACTTGTTCAGGCAGAGAGTTGAGCTTCGGCCAACCCCACAACTCTAATCTTTCAAGTTGTGGAATAACCTGAAAAGCAGGAAATGAATCGAGCTCCTTCCAAAACCCACCAATTTTCAATTCCTTTAAGCGGGTGAGGGATGCTGCAAACGCATTGGGGTGTACATCTTTTAATCCATCACAGTAATAGATCTGCAACTGACGGAGTTGTGTGAGGCTGTCTAAACTTGGAATAGCTTCGAGATTCGGGCAATTGATGATAGAGAAGTGCTCAAGAGAGGTACAATGTTGTAACCCACTCGGTAGGCTTGATAATTCATCACAATCCGAAATCTCTAATTCGCGGAGGGATGGAAGCCCATGTGTGATTGGAATGGATGTTATTTTGGAGCATCTCCCTATTATCAACATTTGAAGAGAGTTGTAGCATTCTAGCCCCTCAGGTAGAATACATAACTCAAGACACTTGAAAATAGGAAATTTGCAGAGAGATGCGACACCCTGTGTAACTGGGATGCACTCCAGACTTTGACAACCCACTATAATTAGCTTCTTAAGGGAGAGCAGAGTGTGTAGCCCATCAGGCAAAGTCCTAAGATTAGGACACCATGAAATACTCAATGACTCGAGAGATGCACAACAACCAAATACATCCGCAGCAATACAAGTTAAATCTGGGCAGTTCTCTATCTCCAAATATGAAAGATTTTTGTTATTCTTTAACATTCCTTCAGGCAGAGAAGCAAGTTCCTTCATATACTTTATTGTGAGATGAGTAAGACTGGTGAGCTGAGTGCTTATATTAGCTATCGGCATGCCGCTATCCATGGAATCTATTGTTAACTTTTGGAGACATGGAAAATGAGTGGGAGCACTTTTCAATTGATTACAATTCCTCAGGAACAGCTCCTCAAGGCGAGGAAATATTGCAGCTCCCGTCCATTCAATTAGGTTCTCTGCATTAACAATACTTAATTTTTTCAAGGAAGAAAACAAATTTCCACTCATCATCCACGATGGAAATTGATCACTGCTAAAGTTGCAAATCTTCAAAATTCTCAATTCAGAGTGCGGTTCAAGGCCTTCTAGGACATCCCTGTCGTTGTTTATGGCGCTTGACCTGTCTTCCCCCATTCAAACTTTAGTTTGCGTATGTTTGTCTTCTCCGCTAACTTTGCCTTCTTTGCTTCTTCTATATCCCTCACATGCTCCAGACGATAAATAGATATTTTTCCTTTCAAATGCATTAAGCCACCCAACTCCTCTATTCCACGGCCTTTCTCCTTACCCACAATAAAATAAGATAACGATCGGAGATTACTTAACCGGCCAATGCCAACTGGAAAGTCCCTAAAATACTCCCTATCAAAATAAATATGTCTCAAGTTAATCAAATTTGGCAGTTCCTTTGGAAACTCTTCAAGATAGAAATTGTGAATTCTTAATGTCTGTAGGTTATAAAGCTTGCCAACAGATTGGGGGAGCCTTCTGATCGTTGTTCTTGAAATATCTAAATACCTCAAGTGTTTCAACTTTCCAATTGAAATTGGCAACTCAGTAATATAAGCCTCCTGTAATTTTAAGACACGCAAACCTTTAAATCTTGGTAAGATGTTACCAAGAACTTTATTACCTTCCAAAAACATTGAGCGCACTACAATTCCTTTTGGAATTCCCTGTAGTTCTGAGGCTGAAGGTTGGGCCATATGTCGAACATCATTGGAGTCCTTGCTCTTTGATTTTGAAACAAGTTCTGCAAGATCATGCACAAGATCGTGCATTTTGCAATGGGTAATCACATTATAGTTATCCATTGAAACATCTTGAAAAAAGGACTTCTCCAATAGAATATTAAAATATTGATTCCCTACATCCTCCATCTCTAGATTACTTTGGCTAGAAGGACGGTGAAGCAATCCCTGAGCCATCCAAAGTTGTACCAGGTCATCCTTTTCAATATTGAAATCTTTGACAAACATTGAACAATATGCAAAGCATTGTTTCAAAGTTGGTTTTAATTCATCAAAACTCAACTTCAAAATCGACATGATTCTTTCATCTCCATCTGATAAATCCCATCTGGTACTTTCTTGAATAACCCGCCATCCATCAATGTTTTCAAAACGCATCATATTTCCCAAAACCTATTGGCACATGAGTTTGAATTTCTATTAAATGACAATATTACAAAATTAACTATAATAACTAAGTCTGTAGAAAATCCAAATCAATATTTCAAAATTGACCAATCCAATCCAATTTTTTATTGGATTGAATTCTATATGATTATCTTTGCGATTATCATATTTTCATACAAACCGATCATCCAATTCAATCCAATCCAATGTACATTGGATTGGATCATGACATCCGAACACATTGGAACAGATTGTAAAATCTCAAATCCAATATAAAAATTGAATTGAATTAGATCGATAAAAAATTCATTGGTTTCTAACCGATAACACTATGCAATAAGCATTTAATGACTATATTTCTTTCAAAAAATAAATAAAGTCATCGTCAAACAAGATATTTGCAATCTACTCTCGTAAGAGGCTTGTAAGTCAAGCAATTAAGATATTTACTCTTGCAATCGACATATTAAGTTCAAATCCTCCCTCCTCCAATGTCTCTAATAAAACAAACAATCCACTCTCAAGAAAATTAACAAATAAATGTATAGTATTACGGGAACAAAAGGAAAATATAATTGTATCTATAAAAGCAGTACTATCTTATACTATAATTCAGAAAGAAAAAAAAACCCTCTTTCCCTACCAATAATGTGCAAAATGCCATTTATACCCTTTTCATCTTTAGTAAGTTCGATAATAATTTAATAAGATTAAAAAAAATTAAGATAAATATAGGAATCTTACCACATTTGTATAGTACATTCACATACCACCTTATGTGGCAGATGAAGTGTACAACCACATCAATTAAAAAGTGTCAATAAATCATAAAAGAAAAGAAAATATTAAATTAATTTTAGGAAAATGCTAGAGGCATCAACTTTGGGCACCAACTTGGGCACCAACTCTCTAATAGAGCGTGGGACCCGGTGTATTGGCGGGCTCCACCTCTATTAGAGAGTTGGTGTCCAAGTTGGTTCCCAAAGTTGGTGCCTCTAGCACCACCCATAATTTTAATTGATATAGTTGCACATCATCTGCCACATAAGGTGGTATAAGAATGTGGTAAAAGTAACATTACTCTAAATATAGTAAATGACAATACTTCTATCAGTCAGGGTGGGATTTTCTTTCTATCAGTTCGGGTGGTGGTGGTGGTAGGAGTGGAGGTGGAGGCGCAAGTGGTGGGTGGGGGTGGTGGTGGTGGTGGAGGTAGAGGTGGAGGTGAAGTTGGTGGTGGTGAAGGCTGAGGTGAGGTAGTGATAGTGGTGGTGGAGGAGGTGGTGGTTGGGGTGGTGGTAGTAGACGATGTCATCTTTAAAAATGAAGGATGGTATTATGGGAATTGCTAGATAGTTTCTAGGCTCCGTGTATCTGCCAATACTGATTTTTTTATTTATATTATCCTTGTATTTTGTTCATTTTACTTGTGAAATTAGTGGTATGTTTGAGCCTATTTTGTTGCATAAATTAGTGGTATTTTGTTCTTTATATAATCCTTCACAAAATAATAAAGCAAACAAGATTACCGATGTCTAGTGGGTTAAAGGTTTGTTAATGAAAAACAATATAAGAATAAGAAGCAAGATCAAGCGAAAAATTCAGCAAACGGATAAACATACCTTTGCCAGTAATGGTAGGCCTGCACACTTTCTGGCGATGTCCCTTCCAATTCTCTCTTGATCTTTAGTCAAAGGAGCACTGTCATCCAGAAATGCTCTGTTCTTTAAAATGAGCCAACATTGATCGTCTGATAGTTTTCCCAAATTACACATAGGAAGTGTCTGCACGATTTTTGCAACCTTCTCACTACGGGTAGTGACAAGAATGCTGCTTCCTTGGGTATCTTTAACACTTGACAAACAGCTCGTCAAATCATTCCATTTGTCAGGATCTTCATTCCAAACATCATCGAGTACAAGCAAATATCTTTTTCCTTTCAGATGTTCTTGAAGATTTTTGAGTGCTGCTTCCTTCTCTTGAGCCTTTTCTAGTTTAAAATGTACCAAGATCTTGTTTAAAATCGACTTGACTTCGAAAGGAATAGATACGCATATCCATATTTTTATAGTGAATTGTCTGCCTATCTCATCATGATTATATATAGATTTAGCCAAAGTTGTTTTTCCCAAGCCCGCAAATCCTACAATGGGCATAACCGAGAGAGAATTCTTTTGAGTATTGCTTGAGTCGATCAAGGTTGTTACTATATCTAACACGACCTTCTCCCTTCCAACGATGTACTTTTCGTCTTGAGCAAAGCTGGAGACGGTTTCCCTGTCAACTCCTGCATCATGAGAGCTTCCACCTTGGAATGTCGAACTTGCAACTAGACCAATACCAGCTGCCTCCTTCTTCAGATTGACTAAAGATGAGTTGATTTTCTTGATTTTATGTGCCATTTTGTGACGGAATGCAATGGGATTGTAGTGGAGTGAAAAGAAATTGAGTACCTTTTTCTTCATCTGGTCTTGCACTTCTACCTTACGCCGGAGAACTTCATATTCATATTCATCCAACACATCATCGGCATCATGAGCTATGTCTTCGAGGTCCTTCACCCACATTTTGACCGCCTCGGCCTGATCTTTTTTTTTCCGGCATCTTGTAGCATGGCTTGAACCTTGGACAATGATTCACGCAGACTTGTGAGTTCTCCTTTGAATCCCCGCAGAAGATTGAATTCTTGTTGGGCAAGTGAAGCCACCTTCGTCAGTATCCCCTCAGCTCCAAACGTAACAATTTCTGACATCTTAGATATAGTTTGTTCACGTACACAGCAAAAACAACAGGAAATGCTGTTACTCAAACGCAATGTGCCTCTCAAGGTCATGTTATGGACTTATATAGAGATGGGAGGAAAGGAACTTATATTAGACTTGCAAATCAAGCAATATTTGTTTGTATAATATTCTTTTTCAAAGCCTGGGCATTTCAGTTTCGAATCATATTATACCAACACATCGAGGAAGGGGAAACCTCAAAGATATATACCTCAGTCTTTGTTTTCTTCATTATTAAATGATGCTCCTAATCAAAAGCAAAAGCAAAAGCAAAGAAACTAAAAAAAGGATCTTTTTTCTTCTAAGTTTAAGTACTGTTCTTGGTTCGAAGTCTGGGCATTTAAATTTCGAATCATATTATACCAACATATCAAGGAAGGGGAAACCTCAAAGATACCTGTCTTTTTGTTTTCTTCATTTTTAAATCATTCTCCTAACCAAAACCAAACGCAAAGAAAAGGGGAAAAAAAGAAAAAGAAAAAAAAGGGAAAACTCTATGTTGTTTTTGAAATAATCAAAATCAACATTGAGCTTCCAAGTTTGGGTCTGACTATTTAGATTGTCCTGTTTGTGGACAATGAGGGTGATTTTTTTGGTGAGGGGTTTCAATGAGGGGTTCAATCCAACCATAATCTTTAAAAAGTTCAAGTCCAATATTTTCTCTCTCTTGTTGGATAGGGGGACTGAACCCCTCTCACAACCCCCTCACCATTCTATAGCATTATCTAGAATGTGTCTAGGATAAGTGTGTGAATACTTCTTGTAATCATAGTGGATTTGTTTTGGACTGAGGAGTCCCGTGGATTTTCCCTATAAGTGGGGTTTTATCACATAAAATAATTTTGTGCGTGTTCATTTATTTTATGTTCTGCACGTTTTAGGATTAATAAGTCATATCAATTCTGTTACATAAGTTTATTTTTATTTATTGATTATAATTTTAAATTGGCCTATTCACCCCCCCTCATTTTAATTAGAAAATCGATACCTAAAATCAAAATATATGCATAAAAGAAAAGTTTAATTTGTTGCACAAAAACCATATGTATGAATGAGGACATGAATCGAAAACTAACAGCCTAAGCTTGCGTTTTTGCTTTAATTTATTACAAATCTCAGATCTTACAATAGTTCTTCACATCCATGAAACTTCATGAGCCAGTTGAATCAAGAAAAGAAGCATATTCATATCTACCGCGATACAATATGAATGGGATATGTGTAAATTTTCCTAGGCTCTTATAACCTCCTTTCAAGTGACCACAGACTACGCAGAATTCACAATCCGCATGAGAAAGGTAAAGACTATACAGAATTTACATCCCCACAACATGCTTTTAGAATATCTTTGATATCTGGATCATCCCCGGCTTCTTTATCCTACTCCAATACAAAAGCAAAAACATTAGCCACAAATCACTAGCAAAAAAAGAGCTCATCTTATATCTACTTGTACATTTGGACTCACTGGTATGCTTTGAAAACTATATATGTGTGTACTTCCCTCTACTCTGTTCTCTGAATCAAAATGAATTGTCTTGTCTTATCAGCAAATATTGCCAGATTCTCTGGTGATTTAAAGTTTCAATTGGAACTTCGGAACTTGCTAGCAACAGTGTTGAATAAGTTACTGCCTTAACTCGAAAGGGAAAATCCTTCGAAGGCTCTACTTGTACCATATTGAGTCATTATATGCTTTAAGAACTATTTATGTTCTCTTAATTAAAATGGATAGTCTTGGGATTATCTGGCAGTCCGAAGTTTCAATCTGAACTGGTTACAACCGCATGATTAACCAACAAGTCTATTAAGTCCCAAGCAAAACAAAGGATAGAAGACTTGCCTTGTGGATGTACAGGATGTTACTTTTACCAGGACCCGCAACTAGCTGCCTGCCAAACAAACAATGCCACACATGCAAAGTTTGTGCTAATTACTTGCTAAAACAAAAACTGTAACAGAAGGTGACAACTTGTAAATTTTCATTCTAATTATAAGGTTGGGGAAGAGTACAAGTATAATAATGCATGGGAATTGGGAATTGCTCGTACCATATAATTAGAATGATAATAATTTTCCAGAAACATATATAGCTTCAACTGCTTCCCCACCAACACCTGTCTCTCAAACAACTGTTCAAAAACAACTTTGGTCAATGCCGGAGGAAATAAAAAATGATAGGGACACTACTGTTACTGTATGGTATGAATACTATGAATGTAAAGAAACACTTCAAAACTCAGAATTCGACTTCCAAGTGATTAATCATATCCTTATTAATTTCAACCAATTGACTGATCATCATTAAACTAAAATGAATAAAGAAGACAACAACATAATTAATGAGAAGTGAGAACGAACAACACAACCATTTTTGCTTGGTGGTTTACATGATTGGAAAAGCCAAGGGACTCAACCTGGTGTGTATGATGCAAACATATTCACGCGAGGTTTAATTATTACAAATTTGCAATGTGCTAAAAATTAAGAGACATACAACACGAAAAACAATCAAGCTAAAATGAAAAGTAAGTTAGGCAGGGCTTCACCTAAAAGAAAATAATTGATTTGGTGAAATCCTTCTGTTGATAAAAGAACCAAAGAAAACAAATAAGAAAATAGAAAAAAACTTACCTCGGAGGCTAATATGTGAAATCTTGGGCCATTCGGGGCCGCTGTCTCTTAGGCATCTTTCAGTTAGAAGAAAACAACAGCCAAGCAATATGTGCTTTAATTTGGTGAGACGTTGCATAGCTTCAAGCGTAGGTAGATACTTTAGATTCTCGCACATGGATATAAATAGGAAGTCAAGAGATGCAAGATTTCCCAACCACTCTGGAAGAGCCTCCATGCCGTCAAAGGACCTTATTTGTAAACATGTAAGAGAAGTCAAGTGTTGAACTTGTTCAGGGAGAGACTTGAGCTTCGGCCAACCCCACAAGGTTAATGTTTCAAGTTGTGGAATAACCTGAAAAGCAGGAAATGAATCGAGCTCCTCCCAGAACCCACCAATTTCCAATTCCTTTAAGCGGGTGAGGGATGCTGCAAACGCACTGAGGGGTACACTTTTTAATCCATCACAGTTATATATCCTCAACTCAAGGAGTTGTGTGAGGCTGTCTAAACTTGGAATAGCTTCGAGATTCTGGCAAGAGTTAATTGACAAGTGTTGAAGAGAGGTACAATGTTGTAACCCCCTCGGTAGGCTTGATAATTTATCACAATTTGAAATCTGTAATTGGCGGAGGGATGGGAGGCCGTGTGTAATTGGAATGGATGTTATTTTGGAGCAAAAGCTTATTGTCAACATTTGAAGAGAGGTGCAACATTCTAGCCCCTCAGGTAGAACAGATAACTCATGACAGTGAAAAATAGTAAATTCACAGAGAGATGCGAGACCGTGTGTAACTGGGATGCACTCCAGACTTTCACAACCCATTATAATCAACTCCTTAAGAGAGAGTAGAGTGTGGAGCCCATCAGGCAAAGTCCTAAGATTGGGACAGGAAGAAATATGCAGAGACTCGAGAGATGGGCAACAACCAAATACATCGGCAGCAATACATGTAAATTCTGGACAATTCTCTATCTCCAAATATGAAAGACTTTTGTTGTTTTTTAACATACCTTCCGGCAGAGAAGCAAGTCCCCTTATCTTCTTTATTGTGAGATGAGTAAGAGTGGTCAGCTGAGTGTTTATATTAGCTATCGGCATGCCGCTATTCATGGAATCTATCTCCAACTTTTTGAGACATGGAAAATGAGTGGGAGCACTTTTCAATTGATCACAATTCCTCAACAACAACTCCTCAAGGCGAGGAAACACAACCATTGTCTCTGTTGGCAATACTGCAGCTTCCGTCCATTCAATTAGGTTCTTTGCATAATCAATCCTTAATATTTTCAATGAAGAAAACAAATCTCTACACATCATCCATGGTGGAAATGTATCACCGCTAAACTTGCAAATCTCCAAAATTTCCAATCCAGAGTGTGGTTCAAGGCCTTCTAGTACATCCATGTCATTGTTTATGGCACTTGACTTGTCCCACCGCCATTCAAACCTTAGTCTGCGTATGTTTGTCTTCTGTGCTAACTTTGCCTTGTTTGCTTCTTCTCCATCTCTCACATGCTCCAGATCATAAATAGATAATTCACCTTTCAAATGCTTTAAGCCACCCAACTCCTCTATTCCACGACCTCTCTCCTTACCCACAATGAAAAAAGATAATGATTGCAGATTATTCAACCGCCCCATGCCAACTGGATATTTCATTTCATACCCCTTATCAAAATAAATATGTCTCAAGTTGATCAAATTTTGCAGTTCTTTTGGAAACTCTTCTGGATAGAGATCGTGCATTCTTAATGTTTGTAGGTTATAAAGCTTGCCAATAGATTGGGGGAGCTTGTTGATCGTTGTTGCTGAAATATCTAGATACCTTAAGTGTTTCAACTTCCCAATTGAAATTGGCAACTCATCAATACACACCCCCTGAAATTGCAAGACACGTAAACCTTTAAATCTTGGTAAAATGTTACCAGAAACTTCGCCTTTCAAAAACATTGAGCGTAGTTTATGAATATTTCCTTTCGGAATTCCGTGTAGTGTTGAGGTTGAAATCTGCGGCATATGTCGATCCTCATTGGAGTCCTTGCTCCTTGATTTTGATACCAGCTCAGCAAGATCATGCACAAGATCGTGCATTTTGCAATGGGTAATCACATTATTGCCATCTTTTCTAACATCTTGAAAAAATGAGTTCGCTAATAGAATATTGAAATATTTGTTTCCTACGTCCTCCATATCTAGACTACTACTGTTGGGAGAAGGGTGAAGCAATCCTTGAGCCATCCAAAGTTCAATCAAGCAATCCTTTTCAATTGTGAAATCTTTTATGAATATTGAGCAATAGGCAAAGCATTGCTTCAAAGATGACGATTTCAATTCATCAAAACTCAACTTCAAAACTGAAAATATTATTTCTTCTTCTTCATGTAAATCCCATATACTACTTTCTTGAATTGACTGCCATTCATCACTCTTTTTGGAGCGCATCATACCTCCCAAAATCTGTTGGTAACACACACCCACCCCAACCCCACACCACCCCCCCACCCCCCCCCCCCCCCCAAACAAAAAAGCTCCACTGATTTTCCCTTGATCGATTTCAAAAATAGTTTACCAGCATCACTTTTTTTGCATCAGAATTTATTAAATATAAGATTCATATTTATTCCACAGATATGCCTTTGCCATAAAGGGTAGACCTCCACACTTTTTGGCTATGTCCCTTCCAATTCTCTCTTGATCTTCACTTAAAGGAGCACTCCTATCTGAAAGCGCTTTATTCTTCAATATGAGCCAACATTCATCATCTTTTAGTTTTCTCAGATCAGGCATTGGAAGTGTCTGGACGATCGATGCAACACTAGCACTGCGAGTAGTGACAAGGATGCTGCTTCCTTGAGTATCTTTGATATTTAACAAACAACTCATCAAATCTTCCCATTTTTTACCATCCTCGTTCCATACATCATCGAGAATGAGAAGATATTGTTTTCCCTTTAAATCTTCTTGGAGGTTTTCACATATTGCTGCCTTACCTTTTACCCCAGCCTTTGCTGGTTCAAGATACTCCAAGATCCCACTTAAAATTGTCTTGACGTCAAAAGGGGTAGAGACACATATCCATATTTTTGTGTTGAAGTAGCTATCTATCTCATTTTCATGATATATTGCTTTAGCCAAAGTGGTCTTTCCCAGGCCTGCCATTCCCACAATGGCCATAACACAAGGATGAGTCTCTCGGTTGTTGCTTGAGTTGATTAAGGCTGTAACTATATCCGACACAAGCTCCTCCATTCCAACGATGTACTTTTCATCCAAATGAAATCCGGAGACAGTTTCCCTGTCAAGTACCAGTCCTACATCACGAGAGGTTGCATCGATGAATGTCGGCCTAGCAAATAGCCCAACACTAGCGGCCTCATTCCTCAGATTCGCCAAAGATGCATTGATCTTCTTAATTTTGTGTGCAATTTTGAGACGAAATGCAACAGGATTGTGGAGTGAAAAGAAGTTGAGTGCCTTTTTGTTCATTTGGTTTTGGAGTTCTACCTTACGCCGGAGAAGCTCATATCCGTAGTCATCCAGCACATCATCAGCATCATGGGCTATGTCTTCAAGCTTCTGCACCCACATTTCGACAGCTTCACCCCGAACTTGTGATTGTTCCGCATCTCGTAACATAGCTTCTGTCACTGACAATGATTCACGCAGAGTTGTTAGCTCTCCTTGGAATCCCCATACAAGACTGATTTCTTGAGCGGCAAGTGAAGCAACTTTCTTCACTATTTCCTTTGCACCAAAAGTAAAAAATTCCGCCATCTTTTTTCTCTACTACTTATGAAGACCAAAACGCATAACAAGATTAAAGGCGCAATGTATCGCTCCCCAGTCCTGAAGGTTACTATGAATCCATAGACGAACTTATAATATAAACAATGTGTGTATACAGATGCCGTGCAAGTTTGAATCGCATCTCCTTTTCAAAGCATCAAGGAAGGTGCCCAATAAGTTTCATATTCAAACTGTGAATATGATATAGGAAAGACTTGGCTAATACCTAGCCGGCAGAAGCAATTAAATTCATTTTAATTATAAAGTCAATACCCCTTTTATAATAAATAAAAATAAAAGTAAATAAAGTCAATCCTCAAAATTCAAACATGTTGGCACGATGATTAGATGCAAAATTATAAAAATGAAATCCGACTAATATCTGAAAGTTGTAGAGTTTTTCCATGGCTGTTTGTGTAGCGTAGCTGACCCACAAAAAAACCGTTAGTACCTTATCATCTGACCAAGTCCATGGTTACAGCAGTTAAGTTGCGGACTTACATTCCCATAGAAATGGTATGGGAGACTTTCCTTTCCTAAGGATGTTTTATGCAGATGTCGTAGGATCCTATGGTTTTTAGTTGTTTGTTGTTTGGGCAAATGCCATTTCTTCCATAAAATGAAATAAAAAGAACAGAAAAGTTTAAAGTCGTTGCACAAAACCATATGGTCCATATGTAGTATGAAAAACAAGAATCGAAAAAATCGAAAAATAACGCAATACTAACAGTCTCAACCTGCGTTTTGCTTAATTTAATTACACAATCTCAGATTTTTAATCGTTCTCCACATCTATGAAACTTCAAGAGCCAGTTGAGTCAAGAAAAGAAGCATATTTATCTCTACAATTATACAATGTGAATGGTACTTGTACATGTTCCAAGGCTCTCAAAGCCTCCTTTTAAGTGACCACAAACTACCCAGAATTCACAATCCACTTGGGAAAGGTAAAGAAGACTATACAGAATTTACATCCCACAACATGCTTTTAGTATATCTTTGATATCTGGATCATCCCCGGCTTCTTTATCCTACTCCAATAAAAAACAAAAACAAACATGGAATTACACAGCAGCTACAAGTCACTAGCAAAAGAGGTATCTTAATATCAACTCATTTGTATGCTTTGAAAACTATCAGCCAATATTGCCACATTATCTAGTGTTTTAAAGTTTCAATAGGAACTTTAAACAAGTTCCAGAACTTGTTAGCCACAGACAGTCATGAGTAAGTTAATGTCTTAACTCGAAAGAGTATCCTTCGAAGGCTCTACTTGTACATATTGAGTCATTTGTATTCTTTAAGAACTACGTATGTACTTCCAGCTATTCTGTTCTCCAAATCGAAATGGATAGTCTTGAGTTATCAGCAAAATATTGCCAGATTATCTGGTGGTTTGAAGTTTCAAACTAAACTGGTTAAAACTGCATGATTAACCAACAAGGCTATTAACTCCAAAGAAAACAGAAGGATAGGAGACTTGCCTTGTGTATGTACAGGATGTTGCTTTTACCAGGACCCGCAACTAGAATTCCACCTTGCTGCCTGCCAAACAAACAATGCCACACATGTAAAGTTTGTGCTAATTACTTGCTAGGAACAAAAATTGTAATAGAAGGTGACAACTTGTAAATATTCTCATGATTAGACTTGTATAATACTTGTGGTAAGATGGATATACGGACATACCAGCCACCTCTGGCCACGGTGTCCTGTTCAAAAGAAAGTTTCCAGTCTTGCCGGTAACCCTCCATGTACAACTCTATTATCTTAAGACCTGCCTAGAATGTGGCAGAAGCAACTTAGATAAGAAGTCCTACTTTCTGTAAGAAAATCTTAGAAACTTCAGAAGCACCCCTTCTAGCTATAAGCACCTACTACATCTATGCATCGTCACATTAAAAAAAAACATACAATGTTCCTTACGTACTTTGGGAGTAAATGTGGTTAAGACCCCAGAAACAAATCTTAATGCCTCGTATGATGAGTGACTCGGATCTGCATAAACTTCTGGAATGAAAAAAAAAAGGAAGTTCTGTGACTGGGATGCCTTTAGAGGGAGAAAAAAATTATAACAGAATTAGTAAAAGCCCTTCTGAAACTTACCTCCTTTGAACTTTGTTTGCTCAGCGAATGCTTTTCCCTACAACAAGTTACTGCATATGGTTATAACAAAGGTCTATAGCATTTGCACCAAACAGTAAATCAGAACAAGAAATAGATAATGAAGCCTTGGCTAGCGAGCTTTGGCAAGGTTCAATTCACAATCTAGTACAAACTACAAAGTGTTAATGATAAGAAGTGCTCTTCCATATTTTTGCCATGTCACATCCCTGAACTTACAGGGAAATAGCCGAAATTACGAGACTCCCTCCCTTCCACAGATGGCAGATGGAAGTCATACATTAACACAGAAATGTAACGTGACATCACCACCTCTACCTACCTAATTAAAGATTAATTAAGCTGACATGCTTATCTATTTTGGTTAATTGGATATGATTTCTCAGAGCAAACCTGATCAATGCTACCAGGTCCAATCAAAACAAGTGCCACACCAGATGCATCCATTATATCCTGTCAACATATGAAATGTGTTCAGGCAAGCAAGCTAGAGAGCCAGTACCCTTGTGTTGTGTTGTTTTAAGGCAACTAGGCATCTCCTATTTCTGTAATTGACAAGAATCCCATCCAATAATTACCATATAGTAAAACTTAGTCAAATTTGTAATGCATATAAATTTGCATCATTAAAATATAAACTAAACAAGTTGATGACAAGCATGTATCAAAGTCAATCCAGTGATAAATTATTAATGGGTAATTACCTTCTTTGATGCAAGATAGTCAGCCCGTTTGCGGCAAAATACGCATCTGAAAATTAAACAAAAATTTAATTTTTAACCTATTTAGCTTAACAATTACTAATCAAGAAAAACTTAGCAGAAAATGAAATTACTAAGCAAAACTTTATTGCAGATTATACTAGTTCAACTATTAATACTAGAACATTACCCGAAATGGCGGGCAAATGCGATGACAGCTGTCCTATCTTTCCACAAATCCGAAATCGGAATTCCATTTCCATTCAAATCAAACACCTTCACCGTCTCCAATAAACTCGCTGCATCTTCACCGTTCAAAGAAGACTCGGCCCCTGTTCACATCCACGCACGATTACAACAAAATATATAAAATATGTCATTGTTTTCTTTTCCATCAGTTTCTCGGAAACCAAACAGGCTATTAGAAAACGAAAACTTGCCTGGAGAGCCAGAGACTGCAGAGGCTACGACGTGGCTTTGCCGCGGTGAGAATTTGATCAGTCTCTTGCAGCTATTGAGATTGGGAAGAAGGCTGCCGATATTCAGATTCGAAATTACAGGTGTCGAGGCGCAATTGGTGTTCCTCTTTGGAGGGAGTGAGGTGGAGTAGAGTGTTGCAGAGAGAGTAACCGCCATGGTTTCTCAGAGGAAAGAAGCAGCCGAGTAAGTGGCGACGTTACGACCGTTGGCGTATTTCATTATTTTATGGGAAACGAGGCTACACGTGGCAACTCGTGATCTGTCCCTTCAACAAAACATTACGAACGACAAGTCGTTTTCGGTATGATAAAAAAAAAACCAACGACGTTAGGGTTGCGCGGCATAAAACCAAAGGCTTCTAACTTCCAACTAACTTTCTCAGTCTCTCTCCCATCTCTCTGCAAACTTCGGCATTTCAATGGCGGCCTTAACCCGCCTATCAAAGCCCTCGTTCACATCACTTTCCTCCGTCTCACGCATAAGCCGGTGCTTGTACTCGGGCATAGCACCGGAGCCCAGCTCTCATGGCGCTTCGCCATATAGCCCACGATTGGGGCCCAAGCCCAATCTCTCGGTCAAGGACCCCAAGGATCGAAACGTACAGTGGGTCTTCTTGGGCTCACCGGGCGTGGGCAAAGGCACGTACGCGAGCCGCCTGTCTAATCTCCTCGGCGTTCCTCACATCGCCACTGGAGATCTCGTCCGCGAAGAGCTCGCGGGCTCTGGGCTTCTCTCTAAAGAGGTTTTGATTCTTTTGATTGCTCGTTTCTTCTTCTGTTTTTTTCTCAGATCTGCTTTTTTTTTTTTTTTTTTTGTTTTTTTTGGTGTTTTGTGTGTGTGCAGTTATCGGAGATTGTGAACCAGGGAAAGTTGGTTTCTGATGAGATTATAATAAGCTTGTTGTCGAAGAGATTGGAGGCTGGGGGAGCTAAAGGGGAACTGGGTTTTATTCTTGATGGGTTTCCTCGAACCATAAGACAGGCGGTAAGTGTCTTAGCTGTTATACACTTGTATTGTAGAGTAAGATTTGAACTGTATAATGTGATTCAAAGTAAGATGAAGCTCGTAAATTGATTATTCTTGGTTGGTTTTATGTGATCTGATTTAAACTATTTGTATTGATCAAATGAGTAATGGATTACTGAATTGGTGAAATGTGCTCAAGGATTGATTGTCTGTATGTGTGTTAGGAAATATTGGAAGGGGTGACAGAGATTGACCTGGTGCTCAATCTGAAGCTCCGGGAAGATGTGTTGGTTGAGAAATGCCTTGGGAGGAGAATGTGTAGTCAGTGTGGGGGAAATTTCAACGTGGCCTCCATTAATGTTAAGGACTCAAATGGGAGTCCTGCAATTAGCATGGCTCCGCTTCTTCCACCTCCACATTGTATGTCAAAGCTTGTTACTCGAGCTGATGATACTGAAGAAGTGGTTAAACATCGGATTCATGTATACAATGAGAAGGTATTTCTTTATTTTCATATCATGATTGACCATGGAAACACTTGAATAACATACGTAAATACAAAAGGGCTTATAGGGAAAGTGCCTTCCATTATTTTCTAGTGCTGGTTGCATGCGTATTAGGTTCCTTTGGGGGAAGAAGGGAAAATATTTTAATTTCCATGTTGTATTCAAATGTCTTTTTGATGGTTTGTATTCCTAATGGATAATGCAGAGTCGGCCTGTAGAAGAATTCTACCGTAGTCGAGGGAAACTGTTGGAGTTTGATTTGCCAGGAGGGATCCCAGAGTCTTGGCCAAAGTTGCTTGAAGTTCTTAATCTTGATGAATACAAGGAGAAGCAGTCTGCTGCAGCATGATTTGTTGCATTGCGCCTTTAAAGGTGAATATGTGATTCTCTAGACGCGTAAGGTGCGAGCTAGGGTCTATGGACACTTTCAATTTTTGGTCTGTTGTTTTCTCGTGGAGAGAATTCAGTTATATTGCATTTGAAGAGAGTCGTTCCACTAGTATTGTTTGGTTTAGGGATGATTTATTTACTAACAATTTTGTGGCAGCAATAAGCTTCAGGAGAGGAGGCTAGATAATGATACCGTATTGTTGTAACTTATGATTGATTAATATAGCAAATTGCGTCTTGGGGGGCACAATAAATGAGGGAATTTTTTTATGGCCCTCAACTTAAACTTGTTCCTATTATTTCTTTTCATTTTTGCCCCCTGCGACTTTATAAATTTATTTCAGATAAGTTTGGCATAAGATGAGCCAATCATGCTAAGATATGTTATGATTATGATACAGGTCCATTATGGCAAGGTCTTTGGTTGTTATATAGTTTTGTTCTTCTACCTATTCTTTTCCAGATTCCTCGTGCAGCTGGCCGAGTTGATTGGCTCAAGTACTGCCAATCAGCAAGTTATCAGCTGCAGATATTGAATTTCAGCACAATACCAGCTCTTGACTGCAGAAGTTTGAGCGGTGCAAGATAGAATGTGCTGTACATTTTACCAAAGTAGTTCCTTTTAAACTTGATGCGCAATTAGGTTATAGTGATTTTGTTGTAAATCAATGTGGTTGGACTATATGCATCATGATTGTGCGTGTGTTCCCCCCATGTTGTTTTGAACTGTACAGTCGTTTGGTGATACTTTGTCGCTTTCACCGACAGCAGAAACCTTGAAAGAAAGAAAGAAGAAGAAAAATTGTAGAGAAGATTCGTGTTTAATTGTTGGTGTACCTTTACCCTTTATGGTTTTCTTATTATGGCTGGCTGCATGTTGATAGCTACGTTGCATGCACTTCCTAGTGCTTGAACGCTGCCAATCTGTCCATGGCAAAGATTGTATAAGTCCTTGGAGTCGCATCTGTAAATTATTCATGAAGTTACAAAATTATATGATCTTTCTAACTTAAATATATATATATATATATTTTCCCTCATTCGAAATGTTCTCCAGCCCCCTCCCTCCCCTTATCCAGTTGTTATGGCCTTTTTTATATAAAAAAATCTGGTAGAGTTTCCTGCAATCGGCCAATATGATACCTTAAACAACAGAGCATCCCGCGGTAGAAAATCCAAACAGAGCATCCGGATTCATGATATTAAGCCTTTTTTCGATTTCCATCAAAGAAAATAAAAGCGAAGCTTGACATTTTGATAAAGAACATTAGAGGCTGATCTGTTATGCGAAACCCTGAATTCTGTGTCACACGCAATGAATATTCCTCCTCCTCAACCTCATCTACGCGCTTCATGTTTGTTCCGGCATCCATTTTCTCCACTGGATCATGATGCATGGTTCCAAATGAAGCAATGGTTTTGTGGTGTCCGTTGAGAAGGATCTCTGTAAATCCATGGAATCGCAATAATATACTTATAGCCCAAAAGCATCTCCCAAGAATATGAGCAAGCTCTTTCAGACCACAGCTTTCTCTCCTCCACATAATTTTCCACCGCTTCTTTATCTTTGGCATCTTCATAGTTGGATAAGATTTGAAGGCGGTAGGGCCAGTTCCCAAAAGAAGATAAATATACGAGGGATATTCTACAAAAGGTAAGCACTATCAGCAGGCTCTGTGCATGAAAGCTCAGAAAAGTCAATTTGTATGGGTTGTCCTTTAGCCAAAAGTACACAGTGACAACTTGAAGAGGCTCCTGCCTACCATTTTCTGAAAATTTATTATTATTGTTAGGAAGATATCTCTATCCAAAATATTAAATTATGAAATATAGAAACAGTAAGTGGGATGCTGAAAATAAAATTATAATGGATTTGTTGAGAGTTATATGATCTTATACTTAATCCGTGATTACCCAAAAGTTCAAATCGGTTAAAAAAGAATGCAGTGCAGTCCATTCTAATCTAACTTTTAAATAATTTGAATGCAAAGACGCTTGTAGTTTAAGTGTTTAATAACGTTCATTGCTACACATGAAATCATAGTTCAGTTTTAGGGCATAAATTAATAACTTAAATCAACAATGTTGACAAGGGCATTTCCACATAATCATATATTTAACCATCGTGAAACTTAAATGAAACACATAAATTATATGTATAAAAAATGTTAGCATTACCTTGTGATTAAAAAGAATCTCCTAATACATCCTATTTTAGTTTATGATTAAAAAGAAAATCTTAAACCAGGCCCCAAGTGTTCCTTGCAAGTTGCAACACCTTATTTAGATATTTGAGGATATTTTTTACTCGTATGACGTGCCAAATATTCAGACCCGAAAAAGGAAATGGCCCAAGCGTGTGGACAACTAACGAAAATATAACACGTTACCACCGCCACTTCCACCAGTACCAACCACATGGAAGATATTTGGCGAGTAGGTAATCCACGAAAGCGACGTTTCCCCTTCCGGTACTCGCCATCCAATACCGCCACGTGTCGCAAACCAGATCTCCGAGATCTTGAGAAGTGCCAAGCGAGCCCTTGCACTCACTGCTTTAGATTTCGTCCACCTCAGCAGCCCTCGGCCCCATTTTCTGCCAAGCTGGAAATATCTCGCATCTGACATGGCGTTCTCGAACGTTCTACTTCTACTGCATCTCCACCCTTATTTTGTCCACATCATCAGTCGCTGAGCTCATCTCGCAGCTCCATATCTTTTACTCATCTCTCTCTCTCTCTCTCTCTCTCTCTCTCTCTCCCCACCCCCCCCCCTGGACGAAAGGATCGCCGATTATCTCTCTCGTAACTGTTTGCAGTCTTATGTTTCTTGGTCCAGTCAAGCTTGTCCCAACTCTGCAAAGATAGTAAAAAAATATCTAAGAAATATCCAAATTCAGATATTTTTTGAAGATCCAAACTAAGATTTCGGAATTATTGTTTGACCATTTTGTTTTTTTTAGTACAATGATTTTCTTGGTAATTTCGGTTTGGATCTAGCTCAATTATGGCGGTTAATGAAGCTTTGCAGGTGATTTCTTCCATGTTACTTCTTTGATTTTATACTTATCTTCTCTCTTTTTATTTTTTTTTATTTTTTTATTGCTTTGAATTATATACTTGGCTACTCTGGTTTAGATAATTTGAAGCTCATCTAGGTTCATCCATATCATTTATAGTTGTTGAAGATTGGTGCTATGTGAGATTTTTAAATCATCATTTCTGTTGATTCTCTGCATCTTTCAATTATTTGTAGATTAGTAGTGTTCCAAGTTCTCAATTTCAAATTGTTTGGATTTTTTTTTAAAAAAATTTGTGCATAGCATACTGGTATCATCTTATCTTTAAAAGAAAGAATTTGATGTTAATGCTTTATGGTGTATTTTTTTACTGATATGGTGTTCTGGTCTTACAGGGTGAAAGCAATTTGTTGGGTTTCAAGCCATTTTTAGCCAGCTAACAACATCTGGTGTAAATTGGCATCACATGTATATATATTCGGTTATGGGTTATCATTTGACATCACTTTGTAACCGGTGAATACCCATTGTGTTAGGTTTAGAAGGGTCTGTAGTTGCAGAGGTTTGGTTTTTGCAGCCAACGCTATGCGCCATTCTTTTTCCCGATTCAAGAAGTTTTTTTTTCAATCTGAACTTGGGCCGTTTTTATTACTAGTCTTTTGTCTGACTGATAGAGTATCCTGATGAGTGTTGATAGTGATGAGGATAGGCAACTGCTGGAGCTGAATCACCGTTCATGGGACGGGAAGGAAAGGGTTAAGAATGGAGTGGTGGATGAGGAAGGAAGGTTAGTTGAGGAAGATGAGTCGAAAAGTAATGGAATAGCTGGAGATATAAACGGTGGGGAAGGAGGGGGTGTTCAAGTCCAGGCTGTTAAGCAACAGCCTCAAGGGTCAACGGTTTGCTGGGAAAGGTTTCTACATGTTAGATCTCTAAAGGTTTTACTGGTGGAATATGATGATTGTACTCGCCATGTTGTCACTGCACTGCTTCGCAATTGCAGTTATGAAGGTTAGTGATTTGGCTTCTGAGACACCTAATGCTTCACATGCATGACTATACGCAGACACTGCTGTTTATGAAAAAGTGAATATCGGGTTGAGTTTCCTGTTAACTTGACTTTCAGGGTTCACATGTACAAGCTTTTGTATTTTGTCGTTTTTAATGTGGATGCTATGATCTTTCATGCTATCATATGCTTTTGTGATTACTGGAAAGCATAGATGTATATGTTGTTGCATTTGAAAAATAATAATTAAAAAATTAATGTTAGTTTTCTGTCATTTGCAAAATACATGATATCTGTATCCATTTATCTCTTTTATTTCACATGCACACACACAAATATCATATATTTACTTGGTGCATCAATTACATCCTTTTTGTATATTTATCTTTTAAAATCCAGGATTTAATTCTTAATTCTTCGTATTTTCAGTGATTGCAGCAGCAAATGGATTGCAAGCATGGAAGATTCTTGAAGATTTGACTAATCATGTTGATCTAGTCTTAACTGAGGTAGTTATGCCATGCTTATCCGGTGTTGGTCTTTTAAACAAGATTATGAGCCATAAGACGAGGAAAAATGTTCCTGTGATTAGTAAGTTTTTATTTATTTTATTTTATTTTTTATGCCCATCTCAATAACAGTTGTATTGAGTAGTGATACTCTGTTATAAGTTTTGAGTTATGCCAGCTTAGAAACTATTTTGAGATTTGTGTGCAGTGATGTCATCTCATGATTCAATGGGTCTCGTCTTTAAGTGTTTGTCAAAGGGTGCTGTTGACTTTTTAGTGAAGCCTATACGAAAGAATGAGCTTAAGAACCTCTGGCAGCACATTTGGAGGAGATGCCATAGTGTGAGTCATTATGACTTTCCATTCTGGTATTAGAATGCTTGCCCACAAGTCTTTGTACTGCTGTTCAGTTCTTTGTATTTTCCTATTTTTTTCCCTTCCTCAACCGATTATTAAAAAGTAGTTTTCACTTCACATGCTTTACTTTTCTCCTGTTTGTGAAGGGTCTTTTTTTTCTCTTGAGATTATTGTTGAGCAGTGCCATTGTTAATGAGAATAGCTTTTTATTTATATGATGATATTACATAAGGTTATATTAAATATGTTTGCTTAATGGTTAGTAATTTTGTTTCACGTTGCAGTTTATATTATGTTTCTTAATTTTCTTTGTATGACTAGTATCTAAACTTTCTTTCAGTCTAGTGGTAGTGGAACTGGAAGTGAAAGCGGCACACAAACTCAAAAGTCTGTAAGATCAAAAAGTGTTGCAAAGTCTGAGAACAATAGTGGAAGCAATGACGAGGAAGATAATGAGAGCACTGGTTTGAATGTTGGAGATGGAAGTGACAATGGGAGTGGCACTCAGGTATGCTAGTTATTGGATATTAATGATCTTGGATGGTGCATGCCTATTATGTGAATTTTCACATTAGTCAGGAGAAGGGAATGTATACTCATCTCAATAGAATAATTGCAGCTTTACTTCTTTTCGGATGTGTGCATCAGTTACTCTTGTTTTGCAGCTCTTATTCTTAAGTTGCTAAAGGGATTGATAATGCTGGTCCTGCTGAGGATAGCGTATGATTTAATTCTTTTTAATTGAATTGTAAGTGTTTCTGTATTAGGTTTTCAGAAACTGATGACGGGTTTACTATCCTGTAAGATAGCTTGTAATTGCCTTTTGCTTGTTTATAGTGTTGACTCTTTAACTCTAGAGTCCAGACTTGGTTATTATGAGAGTCCTAGAAAGTACAGGTTACTGTTTTAATAATGTAAGTACTGTAGTTAGTTATGCATGTTAAAGTCAATACTAAACAGTGCCTAATGGTAATCAATGGAAGTTCCTCCAATAACTCTTGTTTAGTAGGTTTCAAATTGTGAACAGGTTCACACCAGTAAAGGAGCATTGCTGTCAATCAATTTAAGGATTAGTCCACAATTTTGCAGATATGCAAAAGAATATAACACTTGGGATAAGTTTTTTTTTTTGGACGAGTAACACGGATCATCAGCTCAAAGAAAAAATTTAAGAAAATAGAGTCATAGAATGACCCAGGCTCATAGATGCGTCTCACTGTGTTAGTGTTTCATTTTACAGAGTTCCTGGACAAAAAAAGCTGTAGAAGTTGACAGTCCACGACAAGTGTTCTCATGGCACCAGGTAGCTGAGTGTCCTGATAGTACTTGTGCCCAAGTAGTTCACTCAAACGCTGAATCACTTGGTAACAAATTGGTCCCTCCAGCTGCAACAAGGGAGTGCCAACAACAGAAGGAACATGGTATTCCCGGAATTATCTAAACCTGTGTGGTTCTGTGCATCCTATTCAAATGTTATTATGCAATTTTCCTTATATAAGATGTTTGTGTGTGTGTGCACACACACACACATATGTATACTTGTTTTACTTTCTTAGTGATTAGGCTGTTTTTTCTATTCAGACAACTTTGCAATGGGAAAAGATCTAGAGATAGGCCTATCCAGTAATAGAGATTTACAGCGTCAGCACGCTAATGACTTTTCAACCAAACCAGCAGGAACAAGACAGAATAATCTGATTGAGATAGGTTCCGGTGAATTTGACCACCAGATTGATAAGGGGCAGCTGAAGTTCAACTATGAGAGTCCTTCCAGTAAGCCAAAGTATGATGGTGCTACTATAACAGGTGTTGTCACTGATCCCACCGATCCCCTGATGGACAGCACACAATTCGAAGCTTCTAACAGACAATATAAGGCCTTAGACAGAAGCACTAAAGCCAATAGTAATACTCATGAACCATCCGTGGAGCTCAGTTTGAAAAGACTTAGAGGAGTTAAAGGCACTGAGACAACAGTACAGGATGACCGCAATGTCTTAAGACGTTCAGACTCTTCAGCCTTTTCAAGGTATGAGGAACATAAGGACTTGATATTGATATTGTCTACTGATAAAGTGGAAGTTTGAAACAGTTGTCTTGTACGTTCTCTTGAAATTTCTATGTGGTTACCCTTAGCATATTTCTTCCTGTGCAGGTATAATGCAGCCTCAAATGCTAACAAGGCTCCTTCTGGGCATGTTGGAAGCAACTCTCCACAAGATAATAGTGGGGAAGTTACAAAAAAGGAATTTTTTCGCGATATTCGACCTCATTCAAGCGAAAACCCTCCCAATCAATCCTCGAATGGAGGCAGCAATAACATTGATATGGGCTCCACAACTAATAACGATGTTCCCAAATCTCAAGTTATAAACAAGTCAGCAGCAGCATCCACTGTCCAACTTTTGCATCCATCGTCTGCTTTCCATCCTGTGAAAAAGGACCTTAAGAGTGCTACCCAGCAAGTTTTAGTAGATAATGCTAATAATGTGGCAACGACAGTATTGGCTCAATCAAGAGATGCCCAGAAGCAACTCCAAATTCAGAACCTCCATCATGATTATGATCACTGTCAGGTCCATCGCCATGTTGTCCACACTATGCAAGGACAACACCTGCCTGAGCATAATGATTTATCTTTGAAGAAATTGGCTGCAGCTGCTCCGCATTGTGGATCGTCCAATGTTCTGAGTGGGCCTGTTGAAGGTAATCCTGGAAATTACAGTGTCAACGGAAGTGCTTCAGGCAGTAACCATGGGAGCAATGGGCAAAACGGAAGCAGCACTGGAAAAAATGTAGGTGGTACAAACATGGAAAGTGATGTTGCTGGGAAAAGTGGAAGTGGTGATGCTAGCGGAAACCAGAGTGGAAATAGAGTAGATGAAAACAAGGTCAAGCAGAGAGAAGCTGCCTTGACCAAGTTTCGTCAGAAAAGAAAAGAGAGATGCTTCCGGAAAAAGGTGACTAATTTTCAGTTGTTTAATCCTAATGCTAGATCTTAATAAGTTGTTCAGGAATAATTTAGGTGTTCCTCCTTCTTGAAATTGTTTTTTAAATTACCTCCACTCATTTCTTCTCCCTATTTTCATTTCAAAAATTTCTTATACGTATTTGCTCTTCCAAGGAAGGCTTGTTAAATTGAGTTCTTCCTGTTTGCGCAACATTGGTGTGAATTGAGTAAGTTAAGTCTCTTAAATGCCTCCCTTCTTGCATGCTTGGTTTTCTTTAGAATATTTGAACAGAACTCATCAAAACAGAAAAGAAATGTAGACGGGTTTGCTGAATTTGGTTTTTGGTTGGTTTTTCAGGTTCGGTATCAAAGCAGAAAGAAACTGGCAGAACAACGACCTCGCATCCGGGGACAATTTGTGCGGCAGACGGTGAGCGAGAACACGGTCTGGACAACAGATAGCTAATCCAACACTTTCGATGAAATAGGGTTGAATTTGGTGTACTTGTGAGTTGTTATCAGTTACATGTATATGTACATTTCTTTTAACTCTTATGAACGAGGTGCATGGTAAATATTCATGTAAAGAATTGGAGGTTTTGGAGGTGAGAACTCTTAAGACAGACCACGCCTTGAGATGCATTCCATTATTGTGGATTTCAAGATGCTTCTTTTACACAGGTGGCCATCAGCTTTATGCGATCAGAGTCTTTTTATTTGGTGTGGTGTTATTTTTTGACCCTACCCTGGCAATTATGGAAATTTCTTTCCTTTTAAAAGAAGAAAAAAAACCCCCCCTTTTAATTCCTTCTCTAGATTCTATGTTTATACTAAATGCTATTTTTTCTTCTTCATTAATTTTTCCCCAAATCTCATATTTTTCAATTCTTTCTTCCCTTCTATTTCTGCGAACTGCGCCAAGCAATGGGTGTTCTCTGGCTTCCAGCTGACAGTACTTAAAGAGACAATCTGGGCCAGGCCCAAGCTTGTTTGTGATTGGTTTTGTTTTGGTCCTTGGACCTCAACTGTACCCAAAAAATAAAAAACCACCTTAAATTTTAACACAATTGAACCATCATCATCCTAACTCAACATGCAATGCTTTTTACTTGTAATGCTCCAAAAATGAAAATTAATTCTACCAGAAGTTTGTTTTTTCCCAGGTTCAGAGCCAGAATTCTTAAGAAGGGCAAACTGAGAGTCGAACTTTTATTGTGGACATAGACGTAAATGTTCTAAGCGCTTATGTAATCGGTTCGACTTACAGCATAGGTGCCAGTGAAACATTCCTTTTCCTTTTTGTTTTTGCTGGTATATCTATTAGTCTGGGGATTAAAGATTTTAGATTGTTAATTCAGAACCCGTGAGCTTTGTTTGAGGACAAATGCGATGCGTTGCTTGTTTTTTTCTCCCTGTATGTGGGAATGTCTTAAAGTTTCTAGTCATTGGTCGGGTTCGGGACCCTGCATTCTTCCCGTGCCACATGAACAATCCAAAAGAAAAAAGAAGGAGGCCAGCTCATTGCTAGCAGCACTACAAAAAAATACAAAATAAAAGCATCTTTCAGGATTAAAAAAGTAAAAAAAATATGCAAATTAATGACATAATTATTCAATTTACCACCAAATCAAAACCCAAAAGACATAACGCCAACCAGCAAACAAACAACGTAGCAAAACCTAACGGCTAAAAAACAAAGTAAAAAAGACGAAACACAATTACACACAACAACAAGGCCCTTACAGAAGAGGAGAATAAAAGTACACACAAAGTTCAACCAACTAAGGCGCTGAAACTGGAAATTCTGATGATCCACATTACATAGTATTTTAAAACAATCTAAATATTTCCGAATCCAACCAACACAGTTTGTCTAATTCTAGTATCACATTGTCCTAAGATGATCTGACACGTAGTTAAGTAATTATAAGCAAAAGCATCTTATATAGTCTTTGTATCCAAATTGCATCTTAAGTTTTAACTGTTCGGACAATATATACATATATATTTAACAATAAATGAAATTTGAACTTGTCACACTTCCAACAAAGCAAAGACTAAATATTTTTATTAACATCATCGCACTTAACCGATTTGGATAGGAAGCGATGTACTCCTTGTTGAGGGTCTTTTAGAGCATTCAAAAATGGTATTCAATTGATAAACTGGGGAAGATTAATCTAACCAATATACTAATTAATATAATTATGTAACGAAACTTTTAAAAATACATAGTAGTAATAAGTTTCACTGGTGCTATGATCCTGTAGCTGTGTGACCATTTCACTGACGTGTGGAGACCGCACCATATATTAATGTTACTATACGATTTGTTTGACAAATCTTTATTTCGTGGAAGAATTGTGGCCATGTTCATAATTGGTATATTGAAAACTTAGAATGATTTTATGATACCAGGGGCAGTAGTAGCCCATCCTAGGTTGATTCTAGTCATGGTGCCCAAGTAAGAGACCTTACCTAACTCACTAGTGGCTCTTGACTAGCACCTATGGTGAAACTACCACATCAAATGTGATCTTTGAGAAATTTTAGAATTAAGGCTGCCTATTTAGAGTAGCGCGTGAATTAATGGCTAACAGTTATTTACACATACGCAGGATGGTTGAATTTAACATTCCTCTACATTGTTATTTTAAACAAGTAACATGTTCTTTAAGATATGCGTATAAGCTTCGTTCATTTTTTATTGTCACGTGTATAAATGATTAATAGTTTTTGCATGTGTGAACGGGTGATTCTATCATTCATCTTCGGTGTTATTTTAACAGATTCCTTATCTTAATTAGGATGTGTGAAGAGCTTAATTCGTTTTTGGCCAACATAGACTATTCGCAATGACTTTGTTACCTCATTTGGTTCTCTGTAGGGATGTCAAGTTTGCCATATAAAGATTTTAATAACCTTTGATAAAGGATAAAAGGCAGGCTTTGTATATGAATTGATATTGGAAGCAGGCGGTGGCTGACCACTTCCATTTACCTGCCGACTATGGCACTGCATGGTTGGAAAATAAATCAAAACCAGACCAGTGTGGCCACTAATAACATGTTTTTCGACGCAACAAGAAAATCCCCAAAATTGTCTTATGCAGACAACAAAAATGGCCCTCTATCTCTAAAGTTGTTATCATCACATACTTTAAAATCCAAAATTTATATATGTGTAGATTTTTTTCTATGTGGACGTTTAGATGTCATTATTGTACGAATATCATATATGTTTTATTATCCCTCCATGTTATCCTACTTGTTTATAATGGCGTCGACACAATAATAACGTGCAGACGTCCGGATGAGAAAAGAACTATAAATATATGTAGGTAAGACACATATCCCAATAACTGAAAACTACATATAAGCATTAAGCTTTTCTGGTAAGGCAAGACACATATCCATTTGGAACCTGTATCTATCAACAAAAATATCAAACAATAAATTCTGTACCAGAAATTAGCAAAAGTAAATTGTGGACCAAATATAGAAAAATCAAAACAAAAATTCTGGACCAAAAATAATAAAACATTAAATTGAGAGTGGCACGTGCGGGGGCAAACACAAGTTGCAGCTACCAGTCAGGGGCGTAGAATTTTAGTTTAGTGATTGAGACGGCGAATACCGCCACGTGTCCCCATCCTCCCAACTAACTTTCCAAAGGCCAGAAAGAAATCTTCAAAGTTCAAATCAAACCCTGAAAAGAGTCAAAACCCTATGCTCATTGCTACATGCCAAACACTTGTCTCAAGACAATATATGTATTTATTTCAAAAACCTCCAAACTTGGCTTCATTCATATTCCAAGGGCAAAGCTGACTGGGTATTACAATAAATACCTAATATATATATATTTATTTATTTATATAAGCAATATTATTCTTTAAATTAATCTAAATTACGAGAAAAATGATCTGAATTTAGGTGCATAATAAAGAGTACATTTGCTCTAGCCAATTAGAAGTTTGTTAAAAGTTAGACTCAAGAGCTCTCATCAACCAATAAGTCACTTGGCTCATAATATTAACCAGCAAAACCGGCTAAGTTATTTATTTTATTAAAAAAAATTTCTCATTATTTTGATTGATTTGTTTGGATAAAGATAGATTATAAAAAAAATCTAAGATAGCGATCAGGTAGAAGATTATTTACACATTAATTCAAAATAGTTAAATTTGTCTAATCCATAGAATGATTAGTCTGACAACATATGTATTGCAGTATACTAATTAACTTACATTAGATGTGCATACAAAATGGATATTGTAATTATATTAATAAAAAGATAAATATTATAAGGAGATCTAGATGGCAAACGATGTTATAATAAAATAATTTAGGAACTATTATTGGCACTCGAAAAAGATCATCAAGTATTTTTTTTTTATGTAATGTATATATCCTTAATATTTTCATAAAAAAATAAGTGTACGATGATTTTTTTGGAATACTAATAATTTAAGTAAAAAGAAAGCAAGAAACATTATGATACAAAGTTACATGGATACTTAATCAATTACCAACTAATTGTACATGTATGCATTCCTTTATTCAATATGCTAAAGCCACTTGCATTCACATCATTGCAAAGTCTATAGTCTCCATGAAAATTATTGGTGGTACATGATTGAAACTTTTTGCCCTTCAAAAGTTATCATCATAACTTCATACCTATCCAGAAAACAAGTGCTTCAAAAAATATGTGATTGAGTTCTCACTAACTCACTATAGAGATTGATAAAACGATAAGTAAAAGACGAAATGATTCGGGAGAGTTAATTAGATAATTTAAATTACAATTAACTAAAGAGTGACAATGTGAGTTAAGCCAGTTGGTTAGAGTAGTGAGTTCGCTTCCTTGTACCTAAGTTCGTGTTCCCCTTTTCGAAGAGTAGATTAATTTAGAGTATTTAGACTATCGCTTATACAAACAAAAACTCACACACATATAATCCAAATTATTAGTAGGAAGAATGAAAAAACAAGGGGTGGGGTTTCAGAATGGAAGAGTGTATACTTTTGTGTAATATATGCATGCAAGATCAACTGGCTGGGGCCGAAATGAACCTAATCTCTCTGCCCCCACCCTATCCCTCAACTCTGTGGCAACTTCATATACTGCTAGAACAAAATCTACAGAAGTTTTCAGATTTTATATACTTTTTTTTTTCTTTCTGCTTATAGCTTTTGCCAATGGGGTTCATATTTTGTGCTGTCTGGTTGTACTCTTGTAACTTCTTCCCATCCATCAATTTTTCAGGTTGGCACTGTTATTATTTTTGTCATCGTTATAGTTTATGTGGTTGTAAAGGATATGAAATTAAGTGCTATTAATTTATGTTGTCCTATCTTAGTATTGATTATCATATACAGTACTTTGCCTATATGTTCTTTGGTGTATTTCATTCTAGATTTTCACCATTCTCACTCTAAATTATGTGGATATCATATCGATTTTGAAGGACTTTTTTGAAAGTGATTTTCTTCACCACAGTCAAAACTGAGCTTTTTTATTTTATTTTAAACCCTGTACATAGTTTTTTTATTTATTTATTTATATTTGTGGTCAAATTGTCATAGTGGCTTAACTTGCTACCAATAGTATCATCATCACTTGTACAACGTTGAAGCCAACAACACTTTTGTTTTGTCGACAATCAAATATAATAAACAATGTTTTTGAGATCAAAACTTTTGTAAAGTATCTAATATTAATTTTTTAATTTTTTTAATACAAGCGATAGTCTAAACTACAAGAAAAATGAGAGTTTCTCACACACACTATAAAAGTGTTATGAAGATTAGAATCTGAGACCAATGGTCTACAAGTCAATGTCATTTTTCATTGAACTAGACTTCGTTGACATGAATTATTCTATTAAAAAAAACACTACTTGCCACACCTAAAACAAATAAACCCTCACTCAACAAAAGAAAGAAAAAAAAAGTCCACTTTTCTTATATTTCTCAATAAGATAAATCTTGTAATAGTTTTCACAAACTTCACACCCATCCCTGCCTCACCTAACTTCCTCTCTGCCCTATTTTTCTGCTACCCAAACCTAACCATCTACCATTTCCCATTTATATATAGTGGATTGGATAAACTTTATATGTAGGGAAAATCTAGAGCATGGCAACCAATCCATGACATCTTTACCATTTTTAATTGTACCTTATGATTCTTAGGTGGCTTTTTGTAATATATTAACTTGAACCCTAAACAATGAAGAGCAGCAATCAAAATCTAACTAAATTTACTCTTTCACCCTACCACTTCCCTCTTCCACATTCAAGATTCATGGGCAATCTAGTCTTTTTAACTTAGTAACTAAGTAACACAAGAATGGGACCTCAAAGTTCAAACTTTAATATGAGGTTTGAAACACAGCAAATCCCACCTGGCCACGTGTCCATTTGGAGATGACATTTTCCCATGTAGCTTGACAGCATTAGTGGGCTCTCAAGTGCATTTAAACACCCTATAATTTGTCCCACTGTGGGACCCGCCCTGTAATTTCTATATTATTATCGGTCCCCCCCGGCCTATACATATAGCTAGCAGGATCAGAGAGTCAAAAGAGAAACAGAGACGGGTAGTTGGACGTGCCACTAGCCTCTAGGGCTCCTCCTTCAAGCTACTGCTTACCGAGTCAGTTTTTCAGACCCAAAAAATAAACTACATAAATGAAAGGAACTCAATTTGCAGTTTCCCTTTTTTATGCTTCCTACACAACCCAAACTTGCATTTCTGCAGTTGCTAAGTACTAAATCCCAAGACCAAGTTTTTGAAAGCCAAAAATACTAAAACTTTACAATAAAAACAATAAAATATAGTTGAAATAGTCGGGTTCTTTCATTTTTTTATGTTTTTCTTGGCAACATTTCCTTGTGTCAAAGTGTTGGAATTTTGTTTCAAAAGTCTAGGCATCACCCTCTCTCTTTCTTTCTCCATCAGAAGGGTACTGTTCAAAACTCTCTAGGAATACCATGAACAGCTAAACCGCTCGTTTTTGCCTTCTGTGCTGTAGCTGTGTGTACGTACTCGGCTCAAAAGAAGACAAGCCCATTACTGTTTTTGTAAGATTATTATTATAGTGTTCATAGACAAAGCTGCTGTTTTTTCTCTCCCCCTCTCTTCATTCTCCAAGGTAAAGCTCTGGTTTTTGTCACGTTTTGTTAAAGATTCAAAATTTTCTATTCTCAGAGCTAAACTTTCTATGCCCTTGATTTTATTTTGTTTTCTTATGAAATTTGTGGTTCTGCAATGCAGACTAAGCTAATTGTTATAAGCTTGGCATATAAGATCCAGTTGAACCAGCAAATTTCTTAGTTTTCGAGTTGAAGCCATTCGGGGTCTGTTGCTAGTTCCTTTACTCTTATTCTTTTCTTCTTTTACTTTGTAAATGCTATCTGATATCTGATTTACACCTGACTGTGGTCTGTGTTTTAGTTTTTAGAGTTTCTGGGATTTGTGTGACTTTGTATTTACTTATTTTACTTTAACCATACCTCTGAAAGTCTATGTTACTCTGCATCTCTTGTTGCTTTCTTCAAAATCTGGTACTTTTTCTTTTTGGGATTAATTTCTTTTTCTTTTCTGTTCATTGGAAGAAAATATGTTGGTTTTCAATTCTGTATTCTTGCAATTTCATTGATAGCTCGGAAAATTTGCTGAGCATATCTATTAGATTTTGATTTAATTTATTAATTCATTGAACTTTTACCTCTTGGAAAGAAACGAAGAAATTGTGTCAGATGTATGAAAAGTTATACGATTGGGATATAAAGATTATACTCATGTACACAGATGGTTGCTCATGTCACTTGTAGGAAAAGTTACATGTCATGACTTGATTTGTGGTTCAACATATGATTTTTGAAGAAAAACTATCAGAATTGCTCCGACTTTTTACTGTCTTGTTCCGACGGTTTCTTTCAGAAAATCTTAAGTGGTTGGTTGTAATGGGAATTTATGGAGAAATTACTAATTTTGTACTTGTGTTTGCAATGGGAATTTATCTATGCCTGAATAGGAAGCAGATGAGCAAGATTATGCCTGCTTGAAGATGTGAACTTGGATAATATACTGATTTTTTAATATTTCAAAATTTTAAAAGGGGATCCACTTCTATGTTTTTCGTTTTGATAAAAAGTTTCATGAATGGTGCAATACAAGTTCAGAAAGATCTTTATGAAAACACTACATTCTTTATTCAACCATGGCTAGATTTTAAAGAAAACTTGAAAATGACATTTCATTTCGGAGACCCAGATGAGTATTCAGGAAACAATATTGGTTATTGCTAATTCTGTTCAGTCATCGCTGTTTGTTTTGTCTATTATGTGAGTGCTTTGGTGTTGTGGCTAGTTGTTGGCACGTAATGTACTTTATGATAATAGAGTGTGGACTAGATTTTAGAAATGTTCCTTGACTTAAAATGGAACCTTGATCAATTATTTACTTTGATGGGAATAATTCCTAATCCCATGAAGTTAAAGAACACATTTGTGTGGCAATTTCTGTGCTTGCCTGCCCTACTCAAATGATGCATTACTTTGAAAGTAATGGCAGCAAAAATATGAGAGTAGAGGGATTTTTCTGAGACTATTTTCTGATCTGCCAATCCAATTCCCAAATGCAGCCTAAGGCTCATTTTGTCTGGTTGATAATGAATGCATTAAGCCGAAGTTTAACCTTTCAATGTCTTGTAATTTAGAAGAATGCTGTACTCTTAAAAATTTCTTTGGTTCTTCATCTTCTTGTTAGTTTACTAATTCATGTTATGATCCTGATATCATGCAGGTTGAAGTAGATTGAGCTTTGCACATCTGGAGCCAACATGTGTAATAGCAGCTGAGCACCAGTTAATTATTAATCCATGTCAAGCTTGGCCTCCTGACTTTGTCGTAACTTTTTATTGCTTTCTGGAGGGAAGTATATTCCAGGCATAAGATGATGGGACTTCGATGTTCTCCTGTATCTCATGATAGTATGCCATGCACCAAAAACACCTAGTTGGAACATAACATAATCATTTGGAAATGGATATTAAGGAGGCAGAGCGGGTAGTTATAGCTAAACCAGTTGCTTCAAGGCCTACTTGTTCAAGCTTTAGGTCCTTCACGGAGCTTCTTGCAGGAGCTATCGATGCCTCTCCTTCTAATATATCTTCTGAAACTGCTGTTCCTGCCATCAGACCAAAGACTGTGAGGTTCAAGCCAATGGTGAATCATGCTGTCTCTGGATTGGTTTCTTCCCAGGTGACCTTAATTCTACTAAATGCTTGACTCTTTTGAAAAGTTCTTTCCTTCTGAGTGTTGGTGCCCATAAATTTCAGGCAGAGATGTCTGGTACTGCACATAGTAATTCATCAGAGAAGATCTCAAAATCAGACAGCAGAGCAAGTGTGGTATACAAACCATTGGCAAAAGTTGTATCAAGGGCAACTGTTTCTGTCTTGGCAAATATGGTCAGTAGCAAGGTATTGTATGTTTGTAATTTAACTGAATAAATGTGACTTTCCTGGTAATAAATGTGATTTTTCTGAGTATTATCTGTGGTATGTAGAATAAATGTGTTTAAGTACATGAACTTGGAAAATGTGGTGAAACTTTTGAACCTCAAATTCGGAAAATAACTTATCTTTTTTTTGGTTCAATGTTACTAGGGAAACTTCAATACGAGCCACCAATCTACACAATCATCAGTCGAGGCTGGTGTTCTACATCAAAATCAAGATAAATGCTTTAGATCCCAACTTAGCCCAAATCTGCGCCATAATAATCCATCATGTGCTGAGACAAATCAGACAATAGAACCTTTGAAGATAGCATCACAAAACGTGGAAGAGGATCCAAAACATATACCGTCCACAGCCAATACTGATAGGCCTTCTTATGATGGGTATAATTGGAGAAAATATGGACAGAAGCAAGTCAAAGGAAGTGAGTACCCGCGAAGTTACTATAAGTGCACACATCCAAATTGTCCTGTGAAAAAGAAGGTTGAGAGATCTTTGGATGGACAGATTGCTGAGATTGTCTACAAGGGTGAACACAACCACTCAAAGCCTCAACCTCCAAAGAAAGGCTCATCGGGAACGCAAGGGTTAGGCTTAGCATCTGATGGAACTGGTCAAGATGCTAACAACCGGTTATGGAATAGTCAACTTAATGAAAGGAATGAAGGTTCTGAAGGTAGAGTAGAGGATCAGAATGAAGTTGGACTACCTGCGCATTCTTATCAAAGTAAAGCTCCACTACTTTATGATCCTCTTGCAAGTGGAGGAATAAATGCGGGTGGTGGAACTCCTGATAATTCTTGTGGTCTTAGTGGAGAATGTGAGGAAGGAAGCAAGGGACCTGAAGCAGAGGATTATGAACCTAGAAGTAAAAGAAGGTAAGACCATTCAGTAGCAGGTAGATGAAAATCAAAGGCCTATGCTTTAGATTAGCAATGCATATTTTAGCTTAGAAAGGTAGTGCACCTTAACATTTGAAACAAAACTATGATTGCTTATCATTGTTATGGTTATATGCTAGTTTGTATCCATTTTCTTGCCTCTTCCCTTCTCTGTGCTTGACGTTGACCGTATGGATTAAATATACTTTCGAAGTATCTTGATTCTTTCATTCTTAATGAGCATTTCTATCATAATTTTATCTATTCAACTTTAATGTCATTGACGATGTTTACCTATGCTTTGTCCTTCAGAAAAAGCGAGAATCAATCGAATGAAGGGGGCATATCAGGAGAAGGTGTGCCAGATCCCCGTGTTGTGGTGCAAAGTTCTGTAGATTCTGATATGACGGGTGATGGCTTCCGTTGGAGGAAATATGGGCAGAAGGTTGTTAAGGGAAATCCATATCCCAGGTGAGAAAGATTTTTCTCTCTTTTAGTCAATGTATCCAGACCTCTTAGAACAATTGCCTAATAATCCGCTTGCATGAGTATCACCTGTCTGTCTGAGCTGGTAATTACCTCGGAAATCCTTTTTTTGGGGTTTTTGGGGGGGAGAGAGGGGAGAGGTGGGAGGTGGGGTGGTCCAAAGTGATAGATGTAAACCTCAAATTGACCCCTTTCGATTATGTTAAGACTCGGTTGATTAAGCTGTTCATAAATGGCTGAAGTACATTCATGACATTTACAATGGGACACAGGATTCTCTTTGGCTAGCAAGCTTGTGCTTTACACAATCTGGCTTTCTTCTATCTTGCAGAAGTTACTATAGATGCACCAGTCCCAAATGCAGTGTGCGTAAGCATGTCGAAAGAGTCTCAGACGATCCCAAAGCTTTTATTACAACATACGAGGGAAAGCACAACCATGACATGCCACTGAGGAACACAAACCCAGGAGCATCCGAAAAGGATGCACAGGCCCCAACAACCAAAGAAAAGCCATGAATGACCACCACATCACATTCACACTTTGGGATCAAAATGTCTCAACCTCATCCCCATACTTGGCTCAGAAGATCTCAGACACCAAATAAACTAGTGCAGTGATTTTGATGCCCACCTTGAATGGTCTGCTGCAATGCCAATCATTTTACTTGGGAATCTCTTTGAAGGCTGCTTGTGGAGACGGCTTTTATGTGGGTTTTTTGGAAACATAAAATGGGTGAAAATATTTTGGCTAATTTTCCCTGTTGCTGCTTCCTTCATTTAGCTCAGCATGAGAGTATTGCATTCTTTCTCTCTCTTACCCTTTATATAACAAAACTTTCTTACACATGTTAATGGCAATTAGGTTGAACTTGTTAGTGCTCCTCCCAATAACTCCGTAAGTACAAGGATAGAGAGTAAGTTTAAGGATTATTCAATTCCCAGTGGGTAATAATTGTGCTATTTTTGTTATATAAAAAAGTTGTACACTTTAATTATATGTTTAAGATTTTGATTATTATATCCAGGCTGCTTTGGACTTTTGGATACTTCGGCAAATCCGGGTTGTCTTTGATCCAACAGATTCGATGGAAACTTCTGCTATGTTTATCCCTTCTAATTAATGGCCGTCATTGAACTATATTTGTATCTTTTTCATGTTAGTTTGGTTCATTCTCATCACAATTCAATCTCCGTACGAGAATCAGAAACAAAAGTTGATAATCTCATAAAATGGGAAACAATTATTCTTGACTCGAATCACACTGTAACGTTCCTCTGTTATGGAGTAATTTTTCGATGTGACAAGTACACCGCCACATGTATTTATTTATTGACATTATATCCTAAGAGGTCCATAATATATGAACTATATCGCTTATTCATATTTTAACAAATAAATTAATAACACCATGTGACAATGTAATCATAACACTAAAATTTCTCCAGTGATATCATATTTAAGTCCGTATAATTTTATTGAATTTTGAAGTTTACCAAAAGAAACTTTGACTTGTCAAGCACGCTGATTGATCTCAAACAAGCTCAGATATCATATTAGGCCCATTCCCCGTCTTGGATACTGCAATGTTTAATTCAAACCACATTTGACCTGGCTACTTTTCATGTGTCATCTCCTTCTTTCTGCTCTAATTTTAAGCACAATTTGGAGGCTTTCTATTGTCCTGACCGTAACTCACGCATCCTTTGCCGTTGCTGGTATGCTAAGGTTTCATATCAAATTGTCAATTCATCCTCCGTTGCCGGTACCCCAATAAAATCTAAAGTTAAATACTTCAAAATAAATAAAGGGAAAACCTTTATTTTTCTTCTCTGTGTTGGAAAAATATGCAACAATTGGTGTGCCATTTAGTTTATACGAGCCTTGACTTGTTAAATATTCTGTGAACCTGGGATTTCAGAGGAGCATTTGAACAAACTTTGTGCTCTTTAAAAGTCATCTCACAAGCGAAACGGTTGCCAAGGCATGATTTGTGGGTGGAGTCTCGGCGGGGACCGACCATGGTCAAAGTTTAATGAATTTGCGGCATAAATAACTTCATTGAGAAGATCAATTTTAACATTAGGCACAACATACCATATTTCACGGGGATTTTTTTTTGCGTCTTGGTCCATAACAGATTATATACTCTAATGATATAAAGCCTTTTGTACCCTCTATTATAAGATTGAGTGTTTAACTTATTCCTTTCTCCCATGGATGTGGCATAGCTTTACTAGGGTAGGGGTTTTAGCTTTAATAGTAGAACATTTCACCGATTATTTTTATTTCATTAGAGGAGATTTTGAGTTAAAATTTAACGGCTGATGAATAAATCCAAAAAAAATAAATAGTTTTTCCTTAATCTCCCGCCTTCAATAAAAAAAGAAAAGAAAAATTATTCTTTGGTAAGATTTTTTCAGTAAGAATGTACTTTTTTCTATTAAAAACCTTTATCCAAGGATTTCAATTGGAATAACTTTACTTATTTTAGTGGCCTATTGGGCATAAAGGATTTTTTTTTTTTTTTTGCTTGAGTTACACACATGATGGCTCTAAAAGCTGAGGAAGGTTCAGGCAACTCAAAGTCCACATTTGCACCACAATTGATTTAACATAATACATTGTGCTTTTTATGATAAAAACAATAGTTGGGTCGAATCTTTTACCTAAACTTCTGTCCAAGTCTCAAATATATTCCATAACAATAAAAATAAGGGTAGGTAGGATCGAAAATGTGCTCACTTCTAAGTTCCAAAAGAAAATTTATAATATTCGAACGTGATCAACACCATCAAATCAAAGTCACAGACCAAAAATAAAACTCTATTGGGTCTTTTATATTGGGACAAAAATAGTGACCAAATACAGGGTCCAAAATGAACCATTTGTGACCAGCTGTGAGCTTGTGAGTGCGACTAAAATTGAAAGGGGGATAGAAAACTCCACAGTAAGCTTTTCATACACGCAAGGCTCTTGAAAATGATCTACACCGTTGGGCATGTGGGCCCTATAGCTAAAAGTCACAGAAAGGTTCAATCTTGTCCATCCATTTGGCACCCATATTTTTTTTAAGCTTATTGAAAATATTATCAACAAGCTAGGACTTTTGGGAAAGAAGAAATGAAAAATTGACGTTGCATAAACAAAATGATAGAGAGAGAGAGAGAGGGAGTATGTGTGTTATAATTTGTAAAGTTCTGAACTTTCAACATACAAAGTTACAAGGGGCCGCAAGCTCTCGCTATCAGTTTGCTGCTCGTGTTGGGTTTTTGCTTTTGGGTTATTTGGGAGTTGGGGGAGGGTTGATTGTTTATCTTTTAGTCTCTGTGCTGTGGATAGTGGTCTCCTGCTTTCTCTCTGAGTCTTTGGCTTCGCAGAGAGAAATAGGAGTGTATATAAAAACATGGGTTGGATTCCCTGTTCTGGTAAATCCAACAGTAAAGCGAAGACCAAGAAGGAAAGGAAGAATACGATAGAGTTGCAGGAAAAGCCGCTGGATCAGATCAAACCCACTTCAGGTACTTCTAGTTTCAGGTCCGTTAGCATATTGTGTGAGTGTGACCCTTTTGTTTTTAATCTAACTTCAGCTCAATCTGTTATGCTTTTTATTGGGTTTGCTTGGCTCTCCATATGTTGTTGTTTTAAGTTGAGCAGAAACTTATATATTTCATATGAAGTTCAAGGTCCAAGTGGGAAAAATCGAGGCTTGATTGCTTGACTAATCATCTTACAATTTAAATTGCCTTTTGCATTATCTGATGTTTTGTTGAGGATTCATAATTCTGGTTTTATTTCTTCATGTGAATAAAATCCTACATCTACTTATAAAAGTTCTTACTTTTCTTACCTTCTTTTCCATATTTGATTTCAGGAATTTCAAAGACAAATTCCACCTTGAGTGTCAAGGAGGATCCCAAAGATGGAGGGTCTGATCGCATTGCAGCACAGACTTTTGTATTCCGTGAGTTGGCAGCTGCAACTAGAAATTTCAGAGCAGAATGTCTTTTGGGTGAGGGCGGTTTTGGTCGAGTATATAAAGGACGTTTGGAAAGTACCCATCAGGTTAGGCATGATTATCTTTTCATTTTATTGAACATGAAAAAGTTCAATAGGCTCGAAAAGTTTTGCGTGTGCATCATTTGCTTGCCAAGAGATTGAGCTTCTAATATGTACAATGTAGTTGGACATGGAATTGAACCTTCTTGATATGTTTGGTGCAGGTAGTAGCTATCAAACAACTTGATCGTAATGGGTTACAAGGGAACAGGGAATTCCTTGTTGAAGTGTTGATGTTAAGTCTTCTTCACCACCCTAATCTTGTTAATCTTATTGGTTATTGTGCTGATGGAGATCAAAGGCTGCTTGTTTATGAATATATGCCCCTAGGATCTTTAGAGGACCATTTACATGGTATATATTCCATCAGCTTCAAATTTTCTTTTACCTTTCGTATCTATTTAGAATGATTTTCTGTAGAAATTGGTTTCATAAGCTTGTTTTTCAGATATATCACCTGGTAAGAGACGACTTGATTGGAATACAAGAATGAAAATAGCCGCTGGGGCAGCAAAGGGATTGGAGTATTTACATGACAAAGCAAGTCCTCCTGTTATATACAGAGATTTGAAATGCTCCAACATATTGCTTGGTGAAGGGTATCATCCAAAGCTGTCCGATTTTGGCTTAGCCAAACTTGGCCCTGTTGGGGATAACACCCATGTATCTACAAGGGTTATGGGAACATATGGATATTGTGCTCCCGAGTATGCTATGACAGGTCAATTGACTCTTAAATCAGACGTTTATAGCTTTGGGGTAGTTCTTTTGGAAATTATAACAGGCAGGAAAGCAATTGACAATTCAAGAGCTACAGGAGAACAGAATTTGGTTGCATGGGTAAGAAATCCTGTTTGATCCCACATTTCAAAGACTTAATACTTTTTCTTAACTTTAGTTGTTAAATACTCAATCAACTATCTTGGTTAAAAAGCCGCAGGCTTGAGTAAATTATCTGGATGTTAATACTCGACTCCAAGAAGGCATCCTCAGACAGTTCTTAAATCAAGATGAGAAGCCTCTTTTCAGACAGTATTTATATTTATTTTTGAAAAGAACTGTATTCCTTATAGATAGTTGTGATAACGCTAGTTTGGATGCTCTGATGTGATAACCGCTTATACTTGCAGTATTTGTTTCAATCACTTTTATACAGTTAGTTTACTTGAGCATGATAGATATTTTAAGGATGGAAATATATTGACAAAGTAGGGGGATGTAGTTTCATATTTTGCTTTTTATTGACTTTTTTTATATTCAAAAGCTAAGCTAAGGTATTTGTTTTTGTTAATTATGAAATTCTAAAGCTTTATACCATGACCGACCATCAATAACGACTTCTGCAAACCAGAACTTATTTTGATCTTTAACACAAATATATATGACTACTTGTTTTCAGGCAAGACCCTTGTTTAAAGACCGAAAGAAATTTTCGCAAATGGCAGACCCAATGCTCCAGGGTCAGTATCCCCAAAGGGGCTTGTACCAAGCTCTGGCTGTTGCGGCAATGTGTGTACAGGAGCAGCCTAATATGCGGCCAGTTATAGCTGATGTTGTCACAGCTTTGACTTACCTTGCTTCACAGAAGCATGACCAGGAAACACAGCCAGTCCAAAGCTCCCGTCTTGCCCCTTGTACTCCACCTAGAACCAAGAGGGATAGCGAGAGGAAAGCTCAATTATGGTAGTGGACATGACACTAGAAGATTAAATTAAGGCTAGGTTGTAAGTTGTTGGGTTTCTTCCGAATGCTGGTGGCTGTTCTGAGGCTTGCCAGCTATGGAATTGCTATGATACTGCCGGGTAGATGCTCATACGGTATGGGTTAATATTTTTATATCTGATGATAACAAGGACTCAGAGCTTAGTTCTGAATGCTTGTTTGCTGCAAGTTTTTTGCTCGCAGTTTTGTGTCATCACAGATGAAAAGCCCAATTTCCATCTCCATGTTGTCTCCTCAGAAAAACTTTCCTCCCTTTTCTGAATATATATAGAGCTAGAAGGCTGTATCATAACATATTTGTGTGCCTTCTTGCAGTGGTTTCTCATTTGTATTTTTGACATCCCTTAGGTATCTTTTGATACTGAGTACCTTGTTTTTTCTTTTCTTTTTTTCTTTTTTAATTTTTAATGTTTCAAGTTTTGGGGGTATAATTTTGCCTTGTATTTGACAAATGGGAGTTGTGGAAAATGTAATTTTAAACCCTGTCAATATTGGTTTGTTTTTGGCTATAAGAGCATCTCCAACCAATGTGTCAAACGTGCCACATAGACATTTAACAGTTATAAATAACATCTCACATCACTCCAACCGATGTGGAATGAAGGCTGGAGGTTGAGATGTTATTTTTGACATCCCAAAAGCAAGATGTCAAATGAATATTTTATTATTTTTTCTTTTCTATTCTTTTTAATTAAAAATGAATCAACACTAAAATGTAATAAAATAATAATTTAATTTGACATATCGGGTGAAGTGTAAAGCTGTGTAAGAGCATCTCCAACCGATGTGTCAAACGTGCCACATAGACATTTAACAGCTATAAATAACATTTCATATCACTCCAACCGATGTGTCAAAGTTGATGTGGAATGAAGGCTGGAGGTTGAGATGTTATTTTTGACATCCCAAAAGCAAGATGTCAAATGAATATTTTATTATTTTTTCTTTTCTATTCTTTTTAATTAAAAATGAATCAACACTAAAATGTAATAAAATAATAATTTAATTTGGCATATCGGGTGGAGTGTAAAGCTGTGTAAGATGTCAAATTGCCACATCAGCCATCAAATTTAAATTTGACGTTTGGTATTTGACATCTCCCTTGGAGATGCTCTAAGATGTTAAATTGCCACATCAGCCATCAAATTTAAATTTGACGTTTGGTATTTGACATCTCCCTTGGAAATGCTCTAAGAAGCCTGTCAATGCTGCTTGGCTATCTTTCTACGTGAAATATTCAATTTGAATTCTGAGCGGAGGCGGCCAAAAAAAGGAGTGTTAAAATTGTTACCCGTTATAAATAGTTAAATCAACCACCCAACCCAGGTAAGAGCTAGAATCTTTTCTCTGAATACTAATAATAATAAAAAAAAAAAAAAAAAAAAAAAAAAAAAAAAAAAAAAAAAAAAGCTAACTATCAATTTCAAGTAATGGTACTCATGATGCCAATGCCTAACAAATCTCAGTAATACAGCTAAGAACGAAATTGTTAACCAAAAAGACAAACCTAAAGTAACCAAATTAACTGAAAGACCAACCCATGCTCTGGTTTGGGCACATTTTAATACTCAATTCTTGCTTTCAGACCCTCATAACCTCAAGGAGACTTTGCATGCAACATATACAATCAAATCAAATCCAATCACAATTCTTCTGTCATACCAAACGCTAAGAGCTCAAGACAGAGTGAGCACCGGAAATCTCTCGAGCTTTTCAGTGTTTGTGGCCAAAGGCTGATGGTTCACCGTTTTCGCTTCGTTGATGATGATGGCTGGTTGTGGTACAATCTATTTCTTTGGGATTTATTCCAAAGAGCTCAAAGTCACATTTGGTTATGACCAAGAAACCATCAATTTGTTGAGCTTTTCCAAATAACTTGGGGTCAACATTGGCATTTATGCAGGCTTAATTGCAGAGGTTACACCAACATGGTTTATGCTCCTCATTGGTGCAGCCATGAACTTCTCTGGCTACTTCATGATTGGCTAGCAGTTACAGGCAAGATTGCCAAGCCACAAATCTGGCAAATGTGTGCCTACATTTTACATTGCAGCAAATTCTATGTGCTTTATAAACACAGGAATTGTTCCTGCATGTGTCAAAAACTTCCCAGAGAGTATTGGCCTCCTCAAAGGGTACATTGGGCTTAGTGCGGCTATCATCACCCAAATTTATATAGCCTTTTATGGAGTTCAGGACAGGAAGAGTATTATTCTTCTGATTGGTTGGCTCCCAGCTGCAATCACACTTGTGTTTCTGCATACAATTCGTCCCATAAGAATCAGTACTGAAAATCAACAACAAAGCCAAAACCAAAACAAAAACCAGCTCAGAGTGTTCTTCCAGTTTCTGTATGTATCAATTGGTTTGGCTAACTCTGACTCAGAAATCGGTTGTATTCCCTCGGGCAGCTCAAGCCCCCACAGCTACGGTGGTCTGCATCATTGTTTTGCTTCCTCTCTGGATTACTGTACGAGAGGAATTAGTCAACTGGAAATTAATAAAACAAGCACCTCAGGAACCATTGAGAAACCAAAAGAAGTAATTTCATCCAAACAAGAAGATCCCGCTTCTTCTTCTTCTCAACGAGAACAACAAGAACTAGAGTATCAAGAGGTGTAGAAGGCGCAACGTGCGTCTTTCGTCTCAAACGTGTTCAACAAGCCACTAGAGGAGATGACTATACCATTTCACAAGCACTTTTCAGCATTGACATGCTGATCATATTCATTGCAACCTTATTCGGGCTTGGCTCAAGCTTTACTGCCACGGACAACCTAGGCCAAATCCGGGAAGCGTTGGGGTACAGACCTCAGGCCATAAACACCTTTGTGTCACTCCACAGCATATGGAACTTTTTTCGGTCGAATCTTTTCTAGGTTCCCCTCAGAAATCTTACTCATGAAATACAAAATCCCAAGACCCCTCATGCTCACTCTTGCCCTCATCTTGGCAAGCTTTGGCTACCTCTTCATTGTTTTTCCCTTCCCTGGTTCCTTGTACTTTGCTTCAGTCATCATCGGGTTTACTCTCGGGCTTCAGCTCCCTTTGTGTGTGACAATCATTTCTAAGCTTTTCGGGTTGAAGCACTACGTGCTGCTGTTGAATTTTAGCCAATTGATGAGCCCTCTTGCCTCTTATATATTGAATGTCAAGATCACTGGTGCGCTCTATGACAAAGAGGCAATGAAGGAGCTTGCCAGGCTTGGTCTACAAAGGATCAAGGGCCAGCCTCTAACATGCATTGGAACTCTGTTATAAGCTGTCATTTACAATTTTGACTGCTGTCACACTGTTCGCAGCTCTCGGCTCACTTGTTTTGGTGATGAGAACACTAAAATTCTACAGAAGTGACATATACAAGAAGTTCAGAGACAATGCAGAGGAAGTAGTCAAGGCTGAAGAGAAATAAATGGCTTCATCATCACCGACTCGTTAATGGAGGAAATAAAAACTTGACCTGAATCAACCTGAAGCTTCACTCGGAACTTGAAGTCCAAAGCCTATCCGAAATTCTGATTTTCTTAACAATATTTTGTTAGTTACAAGTTGGTTAAACTTGCCTCCTGGAAGTAGGGACTCCTACTTTCAATGTATATGGAAATTTTTCTTTGTATTTTTTATGAATTATTTTTGCAAATATGTCAAACTGCGATTTAAAAAGTTGACAAGCTTACAGATTGATGGCTCCCTCTCGGCCCCCAGTATATAAATGCCTAACAAATCTGACAAAAATAGTTGATGGCTAACAAAAATAGTTTTTCGAGGGTGGATATTGGTTTGTCTTTCCTTTTCTTGTACCAATAAATAAGCTTTTTACGGCAATACAACTAGGACCAAGAAGGAAAGGAAGAACAAGATAGAGTTGCAGGACAAGCCACTTGATCAGATCAATCAAACCCACTTCAGGCACTTGCTAGTTTCAGTCATCATTGGTTTCACTCTTGGAGCTCAGCTCCGATTGCTTTGGCTATAATTTCTCAACTTTTTGGGTTGAAGTACTACTCTACCTTATTTAATTAAAGTGCATAAACTACTAGAAATAAAAAATACCCAGCAGGAATGCAAATATTTAATAAAAAGAATGTTCCTATTTGCTGATGACGAAGATGATATCCACTAACAGAGGCCAAAAGTGATTATAAAACGCCATTATTGTAAATAAATGACTATTAAACAAGAGAACTAATGTGCTTTACATTCTGACTGTCTAGGGGTGAACCGAACCCACAGTTAAACATTGACAAGTTTACAGATTGATGGCCCTCTTAGCCACCAGTATATAAATACAAAGAGGAAGATGAAGAGAATGAAGACATGCACTGACATACTTGGGCAGCAGCAGTTTCAATCTCTGCTCTTTCATGGCAATCAGAGAAAGCATCCATCACTTTGCATGCCCCTTCTCTTCCTCACCAGTTTTGTCCTTTGGAGAGCTTGGCTCTCTCTGTTCACTGGGTGATTTCAAGTCACTGGCTCCCTGTCACAAAAGAAAATTGGTTTACAAACAGAAAGCATGCACTGGTTAAGACTAAAAGAACTCTTCAATCAACTGGATCCTGTGATGAACATAATGGGCGATCAACACGGTAAATGTAATTATATACCTTATTTCTGTCACGCCAACCAAGTCCAAATGACAGAATGCCTAACTTTTTGGTGTTCCCCTGGGTGGTCGCAGCCCTACAAAGCACATTACCTTGATAAATACTACCAGAGAAATATATGGGCCCAATAAAACAACCAATGAATAAGTAGTTACAGTATTTATGACAGGCAAATGCATACACACTATACAGAAAAGGGAACTGAATAGCGTACAGAAAATCAACATAAAGCCCATTCTAGAAACAGAGATTTTCATATACCGTGGAGATTTTAGTGCTTTGGCTTGTCCAGATTCATATTGCAATGTAGCTTCCAACATTGATTCTGCCACTTTTACTCTCTTTTCCATCTCAGTAAGTGAAGACATGGCTTTGTCATATTTTTCCTGCATATATTATTTTCTGTTGAGAAATAGATACATTCATGTTTTACAAAGATGGAAAAAGTGAGATCTGGAGGCTCCAATAGCAATACACGGAAATGAAATAACATACCAAGCAAATAGGTTCAGCTGTCTCAATTAAGTATTTTTTTTGGCCGTCATGCATTTTACAAGAATGTGGATTTCTTAGAAAGCTAAAAAGACAGGGAAATGGTGCATGTCCCAAAATTTTATTACAAAATAGGGCACTATATATCATTTACTGAATAACTGCAAGGCAGAAAACGACCAGCATTGTCTTGTTGGGGATTTTATTTCAAAGAAAGAGCAAGGAAACTCCCAAGATGTTAGGAGATGGCTTCAAATAGGCATCCCGATCTTTAAAATAGCATCATTCAATTTCCAGGGCATCAAAGAAAAAAGGAACCTGAAGCACATGAACTGCATTTTTCTGAACAGCTACTTCTTGCTCGGCACTTATTCGAGCATCTTCAGTTGCCTTCTGCTCTTGCTCCATCCACATCAATACCTGAACAGAACCCAAAAAAGAAAAAAAAAAAAAAAAGAGATTATCTTTCCTCTCCCCCCCCCCCCCCACCAAAAATAGGAGAAAACAGCAAATAAATTTGAACCTTAAGCATTGCAGCCTCTTGCTCTGTCTTATCAGCAAGGGCTTGCTGTAGCTCAGCCACCTCTTTCTCCAACTGCTCAACCTGCAGGACCACAAGAAAAAGTATTAACCTACAAGGATATGAATCCAAAAATTCACAGGAAAATCTTGTAATTCACAATCCTAAAATCCCAGGGAGAAGATCGGAACAATCTGTACATAGTTGGATGACCAGAGGATATCTACCCAAGTGAAGAAAGATTCTCCACTAGCCCTGGCTCAACTAGTTACGGTGGATAGGAGACTAAAGCATAAAAGTTTAAAGCATTTTCACTAGCGTTAGGATCTAAATCTTTTTTTCTTTGGTTACAAATTCTGAAACAATCTTATCTTGAGGGTGTCGGGTGCAATCACTTCTACAGTTAGGATGAATTGTGACAGGGTTGTTTGAGTTGAGGTGAGAAAATTTTTAAAAAGAATACAACTCCTCTATCACCTTGGTTGCATAAAGGATGAACGTCACAATTCATCCTGACTGTTGAAAATTATTGCACTCAAGGGCCTCAAAATGGTGTCCAACTTGTGTGATTTACCAGGGGTGAATAATCCTGACCCTTCTCATTAATAATAATCAGAAGACTGAAGATAACCCAACAACTCATCTGTCACTCCAAAACATCAATCAGTAGACGCTTGATGTCATGACAGCATATTAGAGTCCTGGTTGAAGATAAAGCAACAACTTGAAGGATATATTGTGTTGACTGATCCCTAAACTATTCATCAATAATCTTTGCACTGCTGACAAAAGATTTGAACTAAAGAAACTTTGTGAAACATCACCATCTTTAAAACAACAATTGCACAGATTTCTTCAGCATGACATAATAGTCAAACATAACAGATTTCTTCAACATGGAATAATTTGAGATCATAACACAGGAAAAATAGTCAGCTAAATCAACAGTGTAACTACCCTTGCACTTAATTCTCGTCGATTATCAAGCTTGACAATCTCCATAAGCGCTGTCTCCAACTCCTCAGCTCTAGAAAAGGAACAGGAACCACAAACACAGTCTCAATCATTATTGTCATAAGGCACAAAAATAAGATTACAATATAGTCCAGGCAAAAGGGCAGTTGATAGTTTCACCACAAGAGTAAATTACATGCATGAAAACCAATGGCCTTCTATGGGTGTTAATAGGTGCCAATTGGGCATTATCAAACTAGTAAGTTAAAGAGTTTGTTCGTTTTTGAAGTTTCACATTGATGAAGGCAAAGAGAAAGAAAAAACTTTGTGTCAGAAAACAACAACAACAAAGCCAAAACTGGTGTGTTTTTAGAAAAGGAAATATTTAGGTAGTCTTATGGATGTACATTAACCTCGATGGGTCAGTAAGGATGAAGGAAACAATGCATTGCAGGATTCCAGCTGAAATGGAACAAGGCCCACAACTAACATCTTAAGTGTGTCTTATCTTAAATTCTTTCACTTTTATCAAACGATAGCTACCAAATCAGGTCCCAAAAGTGCAGAACTTCGAACCAAGTTAAGTAGCAAGTAACCTGAGTACAGCAGATCTTTTCTCCTCCAGCACTCTGCATAGCTCAACCTTCAACCAAATGACCTGCACAAAAGCTGTTAATGATTGTAATTTAAAAGGAGTTGTACAGGGATTGCTTATTTCGTTAAACTAATTACAAGTCCAGAAAAACTTTAAACATGTCCGTTTAGTAGTCAACTAAATGAACTTGGCCAATTTTATCAAGACATTTACTTCACAATTACATTATAGATCCAATGTATGCCAAAAAGGTTTTTAGAAAATGATAAGAAGAGAAAGCAACCTGATCCTGAAGCTCTGGTAAAGAATCTACTTCTGAATCAACGGATGTGCCACTAAGTAATTCATCAAGATTATGGGAGCCAGATTTTGAATGAGATACACAGGCATCTGTAGTGCCTTCTTCAGTAGTATTTTTTTCTTCTGTTACAATAGGATCATGCTTAAAACTATACAGCTTAGATGCAAGCCCTTTGGAATCCTTCCAAACCTGACCCATTTTAGATCTTTCCTCAACTACTGCTAATACAGCTGGACGATGCTTATCTCTCAACTCTTGCAATCTAGTTTCAGTTATAGCCAAAAAACCCATGCAAGCAGTCAAAACAAGCTGGCTGCTATCAAATGTTGAGCCAACAAGGGACTGCAATAAAGTAATAGCATCCCCGGCATCTTTAGTGGTAACTAAAGCCGGACCTGCAGAAACATACAGATAATGAAATTACAAAATCAACAAAATCATATCTTTGATTGAAAAACAAACAAAATCATATCTTTTATGAGCTTAGAGTTAGTAAAATTGCAGCACATTACCATATAGCTCCAATAATGCTAGTGCTGTTCGAAAAAGCATAACACGATTTCCTTCAAATAGAAGCACATCCCAAACTCGAATAACTGAAGATCAAGGAAGCAATATGGAGGTAGATATGACTTCGAAGTCTTTCTTGAAACTGAACTAATGAGAAGTTATTTAAACAACGCAAAGCAGTGTCTCATAAATCTCACCACTCTCCCAAGGAATCATATTTACAAATATGGAAAGGAACCAAGGTCCAGTGAACCATGCCACCTGGACTCCTAAGTAATCCAAATGATTCACTGCCATAAGCATGGAGGGATAGTAAGAAGAGTACCACACCGTTTCATGTAATGTAAAGAACCAAATATAAGATGATTGATGATTATGAGAAGTATGCAAACCCAATTTTGGAAAATTTTCTCGCACCAACTCCTCAAATACAAGTTGGTCCACCTGATAAACAGAATAATTAATTTTCATGAAGATGAATCAGAATAGAATCCTCCATAAGTATTAAAACTGTTGGAAATGTGATAAACATCAAACGGTGAATCAGAATGCAATGGCATGTATTTATGCTCAAGAACTCTAAACCATGAAATCACACCTGAGATTCTATCATTTCCTCAGTATAGTAGCCATCAAAATAGTCGTCAATTATACCCACCAAAGTCCTATAAGAAAAATAATATGGAAAGAAACAGTTTAAAGAATGAGCTGGGCTATCATAGAACATGCCTGTACAGATTGGTTAAGAATTGAACTGCTGTAATGTTGAAAGAGACAACCATTGTCTTTAGCAAATATGGAAAACTCTTTCAACAAAATTTTGCGCCATAAAAAAAGAAAGAAACGAAAACATACAGATAGCCAATGCACAATTCAGAAATCTTATTAAACTATTTATCTACAGAAGTTAATTGAGAGCATCGATTTTATTAGAAATGATATATATACACAATTTGAAGAGATAGGGGAATATGAGCTCTAAAAACGTACCAAAAGGCATTTTCCTCAGGCATCAGAAGTAGCAATAACCCTGCAAAGAAATTCATTGCCTGCATATATTTTCATACCAAAGTAATAATAATACTGACTAATATAGTAATAAATAAAACATTTATCAGGTGTTCGAAAAAATAAAATAAAAAAACACTTCAGGTCAGTGCATGTAATGTATTAGTTGCTAGAAGTGTACACAAAAGACAAACATTGAATTTTTTTTAATTAATAAAATATGTTACCCCTTGACAAATCCACTGAAACACATACAAAACAAAATTTCAGATGAATTGCCCCAATTACCTGGCAATACCCAACAGAGGGGTTATGACGAGCATAAGCTAAAAGCAAACGCCTCAGTGAATTACGACCATCCTCATTCAATGCAGGATGCCCTGGAAATGTACGTGGTATGTCCTGCAATAGAATGCAAAAAGTTAGTTTAGGGAGAAACCCAGATTGCAATACAAAGCAAAAGAAGCAGCACCTACGAATTGAAACGACAAAGTCCAAGGCACATGCATCTAATGACCTTCTCAATCTGCCTTCTCCATTTTCTGGGAACACCAGATGAGTTGTCTTTATCCACGCTTTCAGTAGTATTTGTTTCTTGAGCCAGCAATTCGTAGTAATATCTCTCCACCCGACGAGCCTTCACACCAACAAAAGCTTGCCATACCTGCAATGGAAAGATTTAGAAAAAATTGCACTTCCTGTCAAACAAGTTATTTTGGTAAAAACAATCAAGTTGAGGGTAAGGGTTTTACCTCTCCCCTCAGATCCGTTGGCACTCCCCCATGAACTAGAGACTCCAGTTCTAGTTTCCAAGGAAAGAAAGGCTCTGGAGGGACCCCATTAGCCACAGCTTCCTCTGTCCCAATACTTCGCACACTGTTAGGGACATCACCATCCATAGCCTCTACTTCCCCAGCAACTTTCACACTGTCAGGGAACCCATCACTTACAGAATTTTCTGCAGTGAAGGCATCCGGACTGTCGTTCAAAGCATCGCTAAAGCAAACGTCTTCCTCAACATCATCCTCAGATGCCCCTCCTAAAGAGGCTGCTTCTGATGGAAGGTGGTCTTTATCCACAATTATCTGCTTATCTTTCATAATTTTTCCCTTCCTAATACGAAAGCTCATCATATTTTCAATGGAACTAAGAGATGATCTAATGAGAGTCCATGTTTGGACCTTACTTTTTTCTGTTTCTTTTGAATGTTGAAGCTCCTTTTCGGGATCTCTTTCTGATGAACAACCCGAAACAGATTTCCCACTACTTGTATCATTCCCTTCCTCACCACTCTCAGGAACTGTCTCTGCTTTCTGCTCAGTAGCTTCAGCCTGCAATTCCTCTTTATGTGCCTTCTCAGGAGAGCACAGTTCAGAAGATTTCTCTACATGTTCAAGGAAGTTCTTCCATTTATTTGATCTTTCCTCTTCCTCCTCCTGATACCATAAATATATCACTAAACTGAATGGTCAAATTTTCTTACTTTAGTCCTTTGGCTCTGTTCATTTCGATGGAAATAATTTTTTCAACAGAAGAAGTCCTTGGAAAAACATTTGTAAAGCCTCACTCCATTTATTTAAAACTATTACAAAACTGGAACCTAAGGATAATACATCATGCCACTTTAGTTTGCTATAAAGCTTAGAATCGATTTAAAATCATATTTTCCTCTCTTGCAAAAGTTTCAGCTGATAATACCTCCTATAGCAATCACACAGACAATATCAGAAGTTTAAAGCAAAATCCTGGCTTTCGCCCATCTACATATTGAAGTTGATCATATGATACTTGAAGGAATGTTAAAACAGTTACAAAGTGATTTTAATATCAAAAAATGCGCATAACATGTACCCAAGAAAATACCTTGTAGATATGAGAGTACTCTCTATATCTTTGCACATGCTGAGGTCTCAAAGCAAATCCATAGGCGTCCCTGTTGACAGCAATTTCTCCATGAATCTTTTAAATGGAAACTATAACAAAACTTTTATATAATAAATCTAAGATTCCATGACAAAAACAATCTAACGCAGCATCTTGATGTCAAATCAGTGCCAGAAAATAAAAATGTGCCGTGCATTTAACATCTACAAACAAATATGAAGGTTGCAGTTGCCCGGCATTGTGAATTAAGAAACCGGACAAGAACCAAATACACAATAAGATTCTGAACTCTACAGACCTGGAATCAGCCTCCAACGAGCGCTTACTCAACAAGGACAACAACATGCTTCAAAAAGAGTTGCAATTCTACTGCCCATAGCTCTCATTTTCTTTACCACCGAACTCAAAATTCTAAACCTTCCGCCACATTACACACCCGAAGCAAAAATGAAGATCAACCATGCACATTACGCATTTGGACGAACCCTAACCCTAATTCCCCTCAATCACCACATAACCTCATCAAAATTCAAGACTAGCCAATCCTGAACCTCATCAAAATTCAAGACTAACCAATCCTGAAGCAGAGTTTAAAATTCTGAAAGATTAAATTCGAGAAACAAAAGCAATGGATAATCGATCTTCGAGAGGAATTGAACAGAAGAATTTGAGTGCGACGTGACTGAGTCACTCTCTGTTCCGAAGTATCAGCAACAAGAAGACGAAGGATTGTTAGAGAGAGTCTAATTACATATAATTTGTTAGAGAAAATGCGAAGAATTAGGGTTACAAGACACGTTGAGAGAAGAAGAAATTTCATAGCGTGCGTGAGAGCGTAGGCTTTACCTCCTGGGCTTTGGAGCGTGGAGGACATTGAAGCTCTGTTCCGCCATTATAGCTGAGAGAGAGAGAGATATTAGGGTTTGTGGCGTTTGATTCGGAGAGATATAAGAGCCGGGTTCTTGATCTCTGAAACCGACACTTGGGCGAAACGTCTTCCCTCTTTCACTCTCTCTCTCTCTGTGAAGAGTGTCACTGTGTAAGCTCAGGGCTGCTCCATATGTAAGTTTTCATTTCAAAGCTTCTACTACTATGTAGACGTTGAATTGAAACTGCCAGTTTTGGTCACGTGAGCTTTTAGCGGGTCTTGGAGGGAAGATACGCTACAGCTACGGCCAACGCTAAGTTGGATGCACGTGCACCTCATCTTTGTCCCTCCCTCCTGTTTTTTGTTTTTTTATGGCGTAATTCTGGTCGGCTGGTGGTGCACTTGTCGTAGGTGCGCTTCCGTATAGCCGCGCGGCTATACTACGGCTTTATTACTCAAAATTCGTATAGCCGCACGGCTATACTGTTTTTACATGTGGCGAAACCGGCTCTAGCGCCAGACGGGGCTTGTTTTTTCTGTAATGAATAGTATAGCCGCGCGGCTATACTCGGGGTTTTTTATATACAAAGCGTATAGCCGGCCGGCTATACCACGGTTTTTATTATTAAAAATTAGTATAGCCGAACGGCTCTATTATTTTTGACACGTTCTGGGCCGGGCCCAGACTGGTGGCCCCTTTTTATTATAAACAGTATAGGTGGCCATACTCGGTTTTTCATAGCAAAAGTATAGCCGCGCGGCTATATGTGGGATACAGACTATCACCGTTGAAAGTTCGTCTTTGGAAAACTTTCGTCCCATAATACATTATAATGACCCCTTGCATTTTAATATTTATCTGGTGAGAAGCTTGAAACTATAGATATAGAACTATGGCCTACCTATCGTCGAGAACCAAACAGCAATTCATTGAAGGTTTTTGCTCCAAATCTTAAAAACTTGAAATGGAAAGGCAGTGTAGGGAATATCTAAAATCTGGGAGAACTAATGAGTTTTGAGGCATGAAGGGAATCAATTTGGCACAGTAATTGAGGTTCTTTGCAACATAAGCTGGCCAAAAGTCCTTATTATAAGTGAGGAGACCATCACTGTAAAATATTTGGAAAAAAAAATTGTAGACGCACAAGTTCCTGTCCTCTTTCAAACTAAGAATTTTTCGTGAAAAACTCGCAGGCTATGTTCCAGGAAGGTTCCATGGGAGCACCAATTTTAGATAATATTTGTGACTTGAGTGTGCATTGTATAAGCTTGAATGATGACTTTGTTCCAGCAGCGGTCTCTTTTCTTAGAGCAACTCCAGCGGCATGACAGAGCCTCGAGCTGGGGAAAAAAAAGCCAAAATCTGTTTCCAGCGAGGAGCCCAAGCCCGGGCGCAAGGTGGGACCCAACAACCTGGGCTGGCCTGAGCTCCAGCCCTCGTTTTGGTGATGACGTCACGCTACAGTGCCACGCGCTACAGTGCCGCTAAGGTCCACATGTCGCGATCTGGGCTCTCCGATTAGATTTTTTTCTCCAATCCAATGGCAGCCAATTCTTGTGCAATAAAAAAATGAAAAAAAATCGATTTTTTTTTTTAAAATACCAAAAAATTACAGATTTTTTTTTCCTATAAATACAAAAATTTTATCCGTTGAGATATGAATTTTATAATAAATATTGACACGAACCCAAAAACCCATCCACCCAAAATCTTAATCCATTATTATTAATAAAAAAAGAATACAAAAAAGGTTTAAACAAAAAAATAAAAGAATAATTGCCCTTTGTTATGGTAATGGGTGGAAACACATAATACTATTTGCAAGGGCAACCACTATTCACATGAATAGTGGCTGCCTTAGCTCCCCCCTTGCCATGGCAAGGGGCAAATGGGTGAAGTTGCTCTTAGAGGAATGCCTAAGTGAAGTATGTTGCCTACTGATCTCCCTCTCACGCCCACACATACTTTGTTGGTAAGCTTTTTCTTTATTGTTAATTTAAAATTAATTCGCTTGTATGCTTGGTGGTATATTTTCAGTCAAGTGGCTTTGGTATGGAATACTGGAAACTGCAAAACCTTGCTTTACTTCTTCAGCTTAAGGAGGTAACCATAGAGTATTCGGACAACGGATCTAACGAAATCGAGTTTGCAAGAGGGTATATCCTCGAGCATGCTCAAAATTTGAAGAAAATGGTCATTGTTCTTACTTGCGAAACAATGCGATCAAGAGTTGTAGCAGAGATCGTGAGTAAGAGCAAGATGATTTCCACTGCCGCAGTTATCATTCGGGTGGAAGCACATTAAACGTCGATATTTTAAGACAAATTTATGTATGTCCTTGATGAAAATGAAGATGCAGGTAAGGATCAACTCGTGGTATATGACTCAGGCTTATATTACAAATTTAAGAGAGTTAGTATATTGAGAGACTTATAATTGCAAACAGCTTGTGTTGTGCAGCAGAACGAGAGCTTCACATTTGTGGTTTTTCTTTGTTTGTTTGGGTTTTGTTAGTTAATTTGGATGATGAAGATGCTCAAATCATACCACTTCCTCCGCCACCTCCACCCTCCACCTCACATGTCACAGCTCAAGCGTCAGTTTTATCAAAGTGATGAGAACCCTGTGACGACTCTGGTGGTGGCCGAGTCTAGAAAATAGTGCATCTTTGTATGTTTCTCCTTTTTTTTTGTCTCTGGAACTTGTTAATGTTAGACTATCACTTGTACTATAAAAAATCTAGATAAATATAAAAATACTTATCAAGAAAAAAAGAAGATAAATACGTAATTCAAACAATGATAACTTAATGCTATGTGTTTATTTTTTAATACAAGCGATACTCTTATAAGGGGATAATTTCTCACACACACACCAAAAGTGTTATGGAGTTTGAACTAGAGACCACTCATTTACAAATCAAGTTCGTCTTTATTTCGAATCACAGAAGTCGAATTCAAAAAGTCAAGAATGAGTATATGATACTAATAAAAAAGGGAAATTGGCGGCTTTGCCCTTGGCGCAACTAATTTATTCAATAATATCCCCATTTTGAAATCTAATCACAAATACCCCCTATAAAAACTCCCTATTGATAGTCTATTGCCCATCTGTCACTTCTTCTTTTTTCTTCTCATTCGTTGCTCTTCTTCTTCCTCTTCTATCTAGTCTCTTCCTCTTCTTCCTTCTGCCAAACCTCACAGGAATCCACCCCCACTGTAGAATCTCGCTTAATTCAATTTTCTCTTAGTTATATCTTCAAACTATGAGCTAATTTGAACCTTAAGGTCGAACCCCAAATTTAGAATCGAACCCTAGCCAAGGCGTGACTCGCCACCTTCGTCGTCGGCCTCCATAACGAAGCCATAATCGTGACTCACCACCTTCGTCGCCGGCCTCCATAACGAAGCCATAATCGTGACTCTCCACCTTCGTCGTCGACTTCCACCACAAACCCTCAACACCTTCATCTTCGATCTTCATTGTGGTGAGTTCTAATATTGGTTTTTTTTTTTTTTTTTTTTTTTTTTTTGAGATTATTGGGTGATTACTTTCATTATTTTGAATGAGACATTAATGGGTTTCTGTTGTGGTTTGTTTGCTGTTTCTGTGATTGAATGAAATTTACCAACTATTTCATGTGGTTATCAAGCTCTTGGACTTGGATACATTGTTTGTACTTATGATTTGTCTCTAAAATCATGCATATACTGGTTTGTGATTGAGACTTGGACTTGCAGACCTCCTTGAAAGTGGTGTATACACTCTTTTGTGATTGTGATTTGTCTGTGAAAGCACTTAGGTGATATATCAAATTATGACTTCTAACTTTTCTGAGCAACCTATAAGAATACATATAAAACTCATAGACGCTCTCTGAAATAACAGTAATGTGGGTTTTAACTGTAAGAAACCAACATCATAATTTGAAACCAGTAGCACCACCAACAAATGCAAGATTCTCATCCTTTACTTCTTTTGAAAGTGATTGGAGAGTTTGTGAGTTTTATGAGAATGCCAATATTTTAACATACGTTTGATAGTGTAAAGTTGGCATGTGTTGGATCTTTGTTTTCCCTATTTTTTTTCATAATTCAATCATGGATCTGTTTTTGGTGCGGTCTACAATCCTCAAGGTTGGTATCATGCCAAGGTTATGTTAGTGCCATAAAAAGGGTTCTTGAAAAACTTGAAGGTTTGTTGACAGCTCTTGCATTTATCTAGTTCCATTGTCTTGTTGTTCTTCTTCTCTGAGACTGTGCTTCTTTAACTGTTTGAACAATGCCAAATGCACTATTGATGATTTCTTGATTTTCTTGTTTGTATTTTTACTCGCCTACCAGGATACACATTCACTTCACCCATGTTTATAATTACTTTTATATTGCAACTAAGTAGTATGAAATTGTTTGCATGAATGTGAACTTTAATTTTGCAATGGTACTGTCTTGTGAAAGCTTGCCATATGAAGAATTGAGTCATTTAGAAAAGCCAACAATCTGTATGAATTTTGGTATTGGTTTCTGTTTTGAAATTCAATTGTGATTAAATGTTATGTTTTTGTTTCCATTGTGATATAATGATTTACTTATAATATGCATTTTTTATCCGTTTTATAAAGACGGAATATTGTCTTGTTTCAAGTGGCGGCGTTCTTTTGGGGAGGAAATTGCTAACTTTCAGCTTAAATTAGGGTCTAAAAGGACATGTCCTAGAATTTTGCTGATAGATATAAATTGTGTTAAAATTTCCGACCAAGAGGAGGTGTAAATTTTTTGTTTTTTGCCACTTTCTTATGTATATCTTAAGATGTAATGAGATAACATTGTTAGTTCATCAATTTATGAAAGTCAAGTTAGAAGGAAATTTGTCAATCTCTAATTTCCATGGTTTTATCGTTTCCCTTGACAAAGAAGAAAAAAATACAAATGTAACCAAATCAGTGATTTAATTGGCAAATGCCATGACAAATATGTATTGCACATGTATAGCCCTTTGTAGCTTGTGTATTGCCCTCGTATATCCTCTTCTTTTTTTTCTTTTTTTTTAAAGTCTGTTGTAATAAATTTATAAGGGGAGTATGAAGTTTGTGTATTGCTACTATATTATTGCTCGTGTATTACTACTGTATTGCTTCCATAGAAGGGAAATTGGGAAATTGGGAAATTATGGGTGTAAGAATGTGATTTCATCAAGGACGTCACATCCTTTTTTTTTAAACACGTTATATACATTTGGTGTATAATGCTTGTATATTGTCTGTATATTGCTTGTTTATTATTTGTCTATAACCATTTATTGCCTTTTATTGTCATTGCATTGTATGTTTATTGCCAATTTATAGCTTGTGTCATTTTTTGAGAAAAAAATTAATATAAACTCTTATGGCTTGTAATGCCTTTATATTGCCTCTGTATATGGCTTATATTGCGTAGGTATTGCCCCCATATATGGCTTGTATTGCCTATGTATTGTGCATATAGGAGGACTCTCAAACAAATTAATGCAAAAAATAGCAAAAACCAATTAATTAGTGGCAATAAGAACGCAATAGGAGGTTATATAGTAACAATACTAAGGCAATATGAGGCTATACAGTAGCAATACAAAAACTTTAATAGTCCATCTTATGGGGGAAATGCTGGACAAAACACAATGTATATAATGTTTTCTCTCTTCAATGTATAATATAAGTAAAAGTATTTTTTCCAAAAGCAAAATATCTAGGTCCAATCATCATGAAAAATAATAATAAACCTTGCAAAAGAGATGGCGAAACAAAAAAATTCCAAGTTCTCTTTGTTGTGCAACAACAATTTCATCAACAAATATGCAAGGTGCATTTTTCGTGGCCTTCTTAAAAAGATAGCAAACTCAATAAGCCTAGCAATAACTCATAGGTAAGCCTAAATCTAAAACACTGAATGATGATGGCTGTCATACTACAATGTCTCTATACACTCTTCCCGGTTATCAAAGAACTCTTTTTTCTCACCTTATAGCTTATATGGTTTATGGCATCTGCCGTTAACAACCTACAACAATGAAACATAATTTTAGAAAGAGAAACAAGGAAGGTTATAAGAATTTTAGAACAATTCCAGAGTGGATTGTGGAATGAACAAAGCAGTCTTGCAATTGGTGAACCCATTATCCATTATCCAATTCCTCTACAAGCACAATCTAACTTTGAAAAAAATGTTCTACATTGTATAGGAGTTAACTAAAGTAAGTGGTGAACATCAAGCACAATCTAACTTTGTACCATTTAACTTCAATTACTATCTTACTGGATATCAAGCGTTTGTTTCTTCTTAAGCTCACCATTGCTGATTCAATATTATGGATGTAGAGAGCTCACTTAGTAGTTCATTATATCAATTTATGTAGTTCATTCAAAAATCACATCCCAAAACATAACAAAACAAATCTAGATCATAACAAATTCTTGAAGATGCAGAACACTTTCAAGTGGCCTGAATGTTCTTTTATATTAGATCACACAATTCCCATAAAACCAAGAGACCATTGAACCAAATAATTGTGTTTCTTCAATTGTTTTTTTTGTCAAAATAAAAACCTAACTCAGTAATAAAATTCAATCAGCAAAAGAAAAACTTCAAAATCATTGTAGCCTAGACAAGCTTCAAGCTTCAAACATAATATTCCTTACGACAAACAAAGAAATATTTGTTGCACAATCCCAAAATTTTGATTCAACAAGTTTTTGTATAATCCTACTTAAATAACATTCTCTACACAAGCTAAAAAAATATTAATTTTTTTTAAAAAAAGAAAGAGATAAAACCCACAATTATGTTTCAACAAATTTATGTACAATCTCACTCAAATTTGACTTGGAGGGACTTGAAGTGACATTAAGCACCAAAAATTCCAACCCATATATGAAATTGAAACAAGCAGAAGAAAACCCAAATAACATATGGGTATGAAAGTAAAGCAGAAAATTTGAGTACCTGAGATGCCATGGATTTTAGGAAAGCTGAGAAAAATTGAGAAATTTGTTGAATCATAGGGGAAGAACAGCAGTCGAAAGAGGTGACAGAGAGAGAGGTGGAGGTGGAGAAGGGCGGCCGCAAGAGAGAGGGATGGGTTAGGGTTTTTGAGGAGGTGACAGTTGTCGTCATCATGGGTGGGAGCGAGAGAGAAGAAAAGAAAAGATAGGAGACGGAAGATATAACTAAGAGGATATGGAGTTAGGTGAGATTCGTGGAGGTGGATTTTCTGTGAGGTTTGAAGAAGAGGAAGAGAAAGAGACTAGGTAGACTAGGGAGAATAGGAAGAGGAAGAGCAACGATTGAGAAGAAAAAAAAAAGGTGATAGATGGGCAATAGACTGTCAATAGGGAGTTTTTATAAGGGGTATTTGTGATTAAATTTCGAATTGGGAATATTATTGAATAAATTAGTTGCGCCGGGGGCAAAGCCGCCAATTTCCCAAAAAAATACAGGGTAAGTCACATTTCGTGTATGCAAAAATGCCACGAGGCTCTTATACCCAATAAAAAGTGTGAATCATGATAATTTACTCATGCCAGAAATAAAAAATCCACTGGTTGTATTGTACATACATGCGCTGCGGTTGCTTTTCTAAGATCAAATTTTATGACACAACGCAATTTGTCTCTGGGAGACTCTTTCCATTTACAGCACTATGTTGGCAAAGGAAGTCTCTTCCGTTAATTTTTAGGAAAGAAACACATAATTGACATGGACGTATAAATTAATTCACAATACCAAATGCCCTGAATTTTATTGATGTAACCAAGACACTATTACATATAAAGATCCAGACAAAGTCCATGTCCATAACAACACTACTTACACATGCATACATAATTAGGCCGGCAAACATTCTGTATGAGGACTGAGCCAGCCACTTATTTATATCATGTCCAATGCAGAAGTTTACAAATTTTACTGTTGGTCCTGCAATGGAAACATATTTCATATAGGTTAGCAGACACAGCATGACCAATATAGAAACAGAGACAGAAAGAAAGACCATGAATTTCATATTCAGGTCAGCCGAAGAGAATGTACCAAGAAGCGCTTCTTGTAGAATTCAACAAGCTCCTTTGGATCAGTTTTGGTCACCTTATAAGCTTCAATCTTGTTGATTTCCTGCACAAGGACAAAAAAAATTTCACCATCCGTTACCTAAAACTATGATATGTACGAACTGGTTAGCCAAATTCAATCTTGTTGCTTAGTCTCACGGGACATTTCTGTAAGCTACTTCAAAGAAACTATTCAAGTTCCTCTTTTTAACAGGTGAGAGATGATAGTTCTTACACAGAGTTAAAGCTTGGACACCGGAATTCACAACTTTCTATATAAAAATTTATGGTTTTTTTTGTGTACCTCAAACCATGCTGCTAGTTTAGGCCTCCCTGCTGTGATGTCATACTTGATCACCTCTGACAAGAAGACTTGGAATCTCTCAACAAACGGAATATAGGCTATGTCCACCTGAAGATCACATTTTTATCCATTACTTCAATACTTTATGTATTATCAAATTGCTAAAAAAACCATCTAAAAATAACAATTGGCATGTACATAATTCTATATCCAACTTACCAAACTGAACTGACCCAGAAAGAATGGCCCATCATCAAACTTTTTAAGAGCATTCTCCAAGTAATCAAACTGAGCATCTGATGCAGACAACGAATTTTGGCCAGCTTAAATTTAACAACAAAAACAGTCACCCTAATGGGAAAAACTTCCAAGTCTTACCGGCTTCTTTCGCTGCGTCTCCTTTGAATGAAGAATACAAGGCCCTAGTGAAGGTATCAGTGTAGGTTATTAGTTCTTCACCAAACTTTCTTCTCTCAGAGTCCTAAAACAATTTCACAGAACCACTTGGGTCAAATTTCTGAGAGACAAAGATAGGTTATCAGAGGCAAAGTTAACTTATGGATAGATATCTTACGGTGGGGAAAAGTGAAGGCCCTTCAAAGTTACTATCCACATATTTGATCAGATCAAGACTCTCTCCAATGACCTTTCCATTGTGCTCCAGTGATGGCACCTATAAAATAATCAATCAAGAGATCTTTCCAGCTTCAACAAATATTCCACAGATAATCAATGATAACAAAGAACATAACTTTGTTCAAGTGTATCACCTTATTCTCAGGATAGACCTTTTCCTTGTACCAAGCAGGCCTGTTTTGAAGATTTATAGGGACTAACTTGATCTTATCTTGCAAACCCTGCAGCACAAAAATTCAACACAAAACAAAAGTAAGACAACATATTAGATATGGGTTCTGATTAATTCCACATTTTATAATATTAAATCCAAACTAACAAATGAAAACATATAACAAAAAAGAAGAAGAAAAAGAAAAAAAGATAAAGTGAGGTCTTTTACAATATAAGGGTCCAGTCAAGAGTTCCAAAAGCAGAGGAGATAAACAACCTTATAATTCCTAGTGATCCACACCCGCTGTGCAAATGGGCAGGTATAAGATACGTACAGCCTTCAAAATACAAAGTCAACAATTAAAAAAGCGCAAAGCAAACACAGTGAAACAAAACAAAAAAAAAAAAAAAAAAAAAAAAAAAAAAAACAAAAAAACAAAAAACAAAAAAAAATAGAGGAAAGAGCTAAACCTTGTAGTGCCATCAAAAAGAGGAGGTGGGCTGGAAGTGGAATCCAGCGGTGGAGAAAGATCCTCATGTCTGCAAGACCCAAAAAAAAAACCCAGTTGTAATTTTAGCAACAAAAAAAAAACACAAATTCAGAAAAAGCCAGATGCACAAATGACCAAAAAAAGATGAGAAATCGTACTTGTAAGCCATTTTTGGTGCTTTGCGTTGCAGAAGGTTCAGTGTGGTTTTTCTTTTTGGGCAATGAGAATCTGGGGCACAATGTTGTCTACGTCCAAAGTGGGTGATCCTTTTATAGGGACTGTGAGTTGATTGTTGTGATGGTGTGAAGTCGCGAGCAGTGACGAATGTGTGCGTTGGGCTTCGGTGGTGCATGATAAGGTTTCGTGGTCTTGAATTTTCAGCCGTTCAATTTGAGGACAGGACCTTGTCACGTCTGAGTTTTAATATTAATCGTAGGGTCAGCAGACCGTGAAAGAAAGTTGAGGATGCCGACTGTTTCTATATTCTGATATTGATCCAACCGTCATCCACTGTCATGAAAGCCATCTACAAGTCGGAAGATTCTAGATTCTTGGGCGGATTTGTTTCATTTTATATCTCTCTTTTTTTCCGGTCAACATTTTTTACTTTTCATTTTTTTATTCGAAGAAGAATTTTAATTTAAAACAAATACCATAGTAGCCGACGCAGTCTAGTTTGGTGAAAAAGTCTTGACTTACATATTAATGGTTTTAAGTTCGAACTCCATAATATTTTCTTTGTTTGGATGAAGAAATTGAAAATTACATAGAATTCTAAAATGATAAAATTTCAATTTCTGGCTATTGAAAATTTTAGTGTTTGGATTTATGCATGTCGAATTTTTGTAAATGCCATAATTTTGTAAATTGCAGTATGGAAATTGTCAAATGACGCATATTTTGGAAATTAAGAAAATTAAAATTGATACCTCCCTATTCCCTACCCCCTTTTTTTTTTTTTTGGTTTTTTTTTAATAAATTTCGCACTTAAATTGTCAAACGAAGGAATTGTCAATATCTCAATTCTTGACTTTTAGCTAAATTTCGACTTATTTTCCCTCATCTAAACAGAGGTAGTGTGTGTGGTGGAACTATGAATTTTTCGAAGGGGTTGCTAGCTAAAGTGTTTAGGGTAAATCTGATGAACTTTTTTTTTACTTACATTTTTATTAGCCTTTCTATAAATAAAAGTATATATTAAATCATATAAACCACACTAATTCATGATTCCATTCCATTGACTAATTTCCCATAAATTTTAACATAAAACAAATACATATTAAATTCAACAAGATAACAAAATTGAAAGTATACCTATTTTAATATGTATTTTTGTTACTTCCAAGCAATTAAATTAATAGATAATTGGTGTTTTTTAGACTTTAATGCATTAATACACACTGGACTATATTTAAAACAAATCAAATGTAGGTATGATTATTTTTCAACCCAAAAGCATCACTAGGTTACAGCCCAGGTTAGCCTTTAACTTAGTTACGTCCCTCCACCCCTTCCTAAATTTGGCAACAAAAAAAGGAGAAAAAAGAATAAAAATTTCACATATTATTAAGTAAAATATTACATACTAAATTTGTAAATAATTAATATTTAAAAACTCTATATGACTGAATTTTTCACTGTATCTTTAAAATTTTGCAGAATAATACACTTACATATTTTATTCATATTTTTCCGTTTGTATTTTACTAAGTACGAGAGAAATAGCACTACATAACAACTAATAGATTAAGGATGATCATATTTAAGTTCAGATATTTAAAAAAAAATAAAAAATTCTATTTTTAGGTAAATTATTATTTTGTACGACTTTTACAAATAGAACATGGTTCAGAAAGAATTTAGATTTGTAAAAACTACAAACTACCACATCATTTGATGAACTTTCCATACGTAAACCTCAAAGAGTTTATAAATTGGTTTATGGAAGCAAAGATCGGCAAGTTTCTACCCGTATATTGAAATGTTAATCAATCACCCTTTCTTTGCTACTTCACTTTTACTCTTAGTCACTTGAACGACAAGTCATTCGTTTTAGACGTGTATCTTTGTTTATGTTTATATGGAGAACTTCAATTCGAGTATGACTGAGACAAGAACAAACCAATTTGGCCAAAAAGGGAGAAATAAATACTTTGGCTAAAAGGAATTGCAGTAGCATATGCTATATAGAGACTTGACATTTTTATTTCCATCCATCCCGCTGCTTCTCATTACAATTTATAACCAAATGAAAGCTATCTCTTACAGAACTGATTGGGTTGATTCCCCCAAATAATCATGGATGAAATAGCCTTCCTGGTTTGTCGTTGTTGTGCATGGTCAAACGCTTTGCAACAGTGAAAGAAACACTTTCTTCTTTCAACCTTGCAAGATTTTCATCATTGCTTTCCTCGCTATTACAATAACAATAGCATTCACATGTTAAGACCAAATGCTACTGTTATTCTCAATAGAAAAAGGCAAAGATTAAATGCCTAGGAAATAATAAAAAATAAAAAAAACAAAAGTAAAGATGAAATACAGATTTTTCACCTGCCCTGAGCTTGAATGGCTTCTTGAGCTAGTCAGACTTCTTCATTAGACTTAACAGCACCCCAGCACTAAGACTTGTAGCTACAAAGCCAAGAGACACCTCGGTTGATACATGGAACCCTGTGGAAGAGTTGAGAAGATGTGAATTTAGGATGTCTTGAAGATTTTGTATAACAAAAACAATAACCCTTGAAATACCAACCAAAATAATCCAGGATCATCTTACACCCGATAAAGCCCAGAACAACACCAATTGATGGCTGAAATGAGAACCAGAACATCAAATATCTTATTTTATTTTAAACTTTTCAATAGGAAAGATCCTTAAATTAGGATGCAATTCAAAATTAACAGTTCGTGGAACGACCACATGGTCATATTGCCTTATTTCAAGTGTGTGTATATAGAAACGAGTCGGCCATGATGGTCTTCTATGGGTAAATGATCATTAGTTCACACTAGTTGTTCAGAAAGCACTAGAAATTCTAGAGCAAGTCAAGTTTGTACCTGTAAATACTCCAAGTCTGACATACCCTCAGAAATTAGTGTGTAAAGTGATCTTAAACCTACATTCAACAGAAACAGGGTCAATATAGAAATGCACGCACATCCATAATAAGATTGTAACTGTATAACCCAACTTAGACCAAATTTACAGAAATATGGCCAATTAAACCTACATGTAACAAGAATTACCTACGATGGCAAAAAGATTAGAACTGAACACTATGAAAGGATCCCGAGTAACACCAAAAACTGCTGGTATGGAGTCGACCTAAAGAAAAATGAAGAATCATATCAACATTTCCATTAAAAAATTACGTGGAAAAGATAAGATAATATTTTATCTACGTATATCACATATCTATATATGTCTGACACTATTGGTAGATAGGTAAACCTACAGCGAATGCTATATCACTGAGCTCAATAACTGCTACCGTGAGAAGTAAAGGTGTGGCCTGCCCAAAATGTTTGACACCTGTTAGAGATCAAGTAGACATCAATTTAACACAAATTGATTTTCAAGTTTGAGACAAAAACTGTGACATGTTGATGTAAATAACATCTAGGCAGTTTTAAGACTTTCATATCTCAGAAACCTGTGCAATACAATTTTGTACCCTAAGAATATCCCATAAACAACTTACCTTTCGCACACCATCTTGAAATGTGAAAAATTTATTGCCATCATAACTCGCTGCAAGAATTCACAACACCAAAAGAAAGTAGGCATTAAGACCATACACCAGAAAGAGAAGTTAGTGCAAAGCGAGGTAAAATGATGACCAAAAAAGGTGAGGTAGAAGTTTGCAAATAAATGCTAGCTCTATAAAAAAATTTACTGAAGATTGAGTGTTTGCAAACTAGTTTACAGGTGGCAAAATAATCAAAAGGATGCAAATTTGCAGGAGTATGTCAACTCTACAACCATTTTTTTTCTTATTATTTTTTTAGTGTAAGATGGTCTCCTAGGACTTGCTATATTCAAAGCCCAAGTTTGTTCACTAAAATTGAGTTCAAAATCAGCTAAGACAGACAAGGATCACCCCCAATAAATTCAGAAATTTCCAGTTTTAATCTAATCTTTAAGCACATGCAAAGAACCAAAAAAAAAAACACTTCAACTGAGAAATAGGAAGGAAACAAATCCAAAGAGAGAACATTACACGTGACAGGGATAAATCTCTGGCATGTCTTCACAACAAAGTTGTTGGATAGATCAGTGTCATCGTCTTCACTGGTAAATAGCTGCAACAATAAAATGACATTTTGAGTCACAATAGATCTGATTATATAATATAAAATAAACAGAAGAAGATAGTTACCACAGAATCCTCAGAAAAGAAGATTCACCTTGAAGGATGAGTAAAGGAGTATTGCAGCCAGGAAAAGATTCACCGCCTCAAACCTCTTCAACAGCAACATTGCAGAGAAATTTCAGAAGGAGCACATACAATCAAGAAAGCAATATAGATTCACAAACACACATGCACATAGAACTATAAATTTACCTGCAGTGTGGCTGTTCCTAGGAGTATTAATGTGAAACGAAAGACGACTGCGCCAGCAATACCGTATGAAAGCACCCGATTCTAAAGTTCAAAGTTCAAACAGAGCGAACTTTTCATAACCATGAATTACCAGAGAGCTTTGGTTGTTAAAAACATCTTTTAAGTAAAGATTTGAGAGAACATATGGACCACAGAATTTGAATGCTAAAGAGGTTTTATAAAATACCTGATACATGATTGGCACTTTGAAGTACTTGAAAATCAGAACAAAGACAAACAGATTGTCCACTGATAAGCTTTGCTCCAGCAAATACCTGAAAAGTCCTAACATTCAGCACACAGCACAACATATAAATTTCAAAAATCGAAATAAAGATAATGAACACACCATGCAGTCAGATGAAAAAATCACCAAGTTAAAGTACTTGTTCCCAATTATTTTGATTCAGATACTAGAAATGTCTTTATATATTTAGGTTATAGACCAACGACTAATGCTTTGGACTATAAATAGAGTGCAACTTTCTATCAACTGTTTTAAGTTTCACAATGCAAATTTCTGCATACCCAGCAAAAAACTCCGTTGCCTTGCCAACTCCATCTTTGAAACCCAAACCGACACCAAATGCTACCGCAGCGCACACCTAAAGGAATTAATATCTACATCTATCAGCATTATTGAAGCAGACAATTCAAATTAAGCTGAAAGGTGCTCACCCACAAGGCTACAGTTCTTACGGAAGAAACATAAGCTTCACGTCCCTGCGTTTTCTCTGGAGAGGAAGTATGAGAGGTGTCCACATCACCAAAGTCATCACGTGACCGAGAATCGACCCTCTCACCTTCTGCAAATTGAAGAGGAAACTTCATATTAAGCTACAGAAAAGTATCCATAAATTTGACATAATTTGCGTCAAATTGTCAAAACTGTCAGTCCATTGGAGCTAAAATCGTTAAGCTCAAGTGACATGATCTCACCAAATCGATATTGGTACTATTAAATTAAAGTTACCCTTAAAAATTATTTTTAAAAAACAAAAACATAAAGATAATTCAATGTGGGCAACTCCAATTTGCTCATGAATCTCGATTATACATCCAATGAGTAGAAGAAAGTCAAAGTCACCTGAAATGGATAAATCATCATCTTGCTCAGTTGTTCTAGAACGTGCAATCGGCGCAGATTGGCCACGACGACTGTGACCACCTGCAATCCAAATTCGACAAATACAAATATGTAAAACACGCTATCAGACTATTCCATTGCATAGCAAATAGAGGGAGAGAGAATGAAAGACCTGTGCGGATGCGAGGGATATGAAGGTGAATTAAGTGAGGCCTAGCCCACTTTGGGGCTGGAGATGGTGATGAAACCCTAGGCAAGCGTGAACTGAGCTTCAGAGGAATGTGGACGCCGTTGTGGACGACAGAAGCCATGCCCATGGCTGCGAGGGAGAGAATTGGTGCCAAATTCAAATGAAGGAGAAGAGGGGAAGAAGAGAAAAGCAGCTGTATGGTATCTTATCCTTTTTGAATAAATTGGCCTGGCCACACAGAAAAATTGACACATTTTAAAGAAGGACAATAAAAAATTGGTTTATTATCACAAAACGTCTCTAAGGTTTACGAAACTATCAAATTGCATCTTTAATGTTTTTTTGTGTCACTCGTGGTTCTTAAGGTTAATATATACGATCACATATGGTCCCTGTCATTAGGTTCCGTCAAAAACTTCGTTAGTTTGCTGATGTGGTATATATATATATATATATATCGCAAAACATCTTTGAGGTTTACGGTGTATCACAAAGGGTCCCTACGAATTTTTTTAATTTTTTTTATTTAAAATTAATAAAATTTTGGTTTTCTTTTGTAAACCTTAGTTAATCACAAATTTGGCATCTAACGGTCGCCTTCAGCGCCTCCTCAACTGCAACTGGATTTCATGCTACGAAAATTACTTGGCGATTGGGGTAAAAAATGATGTAAATTTGAATTTAGAGAATAAGTTCTCGAATGGTATTTTGTAGCTAGGTTTTTTACTGTCGCTGAATTTATGCAAACTGAAACTTATTTATAGACGATTTTGGTTCTCCAACTTTCTCGTTTGTGTTTAATCTATACATATAAAGCAAAAGACAGAGAATGGTGAAACATTCAAAATACCAAAAAATGCCATTGGTTAATGCAAACATTAAGAATTGAAATTATTAATTAAATTAGGATAATATGGTAAATTCACACTTTTTCATATTAAAAAAATTAAAATTAAAAGAAAAATCAAATAATGGATCCTATTTTTATGGAACACAACTACCCATTATCTTTTTTAATTCTAAAAAATTAAAAATGAAACCAATTGGCACATGCGTGAGCATGTGCCAGGGGCTAGTAAAAATAAAATAAAAACTTATCCAATTGAATCATTTCATCACAATTGTTGTCATTTTAAATCACTTGAATGGCACTGACTTGCTTTTTTGTGATAAATGCGACTTTTGGGTCAATTCTAAGCCATTATAGACAAACTTAGGGCTATATTGGAGTTTTATCAATAAGTATGACTCAAATTTGGAGATTTTGGTGAAGTATGATTCCAATTGAAAAGAAATGAGATATGTGAATATGGTTTCAATTTGGGGAACAAATAGGTCATTTTCTAGAATATACTTGCTCTAAACTTGACAATTTTATCTCTCAAATAGCAGAAAAATTTACTTGTAACGAGGATAACACTATTTTGCTATTCCCGGCCAATAATACAATGACACATGGAAAATTTATCTCACGTATCATTACGTCATCGGTCGAGAATTGCAAAAAGTGTTATCATTGTTGCATGAAATTCTTTCTCCTTAAATAGACCGTCTAATTGACAAAATGTGACGATGCATTTGGATGAGAAAATTTAAAAATACTAAGAAATTCATAAATGATGGAATTTAAAATGACGAAAATAAATGTTCTAGAATCTGTAAAGTTTTTTGTTTGGCTAATGGATTAAAACACGTAATTTAACGTTTATTATCCTGAAATTTTAGAAATGACGACTATTTAGATATAATTTAAAGTTGGAATTTATGACCTCAAAATTCCTTTTTTTTTTCACGTGAAATTTCTAGATTTCTTTGTTTTTTTTAATTATTTATCCAAACACGAGAATTGATTTATATAAATTTAGAAATTCTGACTTTTGTCAAAATCCCAAATTTATTTCCCTCATTTAAACGCATAAAATGACTGAATTGACATGAATGAGAAGTTAAAGTACTAAGTACACACAAATTTGTTGGAGAACGCAATAAAAAAAATTAGTTGGAGAATTAAAATAAAACTCAAATAAGTGTAAGTTCAGGAATGAATAATTTCTGATAAAAATCCTTATGAATAATTTACCAGACAATTTTTTTTTTTGGTTTTTGGAATAATGCTACTTTTATCATATTTTTATAACACATTGTCATACCACTTTATGTGGGAGATGAAGTATACAACCACATCAATTAAAAAGTGTTAATAAATCATAACAGAAAAGAAAATGTTAAGTGTCTGTTTGCTATTCAACTTGAATACAACTTTTTAAACTCAAAAATATAATTTGAGTCCAAAACAAAAAAAACCTGTTTGATAGCCCCATTTTTGAAAATTCAAACTCAGGAATAACTCAAAAACACCCCAATTATTAAAAACAAAATTTGTTTTTTTTTCATTTTTTTTTCTTCTAACAACCCATCGTGCCTCTTTGCCTTTCTCTCTCTTCCCTATCTCCACCATTTCTCTATCTCTGCTCCCTATTACGTATATCTCTCTCTCCTCCTGTTCTCGTCTCTCTCGTCTCTTCCCTTTTGCCTAAGATTTCCAGACTTACGTTTCCGGCAGAATCAACATTGCAATGAAAGTCGGTTTGGGTTTAAGGTTTTCTTTATACATGAGTCAACTACCAAAAGTGACTGGAGGTGGCCCAATTTTAAGGTTTTTCGATGAGAAAACCCTTGATTTCTCCAACATCGGTTTGGGTTTTCCAATAAGGTATGGGGTCAGATCTTTGGCGGAAAAGATAGAAGAGAGGTTGGGGAAACTTTTTCATGGAGGGACCCCGGTCAAAGGTGGCCGAAGATGGTCAGACTGAACTGAGAAAGTTTGGCATGGACAGGGTAATTTTTGGGCTATTTTTCCAACCAAAAATTTGAGCTATCCTTTGGCTAATCATGTCGGATATTTTATGGGTTTTGTAGAAGAGGATGTGAGAAGTGTTTTTCATGAAAGTTGTGGCGTCAACAAAGGTTGGACGACATCGAAAAATAGGCTGGAAGTGGTAGCGCCATTGTTCACATGAGAGAGAGAGAGAGAGAGAGAGTGTGTGTGTGTGTGGGGGGGGTGGGGGGGGAAGAGAGAGAGAGAAAGCTGACTAAAGTACAGAAGTTATGATCTACGGAGTACAGTCATCTCTCTCTCTCCCAGCCCATTTTACAAAAATTACGGTTGTGCCACTGTATTTTCATAGATCATAACTTCTTTGTTTCTAGTCAAATTTGAGCTTGTCGCCTGTCTACAAACTCGGATCAATGAGCTCCATGCAATGGTGCAACTCAATTTCCCAAATTCATTTATGAACAAAAAGTGACCAAAATATCCCTACCCAAGGACAAAAATGTAATTTGAAAAGAAAATGTTTTCAAGAATTCAACCAAACAAGTTCTCAAATTTTTAAGATTTGAAAACAATTTTCAAATTGTGTACCAAACAAAATTTTGAATCTTAAAAATAGATTTGAGAACTTCTTGTTTTGTAAAAAAAATCAAAGTTTATGAGTTCCCTATTTGAATAGGATACCAAACACCCTCTAAATTAGTTTTAATAAATGTGGTTGTACACCTCATCTGCCATATAAGGTGATATGAGAATGGGGTGAGAGTAGCATTATGGCCTGTTTCGTATTCAACTTGAGTCCAACTTTTTAAACTCAAAAACAAAATTTGAGTCCAAAACAAAGAAAACATGTTTGGTAGTCCTATTTTTAAAAACTCAAACTCAAGAACAACTAAAAAAAATCCCAATTATTAAAAACAAAAATATTGGTGTTTTTTTTTTTTAAGTTCTTTTTAATATTTGAAAATAGTTTTCAAGTTGTATACCAAACAAGTTTTTGAATATTAAAAATAAATTTAAAAACTCTTTATTTTAAAAAAATAAAGTTTTTGAATTCCCTATTTGAATATGATACTAAACGCCCTTACTTTTTTTTTATATTTATAATAACCAAATTGGGACCGACAATAAAATCCGGTAACTTGCAAAATTGAAAAAGCTGTAATTTCATACCAAAAATAAATCCGGTAATTTCATAAATGAGTTGGTTTGATTGACCAATCAAATTACACCGCGTTGGGGCATAAAGGGGCATAAAGGGGGAAAATATCCCCCAAAGCATCAGACGCTTCTTGTTTGTGCTCACTATTCGACTCTTCACATTCACAACCACATAACCCACACCAAACGGAGACTCTCTCTCTCTCTCTCTCACACTCTTTGCCGCACTTCTTACGCAGTCTCCGATCCCCAACCCCTCCAGTTCTCCAATGGCCACCGAAACGCAGAAGCTCAGCGACACCAACCCCGCCCTAGAGAACCCTAAGAAAACCCTAGACCCTTCCCCCGTCCCGCCCACCGCCACCAACCCAGATCGACCCGAAGACCCGCCCACTGACATTCCCTCCGATCCGGCTCCGTCATCCGAGGTTGTGTCCGAAGAGAACGGTTCCAAAGCGGACTCTGAGGATCCGAAGACCGCCGCAGGCTCTGAAGCCGGTGATGGCGCTGCCCCTGCTACCGCTATTCAGAAGAAGATGCGCCGAGCCGAGCGGTTCGGGATATCTGTGCAGATGACTGAAGAAGAGAAGCGCAACTCTCGGGCTGAGAGGTATTGGGATTTGATTTTCTTTTGGGGGTGAATTTTTAGGGTTAGGGTTTCTTGGGCTTTCTGTTTTTGTTTCAATTTCCGTTTGGTTACTGGGAAAACATGGTGTGAAAGAGTAGAAAAATAGATTCTAGCAAAGGGAAAGCAGCTGAGTTCATTGAGTGTGTTTAGATTAACATGTACTATAAGCAGTGTTAATATTATTTGATAAGAATTAAAATACGTTGTGATGATTTTATTAATCGAAAGATGATGGCACTTGAATTACCAAGCAATAAGGGGGTAAAATCTCATATTCTCAGTGGAGTGGCAGGGTGAAAGTTTATTTGTGGTCAAATTTCATGTTTGAAATATTGTTTACGGAGGATGTGACTTAATTTTAATCTTTATTTCTCTTGTTTTCTGGTAATTGTGTTTCTGAAAATGTTGGCTTACCTACCTTATGGCAGGTTTGGCACTGTTTCCACATCGCATGGATCAGAAGCATCTAAAAAATCAGAGGAGCAGAAGAGAAAGGCTAGAGCAGAGAGGTTTTGTTTCATACATCTATTAATTGAGTGCTCATACACAATTCTTGAATTTGAAATTGGAAATTTCTGGTTGTTTGTTCTGATGTTGTTATTAATCTCTTTCTTGGTTATCAGGTTTGGGCTTTCTGGTCCAGCTGTGGCGGGTGATGAGAATGCAAAGAAGAAGGCTCGTCTTGCTCGATTTGCACCTATTTCCAAAACCGATACTAAAACTGATCCCATGGAAGATGAAAAAAGGAAGGCAAGGGCACTCAGGTATGTGTCAGTGCATGCTATTTACCTATTGTGTTAATAAATCATTTGAACATTTCTAGTAAACTACTCAAGGATTGATGATGATAGTTCTTTAGATTTTCAATAGAGTATTTTTTTCGCTTATTTTAATTATTTTAAATCTTTAATGTTATCTTTCTAGGTTTTCAAAGGCCTCAACAGGTTCTCTTTCTCAAGTGAATGACAAGGGAAATATCGAGCCGGTAAGACCCTCTTAGTTTGACTGCTTCTGAGAATCTTTTGAATAAGAGTTTTTTCTTTGTTATTATCTTTCTTCTAGTGCTGATTATTTTATTTTTCTATATTAAAAGGCAGCCATAGCTGGCAGTGCTGGTGGAGGGGTTTGAAAGGAAGCGTACGTTCCTAGTAGTAAGTTGATTTTTATATCTACTTTGGGAGTTATGGAACCAGTTTTAATTTCATTTTCATTTTTCTCCCCTTGTACATTAGTACAGACAAGTTTGTATGCTTTTTCTGTGGGCTTCTTTAACTTATCCTGTACCTTGTTTTGATTTCTTTGGCAGGTGTAGAAATCTAACATTTTGTGGTTCCCTCAGAGGCTTCCGTACCCATCACTACCTCTGATTGTATGGATTATCAGGCGCAGCATTTTCCCAATAGTGGATAGATATCGTTTACAAGTCATTGAACACAGTTTGGCGGCATAGCGGAGCTTTATTTCATGCTTGTTTTGGGTTCCTTTCAATTTACCCGGTGAGGCTTTGAATAATCAACAACTACCTATTTAGTGTTAACTTACCCTGTTATCAAGAATGTCAGAAATTCCGTATTTAAAACCAAGGGAAAATTTAGTATTGGATGAAGCTTTTGCAGAAAGTATTGGGTGGCTACTCACGATGCAGTGTTGAACAGTAATACAAAGTTCGTTTAAGTCCACATCATCTGATCTGTTACTCATTGTGTTGCAACGTGCTGTTAATCACATCATACTGAGATGTCTGGATTTTAGTGTCTTAATCAATCAATCTGTCATATTAGTTATTGTTGGTAGGATGAGTGGTGATAATATATTATTTAAAAAGCAGAAAAGTCTAGCCCTCATGCACAGTTGAGGATGGCTGCAATCATGGAGTTCACTAGGTAGGCAGATCTCTAGTATTATACGGAGCTCTGTATAATTTGTTTTGTGTGTGTTAGTTTAATTCATGGGTTTTTATATTTGCGGTTTATGTTTTTGGTTTTCTTATTGTATGACGGAGCTCTTATTATGGTTCTATCAGTTATCCACTCTCACTTCTTAATGCCACTGGTTTGGATCAGATGAGATGTGTAGGCATATGCTACTGAGTACTACTGTTCAACACTGCCATGAGAAACATGTCTAAAATAGGTTTTAATTGAGTAGAAGGTAAGTTTGTTGGACGGACTTCTTTATATGTATCAGCTATTCGTATTTGCTCCACAGAGGATTTACCTAGATTTTATTGTTAGAATTTCTGATATTCTTGGTTGGTCATTTCGGGGTAAGTGAACGATTTGGAGGTGGTGGTTGATTTTCTTAAGCCTTGCTGGGTCAATCGTGCAGTCTACAGGTAGGACATTGGGAATGGATTGTACTTTGACATTTTGGTCAGTTTATTGTTTTGTAATTTTTATATTTTGTATATGAAGCTTCCATTGGAAAAGAATGTAGAAACAAACATCCACCTTATGTGGAAATTCATGTTTTGTATTATTAGCATAATGTGGATGGAAGACCTTTTAACTAATTTTTGGAGGGAATCAGAAAATGTTAGTTTACATTTTCCAGTTTTGTTAAGTTGTCAAATTGCCTTGTGATGTTCTGTTTCTCACCTGAAGTTTTCTAGTCTGAGTTGTGTATGTATGTTTCTTTTGTTCTGTTGGTGGTATTGCATGTTATGTTGAAGGGCTGTGAAATATAAAAATTGAGTTGAATTAACCTTCAATATTTCTCTCACAATTTCCATCATATTTTTTTCTTCACAAATTTCTACATGTTTCATACCCTCGATATTCCTGTGAAGATTGATACGTTGAAAACTTTGTACACCTTTGAACGTAAAGTTCTTAAATCACTGAAATTTGAAAATAAACGCAAAGAAGTAGGTGTACCATTTTGGGGCGAATTAACACTTGGGAATTAGGGTTTTAATTTGTTGCCTTCAACGTTTGCATAACAAATGAATGCGAATATTGACCCACACAAGGAGGTAAAAAACAAAGGTTAATGCGATTACATTACTCCCAGATGATTAGTTATGGGTTTTTTGGCCTACAACTACGATAGGAAGATCATCATTTAACTTATAAATTACAATTTACAAGAAGTAAACCAAGCCCCTATGACTATGAGTTCTTCCATGTGCCAATTACAGACAAATATTTTGGTAAAACCCGTCATTGCCATTGCCAAAAGCATCTCCCTCCTTCAGCTTCCACTAGCTGCTATATTTGAACAAAGGCTTTTTGGGTTGATTTCTTCACCACCAGAGGCTGGAGCTGAATAATTAAGCACCAATCTAGATGTTGGGTTTTAATGAAAATTGAGTTTTGCGTGGGGAGGCTGCACCTTTCAATCTTGTGCTTAGAAACACCACCACAACACTGATGTCGTCATGAAAATGTCTTCTCACTCCTCTTTCAATCTTTCTCAAGTCCGAGTACCTCACTTCTCTCTTCTTGGCTGCTTCCTGAAGTGCAGCTTCAACAAGCTTCCTCGCTATTCCCTGCATAACCAACAAAACATAAGCTGTTCATCAACCTCTATAGAACCCAACTCTTTTTTCTAATTTTTCGTGTAGGAGAGTTGATTAAAAAGGATGGTTTTTTTTCAAAAGCATTTTCCTTACTTTACGTGGGTAACTATTGACAATGTCCACAGCCTCCTGGTTGCTGAGATGCTCCCACAGACCATCAGAAGCAAATATGAGAAACTGATCTTCAGGGCAGAGTTTAAGCACCGATATGGACGGTTCGGGGATGAGAATTGGCTTGAGGAAAGGTTCAGGCAGCCTAAACTTTAGGGGTAGAGGCTCTCTGTTGAACTCTGCATTCTTTAAATATGCATCACCAAGGGATCTTGTAACCTGCAATGAGATTTGAATAAATCCTAGTGACTTCAGCAAAAGCTGAAAGAGCACAACAGCTTAAAAACCAATACAAAACTTAAAACGAAACGAATTTAGACCACTACCTGTATGAGGCCCTTCACACGCCAAACTCTGTGCCTCAAAACCACAATCTTTGGATCATATGGATGCATTGACTTGACCTCATCTCTCACAGATTCTATACTTGCATTGTGCTCTGTAGATAATTGAATGGCTATGACCTCTTTCGTCGCCTTTTCGATTTTTCCTAAAACCACCCGAGAGTCCCCAACATTTGCTGTGTAAAGCAGTCCATTGCAAAGTATCCCAACCAAACAACATGTTCCTGCAGATGCAATCTGTGGCTTGTTTAGCCACTTTTTCTTCACCATGGAGAGAAAATTCTCCTCTGTGGCCAAGTAAGCCTTCTTGATAACATGTTCTGATATGGCCCTATGCTCAGCTGCAATTCCTGCTTTACCATTTAGTGTTAGAAAGAAAGGGCTTAAGATTGAACAAACATCAAAGCAATCAAGAGGGACATTTATAATTTTTGAAACGTACTCTGAAGATTGCAGAAGAGATTTTCATTGACATACGTTGAAGCCTCAGGCCCTCCATGCCCATCATAAACACCAACAAAGGTCCCCACAGGACCAGATTTTGTTGAACTCAGGGGACCGGATTCGATTTGGCTTTGATCCTCCAAAACGGAATTGGCTTGAATGACAGCCATTGAAAATTCTCCCCAAGCATGCTGCCCCAAGTCCTTGTACCACAACAACCCATCAACACGTCCACTGGCTTCACTGCCACCACGCCGAAGTCCATCATCAACTGCAGAGGGTTTCCAACAGGACACCATTTTTTCAAGCAACCACTTTATATGATATAACAAGAATATGTATCATCATCCAAATGAGCCAGCAACCCGAAAGTTCATCAAATGAAGATCAAGAGCAAGAAGTAGGCTCAACCCCAGCTCCAGTTTTTGTTTATGTTTCAAGGCCACAACTCCATTCTCAAGTTTATACCCTTCAAAACCAGACACCATTAATATGAACAAAACTCAGATAAAAACCAAAAGGGTATGGGGCTAAGTCAAGTCACAAATGTGTCTTGGGACCGGAAGGCAGTAGTTTAAATGTGAGTTCAGAGAATATGGAGGCCTGCTGGTTCTGTGTATCTTGAATTGGGGTTAAATACGTTTGGTTTTTTTAATGTGTGCCATGTTTCAGGAGCAGACTTAGCTGTAAAAGCACATAGAGGCTTGGAAATGGCAGAGGTTGGTCTAAGATCAGAGTGATCAAAGGGAGCACTGGATAAGAAAAAGGTTTGGAGTTTTTCGACAGAAGATCTTCAAATTGTTGTCAGATGAGATCTAAGATGGGCAATGAAGAGAGATTTCGAGCTACAAACTCTGACATTGTTGTTCCTCCCTAGTGTTTTTTTGTTTTCTTATGTTTTTGTGGCCTAGTGGGTTTCTGAGACTTCCCCATTCCATGGCTGAGATTTTGAGTTCCCCGACCTTTATTAGAAGTAAACCATCATTTTAGGCAATTTTTGCTCTTCTTATTAATCTTTTATTTGGGCAATGAGAAAAACCTTCACAGTCCTATCTCATTAGGTATGAAACTTTAAAGTAAACTCTATATACGTGAAACAAATCACCGTAAAACACATGTACATCTTCTATTTTTGAGTGGAAGTACCTAACTTTCATAGTCATTTGGGACCCTTGCCCTTAGTGGATCTTGCACTCTCATATTTTACCTTTTGTTTATTGAATAATCCAAGCTCTATCTTTTCAGCACAACTAGGTTTCCCTAATCAAACCATTAATTAAGTGATGCGTTCTAAAGTTCAAACACAAATTTATTGTCTCTTGAAGCAATAACTTTGTGACAAGAACCTAATTTTCATAAGCGAGTTTAAGCTGTCCAATGGTTTCAATCCAGACCATGTTCAGTTTCTAGTGTCTTTTTCTGTGATTGCTCCTTCAGTTTGCTGAGTGCAGCATAACTATAATGAAACTACTTTTTCATTGTATTTCGTCTGCAACTTCTAAATCTAGTCTTTTTTATTATAAACAGACTGAATCTTTTGTGTTTGGTAAAGTTTGCAGTTGTATTATGGGGTCTGTTGTTCTTGATGGATGGCCTTGGTTGGTAGCATGCATGTAGAGAGAAGAAATGAAAAACTCTGTGGTCCATGCTCCCATGCTCTAGCTTGGTTGGCACATCGATTTCATTCAATTACACCCTGTTTGTGGATGGAGGAGGCCCCTCCAGACATGCATGGAGGTTCTACTTCAAAAGGATGGAAGAGGCACATGAATTGATTATAATTTATCTGTTTCCATGTAAAAGAAAGAAAAAAAAAATAAAACCAACGTTACTGCTGGTTGCCCAATGTGTGTACCTTTAAAAACACACGACTGCCTTTTTCTTAATTAATTAAAAAGGAGATTCAAACTTGAAATCTCTTCCAACGTTGAGAAGAGAAGTACCATTAGACTAGGATAACAAATAGCCTACTTACCTCAATATCATCTTGATATTAGGTCAATACTATCAATATTGTCCCATTATTTCGATAGAAAATAGTATCAGATAGTCTTTATACGATAATGTCTATATTGTCGATTTGCTACAGTAATATTGCTATTTGAGAACTTTGCAACAAAATGAAGGTATTTGATAATATTTCCCTTTTTCCTTATAATTCTAATTTTTCCGTCTCCATCTAAATTGTATGTCTAAAAAAGTTTAAAATATTTTTTAATATAAGTGATAGTCTAAACTACAAGGTAAATGAGGTTTCTCACACACACTATCAAGGTGTCATGGAGGTTCGAACTTGAGACCACAAAATGTATAACTATAGAATTCATGAGCATGTATGTACCAAACGTCACACCATCATGACAGTGCAAACACTAATTTTACTATTCGGCCTATGCATCAAAACCATGATTATGCCCCTTTCGCATAACATAATCTTAATGTGCACAAATAAACAAAAATAGAAACGTCATAATTATAAATAATTAAATTTATACAGACACACAAGCTGAAGTTGACTGTAGGCATCTGAGTTTTCGTTGCAAGTTCAAAGCAAAAGAATGGGTCCATTTTCTTTGCATCACGAGAAGAAGATGAGAGGCCCAAAATATATCGTGGTACACGCACACCACACCAATAATGGAGCCACAAATGCATGTTTTTATTTTTCAAATTTTTTTGCACCGACTTTTATTCTTAAGATTATATCAAAGTTGCTAACGGGTCTAACCCAATAAAAAATTACCTTAATTTACAGACTAGTGACATCATATTCGAATTTCCATGTGTGTGAGAAAATTCTCGTACTCGCTCCTAGCTTTGGCCACACAAAAAAAGATTATATCAAAGTTTTATTATTTCATATCCACCGCTATAAATAAAGCCCCTGCCTAATTTACACTACCGGTTGCCGCTCATTAATGGCTGGGTCGACTCATTTCAAGCTTTCTTACAAGAATTTATAATTGCAGTTCAACCATATGTGGCAAGCCCTAAATTTTAGCCCTAGATTATCTATCAGTCACGTTTTGTTTTAACTTTAATCTCGGCATGTGGCGTTCGGGGATTGGCTGCTTTTTTTGGACTAATAAGCTCTCCCACTTTTTAATCTTGTGGTTGTGTGTGTGAGTCTGACATGTGTGGCTCTCTTTAGGGCCAAACCAAGCCTTCTGTTCTGTGTGTCATCCATTTGTGAAATTATCGGTCACATTCTCAGTGGCCTTCTTTTCTAGACATTCTGAAAATAACTTGTAAACATGGAACTTGAACTTGACCCATCAATTTACCAAGGTTTATTTGGGTTCCTGCTTGAACAGTTTTATTTATACAAATATTATTTTGGCCCCTTCAATGTCTATAGAGTAGTAATCAACTGTCTCTTGGTTTAATGATATTTATCTTTCTAATGTTAGAATAATTCGTAAATTCAAATCTCCCTCCTTCTCGTTGTTTAAAAGAAAAAATGTGTCGATAAATTACGCGAAGGCGTATGCCGATTATATTAGTAATGTGGACTCTTTGTGGTCAAATTAGGCTTGAGATGTGGATGAATTGTTACCATATTAAATTAAAAGCATATATAAGATCAAATATCGGTAGACAACCATTGAAAAGATCCACGGTTTTATGTATTGTTGAGGTACAAAACTCAAGATCTCCAATGTGACATTTTTATTTTCTTAATACCAAAGTTTTGTTATACAAAATTTATATATGGCTAGCTTTGTCCACATTTGCGAATTTTTTATTATTGTATAAGACCATTTCTGTTTGAGTTTTTTTTAGTCTGAATAAGTACTTCATTAAGAAACGCCAAAGCAACACAAACAATATAAGTGGACTGATCACGCTATGTTGGTCAGCACAACATGCTTTTAATTGGAAAATTTCACGTATCATAACACGAGTGAATTAGTAACGCAATGTTGAAAGATAATATAACCGTATGCAAAACTATATCTCTTCAAAAATTTCAACATGTTATAACACGAATGAATTGCTAAGCACCACAACCCACAAAATCTCCAATTGTTGAATTAAGTATTTGGAGATCACTTACAATTAATTAAACCGAATGCCGTCTCGAGAGAATACTTGTATACAAAATTCCATTGCATGTGTGCAGAAGCACTCTTGAACATGTGATGGGCTGCATGTAATCCAAAGCGCTGACTCAACTGCAAACCACACTAAGAGAAGATCCATGTCTTGTGTTTAGCAATCCTTGTTCTTTTATGGGCATTTTTCACACCATGCAGACATCTTAGCACAGAGCCCAAACCAGTTATTACTTAAATCTTTTATGGGCAGTACTGTTCAGCTTAATTATTAATTAAATCTTACCAGATGGCTTCACAGAGTAAAAACTCAAATGGCTTCCTTTTTGTTTATTACATTAGGAAGAAAGAAATCCTAGAGTTTCAATTCTGGGTGTTAAGTAGGGAAAGGAAGAAGGTCACAACCACTGTGGTAGTCTTGGCCAATTTGGCCAATTCCAACTTTAAGAACTTGGATTAAGAAATTAAAAAAAAAAAAAAAAAAAAAAAAAAAAGAGAACCTCTAGAACCAAATCTGTCCAAATCATCATACAGGCTCTCTTATACATGTGTCAAAATTCAAATTGATTTGCTAGCAGACCAGAGACCAAGCCAACAAATGTAGAGAGCTAAGGCCAAATCTCAACAATAAAATCTTAAGATCTATAGGTCACAAGAATCAAGCTGCCATATCCAACCACCTCCCAAAATTCAATTTTCATTCAAGCTACAAAAGTTAATTAGAGAAAACCAAAAGAAGAATATGGCCAAAAGTTGGGACCCAGATCCAAGCACTAATGGGACATCAAACCCCACAAATTCACATGCTCTCTGTGAGTGAATTTGCCCAGTTGAATTAACTTTATTACCCACATACACAAATATTAATTCATATAATATACTTGTATATAGTACTAATTATTTCATATAAAAGGGATGTATACATTTTTATTATTTATTACTATTTGCATGTTTGAGTTTGATCAATTGGGCCAGCTCTAATTATATCTCTTTTCTCCATTGAGCTCTGAAGATTTTCTCTGATACTCCTGAGAGCATCAAGAACCTGTCTAACACTTTCACTAACTGGCTTCAATTCAGTGCTGGTGTGACAGGTAGCAGGCATACTGGCAGGTACTAATGCTAGTGTATTATCAACATAATCCAAGTGACCATTCTCATAATTCTCAATCTCTGCCATTGAAGATTTTATGTTTGAATAACTGAAACAATTGCCAAATTTTATTTTAATTACCTTAATTAAGCAAATCCCAACATGGAATGCCAGGAACATTTTTAAGTACACACACTAAGCTTGAAAGAACTTCTCAGGTTAATTGGACTTGCATACCTATTTTCATCATTCTTTGAATCTTCAGATTTGTGAGTTGGGTTGTGGCAAAACCCTTCTGGGGAAGGACATCCTATGCTAGTACTTGAACTGGAACTGGAAGCACTGGTACTTTGAGCAGTTGTGTTTTCTTCAGTGAAGAGACTTTCATGGCTTTGCTCAGATGTGGTGGTGTCTGCTACACTTCGATCAAAATTTTCTGAGTTTTCTGACTCTGTAACTTTGGATTTGGGTTCATGGGCTTCTGGGTCATTGGAGCCTGCTGATGAAGTAGTAGTGGATTGACTGCAAGATATTTCACTGTTTTTGGAGGAACTTGACTGTTGGGATTCTACTGATGCGGAGGAAATTTTCAAAGATTCAAGCTTTCTCTTCAAAAATCTAAGCTTTTTTCAGCTCTGTCCTTCAATTTGATCTCTTCATTGAGCTGATTCTTTAGCTCCATCAACTGTTCTAAGCCCAACAATTTAGAACATTATAATGTGAATGTGACAATACATAACTCTTACTCTAGTCTAGATTTTACTTAAGAGTTAGTACAATTTTTTAAAAGAAAAGTATTCAGTGCCTTCAACAGTAATTGAAATTAGAAAATTACCTTCTTTCCCATGAGTTCTGCATCCTCTTTTGCAACCCTTGAAGCTTGTCTCTCTGCAAGCAGTCTTCCTCTTAGGCACTCCAATGTCCTCAAACCACCATCTCCTTCCATCTTCCTATCACTGAGACAAAACCCACATCACATTGTCAACAATGGAGAGAGAGAGAGAGAGAGAGAGAGAGAGAGAGAGAGAGAGAGAGAGAGAACCCACCTCCATTTTCCATCTTCCTTGCTAGTAGCAATCATTGTCTTTCTACTTGATCTTTCAATGCAGCAAATTCTTGATCTCAATCTTCAGTATTCAACTGTACTCAAGAGCCACTCTCCCCCTCTACTCAAGAGCCACTTCCACCTCTTCAAAATTCAACTCTGCCCTTTTTGATGAAATCCTAAGAAAAAAAGAAGACTTGAAATGTCCCTTCTTTTTATTTTCTGGTGGAGAATCTAAACTTGGCAAAAACACGGATGCCACAGACCACAGTCAATGTTTAGAAAACCAAGAACAGTAGTGTATTTGCTCAATACCAGGTGGGAGATATTTCATTTACAGAAGAGACACTGCCTGCCTCTGTACTTCAAAGTATGTTGTTGGTAACTGTGATCATCTGCCAAAGTCTTACCTGTTCATTTATGCCCTCAGCCAAAAGTTTATATGGACGCAAAATCATTTATTTTGTTGCCTTGGTTTTAAGCACTTGACCACTTTTGTTAAAGTTGTGCACCTAAACCGTGCCCCATCCTTTGTCCTCACTCCTCACACTTCTTTTAGGCCACTTTCCCCTTTTTTTCCCTTGGAGATCTTTCATCGCTGATAAGGCACTCAATGCTAAATCATATTAGGGTTCTGATAATTCTACCATATTGTTTTTGTTTTCTAATAAGCAGAAAATTTAGACCATTTACTGTATCAGATGTGTGAGGACCATTTTAGTTTTGGCTACAGACTTCATTTATTGATTTGCAGGCTTCTGAGGAGGGAAGAGGGGGGTGATAGTATATAAGAATAGATCTAAAAATTTGAAAATAGATCTAAAATTTTGAAATTTGAAGGACATCAATCATACAAGTAAATGTTCTTGATGCAGCTATTTCTGGATGTTACTGTCATGTGATTTTACTAAATTGTCCTCATCCTCTTGCTCATGGTATTTGTTCACATTATCTGTCATAGATAGTTTTCTGTTTCTGACATAAACAATAGCACAAAAACTAAATTGGACACTAGTTGAATATCAAACAATACGTTTTGCAGATGAATCTTTGTTTCTCTGTTTTCTTGCTCTCCCCAGTTTGAGCTTCATCACAGATCCTTGAGCTTCATATTACAAGTGTCATGCATTAACATATACGATGCAGACATATGCAATGTACACTCACATGCACCAGCATCTTGGATATAAATGTTAAAAACGCCCCACCTCCAATTTTAATTTGTTTCTTTCTTGGGTCAAATTCTGAATTTGTTTTCCAGATGGGATCTCCTAAAAAAATTGACAACACCATATTCTTGGGAAGGTGGCTGCAACACCTTCTATTTTACTAGAACAATTTAGAAAACACCACTGGCCAAGTCACCATACCATGTCCAATTGTGTATTCTTTGGTGTAAAAATTGAAATCATTGTGTTTCATATATAATAATTCATGAAAAAAGATAAGGTGAACATTATTTCTGTTTTAAGGGTGTCAAAGTAATTACGCTTGAACTGCACTCAAAGAAATGACTAAGCATATTTCTTTATTTGATCATGCGCCATCAATACATCTACTTACCAAACTTCATCTTTCTCTATTGAATATATAATGAACAACAAGGCAAGAGCTTTAAGCACACTCATGGTCATTAACTGGACTGGACCACTACAAATTATTGTGAGTGGGGGCCTTTGGCACAGTGGATTATCCTTCCAAGTTTTTCATGATTTCAACATCAATCCAGTTGGAAGAGAAACAAGGGTCCAGAATCAATATATATATATATATATATATGTTTTGAAAAACATTCCCATAGCTAAACATGTTGTTTAGTCTCTTGAACTTGTTTATGTGTAAACATTCCCATACCTACGATAGGCTTTCAAATGCTGCAACATTTGCTCCTAATAAAGAAGCTACCTGTAAATGATTTTCGTGATAGTGTTATGGATAAGCTCAGGCTGCAACATTTGCTCCTAATGAGGCTTAAACCTATTTAGTTATCTTAAAATGCTGCAACAATCTCAGGCAGCTTAAAATTAAAGTGTCCTTGTCAACGGGTCTAACCCAATGGAAAATGGCATTGACTTGCAGACTAGTGATCTAAGGTTCGAAGCCCCCATAGCACCTTAGTAGTGTGTGTGAGAAACCTTCTTCTTTCTTTTTAGTTTAGATTATCGCTTGTATTTAAATATAAAAAAATAAAAAATTATAGTCTCCCTTTTTCCACCTTTTATAGAAACATCTTGGCTGTTAGCTCCAAGCTCCACAAAACCATAAGCTCTTGCACTGGTTTTGGGCTTATGGAGTGATTTTGGGCTCATTTAGTTGTGGTTGTGCCTAGGTGGACTTCATCGCCTAAAGTTTTCTAATAATTGGCTAACCTGAAAACGGAGCCCATCCACATTTTATGGATTTAGGGAGATTTGGATTTTTTTTGGCTAATTTCATTTTTGGTCAAAAAAATGTTTTCAATCTTAGGAACTGACCAGATTTTATTTTATAGGGTTGGTTTTAGTGTGCCCAAAATCTCCACTTGATTTAATCGGTGTTGTGTCAGAGTCTCAGTTGGATTTGAACTTAGGTGAATTATAATTTTTAGGTTCCCAATTGGGGTTTTATTTTTATTGTATGTGTGATTTGTATGTTGCAAATAGAGCCATTGCGAGACCCATCAAATGAGTAGTTCCCTACTTAGGAGCTACTTTACCATATTCTGAATCCAATGATTTCAATAAACTCCCTGCATTAGTTCGTTTGGGGCGGCTAGATCTAGAACTACCCTCAACACTTCTTCTATATTTTTTCAATGCAATTTTCAAGTCTACCCTCAATTGCCAATGACCAAATGTTTTATAATGTTGAAAGCAATTAAGGGATTTGAAATTGCAAATAAATATAAATAAAAAAAGAGAAATGCCTCATGTTATTGGAGTGGAAAATTATTTAATCTACAAAAATGGATTATATTTCATGACCCTATCCACCCAATTATGACCATTAATTGGCTTTTGATAAATGCACACATAAAACTTAAAAACAAATTATTTCCCAGTATGCTTATTATTAGCTACGAAACATCTGTTTGGCTCTCGTAGTCTCATTATTAGCTACGGAACTCATCTACATATTCCTATCGCCCCAAACCACATGCGTCAATATCAGGTATTATATATGTGTGATTCTCTACACCCCATTCATCACATCCATGCAAATTGCAATCCCCCCGTATCCTAAATAAATCTCTTCACAGCCAGAAAATCCATAACCCATTTGATTGAAACACGTGTACTTGTTTATGATCACCATATACTATTACATATAGAACTTTAAAAAATTAAGGTCAAAGATTGCTTCGTACTAAGTACAAACTAATCTACACTAATTAATACACAATTACTCGATAAGGACTTATAATTTAAGTGATTAAGAGTAGTTATTTCTGTATCTGAAATCATGTGTTTGAATCCTCCTCCCTCTAATGTCGCTTGTATGAAGAAAAATACACAATCACGAGAATCAAGTTAAATCCACTGAAGATTGGCACCCGATCTCAGCTAATCAATGCCCTTAGATTAAACCCTTTTCATTAGCAATCTTGACCAAAACCTCCAACAGCCGTTGGATCTCCCCAAATACATCATCGGTGGGAAGCCTAAATCTACAGCATGGACAAGTGTTCCTCTTCTTCAGCCACCGCAAAATACACATCCAATGAAACAAGTGCTGACATGGCAATTCACACACATATCTGTTTTCTCTCATCTCCTCTTTACATATCACACACTCACTCCCCCCACCTCTCACCTCCACCGATGGCAGCGCCACCACCACCGCCGGCGACGCCGCCACCTCTCTCCCCATTTTCCTGCCATAGCAAAAACCCATCACACTGACAAATCTCAAGCACCTCGTCAGCACCTCAATGTAAGAAACCAAAGCCGACCCATTATAGACCCCAATGCCTGACACCGTCAACATGTCGTCAGAGTACAAGTTGCTCAGAATTTCGCGCCATTTTGATGTTGGTGCTTGGAGGGCTTCTGGGTTGTGCTGGTGTACATCGCAGAGCAAGAGGAGCAGCAGAACAGAGTCTAGGTCTCGTTGCTTGACACGCGGCGGTGGCGGGTTGGGTTGGAAGTGGAGGGTGAGGTGGTGGAGGGAGGAGAGGAGGTGGTTGGCGATGAGGAGAGTCTTGTGTGGGAGAGAGAGGGAGTTGAGGCGGTGGAGGGTGAGAGAGAAGAGGATGGGAGAGGAGAGGAGAGAGGAGAGGCGGAGGCAGTGATGGTGGGTGTGAGAGAGGATGGTGTGGGTGAGATCTGAGAGTTGGGGTGGGCTGAGTGTGGCCAGAGCAGCCATGATTGTTGTTGTTGCTGCTGTTGTTGTTTCTTCCATTATGGGATCGTGTGCTTGGACTTCACCTTTTAACTGTTTTTATAGCGTGTGGAAAAGGTTGAGGAATGTTGTGGCTTTTTATGTGAATTTTGGCTGGACTAGTTTGGTCATGGCGGTCTCTTGTGATGACCATTATGCCCCCTTGAACATTTGTTATAGTCTTGTGCTAAATGCCATGGATTATTACGTAGCCACGATTTTTGCAATGGATAAAAAACTTATAAATCATGGTCCTTGCATTCACATTATATCAGCTTCCATTTGTCATTACATGCTGTCGATTTTGCATTGATAATATTTTTTGGTAGAGGTGGAGGTTTGTTTTGTTGTGAAAATTTGGAAGAGGAAAGGAAAGATGCTATTGGGACTTGAACATAAGATATGTATCTGTTGGAGTATAAGCGGAGATTAAAGAAGGTTTGCCAAGTAGAAAAACAAGAGTCGAACTCTGACATTTTAACAGTTGGGAGTAATCTCAATCCATTGATAATACATATTTGGAGTTTAATATTCTCTACCATGTGAGCTATTGTTTTTGTTCCCCTTCAATCTCTTTACAAAATAAATAAAAGAGCAAAAACCCAAACTTGATAAGTTGCGATAAGAGAGTTGTTAGCACTTAGCAACAATAGCGCACTGGGTTGTGGGGTAGATGAATTGAATGAAGTCGCTGGGGTATGTAGGTTTGTTTGTCCCTAAGTTTGTGTACACTTCAAGCCCATTTGTCCTTCCTCTTTAATTATTTCTACATAACCACAATAATTATGAATTGTCTCAAGCAAAACAAGTAGAAGAGAAAAAAAAACAATTGGCCCATCCATGGCTCGTTCCTCTTGTCCCCTGCACTGCTAATAATGCAAATGAAGCTGATGGAACTTAGCAACCATACCACAATATTCTTCGCTTCTCAAGGCTTCCTGTCACCTTTCACACTTACATGCACCGCCTACAGCTCCGATTAATCTTCATTGGAACTTGAGTAAATTTCTGAGCCTGAATCTGAGTTTGGAAAATGAGTGTCTAATTACCATTATCTCCCTTGCTTCCACAAGAACTCTTGGGGCCTAAACAACATGTTTTCCAACCTGTGTGTGTGGTAGGGTATGCTGGTAATCCCCCAATGGTTACCCTGGTCATTTTCTAGAGAAGACACAATGGTAAATCCTGTCATCATACATATCATTGGATCCTTCAACAGCAAGAAAGAATTTACAGCTAGCTTTGTTAAAGTATGGCCAGGTTTAGTCCAAAAGCTTTTTACAACTATTGGGATCTCAAAAGGCATATGTCAAATAGTGATAAGATTTTTAATCAAAGAATGTGTTTGATAAACAATAAAGTGGGTGTAAATAGAAACACCCAATCAAATAAATTGAACTGCAAGGCATAGTACACTTGTAATGATGAATGAAACTTGTTCCTACTTCTGAGCAATTAAAACACTTGAATTTAACAGACCTGCAATATTGCACACCATCCAGGTGCCATTTCTGATAAATAGGGTAGTTCTTAAACCATCATTCCATTAAAGACCCTCATCCAATTCCTATTTTGCTTGAGCCTTTCAGTTATGATGATCTTGGCTCAATTGTTAACACTCTCCTCATCTAATTCATCCAGCAAAACGTAACCTTTTTCTTTCATCAACCCCAGCAGTCCTTCCAGTATTTCATAAATCTCTTCAGTTCTTCCGTTTGATGTATCTTTTGCTATAAAGCTTTGTAATCCATTACTTGTTTCAATCCAGCTACTGCCAGGAATCTTCCTCAGTCCAACTTTTTTCATTCTCTCCCTGACCTTATCAGCCTCTTCCCATCTCCCAGCTTGTGAATACAAATTTGCCATGATGATGTAGTTCCCTGTATTATCAGGCTCAATCTGAAACAAACGATCACAGACAAACTTTCCCAATTCTACATCACCAGAAACTGAAGCCCCATTAAGTAGTGCACCCCAAACCTTAGCACTCGGCTCAACTGGCATTTTGTGAATTAAGTCTATAGCTTCTGAGAGTCGTCCAGCTCGGCTAAGAACACCTACCATGCAGGCATAATGCTCAACTGAGGGCTGAATGCCATATTTCGGAAACATGGCATCGAAGATCTTCCAAGCTTCATCTACCACTCCAGAATGAGCACAAGCTGTTAAGACTGCTGTAAATGTCACTTGGTCTGGTTGAATGCCATTATTTAGCATCTCATTAAAAAGACCAAGAGCCATATCAGCATCTCCATGGGATGCATAAGCTGAGATTATTGCCGTCCAAATGATCAAGCTCTTACCTCTTGATTGATTAAAAACCTGCTGTGCCCCATGAACGAACCCCGACTTTGCGTAAGTATCGATAATAGCAGTCGCGACATAAATATTGGCATCAAAATTGTTTCTAACAGAGTAAGCATGTAGTTCCTTCCCTGCTTTCAGATTTGATAAATAGGATATTGCAGGAAGAATACTTGACAGTGCCACGGTATTTGGTTTGCAACCACATGCCTGCATTTCACGAATTAAATCTAAGGCGGCTTCATGCCGGTTGTTCTGAACTAGACCTGAAATCATAGAATTCCAAGTACTTAATCTTGGCTTCTTACTTTCCCGAAAAAGATCCATGGCTTTGTCAACAAACCCATGAAACATGTAGCCCGAAATTAATGAACCATAAGTGACCTCATCCTTTTCACTCATCCCATGAAATAATTCTTCAGCATAATCCAAGCTACCACATCTTGCATATAGCCCTATGAGAGCATTACAAAGAATAATATCCATCTCAATTTGACTCTCATTCACAAACTGATGAACCTCCATACCAAATATAAGATCATTGGACTGTAAACATGCTTGCAAGACACTAACCACTGTCAACCCATTAGGCCTCAACCTCCCTAACCTTAACATCTCCCGAAACAACTCTTTACACTCTGCGTAATAACCAGCCTGTGAATACCCGGCAATCATCGAATTCCACGACACCGTATCTCTGTCCGGCATTCTATCAAACAATGTTCTCGCCCATCCAAGCTCATCACATCTCGAGTAGTAAGTTATTAAAGAATTAGTAACAAAAACATCTGAATCAAACCCATGACGCAAAACAAAACAATGAACCTCCTTAGCCAATCTTGAACCGGAAAGCAAAGCCCCCAAAGCCTTCAAGACACAAGTAACTGTGAAATTATCAGTCTTCACTTCGTCCGAACACGAAGACACCATAGCTGAAAACAGCTTCAGAGTGTCGGAATGCATGTTGTTAAAAGAATACCCAATGAGCATAGCGTTCCATGAAAAGGTGTTCTTGTGGGGAATTTGATCGAACACCTTGCGCGCTTGGCTGAGGTGGTTGGTTTTGGAATACAAAGTGATGAGCTTTGAGGCCAGGAAGTTGCTGGGCACGACTGCGAAGAGGACGAGGCGGGCATGGAGCTGCTTGGCCTGACGGAGCAGGCGGCGGTCTGTGCAGTGCTGAATGAGTTGGCCATAAGCCCCGCAGTCGAGCACATCGACTCTGTGGAGGCCTTGTAGGGCTCGTTGGACGTAGCCGTTGGTGGTGGCCGAGATTTGAATGTTCAATGGCTTTGGAAACCACATTCATTTGTTATTATTCGTACAAGATTAACTGCTCCTCTCTTTATAGCTATAGCTTTTCTATGTTATATCTTCTTTCTCACTATACCCGGACCCGGTTCTTATAAAAGAAAAAAAAATCCTTAATACTTAAAGTTAGCTTTTTATGCAAGAAAAAAAAATCTATATATATATATATATATATATATTAAACTACCCTAAAAGGACCAGTGATGGGGGAAATTACTCCTAGAATACACATTCCTCCTCCAACGGGGTTTAGCTAGAGAAAAATGATTTTTTTTTAAGGGGTAAATAATACGAGGTGTCCGAGTCAACTTGTGTCACCTTGACTCAGTGGCGGATCCAGGATTCAAAAGTCAGGTAGGTGAAACTTACCTTAAAAATTCGACAGTACGAGTGAATTTTATTGATAAAAATAAAAAGATACACTTAGTCAGGAGGGACGTAATGAGCCTTAGCCTCAAATATGCATATCTATACATAAATAAAAGCTTAACAAAAAAACCAAGAAGTAAATGCAATGCAACACAAAAATTAAACTATTTTAATCTAAAATTGTACCCTACGAGGCTTAGAAATCTTAAATTCTTCAATTATCTCTTCATTATCGATACTATTAGCAAACTCTCTTTCAATGTGGAGAATCATGCAATCAGCAAGGAATTCATCAGCTATGGTGCTTCGAAGACTATTCTTAATAATTCTCATACATGAAAAAGCTCGTTCCATTGTTACTGTAGAAACAGGAAGAGTCAACACCAACTGAATCAATCTGTAAAGCAAATGGTAGTTTTCTGCCAAAGTTGTTTCCACCAATTGTTGACATAACTGAGGAAGACTGGTGAGGTCCTTAAAGCAGGGAAGGCGATGCATATCATTTTGAAAATATCTCAACTCAATTTCCAAACCTTTTAAGTCACTTGGACTGAAATCAGTATGATATAATTTCTCAGCAAGTTTACATAGATGCCCAATATTGAATTATTTGAAGGAATTACGAGGATCCAATGTTGAGCTAAGAATAAGAAGTTCAACTGTTTGCTCTGGAAATCTGTCATTTAACTTCCTCAACATGCAATCTATCACATCATTAAATACATCAATGCGATAGTAATGTTCAACTGTAATAAAATCTTTTTGTTGACAAGAACGACGTATGCCCATCATATAACGAGAACTCATATCAGGAACATCAATACCAATTAAACCCTAGAAAACTCAATTTCAAATTAAAATTAAAACTAAGATGCATACATTTATTTTAGGAATAACCCAATAGAAGAAGATAATTAAAGAAAAGATATTAAGAAGAATACTTGTTTCCTTGTATATGAGAAGAGAAGAGAAGAGGCTGTCCAGTGTCCACGATTGCACAGCACAGCCAAGACTTGCGTTGAGAAGAAGCTCTCCCGACTCTGTCTGGAATTGCACTGCACAGCCACTATTTGGCTGCTTAAGTTATATTCTTTCTTTTATTAAAGTTTGACTGGGGCATTCATAACATAGGCTGGCTGGTTATAATTTTTTTTCTTCAGTTTTTTAAAGTTTGAGTGTGCTTGTGCTGTGGGTTTTATATGGATTGGGTAGGCAAGAGTGTATACCAACACATGGAATGGATATCAATTACATAGCTTATATATAGGTTTTTTTTTAGTGAAATATTTTTGGGTAAGCGGTAGCCTACCCTGCTCTGGCTTAAGATCCGCCCCTGACTAATCCCCACTCGCAGAATTGAGCATGCTGTCGGCCACTAGGTGTTGCAACTACCGGAACTCGAACTGGAGAGCAAACCCAACTGAACCTCAGAGCCTTACCCAAATGGCGGACAAATTACTGGGCCACTCTTGATGGTTTAGAAAAAAATTACTTTAATTTGCAGACTAGTGTTCTCAACTTCAAATCCTTAAAATTAAAAAACTCCACCCGCTAATATTCCCTTTGGATTGAAATTACCTTCCTATCCCCTAACTATAAATCAAGTAAAGAAAAAGAAACTTCAAGAGCCTTCACCTGAAACAGTATTAAGGGATTTGCTGTTGGTTTTTGTACAAGATTCAAGAATACGGAGGACGAAAAGTTACGGCAGCAGCAGGAATTCGATCGCAACATCCTTCTTCTTCTTCTCCGAATTTTCAGCGGTAAGCTCATTCAAGCAAAACCCACTTCGCTGAAATGTGTTTCTCTGGAAAATCTAGCGTCCTTCAATGGAAAAACTTGGGTCAACTTTTTGATATGCAAGTTACGAAGAAATGTGTGATTTCTATACGTTTGCAGTTCAAATTTGTGCTTTTTTATTGGTTTGGATTTTAGTTTCTTGCACGAGCTGAAGCCGAGCTAATTGGAAAATGAATTTTTCCTGGAAACTATTGAATTAATTGATATTTTCCTTTTGGAACAATTGGGTAGTGACAGTGAGAGGTTGCATGGAATTTGACGAATTTGGTACCTTTGGTAATTTTTGATAAATTTGGATTTAGAGTTAGTGACCTCTTCTTCATTCTTGCAAAAAGTTGCTGTGTGTTCACCAAAATCTTTGCATCTCAGACTTTACAGGGGCTTAATGGTAACTTAATCCATGTTTGCCTTTGTGGAGGTTTCCTACTGCCTATAGGGTACCATCTGCTTGAACAAATGCCTCGGTGAGAAATCTGTCACTGTTTTTCTTTTGGAGGTTTCAATCTGCATTTGCAATATTGCAAGAGGCTAGTATTTGTTAGTTTTTAGACTTCTATATACCAAACTGAAATAGGACGAGTTTAGATTTTGCCAGTCCTACGTGTTTACTTTTCACAATTTTTTTGGGTCTCCTCCCCTTCATGTGCTTGCTTGTACAGTTCTTGGCGTAACTTTTCTAGTCGATTACTTCAATTGTTGACATTTCTTGCGTTGCAACTTTTGAATTTGAAGAATTATACTCATCTTATGGTCAGATAATGATTTCTTAATTATAAAAATCATTGCAGCCTTTTCACATATATGAGAAAGAGTTCTAGGAATGGAAAACACCAGCAACGAGCAGGAAGTTGAGCCTTTGTCGGCAGAGATCTATGAGTTACCTGGGGAGCCTGCTATTGTCATTAATGGAATGCCTGAGATTCCCCCAAGTGATGGCACTCTTCTTGCTATCTCTAATACTGTGCATGATGCAGAATCCCATGGAAAAACTAACTTTGGTGAATGGTTGGAAGGAAGGGAAGTAAGAAAGTTGTTTGGAGAGCAATACTACTCTGGTACAGTAACTGAGTATGATAAAGAATCAGGCTGGTACAGGGTGGTGTATGAAGATGGCGACTTTGAAGATCTCGACTGGACTGAATTGAAAGAAGTGCTACTGCCCCTGGACATCATGGTTCCACTGAAAACATTAGCCCTAAAAACTCTCAGGAAAAGCAAGAAACCTGTCCATAAATCTAGGTATGCTATGGCTCGATCTCGAACACATAAAGCCAAAACCACGGGAAGTAAGGGAAAGAAGGCCTCAGTACCTGAAGATGCTTCAGTGATGAACCCCAAAGTACCTGAAGATGCTTCAGTGATGAACTCCAACGGTTCATAAACGGTGAACATAACGAAAGGTTGATGGGGTTACATTTACGTTCAGATGTACCAGAAACAGCCTGGTGTAGAGGATAAATGATTTGAAAACTGGTCTTGCTAGATGGTTGAGAGTACTTAAAAATGGATACTGAATTGGAAGGTGAACAGTGAGACTTAGGTGACTGTTATATTAGTCAATGATATTGTTGTTGTATTGCGTGTAACATGTTAGGCTTTACTAATACAAGATTAATTGGTGGGTGTTGATCAAGTTGAGTAATTTACTTGCCTGCATTGCATGACCAAAACACATTAGTCGAACAATTTTTAAAATCAATTCTTTCCTTTATAATGTGAATGAAGCGCAAGTATGTGTTGTATTTTAGGTGATAATTATTATTTTTAGTACAAGCGATACTCTAAACTATATGGGATGGGGGATTCTCTCACACACACACAACTATGATGTTGTGGGGATTCAAACTTGAGACATTTGGCTTGCAAGTTAAGACCATTTTTCGTTGGGCTAGACTCCGTTGACATTTTAGGAGATAATTATTCAAACATGATTTCACTCCTTTTTCATGAGCTATCAAAATAGAAAATAAAGAGAAAGAACTTAGAATAAAAAAAATATTTTGGTTGAAAAAAAGTTTAGAGGGAGATTGGCTACTCTTACTATCAACGCCATGGTATACCCACAACCTCGAGCCGGAAGGACTTATGCATGACACCCAATTGCCAGATGTCATAGATATGAATTTATGTAGGAAATTTCAGATCACGTACCAATAAGGACTATTGATAGCAAAACTCGAACACTAATGAGGCTACACACAGTGCAAGGATCTTACCAACCGAACCAACCCTCATTGGCACTTGGCATTTAGAATAATTTCTTATTGCTTTTTCAAGATAGAAATAGCTACTTGAATACTTGAGCTATCAAAAAAAGAGCTTAGATGATTTTCTTATTGCTTCTTAATGCATAATGCTTGTATTTGCTAAAATCCCAACAATATCGTGGGAATAAATTCAGCAATACGTCAACCGAAATATAAAAATAAAAAATAAAAAACAAAAACTCTGGAATATCAATGAACTCCGAAATGAAAACTGCCCTGTCCTTTTACGTCTTTTCATTATCCATCCACATCACCAATGCCCCGTCAGTTTACTCTTGCTTTTCCATGTCAGCATCGTCCTCTTCACCGACTAGTCACAACGCGACACATACATAAAACCCCAGAAAGAAAAGAAAACAAAGATCAAATTAATACCTCTTGTTACACGCTTCATCTTCCGTACTTACTATGTGCTTCTCTAGGGTTTTTCATCCACCAAATGCTCCTCCATTTGCTCTCTGCTTTGAGTTTTTATTGTCTACTCAGAAACCAAGTGGTGTGGCTAACTAGGAAGGAAGGTACCCTCCAATCTCTGTTCTCATCAAGTTATTTGGTTTCTGTGAAAATGAAAAAACTCGAAACAATTTGTACTTTTTAGTAATATGCTTTATATTGTATATTGTGTTTTGTGTAAACAAAATGTAGCCTTTTTCTTTGTTGCAGCTAAACCAACTATCTTATTCATTTCCCCACATTTTTTCTCTGCTGCCAAACACTATATGCAGTTATTTTAGTATGTCATTATACAAAGATCACAACACAAGGTTAAATTTTAACCATTTTTTTTCTTTCTAAGATGTTAGTATGCCTCCTTTTTGGTTCTTCCTCCCCTGGTTTGCCGGTTTGCTGCTCAATGAAGCCAAATGCTTGTTTGTTTGTTTTGTGTTTTTTCCAGGAAAGGTTGTATCATAGGCTCTGTAGGGGTATTTTTGGGTAAATATTGAATTTCATGAAATCTTTAGGTCGTGGTGATGATGAAAAAGTTTAGATTCGGTGTGCGTTAGAATAAATAATCGTGATATCTATTGTGGGTTTCTTTCACGAATTGTCTTGTTGGGTTGACTAAACAAAGCCTTTGTTTTATTAAGTGCTGTTTTGCAATAAACTTGTTATTCGAATTTTGAATTGTTCTGAAATTTTCTTAGCAATTAACACAGTCCCTGCATTTATTTTTTTACCTTTTTTAAAATTCGACCAGGGATACAATTGGAATTTTTCCTTGGTGAATTGAGATGTAGTGAAGACTAATGCTGGAGTTTCAGTGTCAAGAAATGATGATGATGACTACTCTACGATTATTTGCTATGCTATTTATTTACACTGTTAGTCAAACCTAAGATTTTTCTCTGTGACGGCCTTCAATTTTGAGATTGAAGAAATATGGAAACTGGAAGCCACGGTACAATGAGGAAAGTGAAAAATGGAGGACTCAAAGTCCTGTGGGCAGAGCAGTTGAGAAGTATGAAAAATGAGTTCAAAAGAGACCATCATCATCCATCTTGGCAAATGGCTATTCAGAGTCATATAGATGCCACACATGCTTTGGTACAGTTGGCTAATGAAGATCCTAGTCTGCTTCATGGCGGGTTACATTCACATGGAATGAAGCATAGTGTGAAAGGGATTCCAAGCATAAAGGATTCGAAGGGGATGTCAAGGGGTGATAGTCATTCGGATGTGGCTGGGAGAAAGGTTAATTTTTTGGTAAAGCGTCAGAAAGCCGACTTTGGAGGTTGTATGAAGGATGAAGATGCTGCAGCAGTCTTAGATTTTCATTTGCCAGCAGTGCCATATCCTGCAGGGAGAAAGCAGAAAAAGATGAAAATGTTTAAGAAGCTATCTTCGCTCGTACCAAAATATATGAAAAGTAATGTCAGTGAGAAGGATGATAATGTGAATGAACCATGTCAGTTGTTGGATAGTCGTGGTCATGATAGACTACGCATGTTAATGGCAAAGAAACGGAAAAGGGTGGCAGGATCCTATTCAAAAAGAAAAACTGTGGAAGTTGCAGCACCAGTAAATTTACCCTTGAAAAGGCAGGGATTCAAATTGCCCGTTCCTACTGTTCATACTGGATTTTCATTCTCCATTGTGCATCTCCTTACTGCCATTCGAAGAGCAATGGTTGATCCACATGCAGAAGATGATGATGTGGTGTATGGAAATGCTCAAGGGGTTAGCAATGCTGAAGGGATAATTCGATTTTATTCTCTCAAAGATAAAGGCATTAGCAATTCTGTACTAACAAATTCCAAAAGTTTACCTTCTCTCACTCTTAACAAGATTGTTGAGCGTGTTAGATCAACTCCAATGGATCCTTCTATTCTTCAAACCCAAGAGCCCCTTCAAGATCTACTCAGAGGGGTTTTGGAGATATTTTCATCCAAAACAGCGCCTTTAGGAGCTAGGGGATGGAAGCCACTCGCTTTCTATCGCAAGTCCAGTAAATGTTGGTCATGGATTGGTCCCATCAACGTTAACTCATGCAATGCTGATGAGGAATATGTATCTTCTAAAGCTTGGAGTCTTCACCATAATGTGCTTGTGAAGTTGGTTGATTCCTTTGCTATTTGGTACAAGAGTTTTCAAGAGAGAATTCGTCAAGTTGGAAGCCTTCCTGCACCACCTTTGATTTTGATGCAACCAACACTAGATGAAAGCGAATGGTTCAGGGACATAATGTCTCGAAAGAATGCTATCAGTCCGAACTCTGAAGAAGTAAGAGCGTACTTTCAAAGGGAGGAAGCTTTGAGGTATTTAGTCCCAGATATGGCATTTTCTTACACAGCACTGGATGGTCGAAAGTCTGCAGTTGCTCCTCTAACTAGTTGCAGTGGTAAGCCATCATGTAGAAACCGAGATCATTTTATGCTTAAAGCTGATCGACCACCTCATATCACCAATCTCTGTCTTGTGAGAGATGCAGCTTCTAGATTACCTGGAAGTATTGGTACCAGAGAAAATGTTTCTACTCTTGTTCGGCACTCACAGTATATAGTGGAAGATGTCTCTGATGAACAACTTACCCACGTTATTAGGTCTGCTCTGTCTCGGCTGCAATATGAATTTGATCCATGTGTAGAATTTGACAGACACAGAAAGTTGTGGGTATATTTACATGGGGAAAGAGGTGAAGAGGACTTTCTGGAAGATGGTACCTTATCTACTTTAAGAAGGAGACGGCATCGAGACATGTCATTGAGCAATCTTTCTGTTCATGAGACAGCCCTCCAAAATGGACAGGAAGAAACTTGCATGTTATCTGCAGAAGGAAACAATCTGGATGTCAATGTTGATACCTTATTGTCGGGTGATAGAAAGTAACTACTTTCATCGGAGATCATAACTACAGCGGTAGAACTATGACTGAACTTATGAGCTTCCATGACAGTAGCTGATTTGAGATTTCAATTATCTATGTTATGCAGTCATTCAAAATGGGCATTTCATTTTGATACGAGGGTGGCATTTTAATATAAGGTTCTTACTTGCTTAGAACCTGAAGCAATAGGGGAAATCTTTTGTCCTTCGAAATATTTTTGCCAAGGTTGGAAACAGTAGATTAAGCTGAAAGATGTTTAGGGTGCTCTTTTTTGTTGGGCTAATATATGGGAACATGAACCACACTTCTTTCTATTTCCTTTTTCCTAAACAAAACTTGTAACACGTGTTATGTTATAATGACATCGTACTTGCTTGCTACTCAAAAACTTGTAACACATGTTATGTTTTAATAGCACCGTACATATTACATTTTTATGGCTAGAGAAGAAAATTCTCAATGAGAACTTCCCTGCAAATTGGTATGGTGAAAATAAAGGGACATTCGAAAGTTTTATTTTAGTAGTGTTAGGCTGCTGGCATAATATACACTTTTAAGCTCAGATCAGCAATCAACATATCAGATTAACAAAAGGAAAGGGAAAAGCTCAACAATCAATAGTGGCAGCTAAGCTTCATGGGCTTTGTTCACACGAATGAATGGAATTCTCCTTCAAGCCTCTTTCAGTTTCAGGAAGAAACTTTCTCAATATATCTTACAGACACATTCATCACACTCTAAGCCCTTCTTCTCTTCTCCCAACCTCACGCGAACATCGCAGGAAACCAAGAAGCTACACAACGCTCTTAGAGTTCTCGACCTCATCACCCCAAAGCCAGCCCTCACTGCGCGTCACCGCCAAGGCCATCTTCGGCTCATTCAGGACTTTCTACAGTCAGATTCCGAACACTTTAGCAATGCCTCTGCTTTCTCTGATTCAAATTCGCCAATAAAAATCTCAACTTTGTTGGATGAACTGTTTGATTTTAGCTCTGTTGATTCTCCATCATGCGCAGAAAGGTTTCCGATTGATGCAAGCGTTTTGTCACATGCCATAAGCTCATGTGGGTCTTCTCGTAATCTCCATGGTGGGATTCCGTATCACTGTGCAGCAATAAGAAGTGGGCTTGTGGCCAATGTTTATATTGGAAGCTCTTTGGTGAGCTTTTATGGTAGATGCAACGAGTTACAGAATGCCTATCGGGTTTTTGAGGAAATGCCTGTGAGAAATGTGGTGTCATGGACAGCCATTATTTCAGGGTTTGCACAAGAGTGGCAGGTTGATGCGTGCTTGCAGCTTTTCAGTGAGATGAGACATTCTTCAAAACCCAATGATTTTACGTATGCAAGTATTCTGAGTGCTTGCACAGGCAGTGGAGCTCTTGGGCATGGAAGAAGTGCTCATTGCCAAACCATTCGGATGGGCTTCGATTTGTACATTCACATTGCTAATGCTCTTATCTCAATGTACTGCAAATGTGGGGATGTTAAAGATGCGCTTTACATATTCAAAAATTTGGATGGCAAAGATAATGTATCTTGGAACTCCATGATTGCAGGGTATGCACAGCATGGCCTTGCGTCACAGGCTATTGATCTTTTTGAAGAAATGAAGCAGCAATGTGTAGAACCTGATGCCATTACTTTACTAGGCGTGCTCTCTTCATGTCGTCATGCTGGTCTCGTTCAAGAAGGCCGGCGTTACTTCAATTCAATGATCAAAGAACATGGTATTCAGCCAGAACTAGATCATTATTCATGTGTTGTTGATCTTCTTGGCCGGGCTGGTTTATTGGAAGAGGCTCAATGTTTCATTGAAAAGATGCCTATTCGTCCCAATGCCATTATCTGGGGCTCACTGCTTTCTTCCTGTAGGGTTCATGGGAGTGTGTGGATCGGCATTGAGGCTTCAAAGAGCAGGCTATTGCTGGAGCCAGAGTGCGCTTCTACCCATGTACAATTAGCAAACCTGTATGCTAGTGTGGGATGTTGGGATGATGCAGCAAGAGTTCGGAAGTTGATGAAAGACAAAGGGATTAAAACAAGTCCTGGGTTTAGCTGGATTGAGATTAGTAATGAAGTTCACAGGTTTAGAGCAGAAGACTGTTCAAACCCCAAAATGATTGAAATTATTGCTGTCTTGGATAGTTTGGTAGACCACAATAAGACTTTACGCTATGAGCCTGAAATGCAAGAGGAAGAGGTTGATGATGCTTTATATATATAAGTTATAACTGTGTGACTTGTAAAATGGCAGATTGTTATATTTTTTTCCCTGTTACATCCATATACCCATTCTCATTTGAACTGATGATGCCAAACTTTTCGAGAAAAATGTTTCTTGTTTGCCGCTAATTTTTTTCTTTATTGAAAAAACGAATAAAGAACAAAAGATTCTTAGCTTCCTTAAAACGTGAGAAAAAATGGGGAAAGAAAAGACTTCTTATAACAAGCAAATGTTAACATGCTACATAACAGCATATACCGAGTTCAGATGATACTACAAAATCCTATCCTCATTTTATCATGTCTCAAAGCAATGCTCCTGACAAAGGGAACCAAGAAAGCAGAAACTGTTACTGGAGAACACGCATCAAAACTTCACCATTCAGGCAGAAGCCTTTGTTCTTCACAAGGAATGCATTCATTGCCTCAGTTTGAGTATGAAAGCGAACAGTTGCCCATTTAGCGGGCTCTTGGGAAGGTCTGTAAAAAATAAAAAAATTTTAAAAGACTTAACAAAGTGAAATCAATTTAAGAATGATATTTATGAGTTCATATTCTTTGGAATCTACTAGGCATACCTGAAACTTAATTGGAGGGAAGACGAATCATATTCACAACCAGACAGAAAACGATCTACATCTTCTGGAACCGCATTAGGAGGGATTCCTTGCAATAAAACCTGGTAACAGCAGGCAAGTCCATTTAAAGTGATTTCAGAAATATCTTCGTCATGGGATAACAAATTGATTGTAAGCAAAAGATATATTGGATTCTAATTCAATCACCAAAACAAAGTATCACTTGTTCATGGCGTATACTAGGGGGGAGACTCCAAATTACAAAGACAACATATAATATGTCCATACAGCAGCCTCGGTTTACCAAATTTCTTGCAAACATACTAAAACAACGGTGTCCAGGAACCCAAGTAAACTGTACAGTATCAAACTGCCTATGGCATATATAGCCAGCCAGTAGAGTTTGAATTAGCCTCCAATGCCGAATATATGGATTCCTCATTAACAATATATTAACGGTGTTTAAGGCATCAAGAATCTTGTCCTCCTACTTGGTCCATTCTATAACAAGGGATTTTTTTGAATGACGAGTAAAACCAAACAGACAAACTTACTCCAAAGTTAAAGGGAAAAAACATTTAGTTAAAAACAATAAACATACAACAGAAAACCTTAGACTTACCGTTTTTCCATCATAGGGAGTAAGAGAGTCCCATTCCGCTCGATTAGGCTGTCATTCATAAACCAATCATTAGCACACTACTCCACCAAATAGGTAAGCAACAATTACATCTTATCAAAGCATCATGGCAAGGCAGCATTACCCTCTCCAATTTAAACAGGCGGCCCTTTTTGGCAATCATCCTAATTGCATTATCATAGGCTTGCCGCGACGGGAATTGCACTAACCTAATAACAAAAAAATGCATATTTCAGCATCAGGAAACACATTTTATTGGGAGCATCTAATGAATTCATTGCATTGCATACAGGAAATTAAAAGCATCAACAATTGAAGTGAAAAACTATCTTTCTACTCGCAAACAAACAAATTAAACAACACGCAATTTACATTCCCATCGCCGTAAACCACCGATTATAATCCATTTTAACATCATCCAGACTCAAATTACAGCCTTCCAGCAAATTCACGACGTCTGTCTTTAGCGTATTCCTTTTGACTCCAAGCAGCCTCCCATACACCGATCCTGAAAACAGCACATAAAACACATTGCCACGTTTGTCAATGAAATGAAAAACCCAAAACCCAAAGAACCCTAACTTGTAAATGCAAAATGACGAAAATGCCCGCGGCAGCTGAGTCTGATACCTGTGCTTGGGGTTTCGAAAAATGATTCGGACGGCGAAGACTCCTGAGGCTTATCGGATGGCGAAGACTTCTGAGGCTTATCGGACGGCGAAGACTCCAGCGGCTGATCGGACGTTGAAGAGTCCTGAAGCGGGTTTTCGGCTTCCGTCGAAAACCGTCTCACGGGTTCGCGCAGAAGCGAAGTGAGGCCGCGGTTTTGAGCCATGGCCGTACGGACGGAGAGGCTTGACATGATTGAGGTTCGAAGAAGACCCAGCTTTGACATCGTTGCTTCTTCTCGAGCTTTGGAGATTCACAGTGGACTGGCTTCAGTGTCTATGACTCTATGCTACAGAGGCCGGTTGCGCTCGGCCATACTATGTATTAAATTAATCCCACGTATAGCCGAGCGGCTATACTATTTATCTTAAAAAATAAAAGTCCCTAGTACAGCCGCACGGCTATACTATTATTTTTAAAAATCCCGTCCCGTGTAGAGCCGCGCGGCTGTAATATTTAATTAAAAAAAAGCTAAAAAGGTCCCAGGTATCGCCGTCCGGCTATACGATTTATAAAAAAATTTAAAAAGTCCTAACGTATTTATTTTTAAATTTTTTCAGAAAAGTCCAGAGTATAGCCGCTCGGCTTTACTATTTAATTAAAAAAACCTTAAAAAATTTCTCGATTATAGCAGCTATCCCAAAAGGAGTGATCACTAGCCCAGCTAGCAATCCAAACTTATCCAATCCCAAAGCCCAACTAGCAATCCAATTTATCCAATCCGGATTTAATTTTGTTGGGTTTTGGGTTGTGAAAATTTCCAAACATGAACATTTTGGATTGGGTTTGAAACCAACTCAGACACAAACAAGCACAAATACATGCTCCCTCCCCAGAATGAGAAATTATGGATGGTAAGTTGTCTGCAACGTCTTGATTAATCAGAAACACAAGTAGGAAGGAAGTAGCTCCTTGAAGTTTGAACTGACTCACGCTCATTATGCAGAAACATAAAGCTAAAATAAAAAGAGAAAGAAAGTCACAGTATGTGCTGAATTTCCTGCATTGTCGGCATAGATAGAATGGCCCAACAAAAGAAGAAGTTGTAGGGGAGAAGGTCAACTAAATGCCCTTAAATCATTCTGAATGATTCATTCACCCATGTCAGCTGCTCAGGTGTCTTCCATAGACAAGATTTATCTGCTGCCATGGCCAAAAACGTTTATCTGGTCTTAGTATAGCCGCGTGAACATACTATTGAAAAAAATTTATAAAAAATCTCGAGTATCGCCGGTTGGCTATACTATTTATTAAAAGAAATTATAAAAAGTCCAGAGCATAGCCGCTTGGCTGCTATTTAATAAAATAAAAATTAAAAAGTCCCTCGTATAGCCGTGCGGCTATACGATTAAAAAAATTATAAAAAAATCCCGGGTATAGCCGACCGGCTATACTACTATTGAATTTTTTTTGAAGGTGTATTAGTATAGCTGTTCGATACTAAAATCTTGGGTATAGCACGCGGCGATACTAAAATGGGCCGCCAAACACTAGGCGGGTCCTTTTAAAAAAAATAATAAATAGTATAGCCGCTCGGCTATACGTTGTAAATATTATATATTTAAAGAACATAGCCGCACGGCTATACTTAGTTAATTGTAGAAATTATCCCTAAATTTTTACACCATTTTCACTTTAATCCTTAAATTCGTTTTCAACTCCCTTATTTTTTAATTACTACTCGACTAAAATCACATGTTATGCATGTTAGAGAGGTGTGGAGAGCTTTTTTATATTAAGATTATTGCTAATTATATACCCTTATTATATATTTTTTTAATACAAACAACAGGAAATTTATAAGATACTTTTATAACGAGCAAATACACCTATAACAAAACTATACCACAGGTCCACAGCTAAATATTACAATATGCATGTGAGTCGAACTTGATTTACAATGTGAGTTCTCTTAACTAGCGTTAATTAAGATTTAAGTGGATTGAGCTAACCTCTTCCACTTTTCAGGTTCAAGAGACAAGCAATAAGACAGAACACAACTGTTGATACAAAGTTGTAAAGCCATATTTACATGTTCTTTATACCTTTAGGAGATGTAAATGTCGTTTTTTTCCTCTAATAGGATAGATGTAAATTGGAGATATGAAAATGACACGAAATGAAATGATTTTATATCAAGTTGAAGCAAAAGAATATTTCTGGTATTTTGGTAGCTATCTCAACTTTTATATGTTTGGAACCTACCATTTTTGCATTATCTCTCCTCCTTTTCATCCTATGGCACCTAACAAATGGGGATGTAAAATCAGATGTAAATGTCAATTTTTCAAATAAAAAAAACTTTTTCCGGTGAAATGCTATATTTGCATCATTTATACCCCATTATTAGAGTAATTTCTGACAATTCTATGCGTAAATGTCCTTTACATTTTCCTTTACACCCTTGCAATGAAGATGCTCCAAGGATGTCACCATAAAAGCAAAAACGCCGTACTCAGCAGCTCTGCGACAAGAGAGTCTTTTTCTTCTTCCCCATACAAAAATTGACAAGGCTCCATGATCCATCCACCTGAAGCCAAAATACCTACCTGCTTATCAGTGGGCCCCCGCCCACAACTACCATTCCCGCCACGTCAACCCACGCAACCCGGGCCCCACCACCCGAGAGTTGCAGAACAACAAACCGTCCCCCCAGTCGTGCCTGTCCTTTCGTTGCGGCCGTACGCAGAAAAACCCGTTTGCTTTTCTCCGTAACAGAAATACGGAATCCATTAATTTAATCACTTCCACTTAATCATTGATTATCTCCCTAATTAATTCTCCCCCACAAAACTAAAAAAGATCTTCAAGTTGTCAACTACACCGAGTGATTCAAACCTCTGGGGAAGGTCGTTTCTCTTCCCCTCTCTCTCTACCTTCTCTCCTCCTCCCATATTTTTAATTTCTTCATCTCCCATCAGAATTTCGTTATCAGTTTCTCGACAATGGCGTCACTTCTCTCCACCACCACGCAAACCCCTCCAAACCACACAAATATTGCACAAGGCCTGTATGCTGACCAGGTTATTTTTCTTTCCTTCTCTGAGCTCCTGGCCAACATGGACTTAACATGGATGGCGGATTTTCTCAAGGGCATGGTGAAGCCGCTGGCCGCGACGGTGGTGGTGCTGTTGGCGGTGGCCTTATCCTTCATGCAGAAGCTGGGTTTGGGTGGAGAGATGATTTACTCCATTGCTAGGGCCTTTGTCCAGCTCTCCATTATTGGGTTTGTTCTGCAGTTCATTTTCACTCGGGACAATGCTGCTTGGATCATTCTGGCTTACCTTTTCATGGTTTGTGATGCCTCTTTTGTGTTGCATTTTGTTGCCCATGTGTTTGGTTTCTGAGAAAATTGAGAAGGAAAAGAAAAGAATTTGAACTGATTGGTCTCTACCCTTTTTCATGGGTTTAATTACCTTTTGAAGCATGTTGATTGGTTGGTTAAATTTTTTGGTTTTTGTAGAAGTAGAGGTCTCTAAAAGAAAGATGTAAGAAATTAATACTCTGCTTCAGTATAGAATTCTACAGAGACAAAAGCAATTGAATTTCCAGAAAAGAGATGACCCAGAAAAAGAAAAAAAAAAAAAAAAAAAAAAAAAAAAATTACATTGAATTTTAAATGGATTTTGATATGCTAGGTAGCACTTCTAGTGCTTTTTATTATTAATTTTCACTTTAATTCTTGATCTCTATTTCATGAGCTTATGTGATTGTTGCTCTGCAGGTAACTGTGGCTGGTTACACAGCAGGCCAAAGGGCTAAGCATGTCCCTAGAGGGAAGTATGTTGCTGGGGCTTCCATATTGGCTGGAACCTCAGTCACAATGCTCCTGCTTGTTTTGCTCAGAGTCTTCCCATTCACTCCAAGATATATCATCCCTGTTGCAGGAATGATGGTAGGAAATTCAATGACAGTAACCGGGGTTACAATGAAAAGACTTCGCGACGATATTCGAACTCAAATGAATCTGGTAGGTTAATTCTTACACAGAGAACTAATGGAATTTTAGGAAACTATATTGGTTGAAAGTCTTTTTTTTTTGGTTTACTGATTTTTTGTTTTGCAGGTAGAGACGGCATTGGCTCTCGGGGCCACCCCGCGCCAAGCAACACTTCAGCAGGTGAAGAGAGCTTTGGTAATTTCCCTGTCTCCGGTTCTGGACAATGCGAAAACCGTGGGTCTCATCTCGCTTCCTGGTGCCATGACGGGGCTTATAATGGGAGGAGCTTCTCCTCTGGAGGCCATTCAGCTACAGATTGTTGTGATGAACTTTCTCATTGGTGCATCTACAGTTAGCAGCATCTTGTCAACATATCTGTGTTGGCCTGCCTTCTTTACTAAAGCTTATCAGTTAGAGACCAAGGTCTTCTCCTCAGAATGAGGATTTTACAGTGCCCTTAATTACGAAATACAGATTGAAAAATGCACAAAATTAGGCCTCCCAAGGCACACTTGAGGGTCTAGTAGCTATGTAGTGTAGCCATATTTGAAGTGTTAGATTGTACAATGTCTATCAATCGGTCACTCTGTTTCTCACGGTGACAAAAATATGCATCCATGATGTTGTTTAATTATTTTGGGCCATAATAAACACATACTTGGAAAAATTTGTACTTCTCATTAACACATTGGCAACCCTTTCTTTTCCTCTTTTTCATCCCTCACTTCAGTTGTACATAAAAATATTATGATATTAAGCATGAATGAAAGAGAACGTTGAACACTATTTAAGAAAAGGAGTTAACATTCCAAGGTAGAGTTGAGGATTTTTCCTTGGAGAGAGATGATCGGAGTGGAGTCGACGGCAAATGCGGTGAGGTATTTAGTGTTGTATTGATTGGTATTTTGTTACTAGCGGCGGAGGTGGTGGATGAGGATTACGGTGGTGACCGCCACTAAGATGATGTCCTTGGCCTGGCCCATGATGGCCCTTCACTGAGCCATTATCACCCTGACCTTTCTTATGATGACCCTGACCTGGCTTATGATGGCCGCCACCTTTCTTATGATGACCATGACCTGGCTTATGATGGCCCTGCAGATAAAAGTGGTAAAAAAACAAATATGTCACCAAAATAAAAAATTAAGATGACTTGTAACTTAAGTGGCAAAAAACGTTTACCCTCACATGTCTAATGCTAGAACTTCAAATTTTATCATTTTCTTAATGTTTGAGTTCAATTCTTACCCTTTTCTTTTTAATGACCATTAGAGTTCGACTTGCACCCTTTCCTAATTTCGAGTTTACTCTATTCTTAATGGCAATGGAATTGGACTCTTGTTCTTATTTGATGAGGAGCATATAACTCAAATCAAGGACTTAAAGTTACCTTTCGTCTCGGAGGCAATGTTGGCTGAGAGGGTGGCGGTGGTGATGATTGTGGTGGAGACGGCGACAATGGTGGAGAAGTAGATGCATGTGATGATGGCGATGGTGGTGTTGGTTTTGGCGGTGGTGGCGATGGTGGTGTTGGTTTTGGTAGTGGCGATGGTGGTGTTGGTTTTGGCGGTGGTGGTGTTGGTTTTGGCGGTGGCGGCGATGGTGGTGTTGGTTTTGGCGGTGGTGGCGATGGTGGTGTTGGTTTTGGTAGTGGCGGCGATGGTGGTGTTGGTTTTGGTAATGGCGGCGATGGTGGTGTTGGTTTTGGCGGTGGTGGCGGTGGTGGTGTTGGTTTTGGCTGTGGTGGTGTTGGTTTTGGTAGTGGCGGCGATGGTGGTGTTGGTTTTGGCGGTGGTGGCGGTGGTGGTGTTGGTTTTGGCGATGGTGGCGATGGTGGTGTTGGTTTTGGTAGTGGCGATGGTGGTGTTGGTTTTGGCAGTGGTGACGGTGGTGGTGTTGGTTTTGGCAGTGGCGGCGATGGTGGTGTTGGTTTTGGCGGTGGCGGCGATGGTGGTGTTGGTTTTGGCGATGGTGGTGTTGGTTTTGGTAGTGGCGATGGTGGTGTTGGTTTTGGCGGTGGCGGCGGTGGTGTTGGTTTTGGCGGTGGCGGGGATGGTGGTGTTGGTTTTGGCGGTGGCGGCGATGGTGGTGTTGGTTTTGGCGGTGGCGGCGATGGTGGTGTTGGTTTTGGCGGTGGCGGCGATGGTGGTGTTGGTTTTGGAGGTGGCGGCGATGATGGTGTTGGTTTTGGCGGTGGCGGCGATGGTGGTGTTGGTTTTGGCGGTGGTGGCGATGGTGGTGTTGGTTTTGGCGGTGGTGGCGATGGTGGTGTTGGTGGCGGTGGCGATGGTGATGGCGGTGGTGGCGGTGGTGGCGATGGTGATGGCGGTGGTGGCGGTGGTGGTGTTGGTTTTGGCGGTGGTGGCGGTGGTGGCGATGGTGATGGCGGTGGTGGTGTTGGCGGCGGTGGCGATGGCGGTGATGATGAAGATGGTGGAGAAGTAGCACTAGGAGTAGGAGGAGAAAGTGGAGAGCTTGGATTAAAAGGGTCCTCATTGACATAATTCCCAGGAGGAGCATATTCACAAATAATGAGCAAACTTCCGTTGGAGCATCTGAACCGAGTGCACCCAACATGTTGAGTGGTCTTCCATACAATCTGCGTGTAGTGGCCGCAAGCTTTGTCTTGGGCGCATTGTCGCTTTTCTCTATTGTAAAATTGCTTCTCATGAGCCCAATCCTCCACTGCCTCTCTCGGCAACCAATGGGCCTTAAAACCCCAGAACAAGTTCTCCCCGTATAGGCCCTTCGAGTGGCGCATGCCGCAATCAGTCTGCTTCTTGGCCCAATCCTCTGCGAATTGGGCCAACGTCTCATTCCATACTAAGGGCGGCACGTTCTCAGCGTTTCGAATCTTGTTATGCGCCATGATGAACTCTTGGGCTAGCTCGGGCGGCTCGTATTCTGTGTAGTTTTCGTTGTTTGGTTTCAATGCGTTGGCCATGTCGTTGACAATGTCATTGGCGGCATTTTCAATCCCGTCAATGCTTGTCCCAATGCCATTCTCGTCATTGCCTTCGTTATTGGCATGGGGATTAGCATTGGATTTGGCAGTCACCTTTTCGACATGATTGATATGAACGTCGTGTCTCGGGAGGTGGAATGGGTCGGCCAAGATGAAGGGGATCAAAATATAGGTGGTGATTATTATAGTAGCGAAAGTTTGATGTCGCGGCATTGGGTTGTTGTATGTGGAGGTGGGTGGTGGCGATGGTGGTTATAATTTAGGTATTTTATATTTGATAAGGGTGAAATGATATGGCAAAGTTGGTTTGGTTTGGTTTAATTTCGGTTGCCAGCCCTCAAGTTCCAAGAGCATCGGCAAGAGAGAGCGAGCATCAGAGGGCTAAGATGTGCTTTATTTGGTGTAGTTTCCATAAAATGACCTTCCAACTCAATCGATTTTACCATCATGCTATGCCTAATCCTTCTTGGGGCATCCATAGTTTTACGAAAATAGATAGATTGATGCCAAAATTGACCCTTGAAAAAAGCATAAATAGTTATGCTATTGTTAGGAGGCTGGCGATGGAGAGCCGCAGTTTCGGGACGTCTTCAGGTCAATGGCTCAGAATGTTGTTTTCATGCAAAATACCTGTCCATGCCTTCTTGTGCTGCAAGCTCAATGTTAGTTAAGTTAGTTGTAGTTCTTTCAGGTGTGTGTTTAATATACCATTCGGCAGCATCAGCTTTGAATTTTAGAAGGTTATTTTTTTAAAATATATATTTTAAAGCAAGAGAGATCAATTTCCACCAAGGGCGGAGCTAGAATTATAAGATTGGGAGAACCGAGATAGAAAACACAAGTATATCAAATACATTTAAGTGTTCAAAATACATGTTAGAACTAAAATTTTCAAAATTAGTCATGTCTAATTGTTTTTAAAGGGCCAATTAATTTAAATTACAAGTTGTCTATTAGTAAGTTGTATATAGGAGAAAGGTCAAAAAAATGAGGGGGCCAGGGCCACTTCCACCATCATCAAACCGACTATGATGTATCAAGGACTATTTTATTTTATTTTTTGGTCTGATATATCAAGGACTATATGACTCATGATCAATTCGTGACAATATTCTAATTGTCCATTAATCTCTTTTGTCTATTTCAAAATGAAAAAGATTTTGGTCACATTCAATTTTATTTGGAAAAGTTTGGTTTCATCAACAATGGAGGGAATAGATTAAGTAGTGTATTTATTTTTCTAACTCTCTCATTTGATCAAGGTCAAATTATACTTGTAGTCTTAATTTTAACGTCATTGTTGAAAATGATGTTTCATTCAAAATCAAAAGAAACACCGTATAAGATGATAAAGAAGATTGTAACCCAAAGAAGCATCGTAAAATAATAAAGAATATAGTATGAAAAGTCTATTCATAACCCAAACGTGATAACCAGTAACAATAACTAAATCGTCATTTAAACATATGATAATATGATACCATTAACAGCTTGTTACTTACATGTTAAGAACAATAACTGAACAATAGCTTAACAAACAATAGATTGCCATGCATGTGTATCCATGACATGGTGCCACTCTATATTTTAATTTGGAGCATTAACAAATTTACGGGTTGTCCTGAATTGCAAATCTAAATAAAATTACATGTCTTTAATTGCTAAAACTAAAACTACATGTGCTCAAGTAAAAAATCAGAAATATTACAGACTACTACAAATGTAATTTGCCTTCATTTGCTTTTCGACTACGTGGCATGATCTGAGAAGTGGTGTGCGTAGTGCGCACTACGCACCTAGCCCACCAGAGACTTCAACCCCGTGTAATTTTCTGAAATGGCGTGGCGCGAAGCACGAACTGGTCACGGTCAACCCCGCTTTTCGTTTATCTCTCATCTTCATCTTCTTCGAGCTCACGAAAACAAAAAGATTCGAAAACACCAGCAAAAACCACCGACACAACAACACCAACCACACTTTTCATTTGACGAAATTTCCCCTTCTCGTGGTGGTCTCAGAGAGACAAACGAGAGAGCTGCGTATCGCGCACTCCCGCCGTTTCTCTGTCCGATCATCTCCTCCAAATTTTCGACAAAACGCGATATAAATCTCGATATGCCGATTCGGAAGCCGCGGATTTCTAATGTTTCAATCAATTTTATCGTCTTTGGCGTGTTCCTCGGCTGCTTTCCGGGTAAATTTTCATTATTTTTCTCGGGAAACAAACAGGAATTTGATGTGTTGAATACGACGCCGTTGTGTGTGAGATTGATTTGTTTGTTTTCGTACATAGGATGTATATTATCGGCGACCGTGACGCTGGGTTCGATTGTGATATACGACACGCACGAGTTCATAAAAGGTGTGAAGCCGATTGTGTATTTCACATGCCAAGGGGAGAACAAGACGGTGTTTCCAGATGTGAAGGCGAAGAACGTGTCGTATGAATTCAAAGGCGAAGAGTCTTGGCAGGTGAGATTGTGCTTATGCTCAAAATTTCCGTTTCTATTTCAATTTGCCTTTGTTTTAAAATTTAAGACTGTAATTTTTGATAAGATGAATTCTGTTTGGTCCAATTTAGAAAACATAACTAGCCATATGGTGTTGTGAGATCAGGGCCATTGAATAGGTAGAATAATGTGCGGTACTGATTGACTCTGAGAGCATAATATGTCTGATGTCCTGCTAGAAATCAATTGTATGTATGTACCCAAGCTGTTGTTGAGCTGAAAAGCTGTTGTTGAGCTTTTAATTAGGTAGGTTTCTGATGGAATTATGATATGCTTTCAGCCTCTGACAGAGTTTTCGAGTAAGAAGTGCAAGCGATGCGGGTTGTATGAGAAGGACACCTTTAAATCAGATGACATATTTGATGAGTGGGAGTTATGTCCTTCTGACTTCAATTTTTCTGATGGAAAATACGTCCGATTCAAGAGCAAGGAATTCAACGCTACCTTTTCATGTCCAAGGTGTCTACCTGCTGCTTCACCTGGTGAGTGAGAGTCTACTCGATTGAAAATTTTGAGATCATTTCGTTCATGCCTAGTTTAAGTTGATAAGGAGTTTTGTGGTTAGAGCCTTAAACTGCTCACAGTAAGCTCACTTTTAGATGGCATGCTAATGCTCCCATATTGGATAAAATTCCTAGCTAATGATATTTTTGTGCATATTACTCAAATGAGTGACTAGGAACTTTGGTGGTGTGTGTTTGCTAGAAATAACAGAAGATAAAGCTCTGCATGATTCTTAACTGTAGTTGAATGCGTTCAATAATACGGAAATTTCCAGATTTTCTTGATGCTGCTGCCTTCATTTCATACTTGATTACCAACTGGCGTAGCTGTTGTTGGCATGATGCATCTGTATTTGAATCCAATCTACTCTTATATTTAGTGTCCAACTTGTAATCATAATTTTCTGGCCATATGTTTGCAGATTCCAAGTCCGCCACTGCAGCACATAAAGAAGAAAAGAAAAATGGATGGCATATTGTCCTAGTGATATTAATCGTTGTTGTCGTTTTAGTAGTGTGTATTGTTGGAGGAGTACTTGCACACAAGTTCTGGCAAAAGAAGAAGAGAGAGCAAGATCAAGCTCGGTTCCTAAAGCTGTTTGAAGATGGGGATGATATTGAAGAGGAAATGGGGCTTGACCATGTAATATGATGGACTTATAGTTAATTTAATTTTTGACCTTCTTAACGGTAGGTTGATCTTACATAAATTTTGCTATTGTAAAGAGTAAAAAAAGAGAACAAAGATAAAGATAGGTACATACTGTGCAAAATCTTACTTTTCTTGTGACGCTCAATGTATTCTTGAGTGGCCAAAGATGAAACCCTCTGTCGTCGGTGGGTGCATGGCATTGTTCATACTTTAGTCGAAATTAAGAGCAGTATATTTAATATCGTGAGTTATACAGATGAAAGTGATGTGGCCATCATTATTTAAGTTTCCAGATTTTAGTAGGATTTGATTAAGTTTCCGAGTTTTTTTTTATTTTGATTTTGTTCTCTTGTCTCTGTCAAATTTGAATGTGTATGCATGTTTAGTTTGTGGTAAGTGTTACCAAGGAAGAGCGAACAAGTCCCATGCATATACTCATAGCCTTGAAGCTGGACACCATGTTTATATCAATCTTCGGACGGAGAAAGTTTATTGCCTTCCTGATGGATACGAAATCAGTGACCTGAACCCGAGGTTTACGGAGGAACAAGTTGAGCAGATTGACAAAAACAAGCAATGGTCTAGGGCACTTGATGGTTCTTATTACCTTCCTGGAATGTTGAGGCTCAATAACATGAAGGAGACTGATTTTGTCAATGTCACCATTCAGTCATTAATGAGTCACTCCACCAAGAAACTTTTTCCTCATCCCTAAGAATTATCAACATTGCAAATCTCCACTTGTTTATCGATTCGGGGAGCTCACGAGAAAGATATGGCATGCACGCAACTTCAAAGGACAGGTGCAGGCAGTTATGAAAGCCAGTAAGAAACGGTTTCGAATAGGAGCGCAATCTGACCCTGTTGAATTCATCTCATGGCTGCTTAATACACTGCACGCACATCTTACAAATTCAAAGAAAGATAGCAGCATCATCTATGAGTGCTTTCAGGGGAAACTGGAGGTTGTGAAGGAGATTCCTAAGAAAGAAAATGGTGATGATCAGAATACAAATGCTGCCACTGAAAACAACGGCATTCTCAAGGAAACTTACAAAATGCCTTTCTTAATGCTTGGGTTGGATTTGCCCCCACCACCTCTTTCCAAAGATGTGATGGAGAAAAACATAATACCCCAGGTCCGGCTGTCCAACATTTTGAAGAAATTTGATGGGGAGACTGACTGAAGTAGTCCGACCTCGCATAGCAAGGATGAGGTATCGAGTCACCCGATTACCACAGTATCTTATTCTCCACATTCAGCGATTTACCAAGAACGACTTCTTCGTGGAAAAGAATCCGACTTTAGTCTACTTTCGTGGGAAAGACTACATCCCAGTGTCAATCCCCAAAGAGAATGAGAGTTTGCGTTCAAAGTATGATCTGATTGCCAACATTGTTCATGATGGCAAACCTGGTGAAGGTTCATACAGGATATTTGTACAGAGAAAGTCAGAAGAATTATGGCATGAGATGCAGGATCTACATGTTTCAGAAACTCTTCCCCAAATGTTTGCCCTTTCTGAGACTTGTATGCAGATATATGAACAGCAGCAGTAAACTTGGGACAGTTTCAAGTCCCATGGTTGAGGGATTAGGTGGTTTTTAAGCCTATTCTGGGAGTCGAGTGGTTTCATACTCGAGGAAAACAAAACGAGGGCAAACATTTTGAGTACTGAGGTGGCAGATTTGTTGGTCTAGTGGCATGCCTGAATTTGTGAGTTTTATGTTTCCATGGATTCTTTAAGTTCTCTAGAGTGTGTTTGGATGAGGTACTTAGAGACGGGATTTGGGGCTTGAAAGTCCCATATGATCAAAACTAACCTGTTTAGCAAAATTTAAAGAAGGATTTGAGAAATGACAAGGAACTTTGAAGAGGAACTTTGGGAGGCCAAAGTCCCATGACTAAGTTACACTTCAATTGGTGTTATTTACAGTACCGATAGGTTTTATGAGCCCCAATTTGCAGACGAATTTGGTGAAGTCCCTCATTCTTGGTTTTAATTTGCTATAAATGCCATCCCATGTAATTCATTATGGTAGATTTGAGTTATTGAGTCCAGATATTAGAGAATTCTGATGTGAAGCCACAAATCCCTTGGTGCGAAGCCAAGGACGGGTGTGAAGCCCCTTGAGTGATTCCAAACCTATCTTTATGTGTTTAATTTTCTGTTTTCATTGTTTTCGCTTCCGCTAAACTACCTAAATCTACAATTCACCCATATCTTACATCAGAATGCGAAACACAAAAATTCCATGATCACAAAGATTGTTGCCAAGTCATTGTTCACTAGTTGTTCATTACATGTCTTTCAGTCTTATCGATACAAGCAAGGCCAGTAGCCAAAAAGACTCTCACAAACTCCGATATCCGGCACGTTGTAGGAAGGTGTGATCCTGGTTTCTTGCTCACCCCAGCCATAGGTCTCTGTTTCCCCTCCAAATGCAAGCCAAAGATCATACCAAGGATTAGAGTCACAAGAAGGATGGCCATATTGAGTGACTTCTTCATGCCTCAAATGGCTTTCATGTTGTTGTTCACTCTGCCTGGGGCCTTCTATCTCCTTCAACTCACTGTCTCCTTCATTGTTGTGAGTTCCATTGCCATGGTAGAAGTAACCATCTCCCCAACACTGACCAAAGGAGCTCTCATATTCTCTGAGCCAGTTTCCACAGCCATAATATGGTAACTCTTCACCCTCATAAGTCTCCTCAGCAAGTTCATTCTCATTCCAGAGACTGCTCGCAAAATCGGCCTCATCTGTCCCGCATGATGGAGATGTTAAACCATCAAGAAATCCTTCCTGGGAAGAAATGGGGTTGAAGAAAGGACAAGGATACCATATTGCATCTGATGGCGGATGTTCATCATTGTAAGCAATGACATAATTTCTATCATATGGAATGAAGTGGGTTTCTTCGACTCCTTCCTCGTTCATGTTCAAGCTCCAACGCAGGTCGAACCTTGCTCAAAGGTCTCTCTGAAACTTAGCTTAGTCCCATGTAGACAGGTAACTCTATTCTATTCTAGGAAGGAAGCATTCAGGAGTTGGGACATTCGAGGAAAGGCTAGAGGCTAGAGCTTATATTATGTGGGAAAGGTTGTTTCTGATACAAGAAAAGAAAAGGGAACATGAGCATATTGGTCTCTGAAATCTATCGTAAATGGCCATAACTTTGGTTACTAATGCCTTCATGAACCGAATATCTTTTTGTATGAAAAGAAGGCTTTAGAGATTGGCCGGCAGAGCATCTTTATTCGATTCTCATTCTCTGAGAGATGAAGTCACAGCCTCCACTTGTTGAGAAAGCCTTTCTTTTGGTCCATACAATCCCATTAGCTTGCAATGTGGAATATCTTCTCAAGTTGTCACACAACAACAATTCACTGCTGAATTCATCAAATGTAAAACTTCAGCTCATAAATTCTGTTTATGAGGAGATCACTAATGAAGGAAAGAAAGAAATTGGTTTGGAATAAATCCCAAATGGTATTTCATTATGGTTTACAAATTACACAGAATTTCTGGTTCCACAAGAAATGGAAACTGCACCATGATTTGACAAACTCTTTTGACCCAAAACCACCTAAATCTCAAACAATATGACTACCTAAATCACAAAGATTAACAACCAGAATCGAAATGCTCCACTAACAGTAAAACATCAAATATCCCGTCAAGACAAACAAACATTGCCAAGACTTCAAAAATTCTCAAGGGAGGTAGGTGTCTTGATCCCCATCCACAATAACTGGATTGGGTGCACGACGAACAAACCTGACAATCTCTGCGAACCGACGATGACCCCGATGCTTTGGCAAGGCTGGAGATGGCAGAGTCTCGGTTCTTGGCCTCAGGACATCATCCATCAATGATGGGATTGGCACCAAAGGCCCTTCAACGCCATGAACAACACAAGAATCATCAATGTGGAGATTCGGGGCAGTGACAAGAACGTCATTGAAAGAGACCCTTTTGCCATCAGTGCCGAAAACAAGCCTTGTGTTGTGGTGGAGAGCTGGGAGGGTGGTGTTCAGTGGAAGCCTAAGGAGGGACTGGTAAGGCAAGGCCTCCGACATGTAGATGTGAGCTCGGAGGGTGTTGGCATTGAGGGGTTGGCCTAAGAAGCTGTCATCGGGCGGGATGAAACAGGTGACGGTAGTGTTGGCGGTGGCGGTGAGGTTGTGGGAATGCAAAGCATGAGCAAAGAGTGTGAAGCCGGATGATGAGAGAGAAGTGAACACGGTGTCTGAGCATAGGGCTTCAATGGTGGGAGTGAGGGCCAAGAAAGCTACAAGGAGAAGTATGGACATGGTTGAAGTTGAGGTTTGTGAGATCATCAACTTTGGCATTTTGGAGAGAGGGAGAGAAAGAGGAGGAGGTGAACAAAGTGTGTGAGGAGAAGTTCTTGAATTTGGATCTGTGGTGGTTATGAATCTTCTTGAAATAACGGTTTTAACAGACTGGTGGTCTTGGACCAAGTTTGAGAGCTTTCACTGGCTTAGAGGTCATATGTCCACGCAATTTTCTCACGCTCCTACAACTCTGAGCTTAATCTGATAAGTCCGTGTGTTCAATTGTAAATCAAATATGATCAGTATTCGACAGCTGTAGAAATTAATTCTAAATCAAGTAGATTAAGCAAACTGAGCTCTTTATGCGAAACCAATCATTTTTAAGATGGTTTTGGTACAAAGTGTTCTGAGGTATGTCCAAGTCCTCAACCTTGTAAACAAAAATGTTGAAAGATTCAAATAAGCACTTTGTGAATTACATTAAATTGTCAATTTGGATAAGCCTATTTCTTGTCTCAAAATCTGCAGATGCCGAAAAACTCTGGCTCTCGAAGTTTCTTCCCCAAGTGGAGATCACTAATCATTGGCCAGTTTGGTGCTCTGAATTGAGTGAGGAATTTGAAGGTCCATCAAAAGTGAATCTTGCCCAAATTTGTTATACCAGTTTGCTGCAAATTTGTCATAATTAGCAATGCATTCATTTAACAACTATCGCTGCTGGAGCTTGAAGTTACTGCGCTGTTGAAGTTAACCAACTCTTTTGAATGAGGACCATAAACAGACTTTATGGTGTCCCTGCAGCTCCTGCAACCAAAAAGATGGAAAATTGAGCCAAATCAAAGCATGAACAAGAAAAACTAAAAGAACCCATCATTCTCAATTGCTTTTAACAGAAAACCAACCTGCAGGCCTCCTTGTTGAACTTCTTCTCATTAATCCCATACAGTGATTGAAAAACCTCTGCCTCCACACGACAAAAATAGGGACGATCTGTTAAAGATTTCAAAGTAAAATGAGAAGGCTGCAAATTGAAAACAAAAAGGTGAGCTTTGTAAAACAAGTGAAATGAAATGCCTCACCATTGTAAATTAAGCACTTGCGTGTGCCTTTGTCGAAGTTCACACACCACCCATCTGCACCCACCATGCTTCTGTAAAGCTGAAATATTTCACATAAAACCCAATTCAGAAAACGAAAAAGAAAACAAACTAATGATATTGAGGATTTTCTCAGAGACATGGTGGGTGCAGACCTCAATGTCAGTTGGGTTATTGAAGATTTCTTCAGGGGTAGCAAAGGAGGGACCTTTTTCGAGCTTGCAGCAAGCTCCACAACCCTCTATGCACTGCCACGTCTGCTCCCTCCTCTTCGTCCCGAACCCGATACTCGTCGTCGACGGCGGCGGGATTTTGCTTGGCTTTGTCTTGGCCGTCTGACGTGGCCGGCGTGCCATGCTGACTATGCCAAGACAGGGCAAACCCACTGCGTTGGACATTTTGTGGATAAGAGTTGGAGGATGGCGGTGGTTAAGGTTTATTCAAATTGTTGCAGAAGGTTTCTTGTAGTGTTTTTATTCCAAGCAAGCAAATAACTAAAATTTAATTTGACCAAGAAATCGAATTTTTTATTTTTTTGGTTATTCCAACATGTTATCTGTTCCAAACTAGTAATTTATTTGTTGACCCAAAAAAAAATGTTATTTATTTGTCTAATTATTTACTCACTTTCTGGCATTTTTACCTGGCAATTAAATTCAAAACAATCAATTGATTGTGAAATGTAATTAGGGATTATATAGGTGGTCAAATTCTTTAGTGCCAGGTTTGTAGTAACAATAAGGTTTAAATGCTAAAGAAACCTAGTCCCTGTTCCCTGTCCACATACGTTGGCCAATTTAGAATTTAGTCCGTGTGTTTCCATAAAGGTACAGATGGAACGGTGTCCTTGTTCTAAACTCAGTTTAATTTTATTGATATATCTTTAAGAGAAGACTAGTTTCAAAATAGGATTGAACAAGATTGACACTTTTATGTTTTTTTTTTTTTTTTTTTTTTTTTTTTTTTTTTTTTTTTTTGTTTATTTATAATATTAAATAGAACGAGCGAGTCAAATATGCTCATAGATAGAACAAGCAGGGAAAAATTAAATAGTTTATGCATGCTCAAAGTTTTGTCTAAGAGACAACAAATTCTTCTCCAGAACCGCCTAGGGTGACGGACTGCGTCCATCCTCATAATCAACAGGGCTCCTATCGTCCCTTGGACTGGGGCTGCGACCATTAGCTTCGGTAGGGCTCGGGTACTTCCCAACAGTAGGGCTATCCCTTCCAGGGCTACTCGGGCTTCTGCTTTTCCCTCTGGGGCTAACTGGACTTCTACTAATTCCCCTGGGACTGTAGTCTGAGCCATCTCGCTCTGTGCTGAGTCTACCATTTCTGGGAGAAGGGCTACCTCTCCCATGGGGGCTGCCTTCATCAGGTGTAAGGCTGTGCTTCCTCCCCTTTGAGGGCGGTGGACTCTTCCTGTAAGGAGGGCTCAGTGATCTGTCATACCGATCCAGGCTTCGGCTTCTCCCTCTCCTTACTGGGGATCTTGATCGACTGGCAACACACAAAATGATCAAGTTGTTAGAAAAATATTAAGTATAAATCTCAATAGACATCATGCATCTGAATCTAAGTTTGTTCACAACCCTCCACATTAGATCATATGAGGAATACCAATTCAGTTATTCTCTTAAATAAAAGAAACACAGTTCTAAACCCCAAGCATGTTACGACTCACTCACTACGCAACAGATAACTACAGTAAACAAATGTTGTTAATGATCTTCATATCAATCATGTCAAAATTACAAATACATCTAAGAACACATTATATAAGATGATAAAATACATGTGATAACGAAACTCGAAATCAAGAGCATACTCACTGACCTATAGCTGCGGCTTCGGCTGTAACTTGGGCTACGGCTTCTCCCACGGCGAGGCGAACGTGATCCAGGTGAACGACTCCGCCCACGCCTGCAATATAATTTAATTTGAACAATGTCAAAAAAGAATCCCACAGTGCATCCAAAAACAGGAGGGGGGAGGAAACAAGCAATGAAACAAGACTTGAGAAAAAGTGATTACCTTAACTCCTTGGGACTATTTTTGCACTGCCTTTCTATATGACCTCTTTCTCCACAGCGATAGCATTTATTCTTCCAGTCCCCAGCCTTGCAATCACGAGCCCAGTGGCCATCAATACCGCAATTAAAGCAACGACCAGACCCAGGAGTAGGACCTCTTCCCAGATATTCCCGGGAACCACGCGGTCCCTATTCCATATAACACAGAAAGGAGATGTCAGTTTGATGAGAGAACATGAACAGATTAGAAACCTGAGAACAGTAATATAAAGTGACGAGGAAAAGAGGGATTTAGTTTAAATGTCAAGTAAGATTGGGAGAACAGCAGGATAGCAATCATGAATTGGCACTGTAACACCCCTGTATGTAACCAGGAAACTAGAAGGGGCATTTTAATTCAAAAACTTGGAAGAATCCAGTGTATAACATGCACGGGTATTTGACTTAGAAAGGAAAATTCAGCTTGTAGACCTTACCCCCTTTGCAAATTCAACAATAAGACGAGTTCCATCAAACTCCCGACCATCTAAGCTATATCTGGCATCATCAGCATCTCGAGGATCACTAAATTCCTGTTATCAAGAAGAGCGAGCAGAAGACAAAACAGGTGACCCCCATTTTTTGGGTTTTATGATCCATAAGCAGGTTCTGAAGACAACAAAATATAAGCAAAAAGAATAGAAAAACCAAGAGTACGAAAAACTTACAACAAATGCAAACTCTCGCTTCATGTCCACATCTCGTACTCTGCGTAAACGGTTGCCAGAAACAGTAAGGCTATCATTACTTAAGTACTTCAAGTGCATGATACTTCGCCCGTCACAGACGAACTAAACACCAGATTGAGATTGTTGCCATTTGCATAAAAACACGCAATAAGACTACAGAAAGAATCACCAAAGTCTCATATACACTCGGCAAGAATTTCCACCAATTCCACCAAGGCCACCCTCTCACCATAGACCTCCAAGTAAGGCCAAACCCCAGAAAACCTTCAACAAGATTATTCGAGTTAAGAAAACACAACACCTAGGGGCAAAAAGCTCCAACACAGAACATGAAAATTTACATTAAACCAAGCACAAAGGCAAGCTTGGCAAGGAACCAAATGTCCCCAACACTTCTGGTGGATGCCCTCACGAGCTGATGTTGTGATTTCAAATATATTGCATGGATAAGTTAGTTTTCCATTAGATTTCAATTCATAAGGTACCTTAACATGACTATTGTGATTTTGAATATATTGCATGGATGATGAGTTTATCACTCAAAACACATTCTGAAATAACAATTTATCACTCAAAATACATTCTGAAACAACAAAAGCAATTACCTGCCATATCTGCTGAAAAGGCGTTCCAGATCACGTGAACGCGTGCGTGAAGCCAAACGACCAACATATAGGCGTGTATTGCCATATCGATCATCATAACGAGGCATTTTCAAGCTGCCAAAAAAAATTGTAATTAGCAAGGTAAACACTGAACAAGAAACCTTGCTACAAAACAAAAAAAAAAAAAAAAAAAAAAAAAAAAAAAAAAAAAAAAAAAAAAAACAATTGCACAAATCCAGTTAATTGACATGAATAATAGGGAATTGGTAGAAACAAAAAAATAACACTTCCAGTTCCAAAAAACTGTACGTAATTTTTTCAGACCCAACTCATTAGTGGATTTAAAAAAGAAACATACACAGATAAGGGATAATTTGAGAATCCATAAAAATTGCGTGAGGCATAGTAAATTTTGCACACTATCTAAAGCAGAAACTCCTAATCTCGAATAATCAGACAATTAACCCCCTCCAAAAACAATTTGAAGAAAAAAGTGCAGAGCGTAAACCAAACAAGTTTCCAGAAACAACTGACAAGCCCTAATTACATTCTTTAATCACCTTAACAAGAAATTATCCAGGATCTACAAATCTCCAGCTCAACATATAAATTCGAAAGCAAATTATCGGATACAGAAACACAAATCTAATTAAAACCCATTGTAAAAATTAAAAACACTCAAAACTTTATAAACTCACTGAATTGCGAACGAGAAAACCCTTTGAAATCCCAAGTATTTAAACAATTGAATTATTGTTAAAGGCTCGTACCTTGACTGGTTAAAAAGCCCCAAATTTCGATTTAACCCTAACAGCGCTTTCGAAACACAGAGAGATAGACGGATAGATTCTGTCTCTGTTATTTATAGAACGAAGCCGACAGGTTTGACGGCCAGGATACGTTTTTCTTTTATCCAAGGGTTAGGATTTTAGCAGATAAATAGACTGAAAAATTAATCCAGGTTTGGTTAGGTAACATCACCGCCAAATGTCATTATTTATTGCTTCATGGGCCTCATATGAATGGGCCTTGGCCCAATTGATTTTATAGAAGTACTTCCGGCCCAATTTGGACGATTCCTGGCTCGATAGGTACAATTTGGCCACACAACCAAAATTCAACTTACACATGGTCAGTAATTTGTTCTGAGTTGACTCGTTTTATTTCCTTTTGTTCTGAGTTGACCCCATATCTAGTTGGGCATTGAGCTTGTTAGGTTGTTTTAGAATTATTTTAGGCATCTGTTCTATAGGACTCGGCAGGCATACCACGTCGCTCCTTTGGTCACACACAAATAAAGGGTTTGGTTGTATTTGAGTCGCAACTAGGCCCATGCTCATTCCACCCCAATGCAAAGAATTCTCTTGATGAATGACGTGGTTCACTTGCCGGACCAAAGAATTTCTCCTTCCATAAAAGCAATTTCAATTTTTCTTTATCTTGGACATGTGACAACCGCTAATTAATCATGGTCCAAGACATCGGAAGTGAAAATCCTTCATAAGCAATGTGTTGCATGTATTACAAAACTACATGGTAATAACTTAAAATTATACACTGAAAATCAATAAAGAAAATAATAATCAGACAGATTACATGACTGTGACACCCCTCACCTCACAAATTACTACCTTCTCTTGTTCTTGCTGCCCAACAACAAAGTAAAATAAAACAGAATCCTAAAGAAGAACCCCCAGGCAACGGTGATCCACAAGCAACTCCATTTACTGAGGTCAGTGATTCCCTGCTGCTTCAGTATATCTGTTCCCGTGGTCACGCACGTGGAGCCGGTTATGTTGACTCCCAAAGTGGTGCTCATGCTCTTGAGCAGCTCCAACTTCATTGCCACGGGGACGGTTCCTAGTGGTGTGTTGTCAAACATCTGGGTCCCTCTCACAAAGCACTTGGTGGGGTCATCAAACTCATTTTGCAAGACACCTTCATATGGGTACTTCACTAGGGAAATGTAGTGGAACCAAATCCAATAGAGTGGGATTCTATCTCTACTTATGAAGAACCCACTAAAGAGAAGGAAGTAGGCCAAAATGGCCACCACAACTGTGTAGCCCAACATGACATGGGTCACAATGCCCGAAAGGAATGTGACGAAAGAACCCCCGGCCCAAAACGCAGCGCAAATAGTGAAGAAGAAGAAGAGGAAGCCATGAACACCGCCCGCCAGACCCACGGCCCAAAAGGTCGTGGCGGCGAAGGCTAAGGAGAGGAAGAGTAAGGAGGGAATGGAGATTAGAGAGTGAGCAAGAACGTAAGAGGACCGGCGGTAGGCATTGTAGGCGGTTTCTCTCATGAAAATGTAGCGTTCTTGGAGGAAAATTGGAATGGCCTCGGCGCACGTGTAGAATGTGGTGGACATGGCAAAGGCAAAAAAGCCCACCCGCTCTTGGACACCTTTTGGAGAGTTGTCAAGCTTCCAAAACATAGTGGCTAAAATAAGTCCGGTCACGAGGACTGCACCTAGGCGAATGCCGAAGAGCTCCGGCATTCGTCTTGAGTTTGTGAGGGAGCGTTTGGAGATGACTGCTATTTCAATCCAACATGGATTGGCAAATGTGGGGACTGAGGAGGAGAGGCTTGGGTCATTTGGTGCACCGGAGACTAGTTTGCCTCTTGAAATGCTTGCACTTATTGCATCCTTGAGGGAAAGCTTTGGCTTGGTGATGGAGTTGATCAAGTTGTTTGGATCTGCCTCTTGTCTTTGTTGATTTTTGTTGAGCTGCCAGGACTCGTTGAATTCCACCAAGCTCTTTGTTCCGCCTGTTGAAATATCCAATTTTAAAATAGTGATGAGCACCATATCATCACTACATTTATGTACAAATAATCATGTGACATGTCACAGTGTTTAGTTTGATTCAATTTATGTCCATTTTATGCATGGTTTATTTCTAGTCGACAAAATACGATTGGCCCACGTATTCAATTAGCAAAATTTGGTGAACAAATTTAACGTAGATTTGCTATATGTTTCTTTTGGCCATCACCAAAGTCATTTTATTGGATAACTTAGGTTTCTTTATATGTTAAGCTTTTCTTAATTCAATTAGAAACTTTTCTTAATGCATCATAAATTAAAGACTCATAGTCCTAGTTGGTTGCAGCAAAATTCAAAGTCAATAGTAATTAGACCAAAATTTGTGGCATTTTAATTCTCTAATTAGTTTAAGGGTTGGCTTGCCATGGAAGAGTGATGGTGACCTGTGTCTCCTATAATCTATTTTACACACGCTTCCATTTCTTCACGAAAACTCCATTCTACAAAATGGCATGATGTATTTTGTGCAACTTTTCTAGCTAATTAGTGTTTGTTTAACTCACCTTTTCTTTTTATAATTAGTAACAAAATATATCTCTACATATCCCCCGGCAATAGGCAAGGGGGTTATATCTCTTCATGTCACCTCTCAAAGGAAGAGAGAGCAATGAAACGAGAATAGGGAAGTATTTCTCCTACTGGTATAGGCTGGTTGTATAGGATAATGGGAGTTCGTATCTACTGTGGACTAACTGTATGCCATGGTTATTTTTGGTAGGCAAGAAATATACTAATGGAAAAAAAAATAATCTATGGGTAATTCAATTTATGCCCATTCTAAACATTAATTATTTCTACTAGATAAAATACTACTGATGTGTGTGTTATCATGTTATTTGGTGAACAAAATTAGCAAAGTTGAAATAGTGACCTGGGGTTTCCTCCAATTCTCGAATGAGGTCGAGAGCAAACTCAGTTCGGTTCTCAGTTTCGGGAATCGGATGTCCAAACTCCCTGAAAAACACTGGAAGATTCGCCGGCGAGCCACCATACACAGTCTGTCCATGAGAAAGAAATATCAAACGATCCAATAAGCTCAAAATCCTGTAACTGGGTTGGTGAATGGACATGACCACAATGCTCCCACTCTGAGCTATTCTCTGCAAAACCTTCACCACCATGAAAGCACTCGTCGAGTCAAGTCCTGAAGTTGGTTCATCAAGAAACAGAACAATGGGGTCGTGAATTATGTCAATTCCAATAGAAACTCTCCTTCTTTCGCCTCCAGAGACGCCTCTGTGGCCCTCATCGCCGATCACAGTAGTGGCAGCGTTTCGAAGGCCTAGTTGGTCGATCAAAGCCTGAACCCTAGCTTTCTTCTTGGACTTTGATAAGCTGCGAGGAAGCCTAAATTCAGCTGAGAACATAAGAGTCTCTTCAACTGTAAGCATTGGGAACAAAAGATCGTCTTGCATGACATAAGCTGATATCACTTTCAAGAGCCTTGAGTCTAAGGCCTCTCCGTTTAATGTGATCGAACCTTTCAAGCTGTCCTTGGAGATTCGATCGGCTAAAGCATCGATAAGCGTTGATTTTCCGGACCCACTTGCCCCTAGAACAGCCATGAGCTCGCCTTCCCTAGCCTCCCCAGAGATGCCATTTAGTAAAACTTTGGTGTTGGCTTTGCTGCTTCCCAATTTGACCTCTGCCGTGGTGGAGTTAGCACCGAAACACGAGGGTGTTAAGTTCACTTTGCGTCGGACTTTGACGCTATATGTAAGATTGGTGAATGAGAGGACAAAAGGGTAGGAGGAGGGAGGGACAGAGCTGCAAGGAAAGCCTAACTCAAGAATATGATGATCATGATCAGGGCTTTGTGCATCTCCAACCGACTTGAGAAGCTCCCCAAGTGTAGGGTTTACGCCACGGCGGATTCTAGGGCTAAACTCCTTGAGCTCCATTTTTGGGTGGGTTTGCTAACTAGTTAGAGAACACTTTGAGAGTAAAGATTTATAGGTGTGGTGGCATTTTGATGGTCATTGTGTTTGGTGGATTTAAGTGTCCAACCGTTGCTTGCGTGAAAGCTTGCTTTAGTTGGTCAGAAGAGAAGAGAGGAGAGTTGTGCTTTATACAGCTTTCTTTCTAGCTCTTCACTTCTTACCAAGTCCAAGGGGGCTTTTGGAATTATATGTAACTATTGCATTTCTACAATTTTGGTGCTAAAATGCCAACTGCCACCCCAAGATTTTATGTCCTTTAGATTTTGATGGATAGATAATTATGAAAATGAACATTCGGACATTAAAATTGAGTTTTTAAGTATTCACTATACTAAACGCTTCAAAAGTATCAACTAAGCTAAATTAACATATATATATGTGTGTGTGTGTGATGTAACTATGGAATTTGGGATTTTCATGGCAACTGAAGAGTTGCATACGATAGCATCATTATCAAGGGTCTGTTTGAAAGCGCTTCTCTGTATGAAATGTTTTTGCATAGTATTGTTTTTACTGGTAACACTTCTGTTTGAAGCACATGAAAGGTTTTAATTGAAACTCAAGTGCTCACATACTCATTGTGCAAATGTTTCTCAAGGAGGCACTATAAATGCTTTTTTAGAAATCGAATTTCAGTCAATCGTAATAAATAAATAAATAAACATTTTTGTTATGTAAAAGAGAGTTTTCAGTACCACCAAAGGCAAAATCCCAAGCAGGCTGAAACATTTTTCTAGATTCTTATTGCTCCAAGTGTGTTGTTACATGGTGGTTTTAATTATAGTCACCCTATTTCTAGTCACCTGGTAGACCGGAACATACAAAATTTTCCAAAATTGCTAGGTTGTCCAAATCGAAAGAAAACCTTAAATTATTTTCTTTGTTTCTTCTGGCCATCACCGAACTCATTTTATTGGACAACGTATAGGTTTCTTTTCGCTCACTTGAATTAAAAAGTTGAAAAGGGACAGTTCATGGGATGGAAAAGTTTTCAAAAGAGGAGATTGTACATGCAATGCAATATGCATCAGAGTCCTGGTTGGTTGCAGCGAAACTCAAACTCAATGGTAATTGGACAAAAATGCGGGGCATTTTAATTCTCTGTTAGTTTATTTTGTAGGGTTGGCTTGTCATGGAAGAGTGATGACCTGTGTCTTTTCCAAATTATAATCTATTTTTTCTACACGCCTTCATTTCTTCACGAAAACCCCATTTCTACGCATGACATGATGTATTTTGTGCAACTTTCCTGGCTAATTACTTGTTTGTTTAACTCGACTACCTTTTCTTTTTTATATTAGTAAAAAAATATCTCTCTGCATGTAACATGTCTTATCTGCTTGTGTTAGGTGAGGGTGTTACATCTGCTCTAGACTGGCTGTGTGGGATAAATGGGTGTTCATCTACTGTGGACTGACTGTGTGGTATGGGTGGTTGTTGTAGGCAAGAAATATAGCAATGGGAAAAAGTGAACTTCGGGTTATTGACAATTTGAGTCAAATTGCTATAAATACTTGAAAAATGGCACTTAAAGGAGAATTGAGGACGACAGTTCAACTCTAACCGTGACTTAATGGTTCAAAATCTTCGACCAAATTAACCGTAGATGAAGAAAATCTCCCCCCATGACTTCTCGTTTTTGGGTTTCTGACGATTCCTAGCCCTTGGATAATCTCTTTTTCTATCAAAATAATCTACAATCTTTCCAGAAGCTTGTGTGTCAAAGATGACCCTTCTATCTGCTGATATATAATATAAGGTGTCTTTTATCGTAGGCAAGAAAATATATATATATATATATATATATATATATATATACACACCACATAGATGAAAGCAAGCTTTTTGTTTTATCATGGTCAACCATATGGGTGTGGAGCAGTTGCGAGGAATATTGATCACACAACTGTCGTGTCATTTGCTTTCTTAGGTATCAGAGTTCGATACTTGTGCGTCTTCATCCTTTCTTGACGACAAGAGGGATAAAGAATCCCAAGTTGGAAAGTGAGATGAGCAAAAGATGATAACTTGCATAATTTTTCTATTGCATTCTCTAATAAAAGAGGGAAAAAGTCAACCAGTTTTACCAAGGAAAAAAAACCCTAGAAAAGAATTATTTAGATGAGGGTACGGGCAAATCAAGATATTGTTGTGACCAATTGTTCTTCAACAGCCAGACCATCCCTAAATAAAAACGGGAAGAGGGTCCAGATGAGACCCCCCTGATAGAAACTTGCTGTGTCAGAGAGACCCCCATTTCCACGGAATACCGACACCCCTTGGACCAACAATCTCTGTTGTAAAATTTGGAACTTGTCTCACTCTGTCTTGGGCTTTTCTCTCCTCTTGGTTACTTGAGACCTGCTGGTCCATCTCCCGACCAACTTGAGGATCTCATCCAGGAGAATCACCGGTAATGCAACAGCCAAAACCAAGAGCCACTCATTCAAGCTCAGGGGCACAATGCCGAATACTTGAGCTAAGAATGGCACGTAGAGGATCAAGAAGTGCAGGCCGAATGAAACAGACATGGCCACAAGGAGCCAGGGGTTCACCCATGGGGGCATCGACAACAGGCTTCCATCCTCCGAAAGGGCATTGAGGGAGTTAAACATTTCGATGGCGACCAACACGGAGAGGGAGAGTGTCATAGCTTTCACTTTTCCACTATGGAAATAATCACAGGGGTCATTCTCGAAGGAGATAACCTGAGTTCCAGCTGTGAAGGGTGAAGCAGTAAAGTTCGTCCAAGATGAGCACTGTCCCCAGTTGGCAAGTTGGGAGTAAGTCACAAGAGAATGGCCATCCCCACTGAGGTCGATACCCAAGAAGGAACCATGCGTATACCAAATAATGAATACGCCGACAGTTGCCACACCAACATACATCCCAATTACCTATCCAGCCAAAGATTCAAGCGACAAGATTAGAGAGAATGTCCTCAGGTGAAGTCATTCAAACTGTGACATCAAAATGCAACAAATTGGAAGAAAGAAGAAAATGAAAAGTTACCAAATAGCGGAATAATATCCAAGCGCTGATAAGTGAATCATCACTTCTACGTGGGGGCTTCTTCATTATGTCTTTGTCTGGAGGATTAAATCCTAATGCTGTTGCAGGCGGTCCATCAGTAACAAGATTCACCCACAAAAGCTGGACAGGTATGAGGCCTTCAGGAATGCCTAATGCTGCTGTTAAGAATATGGAGGCAACCTCACCAATGTTCGATGAGATCATGTACCTGAAACAGGGTTTAAAACTTTAAATCAGGGAAACATACATGTCCAGGCATCTGACAAAAAGGAAACCTAAGTGAATTAACAAAATTTCCAGGGTTAAATGTCAATATTATAAAGTATCAAGATCTGTGGTCACTTCACCGGGCAGGGTATAGACAACTGGAAATCATCAGTGACACCATGCATTATGAATTTCTTTCTTATTCATTTGTTTATCATACCATGGTTTTGTCTTTTAACAAAACCTTTTTATATTATCATTCAGGAGCATTCTATATGCATGGCAGTAGAAAAAATGCTGGACAAATTTTCTGAGGAAAAGAAAAACCATTGTTTTAGTCACATCTCTCCAAAATGCTAAAAAAACACAGATAACAAACGAACCTGATAAAAGCTTTCATATTGTTGTAGATAGATCTGCCTTCACCAACAGCAGCAACAATTGTGCTAAAATTATCATCCGCCAGAACCATGTCGGAAGCTTCCTTTGCAACCTGTCAAGGAGAAGAGATTGGAAAGTTTATGGTATGAAAGTGGTGAGACTGTCTAGAAGGAAATAAAGAGTTAGTAAATTAAAAAATTAACAAGCAATTAACATTTAAAAGACATCATTAACAATATATCTATGGTTCCTTATCCTTAGCCCTAATACTCATATGTTGGTAACAGGGGTGCTGTTTCACAGAGCATTCCATTTACATCTCTAAAAATGAAATCTCAAACAAGAATATACTATATGCCACTTATCAATTTGCTTTGATGCATGTAATTACTAAACTCACTGTAAATTGAAGATTTAATTCATGCGCTTGCCCTGTTAATATATTAAGTTACCTCTCCTAGTGGTTTTGATATGTAATTAAGTGCCTCCTAAAAACAAACAACTAAAGAAATTACCTCAGTTCCAGAAATGCCCATTGCAATCCCAATATCAGCAAGTTTCAAGGCTGGTGCATCATTCACTCCATCACCAGTCATAGCAACCACCTCACCATCCTCTTTGAGCAGCCTAACAATCTCTTGTTTGTGCTTTGGTTCAGCCCTTGAAAACAAAAGCCCCCCACTTTGTCTCAGATAGGCTTTCTGATCAGGCAGAGACATAAAGTCTCTTCCTGTAATGCTTCTTGGCTTAATGTCTTCACCATCACCAAACACACCTATTTCATGGCATATTGCTTCTGCTGTGTTCTGGTTATCTCCAGTAATTACCATAACACGGATTCCAGCTGCTCGGCAGTCTTCAATCGCATCGAAAACCTCCTCTCTTGGTGGATCCTTCACAAATTCATACAGCAATCAAGTTAGATCAAAAAATGATAATACAATGAAATGAATAGGTAAAAAGATGCAGAGAGACCATATTACAACTCACCCTCAGTCCAACTAGGCCAACAAAAACAAGGTTGCTCTCAATTGATGAATAATTGGATGGATCAAGTAAAAGTCTATGAGCTGGATGATCTTCATCACCGTCATAGGATTCAAAATCGGCGAGCTCATCTTTATAAGCAAAACCCAGACAACGTAATGCACTAGTTGACATCTCATTAAGAGCTCTTACAATACAGTTCCTTGAGTTATCATCCAGTGGTACAACAGTACCGTCAAGCAACTGAACCTTAGTGCTTCTCTCCAACACATTTTCTACAGCACCCTGCAATATTGCAGCACCTCATTTTAAAAGTCCACAACATTTCCTTAAGATATATATTTTTACATGGAGAAAGAGCAAGGAAGTACGTGTGGGCAACACAATTGCTAATGCTCAACTTATCTTTTCAGTTTCCAACAGTGAAACAGGCAGCATAATGTTACAGAAAAGTAAGGAAACACAGATTGAAAAGCAGACAAGGCCCTTCTATCCGTCATGCTTTTTATTTCTAACTGAAATGTGAATTTTCAAATTAATTGTGGACATTATAATCTAATTGAAAGGGTGATTCTAGTTTATTCTACTAAAGGCAAATACAACTACAAAAGTCAGTTCCAAACAGGGATCAAAGGTATTCGAATACTTCCAAACAGAAAGCCTTGCCCCTTGAGACATACACCGCTTACCAAGTCTCACATGAGCACTACTTTAGTGAAAAAGTAAAATCAGGACAACATAACATAATTTTGCCCCTGCCATCCTCAAGAAGGAAAATAAAAAATCCTTAACAATATTTCACATATATTCCTCAAACTCTCACGCTGTCCTCATGAATCCTGCCATGCACCCTTTAAACATACTTCACAAAAGGACACTACAAAGATTCCCAGTCTGTAATTGAAATTTGAAAATTAGCATGACACACCTTTGCATGACAGAATTATCGGAATATATGAATATAATAAGTTCATAAAGTTATTATTAAAATTGAACTACAATTGCAAACCTTCACTAGCAATGACTTTTTCTGTGAACGGGAGTTGACAATGACACCCATGGATTTCCTATCACGATCAAACTCAAGGGTTCCAACTCGGCTTTCAAATTCATTCCACTTCTGGCAACAACCTTGAGAAGAGATATAACCATACCAGAGCATGTAAATTTGCAGGTTCAAAATTATAACAAAATAGAGAAAGGAAGCATTTCATGTCTGGAGTGTGACTTACGTAGCAATTCGGTTTCACTTGATTCTGCACGCAGAGACCCTTCAGGAAGGCCCATCTTCTCAACTAAAACCTGAAATGGCAAAAGGACAGACTCAAGCAAGGAAATACTATATATGATGTTCAATGAGGTAATTGATCAATTTCAAAATATGAAAAACCTATGAAAGTCAAAAGAACAAACCTACAGCATAAGGGTTTAATCTAACCTTTAAAGCTGCCTCAGTAGGCATTCCATGAGCAACATACTTCTGTTCTGCATGAGTAACGCCAGCGTCATTGCAAACAGCAGCTATCTTTGCAATCATTTGAAGATTAGCATCCATACGACCAGTTGGCCAGTCATGAATTTTACCATCTAATGGATTGTATGTAGTCCCATCCACCTTAAACTTGCGTAGTATAGTAGGTGTAGGACCCAAAGCCACAAGTTTTGACACTGCCATCTGGTTTGTAGTCAAGGTCCCCGTTTTATCAGAACAAATCACAGTCGTACAACCCAGAGTTTCAACACTCGGCAACTTTCGAACCAAGGCATTCTTCTGAGCCATTTTGCGGGTACCAAGCGCCAAGCAGGTTGTGATGACTGCGGGCAAACCTTCAGGAATGGCAGCCACAGCCAATGCAACTGCAATCTCAAAGTAATATGTGCACTTTTCAAACGAAAACTTGAAATTCGCCGGCCAGCCATTGACATATTCCCAAGTGAGGAAGTACTTGACATTGATGAGCCACACTAATGCACAAATCACTCCAATTATCATCGTAAGCATCTCTCCGAACTCATTGAGCTTCTTCTTCAATGGTGTATCTTCCTCGCTCTGCGAGGCAGCATGGATTTGCGAATGAACCTTCCCAATCTCAGTCAACATCCCTGTCTGCGCAACCAAGCAAATGCAATGCCCATTCACAATTGTTGTCCCTGCAAAAACCATACTTTTCTTCCCTTGAATATCTACGTCCTCAGAAACCGGCTTGTTAGTCTTATTCACCGCCTCACTCTCTCCAGTCAATGAACCCTGCTCGACCCTCAAAGTCGAGCTAATCAATTCCACAACACGCATATCAGCAGGCACCTTATCCCCAACTTTAAGCTCCACAATATCACCGGGGACGAGCTCCTTGGCCGCCAAACTGGGAACCTTAATCCCATTTCGAATCACAGACGCATGCTCGGACTGAATCTCTTTCAGCGCCTCCAACGCCTTCTCGGCATTGCTCTCCTGCCAAACCCCAACTATGGCGTTCACAATCAGGATCAAGAAGATCACCAAAGGCTCCACAAACGCCGTGATCTCCTTCTCGCCGCCTTCTTCCCCGTCCAGCCAAGCCAGAACAAAGGAAATGACGGCCGCAGCGAGCAGAATTCGAACCAGAGTGTCGTTGAACTGCTCCAGAACCAGAGTCCAAATAGACTGACCCTCGTGCTTCTCCAACTCATTCCATCCATACTTCTCGCGCCGCTTCTCGACGTCTGCGGAACTCAACCCTAATTTCCTGTCCACGCCAAAGTGCTTCTCGCACTCCTGAATCTCTTTTGCCCACGCAGGGAAGACATCACCGTCGGACGGCCTAGGGTTTTTGTCCTCTTTCTGTTTACCAAAATCTTGCCCTCCCTTCCCCATTTAGATCTACCACAATCAACACAGAGACAAACAATTCTTTTCAGATCAACTAATCCAAAGCAATTGTTTTTCCAATAAACCCTCAATACTGAGAAACGAATCTTTAGAAAACGGAAACTCCAAGCGGATTGGAAAAATTCAATTGCAATGAACAAAAATATAACAGTCGAGAAAAATACAACGAATTGGACTGTTTAGGGCTTTGACTCTTCAAATTAACCAAGTTTTTTTCCACAGGGGTCCAGTTCGTACCTCAGTCAAGATTTGCTGTTTTGTTTCTCAGGAAAATGAAACGTTAGCCTTTAAGAGAGAAAATGGGAAAGACGACCCAAAGCTTCAGATCAAAAGCATCGGCTGCCGTGCCTCTCCCACTACCACTACGCTTTCTGCTTTCCACGCACACTGTCTCTCTCTCTCTCTCAGAATTTTATTATAAGAGACAATGGGTAATTAATCAGGATCAGAATTAGGCTAATGTTCTGCGAAACATCCCAGGGTGATTAACTTAACGACGCAATGCTTGGCCTTGACGTGGTCGAAAGCGACAGCTGGCGTTTGGTGACGTGGCGGAATTCTATTGGAGGAGTTTCGCTCGTCTTGGTTCCTATTGGCTACATGTCCAATTCGTGCGGGGGTGATGTACTTCGTTGGCTTTTAATCAAAGATTTTCTGTTGGCACCCAACGATCCAAATTACAAGCTGCGGTCCGTTTGATTTGAGCAATAATCCGGATGCGGGTCAATCTGGGACGTCAAATAACTTGTTCTGTTCTCATTGACCGTAGATCCAACACAATTAACCTTTCCATCACAATTTCATGCCTTATCTTTTATGTACGTAAACTAAAGCTTGAAAACTTGAAAGTGAAACATTCAAAATTCCACCAATTATAATTGGTTAATGAAAATACTGAAATAAAATGCGTTTTATTAAATAAGGATAAAATAATAATTCATAATATGTGTAAATTGAAATAAATTAATAAAACTACAAGGGCTAGTTTTTTGAGGACATTTCTTATTGAAATTGACGATAATATCTCATTCGTTCATCCCAACATGCTATTGTCATCTTTTTTATTTATTTATATAAATATAAAAAATCAATTGCAAATTATATGTTCAATATAATTCATATGGTTATGTGGAGATTGATTACGAGTCTTGAAACTAATAAGAGTTCAAATCTAAAACGGCAATTCTATACCCTAAAATAGTGGCTCACAACAACTATAACTCTTTTTTTTCTTGTGGGATTTTATGTCAAATTGGAATCCCATGGATATGTCTTTTGCCATGACCTTGACTAACTTTGGACAGACCTTGACCATGGAGTAGGAAATCATGCCTTTTGAAGGAATAAAGTAACTGGGGAAACTTGAGCCAAAGGTAAAGCATTTCAGTGCGAGACACATCGGTCTTTGAACGACGAAGCTTCCAGGAAGAACCACAAAAGGAAACCCGAGGATTTTGGTTTTAAATAATAAAAAGGTGGTTGTTGAAATATTTATGTGCACTTTCTGAGTGCTTTACATTTGCATCATAAAACCAATTTCAATCAAGTGCTTGTTTGCTACTACAAAACGATAGTATGTGACCAAGGAGACATATTAGGAAAATTATGAACCAAGTTTGCAAGCATCAACAATATAATTAGTTTCTTAAACGTGTGTTCGGTCCCGTATATGTCCCCTTACACTCGAGTTCGGTTCTTTTTAATATACAATATCCAACTCTACAAGTGCAAAAACGGCATAGTATTCTGGATACGGAAGTTTTCTACTGCTGTGTACTGTGAACACAGAAGGGTCAATAATGGTGCAGTCAAAATCAATTTTGCATGTACTTTGTGTGAATCTAACTACTAGGAAAGTTCCTCTCTTTTGACTACTGACTTTGAAAATATTTGTTTCTCAAACAAGATAATAAGTATATTTTTTAAGTTGTTTTTTCAACAATATTAACATATAAGTTTGATTACGACTGATTAACATGATTGAAGCGCTATGACTTTAGTTAAGCTTTATAAGTTTTATATTATTTATTTTCGTATATATATTATGTTATCAGATTATCAATCTAAACTACGTATCGTTTTGATTCATCGTGTAACAAATAACTTGCGACAAATAAAGATTCTGATGGTCATAAACCGTGCTCTCCAGATTTCAGGTCAAAATTTGAGTGCCCGTGAACCTCAAGCTGTCCTCCTCACACAGCTGTGTCTTGGGTTTGGTAACAGAAAACAAGATGACTGAACCAGTACAGTATGTATCGGAAATTTGTCTCTCTCCTATATAAACTTTCACCACATTTTCGTTTCCATATTAAATCCTGATTATTTTTTGCTGAGAAGTCAATTATATTCCATAAATAATGAGATTAATTCATTGATTAAACCAAAGGGCAAGGTGCTTGATGAGAAGGTACCTTCCTTTGTACCACTGATCTCTGTTTCTTAATTAATATTTAATTATTATAACTGATGGCGGAAGCCACCAAGAAGAACCACAGGATTAATAACACACAAAAATAAAATAATAATAAAAGTCTGCTCGTGTCACTGTCGGTTGTTGTGTGAGGTTTTAGGTTTATTCCAGAGTCCCAAGCATATGCTTTTTGTGGTGGAGAGGAGGAGACCCAAGAAAATAAATCACTGTATCTTGGTGGCTCATGACATATCTCTGGTTGGTAAATTTTTTTATTTGGAGGAAGGAGCTAGATAGTCAATTGGGAGGACGTCCCCTTGAATAATTGAGCAAGTTGAATTTCGAAAATAGTTGGCAATGAGGGAAGCAAGAATGGAAAGAAGAAATATAAAAAAAAGCCAGGAAAAAGCCAAAAACTAATGACTTGGGGCCAGTTTGGCATTGCTGTGCTGTGAAAATAATCGCTGTCAGATTTGCTGTAAGAAAAATCAGCTGTGAGAGAAAGCAGTTTGACGTTTGGTAAAATTTTTGTTAAAAGTGTTGTTGATATTGATTTTACGCATAATCAAAAAATAATTGCCACATAATCATTAAACCCAGCGCCTCTTCGAAACTGATTCCTGCATAATTAGAAAATGAAAGCACCTCATTAGCTGCTTTTCCTTATAACTTTCTCTCACAGCAATTTTTAACAATAAGTTATTTTCTCACAGTTTACCAAACGGGTTAGGCATTTCAAAATTTAAAAAAAAATCACTTATCACTCAAAATAAGCAATGCCAAACTGGCACTTGGACGGGGAGCCCACAACAAGAAAACTTTGTGTCAAAGATGTGAAAGACTCTGAAACTGAGAGGGGTTTAGTTGGTAACTTTGGGCAAAAACTGAACCTACCACCATAATGACCCATCAAATTTTCTTGATAGGTGCCTACCGTGTTTGGACAACAAGTTACAAGTTTGAATATTGGGCTTCTATTTCATTCCCACATATTAAATAAGTCAATAAGGAAATGTTGCCGCCGGGTATGTAATGATTTTGAGTCTCTTGATGTAGATGGATATTATATACATCAACGATTAATAACTTCTAATGATTTAATTGCATGAACGTATGATTTATATTATTAATATATATATATATATATACAAATCTCGTATACATCTCTGAACTCTAAATCTAAAATCAACGACTGAGATTCTAAAATACGATACTTACAAGGCACATAGATCCTGGAAAAAAGAAACAAACCAAGGGAATCGGATGAATGTATCTGATGAAGGTGACTCCAAAACAAAATATAAGATGAAAAGATAAAAACCTCATTGTCTCATAAAATTGGATGTTACTGAGATGGAATCTGGTCTGGATACTAAAAGTTTAGGCCCTAGTGGGGTGTGACCCCAGGTCCCCACTGAACCAGCATTGCTCTTGCCTTGTTGGAGGGGCATACTGTTGTTGCCACTGAGAACAGTGGAGAATTGAGAACTTTTAATTCACTTGGGATTATTTACTGTAGACCGACATCCTTTCCAATGTCATATCCAATCGAGTAGTCAAAGATTTGACCTTGGGCTAATCATCTATTGGCTCTTAAAAAAAGTGCTTCTGTGATTAGAATTTTAGATCTCTCTGGTGCTTGTACTACAAAATCATCCTAAAAATCAGTGGCTTTTTTTGTGGCCTGGCTGGCCTGCTTCGTTCAGTGTGTGACATTTTGCAGGCCTGGCCCTTTTATTTATTTATTTACGAAACTGAGTGCTTCAGAGGTTTATAATCATGGGTTTTCAGTGAAAACTAGGAAATATAATAATGGGTCAGAATCTGGGCCGTACAAGTGGACTTAGCTAGTCAGTGAAAAGTCTGAACATGGGCCTGGAACCAGTCCTGGTTTTAGGGGGGCTTCCAAATGCATACAATAATTTCATTATGTCCATTTTATCCCTGGTCGTACTAATCAAAAAATCTAAACTCTTGATTTATTTAAAAGCCCAAGAAGGGGAGGCAGTTTTGGTGGAGGCAAAAGCAAAGTTAGAAATGGTGGGATATTTGCTTAGAGTATCTTTAGGAGAGTTTCCAAATTTTAGTTAAATTCGAGTTAAAATAGTTAGAAAGTTATTATAGTAAACTACTTAAAAGGTGTTTCCTCCAGCAATGTTCTCTATTTTGACTAATCTGAAATATTTTATTATTATTATCTCTTTCTCTTTCTCCTTATTTCTCTTGCAAATCAAATATATTTAAATAAAACAAAATAGAAACCCAATCCCACCAAACTCTCAAATGTCTCTATCTCTCTGTCCCTTTTTCTCTCTCCTCCTGTCTACATATAAAGAGCCAAAAATTGGTTCTCCAAAATACAGAGTCAAGTAGGGAGTCTGCTGGAGGAAGATTTTCCTTTTTTTTTATATATAGTCAAAGTAGCTAGGGAAAAGAGGATAGTGAGTCTATTGGAGATGCTCTTAAGAGTCCACAATGAGAGGGTGTATATGGGGGTGTATGTTAAATATACACCCCTTGCACCGGAATCGCCTATAATTGAGAGATGTAAAGGGTTGTAAATATACATCACCACCATGGAGATGTAAAATAAAATGTACATTTACATCTATTTTTACATATTCTGCAGGCGTGACCCACCTGAGAAAAGAGAAGAAAAATGAAGAAAAGTCAGCATAAAAGGCTGGGACCTGCGGCTACAGTAATTGCTGGAAAAAATAAATCACATGTTGTTTGCTCATTTGTGGTTTTCATGCTCCCCCAATGTTTTTGGATGAAATCATATCTTCTCCGAATTTAAATATTTTTAGGTCTTTTTTTTGCAAAGTTAAAATTAACCTAATACAAAATAAATTAATTTTATAAAGTAAACACAAAATACAAATTTAACACAAAAACGAATTAAGACAAACAAAACAATTATACATCTTTTCCCATTTGAGCAAAAAAGGTATTTACACCATTCGGAGATGTAAAGGGGATGTAAAAGTGGCTTTACACCCCGGAATTTACACCCCCCCACTATGTATGCTCTAAGTGTTGGTTATACACTCTTCAAATTTTTGGTTGCATTCAGAAATCTTCTAGATATTGTTATAAAGATTATGAGAAAGATGTTGAAAGTAGGAAAAAAAAATAATTCATATCTAAATTCTTAACACATATAGTCTGCATTAAAGGCCTATTTGGAAGAAGTGATTCCGAATCTAGAGATTAAATTGTTACAATCCATATAAGTCAACAAATTTTGAATTTGAAGAAAATAAAGAATTGAATATCAAACACATTATAATAGAGTTTTACTAAACGAACCCTAAAATTAATTAACTGAGTACACTCAACTATCAAAGTATTTATTGAATTACTAATTTACCCTAATATAAAATGACCAAAAAGGATATATGGAATTGTGAAACATATATAATTTTAATAAGTACACCTACTCACCATATTCAACGCTAATCAAACGTAGAGAAGTTTTCGTATTTCTTGGTGTCCACAACGAACAACGTAGTGAGCATTGGCAGAGGCGCAAGGAAAGACATCTCAATGTGCTATGTTGCTCCCCTATCTAAATGCTCGAAAATGAATCTTGAAACCAAAGTGAGATGATATGATATTTACCGAGCTTCTACAGTATCACTCTCATCAGTCCTCTCCTGGTTTTTTCTTTTGCTTCTCGTTCTCCATCTCTAAGTTTCGTGTTTGTAGAAACTATTGCTTAATTTGAATTTTAAAACTAATATTCAAAATTTCTAGCAAAATGTGCATTTGATTACCATGTTTCTACATCTTATTATCTTCCGTATTCCCTTCGAATTGTTCTGTTCTGTTCAAATTATGTAAATTCACTTACACTCTTATCGAGCTCATGCAGTCCCGTTCAGAAAATACAAGTACATTCAGAAAACACATGTACCTTCATACAATTTTTCAAAACTCAGGGATTTATGAGGTCAAGTCCTCAAATTTTAGTCGAGAAGATGGTGACATCCTTATAATGTATGACTTACAGAAATAACAACATAAAATCCTAAAATGTAAATGCCCCTTTCCAAATACAGAACAAATGGTATCATATATACTTGTTGGTAAAGCTCATCAACTCTAGTTGATAGACACCGTCTTCAGCGGAGTTTTCAAAGTATGAACGTTGATCCCACAAGCTAGAGATCTCAATACTATCAACAAGCTACAACATGTTGACACTAAAACATAATCATTAAAGGCTGCCTTTAAGAATGGAATACCAATGCATAAACTCGCAAGAATGAAAATTAAAGATTTTAATGTAAATACAAAATTTGAAAAGATGATACAAATTCATGTAAAAAGAGAAATCTGATTTAGAATTAGCATTAGAGCATTTCCAGCAAGCAGGCTGGGGGGAGGGCTGGGGGAAAATGTTGTTTCCAGCAACACAAAGCTGCCAGGGCAAGGTGTGGGCCCCAGCAAAAAAAATTTGCCCGGGCTAGCCCTTGGGGAGGTCCAGCCCGAGTAGCAAAACTCGTTTTGGGCTGACGTCAGCGCTGGAGTTTAAATTTTTTTAACGTTGGCGCGTGCAATGCACGCGCCAACGTTAAAAAAAATTTGACGCGCCGCTACAGTGCCCGCCCAATGGTTCTCTTCCACATGTCGTCTGCTGGGCCATCCGATCAGCTTTTTAAATATATCTAACGGCAGCCATTTTTTCGCGAATAAAAAATCTGAAAAAGCAAGCCCCAACGGCTCTGTGCCACGTGGAAGCTTCTGGGCTTTTCGATTTTTTTTTCCAGCCATCCAACGGCAGGGAATTTTTTTCCCAATAAAAAAATGAAAAAAAATACCAAAAAGATACTGAAATTGTTTTCTATAAATACCAACCAATACTCTTCACTTTTAACATCAAAAACCAATATTTTTGTAATAAAAAATTGAAAAAAACCAAAAAATTACTTTTTTTTTCTTCTCTCTATACCTTATTTCCATTTTCAACATTTAAGTAAATGTCTTTGTCCTTTTACTTTTATTTATTTTTATATTACTCCATTTACTTAAGTTTACAATGTAAATAAGGAAGTACCCCCCATTTGGATTCAAATAAAAATACTAGAAAATCAAATTCCCACCAAATCAAAATATGAAAAATCGATTTTAGTGAAAAATACGATTTAGGCTAAAAATGATGGCTCATTAAGTCAATATATACTTCATATTAAAATCCCATAAAATCAAGTTTTCTTATTTGATGTGTAAGGAATAAAAGCCGCCAAAAATTTTATTGAGAAAATGATTATTTCGAAAAACCATTTTTCATACTTAGTCAATATTGCACCTCCGCTAAAACTCTTGAGAAAATGATTTTTCATACGTAGGAACCCAAAAATCTTATCCGAAAATATTATCCAAATTAATTGTTTAAGTAAACAAAGCTGTGAGGTAAATTATTTGTAATTTTCGTTTTATTAATTTCTATGTCATATTAATTTTTATTTAAATGTTTCTTGCAATTTATATATTTTGTTAATATTTCTTGTATTTCCAATATTAATATGAATGTTTCTTGCAATATTTATATTTTGTTTTGCATTTCTAATAATTGTTAATGAATAGTATTGACACGTAGGAACCCAAAAATCTTATCCGAAAATATTATCCAAATTAATTGTTTAAATAAACAAAGTTGTGAAAAAAACAAAAAAAATGAATAGTATTTGCCATGGAAAGGGGCTAACTGCTGGAAACACCCTTTGCTGGGGGGAGCTAGGGCAACCACTATTCACATGAATAGTAGCTGCCCTAGGGCTCCCCTTGCCATGGCAAAGGGCTAACTGGTGGAAGTGCTCTTAGAGCGCGTGATAGAGTGCATATTAGGGTGTACCAGAGGTACTTTGGTAGTAAAATAGGGTATACTTTATTAATTTTACATTTTAATTAAAATATTAAGGTATACTTAGATCGTAGGTGTACTCAGTTAATTTTAGACTTCGTGATCTAATGTTTTAAAGCTTTATTTAACAAATTTAGACTTTAGGCCATCCAACTCATGCCCAACAGCACAGCACACAAAATGACACAATACAAAGAAGCAGTCATTGCCAATTATGTCACATCATTCTATACACACTCATAATAACATGCCAAATACCCCACTACCTCAAATCAACAAACCCCTAATTACATTTCCAAATACCACAAATACCCTCTCTCTCTCTCTCTCTCTCTCTCTCTCTCTGCTCTGCTCTGTTTTTTTGTATATCTTTTCTTGCAATCTAAGTCTAGCCCTTATAATTTGGTCCAAACACAACCCAAATGATATAAAACCCCCCAGAACACATTTACATATACTCTTCTGCTGTGACCTGCAGAAGTATATATATACTTGCACATTACAGTTTGCCCTGCAAAAAGAAAGAACATGACTTCAGTTTGCATATCAAACTGCGTCAACGACGCACGTGACCCGCGCGTGCCGATGCGAGCCACCTACGTGAACCTCTACAAGTGGCCCGAGTCAGACGCCGAGTTCGTGAGGTCGGTGAGCTCCAACGGGCGGCGATCAGGTGCGGCGCAGCAACATGGGCACCCAAGAGTTGTGGACAGCATATCCTGCAGGCAAATGTACCTGAGGAGCTACACGTTCTCAAGGAAAGAGACGGTGCCTGAGAAAACCCAGAAATGCTTTGGCCGAGTCAAAGAGAAAATGGTGAACAATAAGAAGGGGAAGGCCAAAGGAGGCCGCAAGAGGAGTAACAAGTGTTTGGTTCTCAGGAAAGTGAAGGAACTGTCATCTGCTGCTCTGTTTAGAATTTTCCAGAGGTTCTTGTCTTGCTCTGCTAGTGTAGATGTTGTGAATTGAAGTTTCTTAATTTAGTTTTGTTAATTTATAATTCAGGGAGTATGGTTGTTTGTTTGTGCTTTTGTTTCTGTAATTTCGTGTTGGATATATAAATGGTGAAAAAGGGAAGGGCCCCCCATATATATATTTGGTTCTGCAATTAATATTTCAGTATTTATATGCTTTCGGTTTAGAAATTTGCATCTCTCTCTCTCTCTTGGTACCTTAAAAAGAAAAACCCAGATGCCAGAAAGCAAGGGAAGTCCAGACATTTGATTGTTTGGTTTCATATTCTTTGTTTGATTAAAAATTTGGCTTTTGGGTCATCTTGGGGTGTGTGTTAGTTCATGGTGTAGTAGAATAAAAATAATGTAAACCAGTGACTCTAAAAGAGGTGTTTAGGTTGCTTGTTGCTAGCATATGGTAGGTAGCTTAGCTAACTGCAGAAATAAAACCTTTTATATATACATATATGTATGACTGTTAAATCATGCGTCAAAATAGTAGAAAGTCCAGCTCTTTGACTGATGATGCTTAGCCAGTTTATCAAACTTTGGTAAAGAATCGCTGAGCTGCACAGAATTTGAAAATTACGGCACAGAGAATGTTTCAAAGCTCAGTTGCATAAACAGAGGACTGAGTCAATGTTATATTTTTTTATTTTTCGGGTACTGAAAAGATTCGAGCTTTCAGTGACAGTAGTTTTAGTTTATATAAAGCCCTCAGTGTTGCAACCTGAAAAATATATATTAAAACAAAAGTTTTATGCAAAAAAATGGCTAATTGGCTTTGGATTCTGTTGAGTTTAGGGAGCTATGAAAGACACTAGCTCTTTTGGGTCAAAGAATCTTTCTCTGTCTTATTGGGGAAAAGCCTATAGTTACGGTCAAATTTTCCCTGGATTTGGTGCCAACTGCAAACTAGAAAACAAGGCATTAAAATGACCAATTCAACATGGTGAAAGAACTGATTCGGCTCCTTCTGTTGTGATCCAAAAATTACCTCATGAGGACACTCCTATGGTGATTCTTTTGACACTCTCAGAATCTCATTTTGAAAAATTGATCTGATGAAGACATTTCTCAATGCTTTAATTACAGTTTTTTTTGTATACATTCCTTCAAACGAGAAGAACTTGCATGTAACGGGGAGAATATTATTTTGTTATCCTCATTCAATCATGTGGAAAGTTATCATGTGTGTGGAACGTGATCGGTTAGAGAATGATATACAAGTTTTTCTCACTTCAAACCCATCAGGATTAATTGGGTTCTCATTGTTGTTTTAATTTCAAATATTGGATTTTTGCCTTCAAATGAGAAGGATTTCAGGACATGATCTCTATCTATTAACAATCAAATTATGAAATGTATAATTTTGTTCATGGGAATTGTCACAGATTAGAAGGTATGAATAAACAAATATTAAAGCATGGGCGGATAAGTGGCCTGGCTCTGTCCTTGCTAGCTAATTATTCCTGTGCTTATTATGCCCATGCATGTTTTCTCATTTGAGCTTTCGCCCTAGTGAGTAATTTTTTTAAAGTCACGGTAACATCATCATGTAGTATTATTAATTCACCTATATTGCATTACGTCGAGCCATAGCAGCAACCACGTATTAAAATAACTATAATGAAGCCTGGCTTAGTATGATAGCGGAGAGTGAAGAAATCACAAAGTGGCAACCCTGGGCCATGGAAAAAGAGAAAGATATAATGATAACAGCCACCAAACACATTGGCTTTTGTTGATGAAGCTTGCATTCTAAGGAAGGTTGGTTAATGAATGCTCCTGCTGAAACTTGATTCCTATGGCTATGGGGCTCATCAACAACATCTAGAAGTATAGAAAATTGAGTCTTGAAACTTGTAATAATAAGCAAGATGGTTTAGTCAGAGGGCAAATCCCTAAATTAGCCTTGAGATGCATCCTAATTCCTAAAGCCAAAGTTTGCTTGGGGTCTTTGATCTTCCTTTTTTTCTTTTGGCCAGTGTGACTTCGGTCTTGCTTATGCTAGCTTAGCTTCCAAAGTCATGCAACACCACCAACAAACACCCTGGCCCTTTGGAAAAGAAAAACAGAAAAAGAAAAACAGTCTTTGATGCCATGGACGACACAGATCTTTCCAACCCTCTGTTTTGTCTCAGCAGCCCAACTCAACCTTGAAGCTTCCAATAGGACCCATACAGTACTGGTATTTTCAAACTTCTATCTTATCTTGACCCATTTTTCATGTCCCATAAACTTGGAAGCCCAAACTTGAAGCTTCAATAGAAGTCTAGCCCTTCAATGGGTAACTTTCACTGTGATACTCACTTAAATAAATTCCACACACACTGAGGAATGTGATGAGTAAACATGGTATAAATATGATACAAATAATTTTGGTGTAATCTTAATGTCATCTCCTACAACATCAAGGAGAATATAAGAGGGTGTTGATCCTCTTGGCCAGTAACTATGAACAAAACTTTGTTACAGGTTTCCTGTCGACTATCATTGTGACACTGTTCGAGGAACCATAGATGATGGCGGAGTAAAGGATCGTTTTAGAAGGGCATGTTCTAGTGCATTGCACATTCTCATCCTAGCTGTGGACATTATTTATAAGTGCACCTTCTAGTTTGAGGCCTACTTATTATATATGTTAAGATGTAGCCTTGTAGCTTTGCTTGGTTGCATTGGTTGTCCTGAATTTGAACAAAATCAGTATTGTGCTATATTATATTAAAAACAGAAAGAAACAAACTGAGTACCAATTCAAATATTGTATGCATTGTAGAAAGTGGCAGTGGCCAAAATAATCTGGGTGAATAAGCTTTAAGAAAATAGAACAGCCTTTCCTGTCTGGACTCTCTCTGTATCAGCAATAAAATTCTCACGATTCAATAGCAAAGCCTCTTTTTGGGGAGGGTTTGGAGAGTAATTTTGAAGTTGATGTGGAAATATTTGCTTTTCCTAATGATCCATTCAATCAAGAAATATTTGCTTCGTCTTCTTTCCATCCTCATTGTCCACGTGTCCTCTCTTTTCATCTTTCTTTGGGACAAAAAATAGAACCCCACCTGCAAGTGGCTGGTAGCTAAATGGTTAAGAGCATTTAACCATGCACATGAGTTTTTCGGTTCGATTTCCCCCTCCTCCAAGATCTAAAAAAAGATAGAACCTCAGCTCTACTTAAATTACCAATCACCCCTCTCCTTTCCTCACCAACTCTGTCAATCATTTTGTGACGTTAATTCCAAGAAAATAATGAGGCTCTCAATCTTCATTCTCTGCCCCATCATTGATGTTTCGTTTTAGGACATCTGTCCTAAAACTTAAACAGATACAAACACCATTAACTCTGGTTAGACCCCACCACCATAGCAGAAAATTCATAATAGAGGTGAGGTTGGCAAAATATGGTAAAGGATTGACAACACTGGCAGCCCTTGTTTCATGATTAGGAGCTTAAACAATAACACGGCTTGTGTTTAACAATATTCGTTTGCATTTACTATGATGATTTAGATCAGATCCTAAAGCTCACAAGCCTTGCCTCACAGGAAAAGACACAAATCCAAAGAGCACAACCCTCAGCAGTAAAATCTCTACAAGTTAATCACAGAAAGATCAATACTAAAACTCAATCTGGACACAGCAAGAAAGGGGACACAAAACAAGCTGGTTAATGCCTCTGAATTAAGACCGATAGGTTGCCAAAAAAGTTTTTTGCTCCATAATGATCAGTTGTCAACAGTCTTAATTTGTATTCTTCTTTAAGTTTGTATGCTGCTAAATTTGTTTTGATTAAGATTGAATTCAGTTTTTTAGGGTCAACAGAATTTGCTAGAACAGACTGTAGCAGTGACCTGATGATCTTATCTCAAGACTCTAGTAGTTTCCAAGTAGGTTTGGTATTCAAAGTTTTAAATGGTTCAATTATTAATTTTCGTAGTTTGACTCAGGGTTACATAGATAGACCTTCTAGCAGATTCAAGCTTCTGTTAGGGTGGCAATTACCAAACTTCCATAAGCTTCCTAATTTGATTAGAGAAACTAAAGACTATACAGAGAATGCAATTAGTCAATAGTTCAGAGTTACATAGGACTTCCAACAGATTTCAAGCTTTGAACACAATCACTGTCATGCAGAAATTATACTCAATCTTATCATGAATGAATTTATAACAACTTGTAATAAATAAATAAACTTATTTCAGTAACCATTGTCAGCATTATACTTGAAAATACTATTAACAATCCTTATGAATGAAATGAGTCACAACTGGTAAAGTGGTACATATCAAATCGAGTAGTATAACAAACCGAATCTAAACAGATACAAGAGGCAGAAATCATTATCAGTGTTATAGATTGAAATCATTATCAGCATCTTTCGATTCAAAATCCTATCAAACAAAAATTACGAAGCAGAGTGTCTTAAACAGAAAACTTCTTATAACATGTAAAAGAACAATAATACAATTGAAAGGAAAACAAAAGAGGCAACAGAGTAGGAGCAGCAGACCTGACCCATCATTAATTCTATCAGTAAATCCGATAAGCGGAACTCAAAATATTGCACGGGCAGCATCAGCAGCAACATAGTCAAATATAGATGGGCAGCAAAACATGAACACTACCCAATTCAAAGCTCAAACTCCTCGTCCCTAAGAGCCATCTCAGCAGCCTCTTCTTCCTCCTCATCAAGAATAAAGTACTCGTTCCTCTCCACGGGCCTAAACATATAGAACATGACCATGTAAAACACCAGACTTGCACTCTCCTCAGCCGCATTGCTCACCCACTGATACTTATAAGCTGCAATGGTCTTAAGCGCGAAAACCACGATTCTTGTGAAATACAAGTACCCAATAACGACAATGTAAAATTGCCTGAAAAGGGTCAACTTGGCCAAGTTTCTTGCAGCTTTTCCGTCGGTTTTCGACGTCTCTCTCAGAGACCTAATGGACCAAACGATGGGGAATATGATAGCACAGCAGCAAATGATATCAACCAACAAAAACACCTGGTTCCAGGTGACCCAGTCCTTGATAAACGGCCCAGTTTCCCCAATCACAACAGACGCCACGTTGGCCAAGACCTGCAGAGGGATTACAATCATCAACACCTTTTTCTCCTTCTCCTGCAAGAAGGGCTTCAAAAACGACCACCCGGTCCCGATCAAAACGATCACCGTAAACAACAAAACGACACGGAGGAACTGGAAGATGTAGAACAACACATCCCATCCGTGGGCGGTACCGGTGACCTTGACATAGTGCTTGTCCTCCGCCGCGGAAATCAGATTCAACGCCTTCATCAGAAGCAGCCCACCCATCAAAAGATGGATCCGGTGCACGGATCTCTTGTTGGTGTAACAAAGGTAGACCCAGAAGCCCACAAACACCAAATAGGCCAAAAAGAAGACGAAGAACAGAGAAGGAAGATGGGTCAACCCGGCCGACAAATAGTCACGCGCACCATCTGGGTCGAGATTGTAGACCTCCGTCCGTACAAGCATGGAGACGGTGGTCTCCGGAGCGCAATTGGCGAAGAAGAGGCTGTACTCGTTCGGAGCAGAGACTGGGTACGAATGGTTGAACGAGGAGAGGGGCGGCGGCGAGAGCTCTCTGAAATTGAAGAGACGGGTTATGTAGCGCGAATCCAAAACGCAGAGCTGAGGGTTCTGCTGGATCTCGACGAGGACTTGCAGGAGGGACTCTTCGGAGAGGAGGAAGAAGCCTAGGCGCGACGGGTCGATGTCGCTGAGCTTGGAGGTGACGGACACGTGCGAGACCCGGATGGTCACGTGACCGCTGTGGGTGAACCCGAACTTCTCGAAGAGGATCATTGGTCGGTTGTCGGAGGAGATCGTGAGGCTCTTTATCTCCGCGGCGGTCGGGGACACCAGCGCCGCCACCAGGGCGGCGATGACGAGAGGGACGAGGGGTAATTTCGTCATTTTGCTCTCGGCTAGGAGTCCAGGCCTTGGAGGAGAAGATGGAGGGGAGATCGGGAGACAGAGAGAGTTGGGGATTTTTGGGGACGAAGGAAGCGAGGACGGGTTGGCGTGGATTATAAGATTTGTTTCGGTTTGACGATAATGACCCCCTTTCACTATGAGCCAAAATGAGGCCCAATTGTTTATGGGCTTGGTGCGCCGGCAGGCCCATTTTCTAGACTCTATCTCGTGGGCTCGTGGAAAAATATTAAATCTACGCATGTGCAACACGTGGACGTATATTCGGATGTCACAACTTGACAAGTCATATTTCATAACGCATAAGTCTTGTTTTTTGTTTGGTCTCACAAATACCCTTGTTCCACCATCAAACCCCAACATTGCCATCGTGGACTTGCAATTTATTATTTTCTCAAATCAATTAATTTACTATCATGTCTAGTTGCACAAGTGGACATGGTTGATTATTAATGACACCGTTTTTGTTAATGATAATGGATGTGATTAATGTCATTATATTTGTCCTGTCCTCACTCATTCAATACGATAAATTAAGGAGGGTTATTGAATAGTGTTGTGTTTTGACACACCCAAAAAAAAAGAAAAAAGAGTTGTGTAAATAGATTTTTTTTTCCTTTTCTTTGATAAAGTGTTCGTGAGAATTTAATAGCACAAGAAAAAGTGCAAATTAGCAATGAACCTATAAACAAACGTTTTTCCAGAAAAAACAAAAGAAAAAAAAATATAAACAATCGTTTTGGGTGGTGACACCCACAGCGGTCACATGACCATTTGGATAAAGGGATTTCAAATCTATCAAATATTTTTTTAGGAACTAAATCTATGAATTTAGATGATATTATCAGGAAAAATGAACAAGAAAAATGGGAGAAAACAAATAAATTTCAAATGTTTCCTTGTATATATTCATTTCAAATTCATTTCAAATCTACAACATTTTGCGTAATCATTTCAAATTTACAACATCTAGTTAAGTTAAATTCATTTAATATAATATGATTCTTGTTTTTGTTAAAAAATTTAGCATCGGGATCAAATTCGGAAAATTTCTTTAAAAAATTCTATCCAAATGGAGTCAAGGATGTTAACAGGAGTAATGCAGGTTACATTTTCCTTTTTAATTATTCTTCTATTATCAGAAATTTGAAGACCATGATTACTCATTTCCCAACATTTTGTGTAAAAAAAGGAAAGGGCATTATGGACAATTTGGTTCGGACCGTATTAAATATTTGTGAACTTCGAGACAAAGACTTATAGCACTACGAGGTGCACGTGCTGCCGAGGTGGTGGTCCGACTCCACCTCAATCAAACCTGGCGACATGCATCTGAGTAACAGCAAGAAAAAGACCAAACTACCCTTTCTCCAAACTCCACTAATTTACACGTCACCGTCCAAATTCTCCACGTAATTTCGTCGAACCACAGGACCAGTTACTTATGTTCCTTCCAGGGGTACCTATTTAATGCTTAGCCATGGAGATTTCTGTCTCTGGCTTTTTCTTTTTTCCTGTTATCCAAACGAACCTCCAAGGGAAATCCAAACTTCGAAACCTCCAGTATTTCAACGAAGGAGGTTGGATTTCCAATTCGCCATCCCAAAAGCCCAAATCAAAATCAAAATCAAAATTCAAGAAGAAAGAGCCCCGCAGAGAGAGTCGTTTGAGTCTTTGAGCTGTCTCTGATTGCTCATTTCTTCATATCATTTCCAATTCAAACCCGTAAGTTTAATCACAATGCTCTTCGTTTTTGCTAATTTTATGTGTTTTATGATTTTTCAATGCATTTTCGTTCTCAATTTTCGGTCTTGATTATTCATGTTTTTTTTTCTTTTCAATTTATAAAGATGTATTGGAGAATTGTCGTTAGCGTTTGTTTGATTCCCGAGAAATCGAAGGAAATAAATTTGAGCTTTTTCAGCATCTCAGAGCTCAACTTGCTTGGATTGTATCGAAAGGTTCCAAATTGACTAATGAAAAAAATAAAATTATTATTTTTCTTTCTTCATTACCTGGCAACCAAACAGAGTGTTAGGGTTTCCAATCATTTTTAGATGACAAATGGTTGCTCTATTTGTGTATATTGTTCAAATTGTTAGATTGTGTTGTGTGATTATCATTCCATTATGTGTTATGATGCAGATACCAAAGAAGGATCAGAATCATAATCAAGAGAAGAGAATTTTGGATGAATGCGTGAAGACAATTTTGTTGTTGACAATTAAAGGTTTGAGTTTAGATGCTAATTGGGGTTTCACTAAATTTTGAGGGGTTGTTAGTGGCTTGACCAGATGAATGTGGTTGGCAAAGTTGGGAGCTTGATATCCCAAGGTGTTTACTCTGTTGCCACTCCTTTTCATCCCTTTGGTGGGGCTGTTGATGTCATTGTTGTTCAGCAGCAGGATGGGACATTTCGAAGCACGCCTTGGTACGTCCGGTTTGGTAAATTTCAGGGTGTTCTTAAAGGTGCAGAGAAGATGGTCCGCATAAATGTAAATGGAGTTGATGCCAATTTCCATATGTATCTTGATAACTCAGGAGAGGCTTATTTTGTAAAGGAGGTTGATTCTGGTAAAGGAAGTGAGATAAATGGGGTTGTGAAGGATTCTGTTACTTTAGAACCTACACAAGAGGAAAGTGGTTTGGAGATTGATAACCAGAATAATGGTAATGAAAATGTTCTTGAAATTCGTAGACTGGAGCATAGTGTCTCTGATTCGATGGTGGTTCAGTTGCGAGATGAACGTGATTCCTTAGGTGCAAACCTGATACAGAGGGCAGAATCTGATTCTGATCGGAGGTATTACGAATTTAAAGATGAGCAATCTTCTCTAGAGGGTTCTGTTGAGTTATCAGAGTATGGATCAAGTCGATATGATAATTTAGACAGTAATCATATTGTGGAATCACAGAATTTAAACTCAGAAGTTATATTGGTGAGTGTGGATGGTCATGTATTGACAGCCCCCATTTCAGCATCAGAGCTTAGCACAGAGGATGTGCAAGACACACCTCGATTCAATCTTGGCCCAGGTGAAGAGACCGACTTCTGTGAAGGCAATGAGGAGTTTAGTTCAGGTGAAACTGCTTGGGCTGCTGATTATATTTGTAAGCTGAATGAATCTACAACTAGTGAGGCATCTGGTAATGTTTGTGGAGTTCAGAATGAAGATAATGTTATTGGCCGTCAGCTGGAAGTTGATGAAGGAGGCAGGGGACTAGCATGTCAAGCTCAAGAAACTCAAAAGACTTCAAGACAGGAAAGAGATCTTCAGATGCATAGGGATTCAGAAGATGCATCTACTAAAAAGGCAGATGTTTTCGAGAGCTGTTTGGAGCTAGAAGAAATGGCCAAACGTGGTGGGAAAGCTGATGTTGAAGATATGGGGTCCTCATTGGAGGTTCAAAATTCACCAGAAAAATCTAATCAGACTCTTCCGGACCCGGTGGTTGATAGAACTGAAGATGCTAGTGTTATTGAATTGAGAAATGACAATGAGTTATCTGCTTCTTGTGGTTCTGTTTCACCTGGCAACAATATGTCTCCACATGTACAAGTTGGAAGTGAATCAGTTGAGAAGATTGTGTCTTCTTCGGAACAAATGAGTATTGAAAGCATTTCTGTACATTCTGTCAATAACGATGCAGACTGGAAGGATGAACAATGTGTTACATCAGCAGCAGTCGATGAGACAGAGAGTAGTCAACAAATACCTGCAACTGGAGATGAATGCAGTAAAAGTGAGCTAATAGAACCCCCAACAGAATCTTCAAGTGAAGAAACACAAAATGACCTAATAAAACCCCCAACAGAATCTTCAAGTGAAGAAACACAAGTCCATTCAAGCATAAGTAAGCACCTCTTACCTGCTTCAGTTGTTATTTAACTCTCCATATTTTTTTCTTGATTCTAGTATCTAATTTGTGTTTACTGTTCTTACAATTTCCAGGGTTTGAGATCTCACTCTGTGGGAATGAACTTCGTGTGGGTATGGGCGTCAAAGCTGCTGCTGAAGCCTTTGCTGCACGCCGTGTATCTGCACAGGATTTCATAACTTCTGCGACATCGATTTTGAAAAATGAAAATCTGATTATCAGATATAGGGAAAGATACTTTTTGTGGGAAAAAGCAGCTCCTGTTGTTCTTGGAATGGCTGCATTTGATCTAGATTTACCTGTTGCGCCCGAGGATGCAATTCCTGTGGAACAAGATGGCTCAGAAAAACCCAGGGATGAGGATTCAGGAATGCCTTCCACTCCTACTGGACGCAGATGGAGGCTCTGGCCTATTCCATTTAGAAGGGTGAAAACACTTGAGCACACCAGCAGTAATTCATCGAATGAGGATGAATTTGTTGATTCTGAATCTGGTCTGCAAAACTCACAACTTGAAGCAACTCCTGAGTCCCCCCAAAAGCAATTTGTAAGGACAAATGTTCCCACCAACGAGCAGATAGCATCTTTAAATCTCAAAGAAGGTCAAAATATGATAACTTTCAGTTTCTCTACCAGGGTTTGGGGGACACAACAGGTTTGCCAATCATCTGGTTTTTCATTTATAAATTTGAGCTATAGCCAATAGAGTTACTAAGCCATTTTTATCTTTACCAGGTTGATGCACATATTTACTTGTGGAAATGGAATGCCAGAATTGTAATTTCCGATGTTGACGGAACTATTACCAGGTAAGGCTGCTGTAAATGTAATTTGGTTTTGATTGCTAAAATAAGATTGCTTCTGCAACTTTCTGAAAGTAGATGGAAAATATTGAAAGTTGTAATTCTCTTGCTTTCTTCTATTGCCATAGGACAAAACCATAAGAGATCTAGTTTAGTACCAGACAGTTATGCAAATTAATTCTTTGGACTGTTAGATGTCAGCACAGGCAATCTGCAAACCTATCAAAAATACAAAAAAGACTTTACCATCATGATGTTATTATTGCTTAGTTTAAAGATAAAACTTTCACCTGAATCCAT